GTTAGTGCTGCTATAAAGCTTATTCTAGTCATGGTGCCCGAGACTACTTGAGTAGTTACTTTGTTTATTCGGACTACTAAAAGTGGTTGCTGGTTTCCAGTCTCAAAAAGATACTTCTTCAAAGATTCTTGTGCTTTTTGCATGTACACTAAATCGTTGGGATTTTGCTCCGTCTCACCGCCTACTATTTGCCTTTTAGACCTTTGATTCGCATCCACGCAGGAAACGTCAATTTCCTTTTTGTTATTCTCCCAAATTTTTGAAAAGCACTCAAGTACAACACCATCGTGATTTGTATTTGGCACTGCTGTAAAGTGTATTCTAGTCATAAAACCCGAAACTACTTGAGTGGTTACCTCTTGTATTCGGCCCACTGAGTACGACTGACGGTCTCCGGTATTTACAGAATACCTCTGCAATGATTCCTGTGCCAGTTGCATGTACACTGGATCATTAGGATTTTGCTCTATCTCAGCGCCGAACATTTGCCTTTTAGGCATTTGATTCGCATCCACGCAGGAAACATCAATTTTCTTTATGTTGAGCTCCAAGATTTTTGAAAAGCACTCAAGTACCACACCATCATAATTTGCATTTGGTACTGCTGTAAAGTGTATTCTAGTCATAAAACCCGCAACTACTTGAGTGGTTACCTCTTGTATTCGGCCAACTGAGTACGACTGAGAGTTTCCGGTCTCTGCAAGATACTTCTGCAAGGATTCCTTTGCCAGGTGAATGTACAGTGGATCGTTGGGATTTTGCTTCGTCTCACCGCCTGCTATTATATCCCTTTTAGACCTTTGATTCGTATCCAGGCAGGAAACATCAATTTCGGTTTTGTTAAGCCAGGGCTGCTCCCAAATTTTCGAAAAGCACTCATATACATGATCATTTGAATTTGTAGTTAGTGCTGCTATAAAGCTTATTCTAGTCATGGTGCCCGAGACTACTTGAGTAGTTACTTTGTTTATTCGGACTACTAAAAGTGGTTGCTGGTTTCCAGTCTCAAAAAGATACTTCTTCAAAGATTCTTGTGCTTTTTGCATGTACACTAAATCGTTGGGATTTTGCTCCGTCTCACCGCCTACTATTTGCCTTTTAGACCTTTGATTCGCATCCACGCAGGAAACGTCAATTTCCTTTTTGTTATTCTCCCAAATTTTTGAAAAGCACTCAAGTACAACACCATCGTGATTTGTATTTGGCACTGCTGTAAAGTGTATTCTAGTCATAAAACCCGAAACTACTTGAGTGGTTACCTCTTGTATTCGGCCCACTGAGTACGACTGACGGTCTCCGGTATTTACAGAATACCTCTGCAATGATTCCTGTGCCAGTTGCATGTACACTGGATCATTAGGATTTTGCTCTATCTCAGCGCCGAACATTTGCCTTTTAGGCATTTGATTCGCATCCACGCAGGAAACATCAATTTCCTTTATGTTGAGCTCCAAGATTTTTGAAAAGCACTCAAGTACCACACCATCATAATTTGCATTTGGTACTGCTGTAAAGTGTATTCTAGTCATAAAACCCGCAACTACTTGAGTGGTTACCTCTTGTATTCGGCCAACTGAGTACGACTGAGAGTTTCCGGTCTCTGCAAGATACTTCTGCAAGGATTCCTTTGCCAGGTGAATGTACAGTGGATCGTTGGGATTTTGCTTCGTCTCACCGCCTGCTATTATATCCCGTTTAGACCTTTGATTCGTATCCAGGCAGGAAACATCAATTTCGGTTTTGTTAAGCCAGGGCTGCTCCCAAATTTTTGAAAAGCACTCAAGTACAACACCATCATAATTTGCATTTGGTACTGCTGTAAAGTGTATTCTAGTCATTAATCCCGCAACTACTTGAGTGGTTACATCTTGTATTCGGCCAACTGAGTACGACTGAGAGTTTCCGGTCTCTGCAAGATACTTCTGCAAGGATTCCTTTGCCAGGTGAATGTACAGTGGATCGTTGGGATTTTGCTTCGTCTCACCGCCTGCTATTATATCCCTTTTAGACCTTTGATTCGTATCCAGGCAGGAAACATCAATTTCGGTTTTGTTAAGCCAGGGCTGCTCCCAAATTTTCGAAAAGCACTCATATACATGATCATTTGAATTTGTAGTTAGTGCTGCTATAAAGCTTATTCTAGTCATGATGCCCGAGACTACTTGAGTAGTTACTTTGTTTATTCGGACTACAAAAAGTGGTTGCTGGTTTCCAGTCTCAAAAAGATACTTTTTCAAAGATTCTTGTGCCTTTTGCATGTACACTAAATCGTTGGGATTTTGCTCCGTCTCACCGCCTACTATTTGCCTTTTAGACCTTTGATTCGTATCCAGGCAGGAAACATCAATTTCGGTTTTGTTAAGCCAGGGCTGCTCCCAAATTTTCGAAAAGCACTCATATACATGATCATTTGAATTTGTAGTTAGTGCTGCTATAAAGCTTATTCTAGTCATGATGCCCGAGACTACTTGAGTAGTTACTTTGTTTATTCGGACTACAAAAAGTGGTTGCTGGTTTCCAGTATCAAAAAGATACTTCTTCAAAGATTCTTGTGCCTTTTGCATGTACACTAAATCGTTGGGATTTTGCTCCATCTCACCGCCTACTATTTGCCTTTTAGACCTTTGATTCGCATCCACGCAGGAAACGTCAATTTCCTTTTTGATATTCTCCCAAATTTTTGAAAAGCACTCAAGTACAACACCATCGTGATTTGTTTTTGGCACTGCTGTAAAGTGTATTCTAGTCATAAAACCCGAAACTACTTGAGTGGTTACCTCTTGTATTCGGCCCACTGAGTACGACTGACGGTTTCCGGTATTTACAGAATACCTCTGCAATGATTCCTGTGCCAGTTGCATGTACACTGGATCATTAGGATTTTGCTCTATCTCAGCGCCGAACATTTGCCTTTTAGGCATTTGATTCGCATCCACGCAGGAAACATCAATTTCCTTTATGTTGAGCTCCAAGATTTTTGAAAAGCACTCAAGTACCACACCATCATAATTTGCATTTGGTACTGCTGTAAAGTGTATTCTAGTCATAAAACCCGCAACTACTTGAGTGGTTACCTCTTGTATTCGGCCAACTGAGTACGACTGAGAGTTTCCGGTCTCTGCAAGATACTTCTGCAAGGATTCCTTTGCCAGGTGAATGTACAGTGGATCGTTGGGATTTTGCTTCGTCTCACCGCCTGCTATTATATCCCTTTTAGACCTTTGATTCGTATCCAGGCAGGAAACATCAATTTCGGTTTTGTTAAGCCAGGGCTGCTCCCAAATTTTTCGAAAAGCACTCATATACATGATCATTTGAATTTGTAGTTAGTGCTGCTATAAAGCTTATTCTAGTCATGGTGCCCGAGACTACTTGAGTAGTTACTTTGTTTATTCGGACTACTAAAAGTGGTTGCTGGTTTCCGGTCTCAATAAGATATTTCTTCAAAGATTCTTGTGCCTTTTGCATGTACACTAAATCGTTGGGATTTTGCTCCGTCTCACCGCCTACTATTTGCCTTTTAGACCTTTGATTCGCATTAACGCAGGAAACGTCAATTTCCTTTTTGATATTCTCCCAAATTTTTGAAAAGCACTCAAGTACAACACCATCGTGATTTGTATTTGGCACTGCTGTAAAGTGTATTCTAGTCATAAAACCCGAAACTACTTGAGTGGTTACCTCTTGTATTCGGCCCACTGAGTACGACTGACGGTTTCCGGTATTTACAGAATACCTCTGCAATGATTCCTGTGCCAGTTGCATGTACACTGGATCATTAGGATTTTGCTCTATCTCAGCGCCGAACATTTGCCTTTTAGGCATTTGATTCGCATCCACGCAGGAAACATCAATTTCCTTTATGTTGAGCTCCAAGATTTCTGAAAAGCACTCAAGTACAACACCATCGTGATTTGTATTTGGCACTGCTGTAAAGTGTATTCTAGTCATAAAACCCGAAACTACTTGAGTGGTTACCTCTTGTATTCGGCCCACTGAGTACGACTGACGGTTTCCGGTATTTACAGAATACCTCTGCAATGATTCCTGTGCCAGTTGCATGAACACTGGATCATTAGGATTTTGCTCTATCTCAGCGCCGAACATTTGCCTTTTAGGCATTTGATTCGCATCCACGCAGGAAACATCAATTTCCTTTATGTTGAGCTCCAAGATTTTTGAAAAGCACTCAAGTACCACACCATCATAATTTGCATTTGGTACTGCTGTAAAGTGTATTCTAGTCATAAAACCCGCAACTACTTGAGTGGTTACATCTTGTATTCGGCCAACTGAGTACGACTGAGAGTTTCCGGTCTCTGCAAGATACTTCTGCAAGGATTCCTTTGCCAGGTGAATGTACAGTGGATCGTTGGGATTTTGCTTCGTCTCACCGCCTGCTATTATATCCCTTTTAGACCTTTGATTCGTATCCAGGCAGGAAACATCAATTTCGGTTCTATTAAGCCAGGGCTGCTCCCAAATTTTCGAAAAGCACTCATATACATGATCATTTGAATTTGTAGTTAGTGCTGCTATAAAGCTTATTCTAGTCATGCTGCCCGAGACTACTTGAGTAGTTACTTTGTTTATTCGGACTACTAAAAGTGGTTGCTGGTTTCCAGTCTCAAAAAGATACTTCTTCAAAGATTCTTGTGCCTTCTGCATGTACACTAAATCATTGGGATTTTGCTCCGTCTCACCGCCTACTATTTGCCTTTTAGACCTTTGATTCGCATCCACACAGGAAACATCAATTTCCTTTTTGATGTGCTCCCAGATTTTTGAGAAGCACTTAAGTACAAGATCATTGGAATTTGTATTTGGCGCTGCTGTAAAGTCTATTCTTGTCATGGAACCAGCAACTACTTGAGTGGTTACCTTTTCTATTTCTACAACTGAGTATGACTGCAGGTTTCTAGTTTCTGTGAGATATTTCTGCAATGATTCCTGTGCCAGTTGCAGGTAAATCGGGTTTGCCGAATTTCGCTCGATCTCACCTCCTAAGATTATTTTTTTTGAAGTTTCCCGCAAGTATTTTTGGTCAGATTCTTCAGGTAATGCTTTGTACGAAGTTTCTTGATATTCATCTTTTTCAAATGCTACATCCCTTTTATGTCTAGTCTTTGGAAGTATTTCTTTCACTTTTAGATCATCTTCACATTCCACTTCCATTTGTCTGCCATCAACTATCCATGACCTGTCCCAAACTTGTGCTTTGCATCGACGAAGACGTTCGTTTTTTAGCAGCACACAGTTATTTAACGGACCTTTCATATCAGTGTCGGTACAATTCGTGTAACCAACAATAAATTCGATTTTAATTAGAAATCCCGCCACTATTTGAGTAGATATATTGCTAATTTTAATAATTTTTTGCTTGAACTTTTTACTAGATTGTATTTCTAAGTATTGTAGCGCATCTTGAATTACTTCTGCTATAATTGGATCATCAATCGTAATGTTTTTATATTGTTTGTCTTTAGTTATAATAAAATCCATGGGGCGTTCAGTGCAGGTATACGTAATAGTTTTTTCTTTTAACCACTGTCTTTCATGAACTAAAACTTCACAGATTCGTGATCCAAGATGTTCCAGTGATAAACAATTTTTTCTTAAAACTAAAGGAACACTTTTGTTACAATTTATATACTCAATAATCATTGAAATTTTAGTTAATCTACTTGATGCTAAACGAGTTTTAGCAGATGCAATTTTCTTTATTTTCATAGCATGCGGATCTGTAGATTCAAATTCAATTTTTTTTAATGCTTCTTTAGAAAGACGCCGTAAAACTGGATCATCAGATTCAACTTCTTTAAATTTATCTAATACTGCCATCTCTTTATTATCATTATAGCAAAAACTGTACAATACTTGAGGTTTTTCCTTGTTTGTACTATCTACAACTCCGTTACAAATTTTAGTATGAGTATCTTTTGACTCACAGTTTGGAGTATCACAAGGCATCACGACCTGCACTTGAATGTAAACAAAATGTTTCTCATCATCTTCTTCTTCTTCAGCCTTTATGACATTTTTTACAGCTCTATTTTTAACTTCAATGTCTATTGTATTTAAATAGTCCACCATGACTTGAGCCATTTCATATACATATTTAGCATTTTCTATACTCTTTTTTAAATCACGATAATCTTGTGTCAAAGACAATACTTGCAAGTCATAATCATAGCTTCTCTTTGATCTTTTATCACTTTTTTCAGTTTGAGAATATACTTGAGGTTTATAACCAGAAATATTTAAAAAATCTAACATTTCATCAATAGATTTTTTTTTATCTTGCCTGAAACTACCCGTTTTAGCTTTAGTAGAGTGACTTCCAAGAACAGAATTACCCCTAAACTGTGGAGTGGATTCAGTTTTAAGGACATTTTCCTTGTTTATTTCCTTGATGGGTTGTGATAATGTGTCAGATTTCCTATCGCCTATTTCATCGCCTATTTTGCTATGACTATTACTATCTGTAGACTCAGATAAGTCGTCACCGTCATCACCAAACTGCCATTTTTCTGTACAGGTATTGGCTAGAATCTCTCTATATTTAGAACCACTGGGTAATTTCTGCCAGGGTTTAACCAAAATTGAGATTCTGCATGTTTTAGTAAAGGCACAGATGTCATTTATTATTTCGGTACAATTATTAAAATTAATAGATAGAGTTAAAACATATCTGACTCCATTAACGACCTGCAAATGAAAAAGCATACATTTCTTATATTCCAGATTCAGATCTTGTTTTATAAACTTTCTACAAATATTTTCTTTTGAGCAGACATTCAATTTTATTAGTATAATATTGTCTATTGATGGCAAACTCTCGGGGAGGATTATGCTGACCGCAGGCTACCAGAACAGACCTCTGGTAGCAGATTAACTGCTGCGGTTGGCGATAGGATAGCGCTGTGGTCGCGAAAATGCGGGCCGATAGGCGGAAGGAAGCCCGAGGCTACCCCGGGATAGGGCCTTACTAGGTGCGGCATCTATCCAGGGGGGCCTGAAATACATGGTCCGGGTCCTCCTCGGAGTAGGGTGCCTGAGACCGGCCGTCGGGGTGGTTTTAGTGGAAACACCACATACTCCTAACTCCTGCGTCCCTTAGGAGCCGGAGATCCAAAGGGATTTTCCAGCCCGTCAACCAAACAAAAAAAGGGGCGGCCTATGCTAGACAGCAAGACAATCTTCACGTACCGGTGTCAAAAAATTAAATAAGATTATTGTAACTATATTGAAGGAAAGATTGTTAAATAAAGACTATTATTATTTAGTAAGTATCTATCTGACTAGTAAAATTACAGTAAAATTATGTACGTAAAACAGTATGTGTTAACCCAGTGCAATAAAGTTTGTGTAAAACAAATGCACTAAAGGTAAAAAAAAGATCCAGGCCGAGCGTGGGTCCTAGCCCTAGATGACGTGGCTCTCGAGCCCCCACTGAGAAGGCTCTTCAGCGAATGCCTCGAGCAGAGCCAGTTTCCGTAATTTTGGAAGACGGGGAACTGGTTCTCATCCGTACGGAGGGGCACCCGGCGGACTCGCCATCCGCCTACCGGCCATAGTGTTGCTTGACGAGGTGTGCAAGCTTTTTTAAAAGAGTGATTGTAAAGTGCCTCGTCAAGCACCTCTTCAGGGTGGGCCGGATCAACCAGTATGGTTTCCGTCAGGGGCGCTCCACCGTGGATGCGACCATGCACGTGAGGGCTTAGGCGGAGGAAGCAGTTTCCCGAAGTGGTGTTGGCGGTGTCCTTGGACTATCGGATATCATTTCCGAAGTCTGGTCCGCAAGTTGGTTGGAGCAGTTGCTGCCCAATATGAGGAGACCCGATGACTCCTGCAGGAGACTCTATTCGGGGGTTATGTGGTCCATGGGTCATAAGGGGGTACCGCACGATCTCCTTTAACCTCACATTCCGACCTGAAGGCGAGAGCCCTTGCAGCTCTGTATCAGTCACGCAATGAAGAGCAGGAGTTGGGTCGGAATCCTGAGAGTCGAGAAATCGAGGATCAGAAATCCCAGTGGAAGGAACGATTTGGGCAACCAAGAGGATTGGCTCGAGAGGTATCACGGGACCCTCACATACTGGCTGACGCTTGGTGATCACCGAGAAAGCATGCTTCGCTCCACACGCTGGCAGAATGCCATCGGAGTGGAAATTCTCTCGCTTAGTACCATGATTGCGGCCATGGTACGGAGCGAGAGCGCATGGAACACCGCCGTCTCCTTCTGTAAGCAAGCTATGCTTGGGAAGGAGACGGCGGAGCGGGACCGAGAGCGAAAGATTTAAAAACTCTTCCGGACCACCAGGCCCGGGAATGGGCCAGATGCCAGATGCAGACGACTCAGGCGCAGGCTTGGGGGTGACAAGTGAGGCCATCTGTTACCCTCTACATGCCGTTGAGGGCTTTCCACGGCATTTAGGGTATGGGTACGTCGGGTTTCCAGGGATTTCCTTCCTAGGGTACACCTGGTTCCCCGGCTATCACCGGCTACGTGTACCTGAGATGGCGTGCGGTTTTTAGTCGGTTAGAGTCCGACATAACCGCAGATGGGTGGTGGAAAAAAAGGGGTAAAACAAAAAAAAGATTAATTTAGTAAGGATCTACTTACTTTAACTTGTCTTTTCACATCTATTACAGAGTTTAGGCTATGCTTCGCGCTTGGGTCATGAATATCTAGGTGCCTGACTCCCATGTGAGCAAGATCTTGAATTTCTTGTGCCTGTGAATGCACAATAATTAAGAATAATAACAATACCTTTACACATCTTATAAAAGGCTGTTCGATACCAAACTAGGCAGAGTCTGTGCTCTGGTAACCGGACTGCTGATAAACATACACATAGATAACACACATAACCAAAACTTTAAAATATTTTTCATCTATTCAAAGTCCTAACTACTCTCCCTTCATTTTTAATCAATTGGCAGCTTGTGATGTTAGGAAGAGCATACTTTCAATCTCATCTAATGCGGTGAGAAGCGACTGCCTCAGTAAAAAAAAATGATTGTCCCCACCCTTGATGATATTCTTCCTGTCCTATATAACATTTTCAACCATTCCTTATCCTATGGCATCTTTCCATTTGCATGGAAAGCAGCTGAAATTATTCCTTTACCAAAAAAATCGAAACCTTCGTCCTTCTCCGACTATCGCCCTTTATCTATCTTACCATTCCTTTCTAATGTTCTTGAACGTCTTGTTTATAATCAACTCAACAAGTTTCTGTTAAGTAACAATCTCCTAAATCACTTTCAGTCTGGCTTCCGTGCAGGTCACAGTACAGTGTCAGCATTAGTCCACATCACAGATGATATTAGAGGAAATAAGGATAGTGGAAACGTAACGGTATTATCCTTACTCGACTTCAGTAACGCATTTAATGCCATCGATTTCCATATTCTCCTTGGTATTCTTCGCTCCCATAACATATCTCCAGGAGCAATTGATTGGTTTTTACAATAACCTGTTTGGGCGTCAGCACCGCATTCGACTTGAAGTCTCCCTCTCTTCATGGTGTAATGCAACTGTCGGTGTCCCACAAGGTGGCGTTCTATCTCCATTACTCTTCGCAATTCTTATTATTTCTATTTCCAATAATTTACTTTCATCCTACCACCTGTATGCTGATGATTTACAGATATAAACCCATGCACCTGTCAGTATGTTATCGACTGCGCTTAATATTATTAATGCAGATCTAGAGCACATAAGTGCTTGGAGTAACGACTGGACTCAAAATTAATCCCACAAAATCACAGGTATGCATCATTGGGAGTCCCAAAATATCTGCTAAAATTAATTGGTCACATTTGCCTCCGGTTCAATTTAACAATACCATCATACCGATCAGCAGCAAAGTAAAAAACTTGGGAGTTATAATCGATAGCACCTTATCAGGGTGACCTCGGACTCAGGAGGTGAGCCGCAAAGTCTTCGCTACAGCGGGATCTTTGCGAAGGTTACGAAACTTTCTTCCGACTGCTACTAAAACTGCACTTGCACAAACGCTCCTTCTTCCGATTCTTGACTATCCGACGTTAGCTATCTCGATCTCACCAAAGCACATCTTGATAAACTTGAGCGTCTCCAAAATTTTTGTATACGATTCATATTTGGACTTCGCAAATATGATCATGTTTCCCACTACCGTAAAAAGCTCAGGTGGCTTCCGATCCGCCTTCGCCGGAATACTCATATCCTTACGCTTCTGTATAATATACTGTTTAATCCATTAACTCCTATTTACCTCAAAGAACGCTTTAAGTTCCTTCATGACACACATATGAAATGTCTGAGGTCCTCTGAAAGCCTGAGATTGGAAATACCAAGGCATTCTACCAATTTCTACACAAAATCATTTTCCGTAGAAGCTGTACGTTTATGGAATGCCTTGCCGGTTACTATCAGACGTGCGCAATCCGTAACCACCAAGACTATGCTATATGAGCATTATCTGTCTCTAATAGTTGAAAATTAGCGTATGTATATATTAACGTATACATAGATTAGCAGTATTTATGTATAAAAAAATATTTCATAGGTTAAGACCTTATTTACTTCTCTAATTTATGTATACCTATCACAAGTTCAAAATGAATCCATCCAAAGGTTTCCTGGAAGAAATTGCACTAAGCGATAAGGCCGCCCTTTGTACATTACATCTGTTGTTAATTACTTTATAAAGTCTGTAAAACCCTGGTGTACAAATAAAGTATTTATCTATCTATCTATCTATAAATTCCATCCACACACAAACATATGATCATGCTCATCGCACAATTATTTTGCCTGGATGGGAGTCGAATCCACGACCCCAGAGCCACTACACCAACGGGCCAGTCATTACTTATAGTGGTTATGGTCCAATTTCGAAAACTAAAGGAACAGTAGTTTTTTTCAACGCTGTTATGTCGCAAAATAGATACGACCAATGTCTTTATGATTAAAATAGGTAATATGTCAAATTTCTATTTTTAGTACAATTCACGTCATAAGGCTTCCGCACAATAATTACTCAACTGATATTATTTCAATAATTTTATCCAGAATCCATTCCCGTGAGATAGAGCATACTTACTACGCAAAAGAAGTCGCTTAAGTCAAACATTTGTGTGCATACATTTAATGTTTGATTTAGTCTGAGTGTTTCTATGTATAATATGTATGTATTTACAAAAAAAAAAGTATAAATGTATTTTTCTCAGGTTTTTTTGTGGTGACGGATTAATGTATGAACCGAGGCGGCCGCAAAATTTCCATAGTATCTGTCATATTGATAAAAACCATCAGGGATGATGGTATTCGTTACGTTAGTAAAAAATAAGCGCCATGATTTCCTGGATTCCGTATGACCTCAGGAGTCTGGGAAGAAATTTTTTATTGCAAAATTTACATACTTACTTTGGTCCATATTTTATAGTGATCAAACCTAGAGAGGGAGAGTAGAGTTTAAAGTGTTAATCAAGAAAAAAAATGATTGCCTGGATAAAAAATGACCCAAGTTCAGGCAATCACGAGTTATATGTGTAATGTGTTGTATTATTTGTTATTGTTGCCAAGACTTGACTTGACTTGTAGATAATATAACATGCTAAGCAAATAGGGGATTGTTCGGAGAACATATGCATTATTAAATATCTGAAACTTAGTCTTAACATGTCCTAATTTTTACATTGTAGCTACGAGTACTATTGAAGTCCCGATATATTTTTTCTGTTGTTCCTAGAGAGTCGTTTACTTAAGTCCTCGTTCGTTTTCACATTTTAGTCGTTTGTTTAATTAAATACACATAACTAGAATTCATCTATCGAATTCAATTTAGTTTCTAGTTGTTGCATTATTAAGCTGATTGCAAATATTTTTGTGACAAATAAACAAACAGTATTATTATATGCCATCAATTCAACGTACTCCATTATGACAGATATCTACGGTCCTCTAATGGTCTTCTACTTCTCTGTCCTTCTTATAACTGTAATTCAGTTCATTATTAGTGCTTTATCTTTCTTTTTTTTACTTTTGTTAAAGTAAGACAACTGCCGTAGTAGTAATATATACTCTCGCACTAAGAACGGGCACAATGAACACCTTTTTTGTGACGACTTCACTATGGGGAAAGGGAAGAAAACTTGATACAAACTCTATACCAACCCGTCTCGCCAGTGTGGTATAGTAGGCCAAAACCTCCTTTCTGAGGAGAGGCCTATGTCCAGGAGTGGACTGTTACAGGCTGTTGATGTGATGATGATGTAAATATTAATATTCATATGTATTCTACAGTTCTATACCTATGTAAAATAATAATAATAGTTTATTGGACACAAACATTGTTGTGGATTCGATACCCGCATGGGACAACTCTTTGTGTGATTCACAAAATGTTGTTCTAAGTCTGGGTGTTGGGTGTAAAGCACCCGCGACACAGGTTATATTCCAAGTGCGGGAGGGAGTTGACCTTTAAAAAATTAAAGAAAAGAAAAAAATACAGAGAGGTAAGTGTAATAATACAGCGGGGTAGGCCACCTCAGGCAATGACATTTAAATATGCATAAAAAAATAAACAAGTATTTTTAAAACGTAAACAAAATATACAAGTCAAGGTCTCCGTGACCTCATTCAGACATACAGTTCACTGACTACGTAAGTTATCTATAATTTACTACTTTGTTATATTTATAATACTTTTTTCACAAATTCGTCGACTAATTAGTGAACCCGTCTGACGGCAATCTATATTGGGAAATTCGATTGAGAGGACCAAGTAGGTAAAACTTTAGTTTAATTTAGAAAAACTGATAAGAAGAGAATCGGCATTATTGTATTTCAAATGAATTGACAAAATTACATTTAATGTAGACATGTTTTTTTTTATAATTGTTACTTTGTTATCGTAACGTGATCAAATTTTCCCAATAAAATCACCAAATCTTAACAAGCAGGCGTAAAGATTTTGGCCTATCAATAGACACGACGAAGTAGTTAGATCACAAAACTCTCAGCTGAACTGTATGGGCTGGCAGACAATTTTGAATAGGTACTTTAGCCGTCATGAAAGTGAAAATCATCTCACATCATCAACAGCCTTTAATAGTCCACTGCTGGACATAGGCCTCTCTTTAGAGTCTCTCTTTAATTTTGGCCTACTATACCACGCTGGCTAGACGGGTTGGTATAGGGTTTGCGTCAAGTTTTCCTTTTTTTTGCAGTGCTGGTGTCCTGCGTTGTTTTGCGCCCTTAGTCGGCTCTTACGACACCCACGGGATGAATTGGGGTAGCGACATTCCGTATTCTTAATCCGTCACTACACGGACAGTTAAATCATCTCTAGTTAATGTTTATTTTTGATTTATTTTGATTATTTATACACAAGTATGAGATATACAATGGCGGACTTAATGCCACAGGCATTTTCTTCCAGTATACCTTTTAGGGTGGTGCTGAAATGTGTGACTAGGTGCACTAGACAATGATATGTAAAGTAAAAGAAAATTATTGATAAGTTAGACAGATACAATGCGATAAATATACATATATACATACATACAAATACATACACATACATAAATACCTACCTGGTTTATGTATATATGTAACATACATACATAAACCTACATATTAATAATATATAAAACTTTAAAGTAGTAATGAATCTGCTAGGGGGTCTAGACTCACTGGTGCAGTGGCGCGCGCGACTGGGTGCCGTTATGCCTAACCTTGAAGCTTGGGTAGGTAGGGAGGGAGGTCGCGTCACCTACCGACTGACGCAGGTACTCACTGGGCATGGTTGCTTCGGGGAGTACCTGAATCGGATTGGACGCGAGGAGACGACACAATGCCAGCACTGCGCAGCCGACTGGGACTCCGCCCAGCATACGCTGGAAGACTGCCCCGCGTGGGCGTCTGAACGCGAGGTCCTGGTCGACCAAATCGGACGAGACCTGTCCCCGCCAGCAATCATTACTGCCATGCTGGTGAGGAGGGCTGAGGCGCAGTGGTCTCTTTCTGTGAAGCTGTAATGCTCCAGAAAGAGACCGCTGAACGGGATCGGGAGAGGGCCGATCCCGAACGTAGAGGACGTCGGCGCCGATATCAGCCGTCGACGGGGCCGCGGGCCGCCAGAGAGTGGGGACCTCTGGTGGCAGATTGATTGCTGCGGTAGGGGATGGAATGGCAGGACTGATTGCATTAAGATGCGATCGGCCTAAGGCCGGTCGTCGGGGTGGTTTTTAGTGGAATCACCACATACTCCTGGCTCCTGAGTCCCCGAGGAGCAGGAGATCCGAAGGGATTTTCCACCCCGTCAACAAACGAAAAAAAAAAAGCTGCCAGCTCAAACTTTCATCTTGAACGATAGGCGGTTGGGTGCTATCCTAATTTCAAGTGGACATAAACGGAAGTATGAGTGGGGCATAGCAGAAGAAGATTGTTTAATGAACGGAGCGTTCTATCCTGGTTGGAACACAGAAATTGGAATGAAGATGTGAGGTAGGAGGGGGAAATGGGTGAGTTGAGAATGGAATAGAGAGTGGTGAGGGCGCGCAGCTGCAGCAGAAGGGTTAAATTTGCGACGAAAGGAGGAGACATGGTCATATTTGCGAAGGTTGAAGACGAATCAAATGCAATTATTCAGAAGGCGGTCATATTTATTGAGATCTGAATTCAGGTCATAATAGCATACATCACCACAATCCAAGATGGGGACAATAAGGGTCTGTACAAGCATCGCTTTCGTCACGGAGGGGAGGAAATTCTTAAGCCGATAAAGGGGCCCGTAGCGTACCTGTGACTCTCTGGCTGACGCTCGTGACCTGTGTTTGCCAGCTGAGCTTGGAGTCGAAAATTAGGCCCGGGTTCTGAACAACAGGACTAAAAGGAATTACTATGCCGTTAAAAGTAATGGGTGGCAGTTTACCTTGGTCTAACCTTCCAATCATACGTTGACTGCCTATGATGATGGCTTGACTCTTCACTGGGTTCACAGTCAAACCTAACCTAATAGCCCCATTATTTACCCTCAGGATAGCCTCATCTATATTGTCTATCGAGGCTTGATTATAGAGCTACAAATCATCGTCGTAAAGATGGTACGCACTTTGAAGGTTTGGAGTGATGAGATTGATAAATATTGAAAATAATAGAGGAGAGAGAATGCCATGTTGAGGGACGCCACTGAAGTTGGTGCCACTGAAGTTGGCGCCGCTGAAGATAAGACGAGAACCAGTCCAGTGTATCAGGCATAATCATGAGTTAGGACAGGATAGACAGAAGGATATTGTGACTGACGGAGTTGAATGCATTTGAGAAGTCAACCAAAGCCAACAAATGTCTAAATCTTTTAAAAACATACATTTAAAATGCTTGACGTTTCGACCTAAAGGCCAATTCTCGTAATAAAGTTCAGTCACAATTCCGTTCCGATCAACTATCGATCTCACAACTGTCATAAAAAGTATTTTCGTAGTTGGTCTACCACGAACTTTAGAGCAAAACAATCTCTTATTGCGAGATAACCAAGACGCTACGCTACGCTATATGAGTTGCAATAAATACCCCATATTCATGACAACTGGACACATGACAACTCTTACCCCTGTATCAACCTCATCTTCATTTTCAGACACCACCGGTCTCCTTTCTGCTTGAACTTCAACAACTTCGAGACTAGCATCAGCTTCCCTAGCAGCTTGTTGTTCTAACTCCATACAATTTATATCATTGTTAACAATTGCGATTCCTTTTTCATCTAAGTCTTCTATCAGGGCTTGACATTGCATCATTTTAGATACATCATTATGTTGAGCCCTAAAACTAACTTCGATTTGAAATGTAGTATCATCCTGTAACAAATAATGTTTGTTAGTAAATTGATAGAAAAATATTATTTCAGCAATTTTAAAGACAATGAGTTATATTAAGTATTTATTCAGTGTTAATTTAATCCATACAGGTGCAATGGCACGCTAAAACTTTAGTGTAAATAAGGTTTTTTTAAGGTGTACGAGGCAAATAGGCAGATAGTTCACCTGATTGTAAGTAATTACAGGCGCTCATGGACACCTGTAGGTCAAGAGTCCCTCCCCGTAGATTCACAGAGAGAGAGAGAGAGAGAAAAAGAGAGGCGGTATGAATTCCATAACCTCACTCACTCGGTCAAAAGCAACGATAGATTTGCTTAACACCGGTTAAGCAAATCTATCCTTGCTTTTGACCGTTGCTTTTGACCAACACTGTGAGGCGGTGGTACCACGCCGGCCTAACCGGCCTATTTATGCGTTATAATCGTAGGAGAGCAAATCTCAGAAATTCGTAGAGAGGAAGAAAAGTCTGTGGTATACGACTATTCATTTAGTTAATATGATGCCCAAAGTTATGCATCGGCGGGTTTAATGCCTAAGGCATTCTCTACCAACTACCAGGCAATAGTAAAGATGCGATATGCAGAAAAAGCATGATGTACCACACTGAATACCTAACTTATATTATCCAATACTTATCAAACAAATACACTGACTAAATGGAATATAAAGGATTAAGAAAACCTAAAATATTTTTTATAAATTATAAATATTTTTTGGATTTATCATAATAATTATTTTTAAATGTATCTGTTAAATAAGACAAAATGTACGTAGACTCGATCCCCCAGTTACACTAAATTCACATAGCACACACGCACAAACACAAACATTGCCTAGTTTTATATTTATATTCTTTAAAAACATTAAAATCCGTAAGACTTTTGATCTTGTCTTGGAATAAATAAGTTATAGTAACGTATTTATTCCAAGACAAGATTCTACAAAATGTAATGATATAGTCTCTATTGTACCTGCTGAGCTGAAAGTGAAGTGTGAAACTGTATGATAAATCTATCTTTGGGCTCTGTACAAGCCTCGAGCTTAGTGCTGTGGCCGCTGTAAAACTTATTGTATCACATACCTTTTTGACGTGACAACGTCTTATAATTCGATGGAGCCGGCTGCACGCACGAAAAAACATGACTCATGCGGCGTTACCTCGCTCTGAGGCGTTCCATTTAAGGCGTGAAGTGCAAGCGAGAGCGCGGAACGAGTGACAAAGAGGCACAATCGGCCTCCGCGTTCGGCAGCGTTCGACATCTGTCTCTCTCCTACTTGAGTGAGCGATGCGTCCGCGTGGACAGCTGCTACTCGTATACAATAATAAATTTTTGAAAAATGCAACCATTCCATCAGTATTTTCTTATGACGTTGTCACGTTCAACTATCGTCAGTAAACCGACTTTACAGACAACCGATTGTAATACATTTATTCTTAGTCTAGTTAAACCTTCAACTGGGTTTTGGGGGACAAATAATGTAACTACATATTTACAAAATAAAGTTGAAGTTAAAATAAAATAAAAATATCTGCAAATAACTTTTTTCATACACACACATTACTAATGCTATTGAGCTCCGTAACTATAAAGCATCGAGTAAAACTATTATTTAATAGTTTCAGATTCAGTTTCATCAGAAATAATAATCTATTCGAAACTATGACCAAAGGATTTAGGATTTGTTTAAAACGAGAGACGTAAAAGTCTGGAATAACGTTAAATATCGGCGGAGACCATAAAACACGTTCCGACAAATGTTTATTATTTTCATGTGGTTAAATGGTCCAGAAATGTTATCCTGGTTTATCAAAATTTTATGTTTTATGCATTTCTAAGTAAAATCACTACACACATAACCATAGGTATATATTTTTCTACTATAATTCTGTAATAAATGAACAATATCTAAAACCATGTAATATACCGAAATAAATAAATATCTTTGACCGTATCTGCAAACGTTATACTACTAAAAATAATAATAATAAATAACCACACTTCTCACACACCGTCTGGCCACCGACCCAAACTAGGCAGAGACTGTACTAAATCAGACCGCTGATAAACATACTTATCTAGTTCTAAATACCTACATTTACTATATGGGCTAAAAAGTCCCGGGCTTAACACATAGATGGCACTGGTCTTCGCATTCACCGCTTTTCAGTTAGTACTAACCTTTAAAAGAAAGCTGTTAAAATTTTCATGATATCCTTCTTTTTTATGGTATAAGGGGGCAAACGAGCAGACTGGCCACCTGATGGTAAGCAACTCCCGCCGCCCATGGACACCTGCAACTCAAAAGTCACAAGTGCGTTGCTGCCCTTGGAGTCCCTCCCGCTCGAGTCAGCGGAAGGGGGTAAGGGAATTGCTTAACACCAGTTTTCTGTGAGGCCGTGGTATCACTCCGGTCGAGCCGGCCCATTCGTGCCGAAGCATGGCTCTCCCACGGTATTCTACTCATAAGTTTGTGAGTATAGTATAGTGAGCTATATCGGGTTGGAACCGACTAAAACCACACGTCGCCGCACCGTTTCGGTTACCAGTAGTCAGGGCACCAAATATAACCTAAGAAGAAAATCCAGGCTATCTACGACTTACAGGTGACCCCCTCGTGTGTAGGGGTCTCTAAAAAAATGGTGTTAACAAACCGACACAACTCCCCTTCCTCTCAGGGCGAAAGGACACTCAACTACAATAAATTTAGTTGATGGTTTCTATAACATTATAACATTCGATAAACATGTAATTGAAACAACAAATTTACGTAAATGTTGACGGCGCTAAAACACAAACTCGCTCGACTCTGACCAAGTACAAAGCGCTGTTCGTCCACGTTTTTGTAGCTTTTTATTCTCAATTTTTTTCAACTAGTCAGGTAAAGCATCTCGGGTCAGGTGCACTCGATAAATGACTATTTCTTTTCTTCTAATTTATGGGTATAAATTTTGTTTGGTTTCCGAGGCTTTAATAATGACCATAGTTCGTTAAAGTTTCTTAATAATTCGTTCATATATTGCGATGCGATTGCGATCCGCGAGACCAAGTTTCTTTGTCTTGTGGCCTTGAAAGGAAACTTGACGTTGCTGACTACCTACACCTAAATTATAGACAAGTACTTAGCTTACGCCTGCAGATTCGCTCGCGTCAATGTGGATTTTATCAATAAATTTTAAATCTTAGGTTTCCTTTAGGAATATACTTTTTCAGAACGCCAATTTCACTAAGTCCTGTTCTGGACTCCTTTTTTTTTCTGTGCGATAATCCCCTCGGATACTACCAACCGGACAACTCGTGGGGTAGTTATGTCGGACTCGAACCGACTTAAAACCGCACGCCGTCTCGGACAGCATCTTCTTTTGACTAAACTGTAGAAGGCAGTATGTCAGAAGGGCTAGTGGAGTCTGTTAGCCACTTCGTACTCTAAAATTCATCCATAGAATCAATATACCTTTTCTTCCATTGAACTCCTTTTTCAATTTCCTTTCCTGTCAATATACTCGCAATATGTTAAATTCCTAAAGTGTCCGGTTGATGGCGGCCTACCCACGTAATATGGAGATGTTACGTGAACGGGGAAAAATGACCTAGATGGGATATAGATGAGAGGGTAAAGGTGTAACGTGTGTAGAGTGTGCCTAGAAAAGACGGCATTCTCTGATCTGCGTGTTTGTTTTAATGTATGGTAAAATTCTTTACTGTTTTCTATTTTAGATTTTAAGACCGTAATAGAAATCACCTTTAAGTTTTTATTAATACTTAGCTCCTTATCCTACTACTATATAATATTTAGTCCTTGAACTCGATGTTTGAGTTAAAGATTTTATTTACAATAGCTTTCTACTAAATGTGAAAATCGGTATTATGCAATTCTTTTGTAGCTTTTCACCCACAGAATGAGTTTACCAGTGCCCAAAACTTCCCTCCCTCCCTAACTTTCACGTGTGTCTCTTGAGTTGCAGGCGTCCTTGGGCGGCGATAGTCGCTTAACATCAACCCTACCAATCAGAGAGATATGCATTGAATTCTGTAAATGTCAGTTTTTTCACTTTATAATTTATTCGAAAATACGTAAAGGAAATAGGGATTTTTTTGGAACGAAGTTCCTTATCGCGCGTTACACGCTCTGAGCGGACGGAAGTATGACCGAAAAATGTGTAACAAGACTTTTTTCCGACACTTCTTTCTTGCTTTAGTTCTGTAACTATACACGACTGTCCGTGTATGAACTATATACATCGCCGCACATAGCACTCCTGCGCGCCGAATGATCCTCAGTTCAGTCATCAGTCCTTCCAGATCATTCAGTAAATTCAATAAATAATGATAAATTAAACATTTATCATTATTTATTTCATATATTAATATATTTTATAATAAATATACACTGGACAGCAAATAAACCGAGCCACCCGCTACCTAGGCACTCTAATTCGATTTTCTCAAAAACTAAAAAACCTACAATTAACAAAGTTGTACCTACAGAAAGTGCGTTTCATGGTGATTGAAATGAAAGGAAACTCATTGGGTTTAATCAATATTTCAGTGTTTATTAAGGATTTTACAAAGAAGAGTCGTTTTCCAGTCGTGACAATCGTTAGAAATGATAAAGTGAAAAAAAAATTAAAGCCAAAAACAAAGATAAAATCAAAAAAAAGTTTTTGATCAATATTCCGTATTCCCTCTCCTTGCTCGGATAACTGCCAGCATCCTTGTATTCATCGACCTTACGAGCCTGACGATAAAATCTTGAGGAATTGTATTCCACTCCTCTTCAATTGCGATTCGCAGCTCTGGAAGCCTTGTTGGAGCAGGTACCCGGGCTCGAACCCGACGTTTCAGCTCGTCCCATAAGTGTTCTATCGGATTCAAGTCCGGGCTTCGAGCTGGCCAGTCCATCGTACGAATGCTGACGTCGCGTAGATACTGGGTCACCACATGAGCAACATGAGGCCGTGCATTATCATGCATCAATTGCATATCCTGTCCGATATATCCTGCGTAAGGTACCACATGGTCTGCGAGGATTTCAGTAATGTAGCGATGAGAAGTCAGTCCACGTGTACGGCCCGTCGGTTCGATGAAAACTAACGCTGTATGTGCTGTTAACGAGATGCCGCCCCAGACCATTACAGATCCTCCTCCATAAGCAACAGTTTCCTCGATGCAACACTGAGAATAACGTTCTCAAGGGCGACGATATACTCTCTGACGTCGATCACTTCCATGTAGACTCACCCTGGTCTCATCAGTGAAGAGTACATTACTCCACTGCTCTAATGTCCAATCCCTATGCTCTCGAGCAAATTCAAGTCGTGCTCGACGGTGTGCTACCGTTAATGCTGGGCCTGTTGCAGCTCTTTTTGGGGTCAGGTTCCGTTCAGCAAGTCTCCTTCTGACGGTATCTGAACTTATGACCACTTGGCGTTCGTCACGCAGACTTTGTTGGACTTGAACTGCGTTGAGGTGGCGATTTCGCAGAACAGTAAGGTGGATATAACGATCATCTGCTGCTGATGTAGCCCTAGGTCTGCCCGTACCTGGACGGCGATCGAATGCTCCAGTCTCTAGGTATCGTCTGTAAACTCGTTGCACCGAAGATCTGCTGATTCGAAGCCTTCGAGCGACTTCACGTTGCGCAATGCCTGCTTGAAGTAATGCTACAGCTTGAGCTGCTTCCTGAGGTGTTGTATCAATTATTAATAGAAAAAAGTAGCAAAAACACACGCGTCTGAGCAAACGATGGACAAAAACTAAAGAAATGATAAGAAATATCCGACTACCCTCATTGTAGAGAAAAAGAACGCTAATTTCAAACTCTGGTGAAAACAGAGCAAATCGTTAGCATTGTGTTTGTTGCTTGATTACAATGTGAGTTGACGGTACTTTCGAATTAATTTTTAGTCATTTTAATCACCATGAAACGCACTTTTTGTAGGTATAACTTTGATGGTTGTAAGTTTTATACTTTTTGAGAAAATCGAATCAGAGTTCCTAGGTAACGGGTGGCTCGGTTTATTTGCTGACCAGTGTATTTTATCATAAACTTTTCAATTTAACTAAATTAACTTGATATTTCCTACCATGTCTTTTTCATATACTTAACATGTATGATTAAAAATATAAAAAACTTTTCTAGTTTGTTATAAAATTGAAATAAAAAATTTAATTTTTACATATTTGTGCAATATGTTTTTTTTACTAAACCCTCTCAATAAAATCAATCGGAAACCAATCATATTTTTTAATAAATGCATATTATATTTAATAGTTTTTGATAATATTTTCAACATTTACATCAATAATAATTTTAAATAAAAATCTACAATATGTAAAATATTGCATTTTTATTAAAAATTACATTTAAAAACATATACACTTTAAAACATATGATAATAATTTTGCATTAAGGATTAAAGAAATACTTTTTAAAAGTACAACCTCAATTATTTTATTTTTAACATAAAAGTGTAGTGTAAGTTATTATAAATGCTCAGTATTTAGAATAGTTGAAATCTATAATTAGGTATTGTTGTATTTACTCAATTTTGATCTTAGGTATATACTATTACTAATAATGATAGTTAAAAATATTTTAATAATATTGTTTATTTTCTTTTCGTTTCCAATTATGTCAACATTTTTGTTAAAAACATGACCATAACAAATAAAATCCGCACAAATTTTTACACAAACTACAATAGAAATATTTAATAGGAAATACCTTTCGTGGTAAAAAAAAACAGTAAACTATATCCAGATAAAAAATTGTTCAAAAATGAATTATTTCGAAAAATTATATACACCTCATTATTTCATGAAAATTATAAAGGTTTAACCCATCGATAACCCTTAGTTAATCACAGGATAAATTATCGTGTTTGAGTATGAATGAAGTAAAAACATAAACAATGTTTAACTTACTATTTCACTAATACTTTGTAGAAATCCATCACTGGCTTTATGATTTACATTAGGTCGAAAGTTGTAATAATTAATGAAGTCGGACAATAACTTGGATTTTTTTACTTCGGTTATTTCGCACAAACAAAAAGAAAATAAACACGAAAGAAATAAAATAAATGAATTATTATTATAATTCATTCTGGAATCGTCTATGCACAACCATAGTCGGATACGATGTAAGCGAAGCGATATGTGTGAATTGAATATGTGAGTTAGAGCCGACACGGGCTATAATTTACTTGTTTACAATCCGATACACATGAATCAGTTTAAACGACAAACTTTTAGTTGTTGTTGACATCATTCATATTTTGCTAGTGATGGACAGATTCGTTTCAATTTTAACTTACATCTCTCACTTAACTTTAAATAGATAAGTTCATCGAAGTTGATAACGCTATATTCAATATAAAAATATGAAAATTTTACATGTTTAAGTACAGAATGTCTGTGGCCACTAGGCTGTGACATCATTTGTCCTCTCCGTTACCGTCGCGCCAAGGCTATTGTTTTAAAGTAATAATTTATCTGAAATTAGTTATGAACACACCCATGTTTCTTTTTATTTTTCTTTTATCGTGTGGTAGCTCCCACGGGTCATCACATCACCGAAGCTCACGGTGAAGTGGTATATCGGAATCGAATCAGTTAAAACCATACGGTATTCCGTCCCATGTATGTTTAGACTCGTATCACTTCCTGACTGACGTATGCCTCGATATCAGACGCACTCTCACTTTGGAGTTCTGTTCTCTTCTCACTGTTCCTGCCAATAGCCGCAGCGAGGTCACAGCTTTATTAAGTTCACGATGAGCCCTCTACTATAGTGTGGACCGCGATATCCTCGCTATAGCTTCCATAGTGATGACACATAGATGTGTGCTCCCGGCCTTTACGACACACTTTAGAGCTGCCGTGCTGCCTCTTGAGCCAATTCTACAAAATGGGTCTTACCACCGAAATTGTATCGTGACATGCGCTCAATCGCTTAAGTCACTCTTCCCTCTTCGCCATAAAGACCTGACGGAACTGAGACCGTTGTATTTCAATTTCTTGAGTTGTGAGTCCTCAGAACCTGCTCCTTGCGTCATTGATACAGCGATGCAAGGTCTCATGCAGGTTTGCTACTTCGAAATGTCTTTGAAAGCCTGTGGTATCCCCTGATGACTTTGACGGCCATCGTATGACGCCAAAATATGGTGGCATTGCATATTTTTATCACTGATGATGATGTTTTTTTAAATACAAATTTGAATCAAACGTTAAAAGTGACCACTACCCAAAAGTACGTTAATACTCAATAAGTAACAGTTGCACAATTGTTGCTCATAGTTCGTGAAATATGCTACAGTAAACTTTAAGCCATTTAAACAGTTTGAGTTATGCTTTTTTTTAAACCCTGCGGGGGGCTAGTAATATATCCTGTATCGCGGGGGACTTCACAAACAAATATGAAACGGACACAAAGAACACAAAGACTCAGAACGACAATTTGTGGATCACACAAAGTGTGGTCCCATGTGGGAATCGAACCCACAACACTCAGCGTAGTAGGAAGCGTCAGGGCGACGGCTTAAACCACTACGCTATCCATGCAGTTTGCAACAAGAGTATTGATAAGATTTGACCATTATCTTTCCTTAATTAACTTTTAATCTTGGGGACGGACATCACTAAAAGCAGTTAAAGAAGGACAATCACGTTCCGTTTTAGAACATTCCCAAGAAACATTGAAATGTTAAAATATTTGTCATTTACTATCATTCTAAAACAGTGACGATATGGAAAAACCAGTTTTATGAACATTTTTTCTTTGTTACAAATTTTTATTTTGTTGAGTAAGGCTATTACGAGAAATTACAAAAACGTGCTGATTTTTATAAGGGCTTAAAATGTAAGATAGTACCAATGTGACCACATGATTTTTTTTACATTATTTTAGGGTAAAATACATTGTAAAATATAGAGATGGAAAATATTAAAATGTTTCGAAGCATAAAGTAAATGTACAATGCTAGATAACAGTATGCTACTCATATTATTATTCTAATAATACCGTTATCTTCATAAATTTATTAATTTTAAAATGAATATACCCAAACATTACTTTCTACTAAGTGACTTATTACTTAGGGTTTCCTTCCTAAAGAAGTTAAATGTCCCTGATGATTACATTCATACTAGTAATGACCTTTTTCTAATTTTTACGACATATTCCTAATTTCCTTGCAATAGAAATGTAATTTCCCTGGAGTCTTCCTAATTTTCTTGTCTGACTAAAAATTTCGAAGCCTTAACTTTTTTCTGGCACCACTTAGGAGGACCTAAACTTCATCATTAAAAAATTATGTTTTTGATCTTCTAAGTAATGACCAATCAAGGTGGCATTTATTCAGAAAAAAATCATTCCATGGAAATTAGGCAACAATTTAGATTTTTGGCGAATTACCCAAGAAGGAAGTCAAATGTCCTGGAGTAGTATAAAATTAGATGAAGAAAGCAGTTGGGCTTTTAAGAGGATTAGTTCTGACTTCCACTTTTTATGGAAATTTTAATTAGTAGTAAGACTTTTTGACTTGATAGGAGTACTATTTTTTTCTGACCGGTTCTTACCGTAAATAATTTTAAAATAATCCATTAAAATAATCTTCACTTTTTACTACATGTTGAGAAGAGAATTAGAAGTTCAAGAGATGGCAACACCGTTGACAATTTGTTGTGTTGTGACGTTTATTTTATCGTCAAGTTTACTAAGTTTCGTATACCGTTATATTTTGTTGTTTCCATCTTAATTATGAATTAAAATAAATGTTACAGTGAGATTAACATAAATAACTTTAAGCTAAAAATGTGCGAAAAGAAGATAGGCTATATTTCCTCGAAACCGAGTAACAAAATGTACTTTCTAATTTCAAAAATCGAGCTCTATACTTGAAAAGTTTTATAAACTTAGAATTTTAAATTTAATCATTTTTTATAGATGGTGGATAACATTCGCTATACTATGTGGTGCTACGTTTGTCACTCGATATTATAAAGTACTAGATCCAGACCATGTTTGGTAAGTTTTATTTTAAAACCATACCTTACTACTATATAGTTACTTATTTTTTCTGCAATTAATAGGCTGTTTAAGAAACTGTTACCTTAGAGTATAGAGGCAGCGGGAGAGGGATTTGGGCTCCGATAACCTCACTCACTCAGTGAAAAGCAACAAAAGAATTTGTTATTTGTTAATTTTGTTATTTTTTTAAACCAAGACCAGTTTCATATACACAATGTCATTCTCACAATTAAGATGATCTAATAACATCTCCCAATCCAAAATCCATTCACGGGCAACAGTACACAGCATCCCAAAGAAATATACATACATACACACTACACAAACATAATCCTCCTTCTAGTGCAGTTGGGTTAAAATAAGCAAGGTGCTCACTGTTTGCTTTGAATGTTGTGAATTACTAGACAATGTTGTGTTTGATTAAAATTTCATAAATCTCAACAGCGGCATCATAAAAATGAAGATCACTCACCAGTGATCTTCATTTTCATAATGAAGCAGAAGATGCTTTTCACTATTTGAGTGAAGTTACCCAAACTCCCCCATCACCTAATTCTGGGGTGAGGGAAGAGGTGACAACTCTCTTGAAACTCTTGAGATGCAGGTGTTCATGGGTAACAGTAATCACTTACCATCAGGTCTGCATGTTTGCCCCTATGCCATTAAAAATATTCGAAATGAAGTGCTCATGTGAAAAATAATTGTTGATAAAACGTTTCTTTCAGCTGGGATGAAACACATTTTGGTAAAATGGGCAGTTGGTATATCAATAGAACATTTTTCTTTGATGTTCATCCTCCACTTGGCAAGGTAATTAATAGACTTATTTCTTCCATTCCATGAATTCACCATGCGAGTCCATTGCATGATAGATAATATAATATATATAATAATATTTATTAATGCCAAAATACATACAAATTTTCTATTACAACAGCATTTTTTTATGTTTGTTATTACACAAATAATGTTAGTATGATTTACATGTTTCACTTCATCATCACTTATCACTCTCGTTGATATTATGATATTCTCCTTTAAATGCATAAATATATTAAGTTGCCCCCTTAGGCAATAACAGCATAATGTATGTTTAGTTATAAACTTCAGGCCATAACTTAAGTTTTCACACACATATATTGAGTTAATGTTCAATAACTTAGGCAATTCAATGTTCTGTCAGACAACCTCTTTTGGTTTTATTTGGGGTTAGCAAAGTATGTAATATTGCAACGGGGTTGTCTCTTAACGCCCAACACCTTTTTTTTTTTTCCGTGCGGAAATCCCCTCGGATACCACCTGTCGGTGGCATGTCGGACTCGAACCGACTAAAACCGCACGCCGTCTCGGGTACTAATAGCCGGGGAACCAGGTATACCCTAGAAAGGAAGTCCCTGGTGCCCCGACATACCTCGGGTCATCTACAGACGAGTAGACGACCCCCCCCCCGTGTGGGAACCCCATGTTCCCTGTGCTCCCTGGAAGCGAGCGCGCTTCGCAACGCGCTCGCCGCCACCCCGACCTGCTTCTGCTAGGGTGACAGATGGCCTCACCTGTCACCCCCAGGCCTGCGCTTATGGAGGACGGAGGTCGTTCTGCGACCGCCGGCGCCTGAGTCGCCTGCGGTACCTGGCCTGTTCCCGGGCCTGGCGGGCCGGGAGAGTCCTAAACCTCTGCCGGTCCCGCTCCGCCGTCTCCTTCGCGAGCATAACTTGCTCGCAGAAGGAGACGGCAGAGTTCTACGCACTCTCGCTCCGCACGATAGCCGCAATCAGGCTATCGAGCGAGAGAACTCCCACTCCGATGGCCGCCACGAGGTCTCGCCTCTGTTCAACCCACGCCGGGCACTCTGCCAGCGTGTGGAGAGCCGTGTCCACGGTCTGGCCACCGCAGTGGTGGCACTCAGGCGTTGGCTCCTCGCGGATCAGACACAGGTGATCCCATTCCCATTCCCAGTCGGTATATGAGGGTCCCGTGACGCCTCTCGAGCCAATCCTCCATATCGGGTCTTACCGCCGCGATGACGGCGTGCCCGGCGCTCGGTTGCCCGAGTCGTTCCCTCCACTCCCTTATGATCACCTGGCGGAGTTGGGATTTCCGGTCATCGATTTCTCGAGTCTCGGGACACCGACCCAACTCCCGCGCCTCCTTGCGCCACTTATACAGAGCCGCAAGAGACTCGCCGCCTCAAAGGAGATCGTGCGGTACCCCCTTATGATCCTGATGGCCAGCACTCGCTGCGGTCGTCGCAGTATCGCGACGTTGCTGGCCTTCAGGGCCCCCGCCCAAACGCCCAACACCTACCATCTGCCAACCCTCCTTGGAAATTTAATCTTTTTCAGAAAAAACAAAGTAGATAAATAAATTTTATTTGGGTAAGAATAACAGATAGGGCCAAAGAGCTAGTATAAAGGACACCCACAGTCCGGGATATGGCAAACGGGATTCAGGCCAGTAAGTAGCTAGAAGAGAGAAAATTGATGTACAGATACACCCTTCCTGTACCACCATACGTGTACATCCCTTCTATGACTAGTGAGGCTATTAATACAAGAACATAAACTGACTACATAATTTACATACAAATATTCGTTAACATAATTTTGCCTAATTTACAACTATTATTTTAGATGCTCATAGGGCTATCAGGGAAACTGACAGGCTATGATGGCAAATTCCCTTTTGAGAAGCCTGGAGATAAATATGAAGGAGCTCGATACGAAGGCATGCGACTTGTAAGTACCAACCACTACCAACTACTTTACTTTTTTACTAATTTCCATTTCTTTATATTTTCTCACTTCTTAAACCTTTCTTGGACTTCTACAAATATTTCAATAATTCATCCCGTGGGTGTCGTAAGAGCCGACTAATGGAGCAAACTATGCAGAAGAACAGCATTGCAAAAAGCAGGCAAACTTGAAACAAACCCTATACCAACCTGTTTAACCAGCGTGGTATAATAGGGCAAAACCTCTTTTCTAAGGAGAGGCCTATGTCCAGCAGTGGATTATTATAGGCTGTTGATATTATGTGATGTGAAAATTAGGCAAATCGGTTCAGCCGTTCTCAAGTAATAGCATCGCACATCAACAGCCTTTAATAGTCCACTGCTGGACATAAGCCTCTCCTTAGAAACGAGGTTTAGCAAGTTATAGCATGACCAGAAAAAAATAGGGGTTCATGTTATATATAGAGATTAGAGAAGAATTTCGATTTCTACTCCCCTTTCTCTATTAAGTATAATTTGTATCGTACTGTGAAATACCCGCTGAATATCTAGAAACTAGTTCAGAATTATAAATATTAAGAATTAGTTGTGATTCTGATGGATTTTTGGAACAGTTTGTATAACAGGCACGGCAGGTTTGTTGGTAAACAGTTACGATTTTCAAAAACACTTATTAAAAGTCGATTCACTACTGCATTGTACTACTAAAACTTATGTACGAATTTATCTGACTATTCAAGAAAAAGAATACAACTTTGCTGGCACTTGATTATCTTCTGTGATAGCGTGCTAAATGTTATTATTTTCAGAGGTATGTAGAAGACGTCCTGCTTATCCAACTAAGATACAGTATAGTCTTCATAAAATATATGATTGAGAATTCTCTTATCAACCAGTACAATTTGTTCTAGTTCTGTACCACATTGGGAGCACTTATCGTACCATTAACATTTCTTACGGTATGGGAGATGACTAAGTCATTGGAATCAACAGTCATTGGAACTATGCTTCTCCTTTGTGGTAAGATTTTTCTATAACTATCGACATCGGAACCTATATAAGGTCAGGCCCACTGCGCACTGTAGGTATGAAACTACAAGTACGCAGTGGCATGAATGGGTCATACGAACTCAGTAGGCTAGACAGCTGCGGGAAGGCTTTTACCACGCCTGCAAACACTTTTTTCGATACGATACTCTATCGGCGCATTACGTCCTCTCATTAATATTACTTAACTATGGAAGAAGACAATACATATGGTATTGTATTGGGTGTTTAATTAATAATAAAATCCATAATAAAACCAAACCATAGGGCAGCGAAAGGCAAGAAATGCGACCCTAATGTTTTCAGTAAACAAAAAATTTACGCGATAGAAACAGAGGGTTCTTTTAGGTGAAGATAACAGCATCTAATCAATGTTGTGCGGTTTAAATTTTAATTTAGTTTTTGGGAGCAAGTCGCTATTCAATAAATGATTATTTATGTAAAGATTTGTCATCGTTTCCTTTGCATTACACAAATGATGTAAACACGGATTAAGTGTTTCGAAATACTTGGACGTGGAAAACCCCTGTTTACGTTATTGTAGTGAAGTATTAAATGCTATTTGTTTTGTTCCTCATTTAAATGATCGTGTGAAATGAGGAACAAAACTGGTCAGAAAAATGCATAAAAGCCATCTCTGAAGCGGGTATATTATGTCAAAATTTGAGCTCAATCGGTGCAGAACTTCATGAGGTTTTGAAGCGTACACAAACCAACTGAACATTTTTATATATATAAAAGAAATTATTTTTTATTTAATATAACTCTAGCCATTCCCCGCAGTATCACCGGCGGTTATGATCACTGCTGCACTCCTAACCGTGGCAACCTCATGTTTTATAGCTTATTTTCCTCAATAAATATTCTGAAATTTTAGTACTATCGAAAGACTTAATTATATTATAATTTTAGCAATGCTTTCTAATTTATGTAAAAAGTTAAGTGTATTGTATCTCTATGGATGTTCTGGTTCTACACCACAGTGTAGACAAGGGACAAAATTACAGTAAACTATGGATTTTTCATTCGATTTTTGCGTACGTATGTTAGGGTTGCTAGGTAGCTAGGTTAGATCCTATTTAACAGTAAATCTAGAATTTTTGTAATTATTATGTAGGGAATGGTAGCTTTAAATAATAAAATAATTACAAGATTTATAGTTGAATAGGCGAAATAGAGTCTTTATTCACGTCTGAAATCAGCTTATTGGCAACAACGCGTGAGTAGTAACCCTAACCTACGAGTACGTACGAAAAAATCGAATGAAAAATCACTGGTCTTTCACAGTTCACTGTGATTTTGTCCCATGCCTACTGCAGTGTCTGCCTTATTTCTCGAACAATTCTTTTAGTTAGCAAATGATTCGAGAAATTATATACCACCAGGACCAGTTTAGTTCCTTGTGGCACTATGAATAAAGTAATTAAATCTTGTTCCAGATGTCGGATTCTTAACATTAAACAGATACATTCTTCTAGATCCAATACTGCTGTTTTTCATGAGCTGTTCTATATATGGAGCTTTTAAGGTACGTCTATAATTAGTTTTATTTTTTATAGTTTAAAGAAGGCAAACGAACAGACGCACTCACTAATGACAGCACCTGCTGGTAATTGAGAGACACCTTTTTTTTCCGTGCGGAAATCCCCTCGGATACCACCTATCGGTAGCATGTCGGACTCGAACCGACTAAAACCGCACGCCGTCTCGGGTACTAATAGCCGGGGAACCACAAAGGTATACCTAGAAAGGAAGACCTTTCTGGTTCCCCTATATACCCTAGAAAGGAAGTTTGATATTTGAAGTCATAATGTTTGTGGGAGTCAGGAGCCCAAGGGATTTTAGGGCTCCTTTAACCTCACTCACTCGGTGAAAAGCAGCGAAAAAAATTGCTCAACACCGGTTTTCTGTGAGACTGTGTTATTACTCCGGTCGAGACGGCCCATTTGTGACGAAGCATGCCTCTCCCACGACAGAGTTTAAACTAGTAATCTAGTAGTATTAAAAACGGCGTGAGGGGTCTATGGACCCTCGGTCGGAACTTCCTTTCGCTCTTTGGTAGACGTTTGCTATATATATGAAATATGAAAAAGATGTTTGCGTCGACGCGCACACTGAAGTGTCGGCAAAAAGTCTTGATACACTTTTTCGGTCTCGCTCCCATCCGCTCAGAGCGTGTAACCGATAAGAAACTTCGTTTTAAAAATTGGATTGTGGCTTAACGTTCTCATAAACGGAAGATTGCATTATAGTGTTATATACATATAAGCTATACGTAATAAAAATGTTCTTGAAAGGTGAAACAAAGGGATTAGTTCAATTACGTAAAAGTTGTATACTTAATTGTCTGCTTTTCTTACTCCTTTGTTACAAGAAACAAAATAAAATTTAATCGGAATTTAATCGTATAATAATAATTTTAATGCAATAAGTCAAAAAAGACGTTCAATAGCAAACAGACCGAAAAAGTTGATTGTAAAAAAGCGAACGTATTCTAAACTTTTTAAACATTTTATTTATATTTGTCACGTATTTTTTTTAGGTTTTCAAGCTATTTATTTTTAAATAGTCTTGAACTGTTATTGGACCTGGATATGTGCGCTTCTAGTCAAGTTAATCGGATATCTTGAAGTTGGTGAAAGCTATGTCAAATGATTATGTTACATACATACACGACGGGCCTGTTGGTCGAGTGGTTAGTGCCCCTGACTGCTAAGCCGGAGGTCGTGGGTTCGATTCCCACCCAGGACAAATATTGTGTGATGAGCATGATCATTTGTTCTGTGTCTGGGTGTCATTTATCTATAATATGTATGTATTTAAAAATATATAAGTATGTTTATCAGCAGTCTGGTCACCATAGCACAGGCTCTGCCTAGTTTGGGATCAGACAGCCGTGTGTGAAATGTGTGAGGTATATTATATTATTATATTATACAAGTCAACCTAATACAGAGCCTAATAAATTAATACTTACTGAAGTAATTTCTATTAGTTAATCATCATTAACAGCCTTTAATATTCTACTGCTGGACATAGGTCTCTCCTTAGAAAGGGGGTTTTGGCCTCCTTGCTTTGTTTCAAGTTTTCCTTCTCTTTGCAGTGCTGTTGTCCCGCCTATGTAGACAAAAAGTTGTTTAGTTAGTAGTTAGTTAACTAATTATTTAAATGCAGTATTTAAATATTGAGTGCCCGTAACTATATTGTCTTATTACAATTTTTTCCTATAAAATATTGTTCATTTAATGTTATTATAATAGCCTTTATGTTAATTTGTTATTGACAAAATTTTATTAGGGACGGTAAAATCGTACAACGTTTAATCAATATGCTATCGTTATATTATTATTTTATACATCAATCTATAAAAATTTTCGTTATTGTAAAATAGCCACTTAAAATGAGATTTTTGGACGAAATAATAACGTGTTGTTAAACAATGGTTACCTGTAAGAGATTGCCTCTAAACGATAAGGCTGCTACTCGTGCGTATCTAACCTAGTTCAAGTTAATTATTTAATATACCTGGTGTACAATAAAGCGATATATTATAACATGGAAATTATTGCTACTTTTAAATCATATTCATTTGATGAAATTATTAGTTTTAGTGACCGTGATTTCACGTGTGAATGTGATTTCGTCATAGACAAAGATAAATTCCTTTAAAATCAATCAAAAAACTCTTTTTATCAATTATTACATCTTTTTCTTTAGATTTCGGCCTCTCGCGAGTCTTGCAAATTTATAATAATTATGTCGCAGTGGTTTTGTAAGTCAGTCACCGGTGTGATTAGTGGATTTATAAATCATATGATTTATTACATGTGATTTTATTTCATACCTACTACATCATTACATACATACATACATACTACATTCTTAGAAGTAAGGCGTCAATTCTGATTATGGTAAAGAAATAGGCACGTGATTTTTACGTCATCTTAGCTACATTTACGTATTGACGCATACATGGCTTTGTAAGAACTAATGGTTAATGGAAAAAACACGCATCGGCACGTGTGAGCCGCTTCGATCGGCGTGATACCACGGCCTCACAGAAAACCGGAGTGTTGTTCACTAAGGTAGTGAGGATACTGGAGATCCGACCTCCCTTCGGTCTTTTGTAGTATGGAGGGTCGATCAAAGGACGATTGTGTCTCTTGTTTTGTAGGTGTTCATCTGCGGCGGTAGTCAGTTACCATCAGGTCAGGACTGCACGTTTGGCCGGATTAAAAAGACAATAATTATAAGTTACTTAAAATTCATAGTTTGCGCATCTGTCCCTCTCTCTCTCCCCCTCTCACTCTCTTTCTTTCTCTCTCTCTATCTATTTTTTTCTTTCTTTCTCTCTCCCCTTGAATCAAGAGACCCTTTAAATTAAAGTTATCATCATCATCCATCATCACAATCAGTATCGTAATGCTTTTAGTTAGTTTATTTTGTCTAATCATTTTTCTAAGACATTTTTATACATAATCAACAATACACTTTAATACGTCCAAGCTGTCAGATGCGATGTAGTTCAGCGTTTCGTGGACGCTCAAGAATTATTCATATTATTAACCTAGGTGTTACAAAGTTACAATCATAGGTATTACTCCTGACCTTTACTGAGGGCCTAGTGTGAGTTTATGGACCGAATGCAAATGCGATTGACCCGTAGTGAACTCTTCGCCAGTAGCAACGCCGCACGCGGCCACCGTAGATGTAAAGTAAACTCACACTAGACGGTCTTAAGAAGGTCAACTTCTTTGGTTGCATACAAATACAATAATACTGCGCAACGCAATTCTATTTGAACATTACTAGCAGTTTATATTAACTACAGTGATCTTTATGAGGTGCTAACATTAGATGTATTATGTCATCATCGACGTTAACTTGCTAATGAAATCAAAAAAGGACTTAGTAAGTTTATTTCCTTAAAAAATCTTTAGACAAGTTTAAAAATATATAAAGATTATTTTTAACCGATTTCAAAAAGAGGAATTTATCAATTCGACTGGTTATAATTTTTTTATATATGTTCGAGCAAAACTCCGGATTTTCTAAATTATTTTTTTGTTCGAAAGAGGTTTATTCCAAAATGGTCCCATTTACATTTCATATAGATCTGATGATGAGTTTCTGAGACAGACAACGGAACTCTTCAAAAAATAACAACTGCAAGGTTTTTAGTGCTCTTTGTTAGTATTGTTTAAAGTCGGTTCAAGTTTTTTTTTTAAATAGGCTTGATCTTGTTACGTATGTTATAGTCCTTCATATGTGTTTTAACGATTACACTCACTTTCCAATATTAATTATGATATTAGACCTAAGCATTTACATACAGGTTCGAACATTAACAGACGAAGGTTTGCCACCATTCTCCACTCGTATGCTGTCCTGGCAACTATACTTAGGGGCTTCCCTGGCGTGTACTGTGTCAGTTAAATTTGTTGGTCTGTTTGTGGTGCTGTTCGCTGGATTACGGACTATAGCTGATCTTTGGAATGTGTTGGGAGATTTGACGAAACCTGTTGTAAGTATAAGGCGCCATAAGCCACTGCCGTAAACTAATGACATATCCATACTTATAAATGTTAAAATGAGTTTGTTTGTTACGCTTTCACACCTAAACCATTAAACCGATTTAAAAAATTCTTTCACCAATTGAAAGTAACTATCAGCGAGTAACATTTCGTTTCGACATACACGCGGGCGGAACCGCGGGCGTTAGCTTGTATTCCATAAATTGAGTAAAGCTACTAAGATCATTAAAATGTCTAGATGGAGTATCGCACTTCAAAACAGACTTTTAATATGTATGCCAGATGTTCGCAATACTTCTTTGTTCTTTGCTAGTGTGATGCTTTGATAATGGCTAACAGTTGGATAGGTACTATTTATTTTGATGCTCTCGCAGTTTTGACAGTTTAGCTAAATATAGTAATGATCTAATGAAAGGGATTAATTAAATAAAACTGCAATTAATTACCTATTTTACAGAGCTTAACAGTAAAGCATCTGATTGGTAGAACGTTTACTCTAATACTGTGGCCGACTGTACTTTATGTACTTTTCTTCTGGATTCATCTCGCTGTACTTACTAAGAGGTGAGTATATTTTTCTTATTATTATATGTATTTTAACCTCCAACTATACCGCTATTGTATTCTAAATGGCTATGTAAATGAATGCTCAGACTTCAAAGGTAGCAAAAATACGTATGCGATATATCAACTGTGTTTGCTGCTCCTTCAAGTCTGTTTCACATTACCAATTCATGTCTTCCATCGGCCTACATTCAAAAATCTGGTCTCTGTCGACATCGGCTACTATTATCATTCTAAGGACTGGCCTGTTGGTCCAGTGGTTAGTGATCCTAGATTGCTAAATCAGAAGTCGTGGGTTCGATTCCACTCAAGGATAAATAATCAAATGATCAGTATGAGAATTATGTTCTATGTTCTGCAGTGTTTATGGCGCTCCGCTTCTAAAGGTCGTAGCGTGATTTTACAGCTGCTATAAATTTCCTCTGTAAATACTCTATCTGATATAAACTTGAATCATTGAAATGTGAGCTACAGTGGAAGAGATAATGCGTTTAAACGAACACAATCTATTCAGATTCATTATATTAGTAATTATGTTTTTTTTTTCATAGCGGCAATGGTGACGGTTTTTTCTCATCGGGATTTCAAGCACGATTAGAAGGGAATAGTCTGTTTAACGCGAGCGCACCTAAGAACCTCGCATACGGCGCTCTCATCTCGCTTAAGAACCATCGCACAGGCGGTGGGTATTTGCATTCACACCAACACCTGTACCCGTCGGGAGTTGGAGCGAGACAGCAACAGGTAGGTAAACCGAAGCCGAGTTTCCATCGGAAATGGTTAGACGAAAAGGACTTCTTTTAAATTACATAGGTATACATTTTCAAGATTTTTGTCCTGCCTTGCTCTAACGGACTCGTTACAACACCTTTTTACTGGATTGATCCGCGCCGCTCACATGTTTCTGTGTAAAAATACTACTATATATATGTAATACTAGCTGAGACCCGCGGTGTTACCCGCGTTTGTTGTTATAACCGCGAAGCTAGTCTAAAAAAAAGTAGCCTAAGTTACTCCTTATGTCATCAGCTATCTGCCAGTGAAAGTACCGTCGAAATCGGTCCAGCCGTTCCAGAGATTACCCGGAACAAACAGACAGATAGACAGACAGACAGACAAAAATTGTAAAAAATGTTATTTTGGCATATGTACCGTGTAAACATACATATGCATTTTCTAAAAAGCGGTTATTTTAATATTACAAACAGACACTCCAATTTTATTTATTTGTATAGATAGATGTCATTGCGAGTTAAAGCTAGACCCTCAGAACGAGTTTATTCATCATCATTTCAACTTTTTCTGCTCTCACAATCCGTTCCGTCCTACTAAGGGAATCCAACAATTGCAACGCCGATCGCGCTCGCTATCGAGAGCGAGTCGATGTGAAATAAACTCACACTGGAGCCTAGTGTGTTCCGCTCGCGGTGGAAACCGGACTTGACATTTATGTAACGTGTTCACATTTTCCAACTACAACTAACTTTTATGAAAATTAAGTGACTTGTAAAGATTAGACACACTCTCGGTTGGTTTATTTATTGTAAATTTGTTACGATTGCTCATTACATTTGATTTAATGCAGAACTACGATTTAGGTATAATTGTTTGTGTAATACCAAACGTAATTGAAATTGAGATAAGATTTTTTGCACGTTTTCTTTGTGTCACCAGGAGCAAGTTCTGTACATATAACTTGTTCAAAGAGTGAAAGAAATAAAGAATAAACTTATAGAAATAAACGGTCATAATGCTAAAAATTAACAAGTAAAAAATATGTATTGAATAAAGTCACAGGCAATACCTAGTTATAGTAAACTTCGAGTTTACTCTAACTAGGTATTGCCTGTGATTTTGCTCGTTGTGTGTTATAACCCGGCAATCACGTGCGCGACTGTCCCTAGGGGTGACAGTACACGCGTTTCCCTTCCCCGCTACCCGCTGACATCTTGAGTACCTCATCCCCGCCACCGTCTGTCACCCCGCAGGACGGTCGCGCACGACGTTGATGGACTATAGTAGTGTCCATAACTATATCTTTGACTGTATGCTCATAATAGTAGGTACGGTTCACACATACACACACACATGTTAAATAATGTATTAGCTATACCCTGCCACGCTATACTGTAGCACATTGAAATTGTATTGATGAAAAATGAGGAATAAAATTGATGCCAAAAATAGATAAAAATAAATTATAATTTAAAAAGAACTAAAAAACACGCTTTTGTATCTAGCCGAACTAAAAAGTAGAAAATAATTTTCTATAAGTTCAAAAAGAAAAACAATTTGTTTCAATATTTCATTGAAAGAAATTGGTAAAAGTAAAGTTATTATATTATAAAATATCTTGAAAAGCACCCCACGCTTTTTTACAAAGTCCTGCAGTTATTCTCTAAGGAAACATCCTTGCGTACAGCGCTGCCACAGCGTCAAACTTCAAACAAACTAAGTTATTTGAGATAATGAGAGAGCTGTAGCGTCGAATTTCAAACGAACCTGCTGATCAGGATAATCGGCCAAATTTATCAAAATTGTATTGTCATGGGTCCTTGATAAGTGTGCGAAGTTTCAATGTAATTCGACGTTTTGAAGTGAGTCAAAATCACGTTCGAAGATTCCGTTACACATACCAAGCTAATAAAAGCGTGTTAACAATCTTTGAAACGGTTTGTGCATTGTTTAAAAATTTTTGCAGAACTTTTTAAGTTTTTGAAGCGTATGTACACAAACCCAACTTAAAATGTTGAGTGTGAGATAAGTAATAAATGATTTAATATTCTATAGATGAATATGTGTGTGTGTTTTAACGGTATCTCATTCTATGAATTTCTAAGCATTGATTGATTATGGTATTGTTTTACGTTCATTAGGCGAAGAGTGTTGTATTTTTTTTAAATTAAAATTATTGTTCAAGTAGATAACCACATACACCCACAAAGACGAGAACAACCGTTGGCAAATAAAACCTTATGATAAAGAACAAGTGGAGGGGGTTGTGTTCGTGCGCAGTGGGGATCTGGTGCGTCTCACGCATGCGCAGACCGGACGTAACCTACACTCGCACCGCGAGAGGGCGCCTATCACTACTAAGCATATGCAAGTCACCGGTTATGGCGAGGTAAGTTCGTAAATAATATGGCAAAAAAATAAACTTTCTGCAATATTAAATTATTTAGGCCACTTAAATGAATTAAACTGTTGTAAGGTAGTTTTTAGGACAGTAATAATTTGTAGTAGGACAGTAAAAAAGTAGAAAAACACGTATTTATTTATTTTTTCATTGGCGTGTCAAGAGGACACTTACTCTATTGAAGCTACGTATTTTGCTGTAACGGTTGCACTCGGCTTGAGTCAGGCACCTTGTGTAATACGATATTATTTTATTTTATCATAAAATTAACCGCGTAATTGATCATTAAAAAAAACATGCATTTTCTAGATTAAAACCACAAACACTAGCGATTTGTTCAGCGTCATGGCGAATGCAAGACAAATCGGAAATTTTTGCTCATTTAAACTCAAATGGTATATCGCTTGTGATCTTCATCACCTTTAAGTTTTTTCTTGGAGTATTGTCACTTGAATCACATTGTCTGAAATGGCGAATAAGGAACAATCCAAGTGTTGTCAATCACGAAATGAATGATTTCGTGATTGACAACACTTGGATTGTTCCTTATTGTTCCTTTCACTTTCCCCTCGATTTTGCTGCTCGATTGAATACAGCATCAAGTATCCGCAAAGACGCGTTGTTTAAAAATGTAGTTCATCAGCGACCGGATTTCTTGCTTGAAGATACGTGCAGTAATGTCGTACTTTATGTTTGTCCGGGAATCAGTAATTGAACAATTTCTACACATGGCCGACCGTAATGACGTGTTCGTCACGTCTTTGCATCTTGCGCATATTCATGCATATTAATCGGGCTACCTGTGTACCTCGTCAGTAGAATAGTCAAGCGCCCGAGTATTCTATTTTTTTAGAAACCAATTTCTGAAATTTGCCAATTTGTTTTTTTTTCCGGAAGAACCTTCTATAAACTATTAGAAAACTTTGAAAAAAGGATGAACGAAATCGTTAAACTCGTTCTCAAGTTAGGGGGTAACCAACTTAAATAGAAATATTTTTTATATATACACTAGCTGTCTCGACAGCCTGATCAACTTGTTTTCGTTTGATTGATATCGAATGATGAACAGCTAGGAACAGGTGTTTTAATTTACTCTGTGGTTTGTATGAGAAAAGAAAAGTGTTGTTTTTAATATTTACCTCGCAAGTTTTACGTTTTTTCTCTTCATAAGAACTTTGTTTAAAATTAAAACATGAAAAAAAAAAAGTTAGCCGTATTGAACGAGCCGTTCTCGACTTTTGCGCTTAGCAACAAATTCGACGATTTTAGATTTGTTACCTAGTATTAACCATGTTGCATACAATAAGGCCCTTATTTTTCCAGGACGGTGTTGGCGATGCGAATGATGTGTGGAAAATTATTATTTCTGGTGGCAAAGATGGCGACGAAATCCAAACTGTGAAGAGCAAGCTTATGTTTGTACATTACCTGCAGGTTTGTGAAAGAAGTACAATTTTCTTTTTATTAGTTAGATTGTACGTATTATATAGTTCACGGGAATGCTTGTTTTAATTAATAATAATGATATTATTAGACCAATACATCGCTATGTGGACCAAAATTAAGCATAGATAGTACCATGTTTTCTAAAACACGGATAAACTTTCTTATGTGCATTTTATTGCAAAACAGATTCAAGTTTGAATAACAATTATATTGCATGCAAATATTTGTATTAAGTAGAACTCGAATGTGAAATGAAATGATACAGCGAAGAAATATGCTGTTTCGGATGTTTTCGCATTCGCTTCGTAAACATTAGGTGTTGAATAACAGGTGCAGAAACTTACTCGTGTACAGTTAATAAAGAGATCTCTGTCACTAACTCTAAAAACGTAAACAACCTAGCGACAGTAAACATCAACACAATACAGTAAACATATTCATGAGAATTAAGCCCAGCTTTAAATACTGAACTCTAAGGTTCTAGTTTGAATGCGAAAGGCACTATGTTGTACCCACTTCTTCCAAAATATTCAATCTTTATTCTGGGCATCTCAACTTTTATGGAATAAACTATTTTTTTCTTATAGGCATGTGTTTTAACGACCACCGGAAAACAATTACCGAAATGGGGTTACGAACAACAAGAGGTATCTTGTAATCCGAATTTGAGAGACAAAAATGCTCTTTGGAACGTTGAGGACAATATCTTTGATGACTGTAAGTTTTCGTATAATTAAGAAACACATCTAGTGCTTACAGGAGTACGGCCTTTTAAAATGTGTATTTACTGTAAGAATACTGGGTCTACCATGGGATGACCTGGTTTTGACATCTCATAGCTGCCATGTTTGATGATGGATCTTTGACGTCTCTTGACATTTGTGTTCAGTAAGGTTTGCCATATTATCATGTCACGTTTCACTTTAAACCAACGCTTGGAAATTGTCCAAAATTTCTTTGAAATTGACGAAGGAAACCCTGTTACTGTGAATGGCGAGCGCTATGTTAACCGAATATTTCTTTCCGGAATTTGATGATATTTATGCAGACGACCTTTATTTTCAACAAGACGGTGCCCACCTCACATTACTCGAGTGAACATGGAATTATTGTGTGGAAAGTTTGGTAAGTCGTTAATTTCGAGAAATGGACCGATCAGTTGGCCACCAAGATCGTGTGATTTAACACATTTAGACTATTTTCTTTGGGGTTACGTTAAATCTAAAGTGTACAGCAATAATCCAGCTACAATTCGTGACCTAAAAACCAACATTCGACGAGCCATAGCCGACATAGCGGCCGAAATGGTGCACCGCGTCATCGAAAATTGGCGCGAGCGGGTGACCGTCTGCAAAAAGAGCCGCGGCGGTCATTTGGCCGATATATTATTTAAAACATAAATTGCATAAAATTATCTATCAAATAAATCAATCGGATGCATTTTTTATAAAAAATTGTGTGTTTTATTCAATTTTTAAACCAGGACGTTATTATTGGTAGACCCCATACCTACATAGTTAGAATACAAATATATGTATGCAATCTCATGTGTATGCAACCTATTTACATATTGTTATAGATCAAAGTCTTCTTTAACCTTATAGCATCAAAATAATCACATCATCATCACATCAACAGCCTTTAATAGTCCACTGCTGGACATAGACCTTTCCTTAGAAAGGAGGTTTTGTCCTACTATACCACGCTGGCCAGACGGGTTGGTATAGGGTTTGTGTGGGGTGCTGGGCTAGAAAACCTCCTCGTGGTGCACCCTGGAAACGCTGGCGATGGTACTGTTTCCTCCTTGTCCTCTTGGAGGAGAGGATTATCGCCAGCGGCCAATATTCTAGCAGAAGAGGCAGCCGTTCATCGGCTCTCGGGCAAGGCCTGGTCCAGCAGGGTGGGCGTGTCTGCCGGTTGCCCTGCTGGCTCTTCGCTCTTCGGAGCATGGAGGAGGAAACCTCGGTAAAAAACCTGATGGCGGGGCCCTGTAGGGGCCACAGTTTCTCCGCTGATAGCGGTGGAGAAAGGAGGACGGGCTCGGCGTGTACTCACACTACCACCGAGCAGGCAGGGGGACGTAGTCTCCCTGTCAACCGTTGGCATATCGCAATCCCGAGAAGAGCGCTGTGGTTAAGTCTCGCGGCTCTGATCGGGGGCGAGGGTCTTGGCTTAACCGCCCGGACCGCGAGGAAGATAACCTCTCTAAAAAATTCCCCGAATCCCGTGTTCTGGTGCGTGGCCAGGGGATGCATGGCTGATGGGAAGTTCAGTCGCGAGCGCACTCCAAGCCGAGGTACCTGCGGACCCCTCGGTTGGGTTAAAAACTTACGCTTGCCCGGGTAATGGGGGATCTCTGCCCGGGTGGACCTTTAGTTCTCCCCCACTCGTGGGATTTATTATGGATGATTTGAATTTAAACCAAACAAAACGATCGGAAACAATCAAACAACGGAACAAGGCAAGCAAAACGGACACTGCAACGAAAGGTGCAAGGGAGAAGAGGAACAGTGGAGTCGATGGTTCGTCCACTGAGGGTGAGGTGGCGTCAGGAACGCCCATCTCGATGGGGCTCCCAGAAGTCAGTCTGACTCTGATCTCTGGGAGCCGAAGAGCATCGGATCGGCTGCGTTCCGGATCCGCCGCTTCGTCGGATGGCGCGGACGCCATGGAAGCGGAGCGGAGCGACAGCCGGAAACGCGGACGCTCCAGGGAAGAGGGGACCGACACGTCCGGCGAAATGATGCCACCAAAGGTGGCAAGCAGCCGCCGAGGGAGGGCGCGTAAACCGGCCTCGGCCTCGGTCTCGACCCCGTCAGGCTCCGCGTTCTCAAACGCGGAGTCCTACAGGAGCGTGCGAGTGGACGGCGAGGCCGTAGCGGAGGAGGAGATCGCGGATCTCCTGCTCAAGGTTCGGGAGCCGGTGGGGGGAAATGCCCCCCAGGCTCCCGTGTCCGTGCAGGAGAGGGCGAAAGCGGCGGAGGCCGTCATCAACAAGGTGGCCACCAAATCCGTGAACCTTAAGGGCTCGTTTGTGAGGGCCCTTAAGGACTCCTCCTCCGCTTTGTCGGAGGTCGTGGAGGGCCTAGCGGGCGACGTCTCTCGCCTGCAGGTGGCCAACGAGAAGCTGACGGAGCGGGTGAACGAGCTGAGCGCTCAGTTCGCCCGCTTCCAGGCGAACCTCCCCGAGCGGGAAGCCCCGTCCGCGTCCCAGCCTGCCCCTACCACCAACTCAGGGGCATTTGACTCCCAACTGCGAGAAATCCTCATCGCAGTTGGGAATATGCTGGACGGACGCCTGGCTGGCCTGGAGGCGAGATTGCCTCCTGCGCCGAGTATGCGCCCCCCGCTCGCGTCGACACAGCGGCCTAAGGCCGCCGCTCCGACCGCGCTCCCCGTAGTGGGAGGCCGCGTCTCCTACGCGGCGGCGGCGTCTGCCCCGACTCCATCGGCTCCCCAAAAGCCGAGGAGGGGGGCCAAGGCACCGGCCCAGGCGCCGGCCAAGGCACCGGCTAAGGCGCCGGCCAAGGCACATCCCCAGGCGCCGGCCAAGACGGGGCCTAAAACGGCGCCGAGGAGCGGAGTGGCATTCCCTCCGCTCCCCACTCCGACACCCCTGCCGGGCCCCTCCGCACCTGCCCCCTCCAACGAGGGCTGGCAGGAGGCGAGGGGCTCCAAGAAGTCCCGAAGGCGGGCCAGAAAGGCTGCCCAAAAAGCAGCCCAAGCCCAGCCTTCGCCACCGGTGACAACGGCCTCTGCAAAGAGGCCGCGGAAGCTGCAGCCGCCCAAAACCGCGGCTGTAGTTGTGACCGTGTCCCCGGAGGCGGCTGACGGCGGGCTGTCCTATGCGGCCGTCTTCAAAAAGGCCCGGGACAGCCTCGCCAACGAGTTTGGGACGGTGGGGGTCAGGATGCGCCTCGCCCAGACGGGAGCTCGAGTTCTCGAGTTCCCTGGGGCTGAAGGCGCAAAGACGGCGGACTCCTTCGCTGAGAAGCTGCGGGGAATATTTGCAGCCACAGATGGTGTTAGGGTCGCCAGGCCTACCAAGTGCGCGGAACTGCGCATCTCGGGCCTGGACGACTCAGTGGCGGCCGAAGATGTCCGCGCTGTAATCCGGGAGAAGACGGGGTGCAGCGCGGACAACGTCAGGGTCGGCACCATCCGCCCCGGTCCAGGAGGGCTTGGCGCCGTGTGGGTCAGCTGTCCCGTAGCGTCGGCCAAAGTATTGGCCGACGCCGGCAGGCTGCTCATCGGTTTCGTGAGCGCCAGGATCACAGTCCTGGCGGCGAGACCGATGAGGTGTTTTAAATGCCTGGCCGCGGGACACACGCGCGTCAAGTGCGACAGTTGTTTTGACTGCGGCGGACTGTGTTTCCGCTGCGGTCAACCGGGGCATAAGGCGGCAGAATGCTCTGCCGCCCCTCACTGCCCAGCGTGTGCGGCGGGCAATAAGCCCGCCAATCACCAGATGGGGCAGAGAGGCTGCAAGCCTCCCCGCAGTTCTCGGCAGACGTCAGGGGCTAGCCAGTCGACCCAGGCTGCCTCTGATATAGTACGTGCGTCGTCGTCGTCGCCCATGGAGGAGGTTGTAGAGACGATCCAGTAATGGATCAAGTCTCCAACCTCCTGGTCCAGACGAACCTGAACCACTGTGCCGCGGCGCAGGATCTCTTCCTGCAAACCATGGCACAGTGGTCGATAGGTGTTGCCGTAGTCGCGGAGCCCTATTCTGTCCCTCCCCGTCCAAACTGGATGGGTGACTGGGACGGCTCCGTGGCAGTCGTCGGTTCCACGACGGCTCATTCCCCGCCCTTGTCGCTAAGAGACAAGGGCACTGGATATGTTGCCGTCGAGTGGGGGGGGATCACCATATATGGTGTCTATTTCTCCCCCAACCGGAGTTTGAACGACTTCGAGGTTTTCCTAACCAGCTTGGAGACCTCGATACGGCGACGCGTATAGCGTCTGGGCACGTCCTTGTGCTGGGGGACTTCAACGCAAAGTCCATTGCGTGGGGTTCCCCCAGGACGGACGCCAGGGGCGAGGCCGTAGAGGAGTGGGCGGCCTCGGTGGGCCTCTGTCTTCTAAACAGAGGCTCCACCAACACGTGCGTGCGACAGCAGGGGGGGTCGATAGTGGACCTTTCGTTCGCTACCCCTGCCCTCGCCGCACGAGTAAGGAACTGGTGTGTCCTGGAAGAGGTTGAGACGCTCTCGGATCACCTGTATATCCGATTTGAGCTCTCCCGGACCCAGGACTCCAGTAGGGGTCACGTGGCGCGGCGTTTATCCCGCTTTCCGCGGTGGGCTGTTGCCAGGCTGAACCGGGACCTACTAGAGGAGGCAGCCATAATTCACTCGTGGCTGTCTCCTCAGGCTCCGACCGAGGAGGTCGACGTGGGGGCTGGCCGCTTTCGCGATGCGATTACGCATGTATGCGATGCGGCCATGCCCCGCGTTCGAGGTCGTCGGCCTCCAAGGAAGGAGGTCTACTGGTGGTCCCAGGAGCTGGCGGACCTCCGTGCGGCCTGTACACGTGCCCGGAGGTCCTACACGCGCAGTCGGCGGCGTCACCGCGGAGACGGTGAGGAGGACCGGCTTCATGAGGAGTACCGACGGGCGCGGAAAACTCTGAAGCTGGCCATTAGCCGCGCCAAAGAAGAAAAAGCTTCCTGCGAGAAGTGGTTGAGGGCCTTTTCCCGCAACGAGCGGAACACACTCCCCCGGCGATGGCCTCCTTGGCCGTAGACGACGGGGAGCACGGGGAGGAAAATGTTCCGCCCGTCCGGGATTCGGAGGTAGGGGCGGCTGTTCTACGGATCCGTTCCAAGAACACCGCCCCTGGGCCAGACGGGGTACCGGCCCGAGTGCTGGCCCTGGCCCTCAACCACTTGGCAGACCGCCTCGGGGAGGTGTTCGACGCTAGCTTGGCGTCGGGACGTTTCCCTGAGTGCTGGAAGAGCGGGAAGCTGGTCCTATTGAGGAAGCCGGGACGGCCTGCCGATTCGGTCGCGGCCTATAGGCCCATCGTGCTGCTGGACGAGGCGGGCAAATTGTTTGAGAGGGTTCTTTCTGCCCGCATCGTCCGGCACCTTTGCGAGGTGGGCCCCGATCTGTCGGACGCCCAATTTGGTTTTCGGGCGGGGCGTTCGACAGTCGACGCTGTGTTGCGCCTGAGGGCCGTGACCGAAGAGGCTGTGAGCTGTGGCGGCGTGCTGTTGGCGGTGTCATTGGACATCGCCAACGCATTCAATAGTCTGCCATTCAGCTGCATCAGGGAAGCACTCCACTATCATGGGGTGCCAAAGTACCTGAGGCGGCTGGTGGCAGACTATTTAGAGGAGCGTACCGTCGTGTACGAGGACCGAGAAGGTAATTTGAGGAGTCGGCCCATGTCGTGCGGTGTTCCACAGGGGTCTGTTCTTGGACCCCTCTTGTGGAACATAGGGTACGACTGGGCCCTTCGCGCCGATTTCCCCCCCGGGCTGGGTGTAATCTGTTACGCAGACGATACCCTCGTGACAGCCCGGGGGGCAAACTTCCAAGAGGCGGCGCGCCTGGCCACAGGGGGAGTCTCCCTGGTGGTCGGGCGCATTGAGGCGCTGGGCTTACGGGTGGCCCTAGATAAGACGGAGGCCCTGTTATTCCATGGGCCCCGTCGTGGTCCACCCCCTGGCGCCTCAATCGTGGTCAACTCGGTCCTCGTACCGGTTCGGGCCCAGATGAAATATCTGGGCCTGATCCTCGACGGGAGGTGGCTCTTCGACGAGCACTTCCGACAGCTTGCTCCAAAGCTGGTCGGCGCTGCGTCTGCCCTAGGGCGACTTTTGCCCAATATGGGTGGACCCAGCGTCGCGACAAGACGGCTGTACACGGGGGTTGTCCGGTCAATGGCACTGTACGGTGCACCGGTGTGGGCGGCGGCTCTGACCGCCCAGAATAGGGTACGCCTCTGGCGCCCTCAGAGGGTAATGGCGGTCAGAGCCATACGCGGTTACCGCACCGTTTCGACGGAGGTGGCATGCGCATTGGCCGGAACTCCCCCGTGGGATTTGGAGGCGGAAGTGCTCGCCGAAGTTTATCGGCGAGTGGCTGACTTCCGGGCGGAAGGCGGATTTCGCCCTCCGCCCGAGGATGTGCGCGAGTGGCGCGAAGCCGCTCGCCGAGCCACGATGGCTCGTTGGTCGTTCCGACTGGAGACTCCACGCGCTGGCTTCGCCGCCGTGGAGGCTCTCCAGCCGGTCATCGCCGAGTGGGCAGGGCGGCAGCACGGGACCCTTTCCTTCCGACTGACGCAGGTGCTTTCCGGGCACGGTTGCTTCGGAAAGTACCTGCACACGGTCGCTAGGAGGGAACTGAGTCCCGCCTGCCACCACTGCGACTGCAGTGAGGACTCGGCCCAGCACACGCTGGCGGTCTGCCCCGCATGGGCGGCGCAGCGCCGGGCCCTCACTGCAGTCATCGGAGTGGATCTCTCGCTACCGGCCGTAGTACGCTCCATGGCCGGTAGCGACAGTTGTTTTACCGCGGTCGCAACCTTCTGCGAGGTAGTAATCTCGCGGAAGGAGGCGGCGGAGAGGGCCCGGGAGGACGACCTCCACTCGGACCCGATCCGCCGCCGGCGAACCGGGCGGCGGAGGCCCGGCTATCACAGCCTCATGCCGCCCTGAGTGTGGCCGCGGGTGGACGGGGTGGGTTTCCCCTCCACCCGCATTAGTTGGCCAGCCGCGAGGGGGCGGCGTCCGCGTGTGCCGGACGTCGCCTAAAGAGAGGAACATCCACATTGAGACGGAGCCCGCACCAGGAGCGGGCTGGCGCTAGGAGGGGTCCGGATGTCTTAACAACAGCTGTTCCCGGATCCCTCCTGTTACAGGCGCAGAGTGGCACACCGTGTGGTTTTAGTCGGTCCGAGTCCGACACACCACCCCGCCGCAAACCCCGGAGGGGTGACGGTCCGAGGGGATTTCCACACGTTAAAAAAAAAAAAAAAAAAAAAAAAAAAGGGTTTGTGTCAAGTTTTCCTTCTTTTATCAAAATAATGCACGTTAATAATTATACTGCTGGACATCAAAGGCTTGCCCGTAAAGTATTGTTTGTTGTGTTAAGCTTATCCATAATAATAATGATGTAAAAAGGAACTAATGAAATCATCATCATCAGCCTATCCCGTGGGTGTCGTAAGAGCCGACTAAGGGAATAAACTACGCAGGACAACATCTCTGCAAAGAGAAGGACATAGGCCTCTTCTTAGGAAGGAGGTTTTGGCCTACTACACCACGCTGACCAGACGGGTTTGTGTCCAGCTTTCATGGTGTGTGTCGTGTGTAGTTCTCACTTATGTAACAAATAGTATTTCACGCCAAGTCGACCACAGGCACCTACTTGCAGTTAGTAGGTGTAAATAGAGGGAGCACTTCTATAAAGAAAATAATCAAATCCTTTTTATACCTTTAATTACTTATTCTAAAGAGTTTTTTTTCTTTTAGTGCCAAAAGTCAGCTTCGAGTCGTACGCTTCTGGTTTTATAGAGCGATTCTTCGAGTCCCATGCGGTGATGTTCCAGGGTAATGCCGGACTTAAACCTAAAGAGGGAGAGATTACATCACAACCTTGGCAATGGCCAATTAACTACAGGGTATGTGTGTTTAATAATATTTATAATATGAGCTCTAACTGTCTTAGGAATACGGATTATTTTACAATATTTCTTACTAGACTTGCAACGAATAGTATATTCGGCAGTATACCGAATACCGAATATTCGGCGAGGCCCCTGACCGAATAGCCGAATATTAGGCAAAAGTATTCGGCTGGATTTTAGCGCCAAAAACTTGTACAGACGTGAAATAAATTATGTACCTGTTTTATGTACCAATGACTACTTAATAAATGATTATAAAAGAAATGAGAACCTTACCCTTCTAAATTTTGATTACCACAATAATTCAAATACATAGAATCCTCCATTTTTCCAATTCAGAAGATGATTATGTACCTGTGTTATGCACCAATGATTATAACAGAAATGAAAATATGAATGTATACGTAATCAATCGATTTTAATTTTTCATTTTACCAATTATTTCTCAATGACAAAATATATTATTTAAGTATTCGGTATTCGGTATTCGGCCGAATATAATAAAAGCAGCCGAATAGGCCGAATACCGAATAGTAACCGAATATTCGTTGCGAGTCTATTTCTTACCCTTGAAGTCTTCGATCAACAATACAACTAGATGCATAAACTCGAACAAGAGTAACGCCTAAACTGTTCCCAATTATGCATAAGTAATAGTATTATATGCATATTTCTGTACAAATTCAACTTTATGTGGATGATTTAAAGTTGTATATACGAAGCAATGACAAAAAGCAATAAAATTTAATGACCGAAATTTGCTCGTAGGACAAGGCATGAAGTGGAAACGACGAGTTTTCTTTTTACATTGATTTCGTAAAAAATATGCGTTCTATACACATTTATACTTTTACCTGATCTTAAAAAAATTTGAATAGAACAATTTATATAAATGAAACAAATATCACACATTTATTTATAATTATTATGTCGTGTTAATCTTCAGACCTTGATTATATTCATATTGGCACAATCGTTGACTAGGCATGTTCTCTGGGCTTGACTGGACTGAGAGCTGGGTCTCACAAAAAACTGGAATGAGTTAAGCTACCAGAGAACCGCACCCTACCCTCCCTTCCCCTCTGGGCTGTAACCCACTTGTAACTCTTGAGTTGTAAATGGCCTACGCATGGGCAGTCACTTCATCAGTTTATAGTCACTTACAATTAGATGATCCGTCTGCTTGTTTGCTACCTAAACCATAAAAGATTATAATCGCAGAGTGGATTATTATTTTATTTTTTACTAAATGATTGAGTTTTCTTGATGCTATACGTCTTCCCACTTCGTAATGTTATTTATGTTTAACCAGCTTTTGACCGTGGCTCCGCCCGCGTCTATGTCAGTTATCTCGGCAAAAAGTAACCTATGTCATTCCTCAAGAACTAAAGTATCTTCACGCCAATTTTCATTAGCATTGTTGCAGCGGTTTAGCCGACAAAGCGTAATAGACAGACGGACTTACTGTCGCATTTGCAATATTAGTAGATTTATGGACAGTATGATTATCATGCCACTACAAAACAAGATTTTTTGGGTGAATAAACAAGATTGTTTGATTTGAGAATGAAACTGTTTATAAACACTAAGAAATATGGATAAGCAAAAAAGACATACATCCTTTTCAGTGCTAATGGATTCAGATCAAGTATAAAAATAATAATATCTTCATATATCTTACAAACGGTCATCTGATCCAAAACTAGTCTGAGTCTGTTTTATGGTAACCCAACTGTTGATTAACATACATATATATTTCAAAATACATAGGTACATATTTTAAACATATTATACCTAGACACAACAAATGCTCGAGCTTATCACACAATTCTTTGTCTTGGGTTTGAATCAAACCTACAACCTCTGGCTTAGCTTGTCATCGTCACTAACCACTAGACCAACAGGCCCACATAGTCCTAAGAGAGGCATACTTTCAAGTATCATAGTTTAGAGGTATTAAAATCCCAACTGTCAAGTCATTAATGTACAAATAAAAAATGCTCTTATAAATTACAGGGTCAATTCTTCTCAGGCCAAAGTAAACGTATCTACCTCCTAGGTAACCCTATTGTGTGGTGGGGAAACCTGGTATTCCTAGTGGTTTTCTTCATCATATTTATCATTAATTCCATCAGAGATAAGAGAGCGGAGGCCTTCGGTAAACCTTTACAAGGTGAGTAGACTAACAAATGCTGTTTTACGATCGCAACCGGCATTCCTAATTACTAAAGTCATGAAATAGTAATGTTTATGACCATTTGTGACGTCGCTTTAAGTATGACAAAAATGTCGAAGTTAATATGAAATATAACTTGAGAATTCTTGTGATGAAATCACTTGCTTTTGCTCACGGCTTCTCTTCCGTTTATGTAGCTAGATTTTTCTTTTCGATTCAGAGGGCCTAGTGTGAATTCATTTTACATCGACCGTGACAATGGACTTTATCGACACGACGACTACGTTTGGCGTTGCGATTGGCCCGTACTGAAATCTTTGAGAATCTCAACGCCGATCGCGCTCGCCATACAGAGTGAGTTAATGTGAAATAAACTCATACTAGGCCCTCAGATGTGACCCAAGAAAAGTATTTATATTTTCTGGATAAAAGGTATCTCATGTAATTTTCTGTGACCCTAATGAATAGATGCTTTTAGTATTTAAGGCACCAAAGCATACCAATGAGACTTACAGAAAATAGAAAGTCAGGAAGAAGCATTCATCTGATATAGTTACCGTTCTCTATGAATATCTGCAACACCAATGATGTTTGGTTCTTCTCTTGGAGCCGAGGTGTACTTAATCATCAGTAAAAAAACAAAACTGCTCAATGCATACATGTTTATCTTCTCAAATATAGGCTTAATGCTTCAGAAATAAATTCTACATATTTATTAGACATCAGTTAACATTGATCATCAACAGCCTTTACTAGTCCTCTGCTGGACATAGGCCTCTCTTTAGAAAGGAAGTTTTGGCCTACTATACCACGCTGGCCAGACGGGTTGGTATAGGGTTTGTGTCAAGTTTTCCTTATCTCTGCAGTGCTGTTGTCCTGCGTAGTTTGCTCCCTTAGTCGGCTCTTACGACACCCACGGGATGAATAGGGGTGGTGACACTCTGTATTCTTAATCCGTCACCACACGGTAAATTAACATTAGTTTACTGTAAATACCCATTTGACATAATAACAATGTATCCTTATAAATCAGTGACTAATATCGAAGGTCAACGTAATAACGCACAAGAATATTAAATCAATTATGTGGTAAGCTTGCGTCATATGTGCAGAACTCGTGGTTTAATAGGAATTGAATTTAATAATCCAAGGACCTCTTATTTTGCTTGGTTTTCCATTTGTTTTAACGCTCTGTCTTATGTTTGGCAGGCCCGTTTATTTAGGAAGAGGATAGGCTATAAGATTCACGCTGCAACTGCTATGAATTTAACCTTAAGTCATTAGGTATGTGATTCAAAATTTGAGAAATCGTTGATAAATTTATACGTTTTTATCATTTTTGCCTAACCGTAAATATTTTGTAACAATGCGTTTCTATGAGCGTTTTCAATGATAACGATTTTACAGAAATAGGTGTACAATAAACGTAGTTTGCAATGTGATTTTAGTATTTAGGGTTCCGTGGTCAACAACGAACTCTTATAGTCTCACCAGCGTGTGTCCAGCTCTCCGCGGATAACCTCAAACTGTCTAGGTATTAGAAAAAAAGCTGTAATGGGCTTACATATTTATTTACCACAAAGTGGTAACATTGGTAACATTAAATCTTGTAGAAAAAGATCTGTTCCCTAAACTTAAAGTGGGGATGTTTTTTTAATGTCTACACCCTGGAATAGACTGCCGTGTTCTTTTGTATAATATTCAATTCAGAGATGTTTTGTTAAAAATTAGCCTTTAAGTTACAATTTTTAAGTCAAATGTTCTGCCAGTTCAGTATTTATTTCTTGTTCTTGAAATTTGAACAAAATTACGGCAGTAATGTACATAAATAATGTTAAAGTCTCAACTATCACAATATCGTTCTGTGAGAAGTAAAACAGGAAAAATTTCGTCTGCGGAACCCTAACTATCCTATCCCTATTATATTTGTAGTTAAAACTTTTATGCAATTAGAATACTTTTTGCAAATTGACGTGCGTCCGGCGTTCTAAAGTTATTGTATTCCGACGCAGGTGGTATGACCAGGGATCTTCTGAACGCGGCAGGTTGGACATTTATCGGATGGGCCCTTCACTACGTGCCATTCTGGACTATGGGCCGTGTGTTGTACTTCCATCATTACTTCCCAGCTCTTGTGTTCAGCTCTATGCTTACAGGTAATTTACATCCCTAACTTTTTGTGGAATTGACAATCGATGCAGTATAAACAGTACTAGTTTTTTTGGTGACGGGATGTAAAATCCCTTCTGATCTTCGCCTTCTGGGGGACAAGCCTTACTCTGGGGAGGACCCAGCCCATGTGATATCAGGTCCTCCCAAATCCGTAAGCTTCTCCGGCACGCCTATTCAATGGACAAATTATAATAAATCCTGAGATGATGTATGTATGTTGTTCATACTATAGTATATTGTAAAACAAATACTGTTTTTTTTTTCATAGTGTATGTATATATATATATATATATATATATATATATATATATATATTATGATAATAATTATACATTCGGTCTCAAACTGTCTGTGACGTGGAGTCAGTCAGGGACGACGGCCAGTGCAGCCTGGTTCGAACATTAGGATATTCGAGGAATACCGATTACGCAATCGCGTTAATTGCCGTAGATATAAATTTTTAGGCACACATGGATATATGAAGTCTCTAATATTTCATCTATAACATTTTATGTTTATAGGAATCCTCACGGAATACCTGCTGCTGAGCATCCGGAGCTACCTAAGTCCAGAGCTTGGCAAAACGGTGTATCACTCCATCTTGGGCCTGATTATATCGACGACTATCTACAGTTTCTACCTATTCTCACCCTTGGCATACGGCATGAGTGGTCCATTGGGACATGAAGCTAATTCTACTATGTACGGCTTGAAGTGGATGGAGAGTTGGGAGTTTTAGTGTGTAAGAGTTGGAGAAGACGTTACACGTCAAAGAAGACATCGAAGAAATACTCACTTCTATTTTTGCAACTATTGGTGCTATTTAATAATTTATTTTAATTAGTATTTTAGTTTTGAATGACATGTGCTGTCAACACGTATATCATCATCAACAGCTTTTAATAGTCCACTGCTGGACATATGCCTCTCCTAAGAAAGGAGGTTTCGGCCTACTATACCACGTTGGCCAGACGGGTTGGTATAGGGTTTGTGTCAACTTTTCCTTCTTTTTGGTGCTGGTGTCCTGCGTTGTTTAATATAACAATAAACAACAACAACACGTATATAATAGGTAGTTATTAATATACAAATACTAAATTGGGTCAATAATCAGAGAGATCTAGAAATTATACTTTCGGCCTTAAAATAATGATTTAGTGGTATACAATTAAAATTAATTCAATATCTCATCTATTAGGATTTCCTTAATAACAAAAAGCCTACTTTGTAGGAAAGGACATTACGTATATATATGAACTTTTATCTCATTTGAAATTGTAACTAAAAGTTAGCAAGGAAAAGTATGCACCTCTGTACCTACCTTGCAAGATTTCTACACCACCCAAAGGTTCACTGGTAGAGAACATAAAGTCGATATACCTACATAAGTGCATAAAGTTGTAAAATGCGAAATACGTAGACATGGGACAAAATCACAGTGAATTGTGATTTATCATTCCATTTTTGCGTACGTAGGTTAGGGTTGCTAAGTAGGTTGGTTAGACGCTATTTATCTAGTATTTTTTAAATTATTATGTAAGGAATGATAAAATAATTACTAGATTTATTGTTAAATAGGCGAAATAGGGTCTTTATGCATCGTCTGAAAAGAGCTTATTGGCAACAACGCGTGAGTAAGTAGTAACCCTAACATACGTACGAAAAAATCGAACAATAAATCACCGGTCTTTCACAGTTCACTGTGATTTCGTCCTATGCCTAGAAATACAAAAAAAAAAACTAAATTTAGCAAAACCTGCAAGTGCAAGCTTTCGCCCGCTGCATTATTCGAATTAACGTAGAATTTATTAAACAGTCCACTATCCTTAGGAAACATTACTACTTTAAGGACGAGGAGACCTTGTACGCCTGACTATGTGTTTGAAAAATTTCATAGTGATCTGTTGTTGTTGTTAAGCCGTGAAAGCGTAACAAAAAACTCACTATCGCATTTATAATACAAGTAAGGTTAGGTTTTATTATTTCTAAATCTCGTCTTAGGCCAAATAATGTACGTGTAATGCCCATGGCACTTGTGACTTGTAAAATATATTTACAATTTGTAACGTTTATTAAACAGGGCCCTGATGTGTCTAAAGAAAAGTAAAATGGTTTGGAGGAGGCTTTCACCGCAAAAGGCGGCCCTTACACCTAACAATACTAACCTTATTTAAAAACAAAATTAACATTACTAACAAATAAATAAATAAGCATACATAATAGTAGATAAGAAATACATACATGTAAGGGATTAAATAAAGCTAATAATAAAAATAATAATAATGCCCATGGCTCATGGCAAATTATGTATATACAATTTAGACAAAACGGAAGAGACTTACTTTTGCTTTATATTAATCAACACTGTTATTTCCTTTTTTTTCATAGCCTATACATTTGGACACATATGGTAAAATATTTAGTTTGAGACTAGAGAGAAGAACTTTAAAGAAAATTTAAGAGTCTTACATTCCCTTTATTGTGGATGATGATCACAGAAAATGGTACATATTTAAACTTAGCTGTATTTAAATAAACAATATAATAAAATTTAGATTTCTACTCTCAACTATGCTTAAATCTGTACAATAATGTACACTACGCTCAGATAAAGCTCCAACACACGTCATAAGAACAACATCCATTCGTATGTATGTAGAAGCAAACTTTATAAAGTATTAAATGTAATTATGATGTAACGATTGTTTTAGTCGTTGCTAATAATTTAAACATTGTGAATGTTGTTTTCCGTCCAAAATAAATGTATTAATATTTTTTACTTCTCTTTGAATATACACTTTTTGTAATTTTATAAAAGTTATTTAATAAAAAATATTACAACGACGCTGTTTTAATTGCCATTGGATATAAGAACCCTAAAATTATACCCTAAGTGATATGTTATGAAGTAACGTAATTGTTGTTACATATACATATTTTGAAAACATAATATGTACAAAGTTTGTGCATGTATAATGGCGTAGTGGTTTAAGTAGTCGCCACGCTTCCGACTGCGCTGAGTGTTGTGCGTTCGATCCCACATGGGACACCCCTTTGTGTGATCCATAAATTGTTTTTCTGAGCGTGGGTGTTCTTTGTGTCCTTGTCGTGTAAAGTCCCCGCTAACAGGATATAAAGGGTTACTGGGTAAGGCGACCTAAATACTTTAAGGGGTTGTTGTTGTAGTTGCCATCATTTCTGATAGATTTCACTATGAAATACCATGTCTCAAAAATAAACATTTTGAAGATATTGGAATTTTCAGTTTTTTATAAAAATCGCCATTGCCATCATAGTGAAATCTATCAGAAATGATGTTGTCCTCTTAAAGTATTTAGGTCGACTTAACCAGTAACCAAGTATATTCCTAATGCAGGGCGTTGTCTTTTTAAAAGAAGAAGAAGAAATTAAAGAAAAATGTGTCATATTTTATGTTAGATTGTTATGTTGAGAAAGGAAAACTACACTACTAAACAGATTTTTTTTCTCTTATGTATACCCACATTGTATCACACATAGTTAAGATAGGACCTTTAGACAGAAAATCACTTCACTGTGCATTTTTAACCAAGGGCTGACCTCTCTTTCGGACTAATGTTCCTGCTGCCGGCTTCTTATGGCTAAGGCCAGGAGAAGACAGAATTCTATCCTTGATCCTCTAGGAGATACTCTTAAGTTCCCTCCGATAGTCTCGGTTTCGGTTCGGACTAATGTTCCTGCTGCCGGCTTCTTATGGCTAAGGCCAGGAGAAGACAGAATTCTATCCTTGATCCTCTAGGAGATACTCTTAAGTTCCCTCCGATAGTCTCGGTTTCGGTTCGGACTAATGTTCCTGCTGCCGGCTTCTTATGGCTAAGGCCAGGAGAAGACAGAATTCTATCCTTGATCCTCTAGGAGATACTCTTAAGTTCCCTCCGATAGTCTCGGTTTCGGTTCGGACTAATGTTCCTGCTGCCGGCTTCTTATGGCTAAGGCCAGGAGAAGACAGAATTCTATCCTTGATCCTCTAGGAGATACTCTTAAGGTCCCTCCGATAGTTTCGGTTCGGACTAATGTTCCTGCTGCCGGCTTCTTATGGCTAAGGCCAGGAGAAGACAGAATTCTATCCTTGATCCTCTAGGAGATACTCTTAAGATCCGATAGTCTCCTTTAAGTTTTTATCAGTGTGTACAATCGAGAAACGATTAACGTAGTTATGAAATGAATCAGTTACGTGAATGTCCTTAACAAAACAGAAAATGCAGTCTAGTATTCTTGGCTTGTCTAAGTGACGCTTTGACTACTAATTGCAAAATTACTATGTTAGGAAGAATGAACAACAACACTGAAGGGAAAAATTTATAAAACTATTATCAGACCTGCCGTCCTGTATGGTTCTGAAAGTTGGCCCATTAAGAGAACGGATGAGAGACGCCTGAACGTAGCCGAAATGCGAATGCTGAGATGGATGTGTGGTGTGACTCAGATGGACAAGGTTAGGAATGAGTATATACGAGGAAGTCTGAAAGTAGCGCCACTGGATGAAAAGTTAAGAAGTAATAGGTTACCTTGGTATGGACATGTCATGCGGAGGGATGAGGAAAATGTGACAAAGAAAGTTTTAGGTATGGGAGTTGAAGGGTACAAGAGAAGATGCAGACCGAAGAAGAGGTGGATGGACTGCGTCAGGGAGGATATGGCTAGGAAGGGAGTAAACAGTGAGATGACGCATGACAGAGTAGAATGGAAAAATCATACATACTGCGCCGACCCCAAATAAAATTGGGAAAAGGGTAGGCAGATGATGAGGAAGAATGAACAAACTAGCAAAATAGATCAGACGGGCAAATTTTTCAAGTAATGAATTTATTTACAACGGTTTCTCACTTCTTTAGGAATGCCTGCCTGCCAGGAATGAAAAATAAGGAAGCTATGGCGTTTCAGGCATTAACATTTTTTTCTGCCCCCTAAGAGTAATAATTAAACTTGATGATATGAGATATAGGAAACTATATTTAAAAATAGGGCTTTGCAAGTCTGAGAAATTATTATTAAGAAAATAATTTAATAGCAATTTTAAAAATAATAACATCTACAATTTTCTCCTCATCTATTTGATGATTAAAGTTACTGTCAAGATGAAAAAAAAAAACAATATTTTAGCACTTTGGCCTAAAATTTTTTTTTTTGCTAAGATTTAATTTATAATGGTGTTTCCAACATTCATACATCAGTTGTGGGCTCTGTGTGAATTATTCTAGCCTTGTATGCATACTTTGACCTGACCAAACCAAAAGAAACTGTTTAAATCAAGAAAAAATCTGGTAAGATTCTAAAATTAATTTCTAAAATTTTGAAATTCATCTATACAAACTGCCGTCAGACCGGCTGTATGCGTGGTGACGCGTCGCCACGGCATGCCTCGCCATGTTATTTTGACAGTATAATATGGGAACGTATTTCGGTCTAGCGCGCGTCGTCATGCGCAAGTGACTCTGTGACTCACTCACGTTGATTCAAAATGATTTGACAATCATTATTTCTACAAAATAATTTCAATGTTTCGAAATATACCATACGGTTCGGTTTTTTTTTTTACTATAGAGCTATATGCATAGAGTAAACAAGAGCCCCAATCTTGCAATAAAGGCAACGAAAGAGATGGATGCAAGATAGTTCCACCTATCTCTTAGTAATCGAGCTCTGTGGTTGGCTGGGGAATATGAGGGGTTATTAATAAATACTGAAGAGCTTTTTTCTATTTTACCAAACCATTAATTATTTTTAATGAAAATCTGTAAATTCATAACGAAAACTGAAGCAGTGATTTCAATGCAAAAGAGGTTTGCTCTTCTTTGAACAAACGTAGTTTTCACACGTAAGTTTAATTCTAACCTCAATCATTTTCATTTAATTCCAATTATTCTATTAGTGTATGGTAATTTATTAGGTTTCTAAAAACGTATGTTTTAAGAACACGAATTAAAACTTACATTAATGATCAAAAGGACATGTGAAACACTAAAATTACCATTTTAAATGACAGTAATATGATAGTTGTATACGTAAAATAAGTATTTCAAACTCATCATATTAAAGTTTTAATGCACTCGTGTCTCATTTCTTTCCTTGATTGAACTGTACTTCACTAATTTGTTTAATTTTAAATGATTAAAAAGGTAAAAACTTTTTTTATAGATAATGCTTCTATTTTATAATTTAAAATACAGTTTAACTGGATGTTCCAAATTTAAATTGTTTTTTATGTATCAATTTTCTCATATTGTTTACATAATGTTTATCAGTTAAGGTTTTTCAGTTTAAACAGCTGTCGTTCACAATTCCTGTTTACAATCACTTTGCTACTCATGCATTTAAACATTTACGAGGTTTTTAAATGTTTACCTCTAGTTTTGTTTTTGAACTATGTGTATTGTATACCTTGTGTTAGAATTATTTCTAACTCTGTTTGAAATTTCTAATCTCCCACCTGTTTTACGATCAAAGCCACGCCCACTTCACAATTACCATTCGCAGCTTAGCTAAATAGAGACAGAGGGAACCATCAGGCATCCATCTCTCTCATGTCCTTTATCACTTTACTCACAGGCAGCTATACCACGTGTTCACTCTATGCTTATTTCTCTATGATATATACCGGCGGCCTAAGATAAAGAAATACTTATAAATAATAATAATTCTGTATCACGGTGTTGCTAGTATTTTCTATTCCGTGGTACTACCAACCTTAAGTGGACGGTTTTTCCTGATTGTGAAGTGAAATATGTATGAACGTATTTAAGACAATTAGTTCTGATCTTAACTCCAATAAGAAAAGGTATCTGATATTAAAGTAAATTGTAATATCAGTGACAATTTCATAATAATATTTCTAACACTATTATTAATTTAATTAGTGTTTTCTTTTTTAATTGCTTTTTAAAATTTTAAAAGCTGATTTTGCCGCGGAGTTTGGCGTTAATGTAGATTTTGTCAATCGTATTGATTGACAAAATCTACATTTTTCATTAAAATTACAGTATCTCTACAAGTATCTCTTAGAAACTGTAGTTTTTGTTGTCTGTAGAATTCGTAAAAACTTTTGTTACTTCAAAGTGCTGCTGCAGTACTAGGCTCTGGCTCGTAGCAATAGTGATAGAAAAAAAAAACGACTTAACTTTGAACGACCATTTCCAACTGGAAATTACTTAGAAGAAAACGCTGGGTGTAAAACTTCGTTGTACTGAAACTTAACGGCGAAATTAACAAAAATTACATAAGTGATGCACTGAAATCCGCTTCCTCAAAAAAAAAAAACCACTCCACTGTTTTTTTTTTTTTGAGGAAGCGGATTCACTGCATTCATTGAATTTAAACCCTCTGCCTACATCAACTAGATGATCCATAAAAGTATAAAATTATTACAGTACAAGCTTGGAACACGAATCTTAATAGAGGCATCAGGTGTACCTATCTATTTAGGTTTTTGGGAATTAACTAAAAGTACCTATGGATAATATCTACCTCTACAATACATTAATCTGTGCTTGTGTGATTTTACTAGATTTAGATTCTAGACGTACAGTTGAATTGTGGCTAACAATATTTTTTTCTAATTAGATAATAAAATGCAAAATATTTGTTAAAATTAATGTAAACTACATGGACACAGAGTACACTGTAATAAACTGAAACTACATGGATCACATTTTTTGCATATAATTGCTTGTCATTGCCTGTTGCACAGTAACCAAACATTTCGTCTACGATAATCTTTTTATTAAATGGTAACATTACAACAAGCAAAACAATCCAGAACATTTTATTTTAAATAAGTGTAAGATGTTATTTACAATATATTTAAACAAATATTCCTACAACAAATGGAAAGCTTCCATTACAAATGTGATTAAATAATTCCTTAATCGTGTTTTTAAAATTCCTTAACTTGCTTTGGTAAACTTTCCTAATTTTGTACCTGGCCACTCATTCTTAAAATATTTGACATAAAAAATACAATTACAAATGGCGTTTACGTAGTGTAGACAGATGTGTTCACGGCCACGATGGGCGATGATTCTTTGATATTACGAGAAGATGGTTATATACGTATGAACTTTCCTGTTACTTCTCTAACTTATCATAGTAACTTAAATATAATATTGGTGAAGACTGACGTAGGTGGTGTACACGTTTTGGATGTGAACTCGGGTGTGATACTGCAGTCTTCTTGTCTGTCAGCGGGTAAGTGAGACGCTATTTATCTAAGAACAAAAGATTTATCATGATTTGTTCGTTGAATCGTGAATTTGTAGGTAGGATTAGGGACTATTTTATTCAGGGATAATCAGCAGTGACTTTTTTCGGTGCCCTACATTGTTTCTCGATTTGACAGTTCCCAATAAACAATTCCATTTATGCCGGATTGAAGTGTTATCTTGTGTTTGAAGATGACGGCGGTACGCTTGGAGTGGAGTATGCGGCAGGCGCGGATCGGGTTTTTATATGGGACAGTAGCGGAGTGGGAGCCCGTACTGATTACAATGGAGTGCTGCTCCTGCACACTGCGCTGCAGCGCCCACTGCCCTCCTCACAACCCGACAAAAGCATAAGAGTCGAACTTGTGTTATCCGAGGTATGTCTATCTATAAATAGTGACATAGTTAAAATTGAGTTTAGAAGGTACTAGGTTATAAATTGTATTGTGGTTATACATTAAAAACCATACAATACAGATTAAATATATATTTCCAAAGTTCTAAACCACCCTTACTTTGAAACTGGTGTGTACTTAAAAAAAAATAGGATTGCACCATATGTAATTAGTTCAAGGCTATATGTATAAATAGGAATTTAATCACTAATATAATTAAGCAATTCCAGTGTCCAAAACATAAATAAAGCATAGAGTAAATTAAAATAAAGTTGATTAACTATTGAACATAAAACAAAAAATTACTTATATATACTTATAATTTTACATACAGTTCCTAAATATATATATTATAGAAAGCAAATCTACTGCTATAGACATTTTCTACCAGTAAAACATAAAGTGATGCAGAGATTTGTGTGACCTGTATAATTAGGATTCATAGTGGGTAGGGATTGATAATTTGTATTATACTAATTTACAAATGTGATTATGATTAATATGCCTTAAAATAATGTATGAATACATTTTAAATAAACTATCAGTACTATTTTCAAAAGGCTACCAATAAATCTGTGTAGAGTTGTCATACCATGTTACCCTTGTTACATGTTAACCTTGAACTAATAAAGTATACTGGTTAGTGGATATTTCCAGATTCTCATTGGCAACATTTTCCATTGAAGCAAAATTCAATCTTATTGGAAGTAAGAGAAAGAAAAAAATAGGAAATCTCTTAAGATCAGTGATGTTAAGTTTTAGCATAGGTAATAGTATGTCAGACAAGTATGCAATGGATTAGAACAGCCATGAAGAGGGTATGGTACCAACAAAAGCAGCAATAAAAAAAGAGGCAGCGGGCAATATTTGATTGTACTATCACAGATAAATTATAAATCCAATATCAATTTTTCAGTTGTTAGTCTAGTTTTTTTTAGGCTAGCCTTTTCTTTAGCCTATTTGAAATATGTAGTACAAATAAGTTTTTTAAGCGCTGGGAACACTGAACGCCTTTCATAGTGGTAAAATTTTGGTATCTTTTATTTTGGTAATAATAAATAAAGATAATTAAACCCATCTACCTGTATAAACTAATATTATCAGGCTAAAAGGCTTTGTTTGTAAGTTTTGACATGTTAATATATCAAATTATTAGTCTGATAGTAATGCATTTTAAACTAAATTCTTTTTGTTAATAGACTGCCCTATTATTGTAGCAAGTCAAATGCAGGTGAAACTGTTACCTAGATTTGGATTTCTGAGATTCTTATTATTTTGATTAATGTTGTGAAATGTTGTGCAATACGGTCAAAATGCAGAATTAATAATCCTTTTTCTAATCAAAGTAAACATTTAACTCATTATTCCTATATTATCATGTTCAACACAAGTCAATCAAAACATCATGATGCTCTTGTTGAATTCTCATTGATAAAGTCACAGTTGAAAAAATATTATATCTGTACTACATCTAATATTAGAAGGCTGAAAAGTGTGTCATGCCATGATGTGTGTGAGAGAATATACCTTAGTTTTTCTAGAATACATATGAACTTAAGATTAAAAAGTGGCCAAGTGTGAGTCGGACTTGCCCATGATGGGTTCCGTAGCAGCAAGAAACATGATATAAAAGTTCTTGTAGTTCGTTGTAACTTTGATTGAATGAAAGGTTAACTGCGGTTTACGATTTATGACGTACTAAGAAAAAACTACTTAATAGATTTAGTTCAAACCAATTTTCCGTGGAAGTTTGCATGGTAATGTACATCTTATATTTTTTTTAGTTTTATCATTCTCTTATTTTAGAAGTTACAGGACACACACACACACACATTATTCCACTTTGAAAGTGTCTCTCGCGCAAAGTATTCAGTTTAGAAAAAAATGATATTAGAAACCTCAATATCATTTTTGAAGACCTATCCTATCCACACATATGGGTTTGATGAAAAAAAAATTTTGAGTTTCAGTTCTAAGTATGGGGAAAAAATTTATTTATTTATTTTTGTACGAAAATCATAATGTGGTTCACAGAATACATCTACATCAAGTTTCAACAGTAAAGTTCTTATAGTTTCGGAAAAAAGTGACTGTGACATACAGACGGACAGACAGACAGACAGACAGACAGACAGACATGACAAATCCATAAGTTTCCGTTTTTTGCCATTTGACTACGGAACCCTAAAAAATATCATGAAAAATTATTAACTATAAACATTCATTTTACCTCTTTTTTTGCCTCATTTATCATCTACCAAGTGTTTTATAATAACAAATTAAAATGTTTAGGTAAATTTAGAAACATCAAAAAAAATCAACATATGATTTCAAACGATCAGTGCATTCTATTCTTAAATTTCCTTAACTTTTTTTTTTTAGGTAATTTCTATTTTGGCTGTAATTAATTTGTAATATTATTATGTATGTATTTAAAATATTTAAGTATGGTTATAATCATATAGGCTCTGCCTAGTTTAGGATCAAACGGCTGTGTGTTATTATTATTTATTTTTCCTTTCATTCATTGCTAGGATGCATGATTAGCTGGAAAAATGTTAACATTGTAAAGTGACAACAATGTATTATGTTTATTAATGTATGTTCATGTTTATACATGTTATTTATTATCTATTATATTTTTTTTTGTAATTTATATGCAGTTTAACAAAGTCTCGTCTTATACTTTTATTACCATTTTGCACTCGACTATCTCCTTCCTGCTTATCTCTGTTTAATGTTACTTCAAAGAGAATGGAATTAATTAAAAAAAAAACTGGTGTCTCAGCCTGCCTTCTCCACATTGGAGTCTGGGGCAGCTACACAAAGGGTGGCAACACACCTGTGTCTTTTCAGTTGTAGGTGTCCATGGGCAACATAGTCACTTGCCATTAAGTAAAACCTCTGCTCGTTTCCCTATTACATTAAAAAAAAATTGATGATTCAAGTGAATGTTAGCTTAAAATATAGAGACTCCAGATTGTATATTTTTTATTATTATTTACTATAGGATATTTTTTATTATTATTTACTGTAGGATATTTTTTTATTATTATTTACTATAGGATATTTTTTATTATTATTTACTGTAGGATATTTTTTATTATTATTTACTATAATTTCCTAACCTTCCAGTTAGGTTAGTAAATAAACCGATTATCCATGTGGTGACGGATTAAGAATACGGAGTGTCACCACCCATATTCATCCCATGGGTGTCGTAAGAGCTGACTAAGGGAGCAAACAACTCTGGACAAGAACACTGTAATGAGAAGGAAACTTAACACAAGCCCTTTCTAAGGAGAGGCCTATGTCCAGCAGTGGACTATATAAGACTGATGTGATGAAACCAATTTATGCTATTGATGTATGAACATTTATTCTATATAAATATATCCTAAAATTTTTCTCATCACCAATCAAGTCAGAGCTTGATGACAAAACAACTCTGTTTGTTATTCTAGACTGATATGCTTATCTATCAAATTATCGATGTTTAAGATTGATGTCGATTATTCTCATATAAGTATCTCTTTAAAATAGATATGGAAATTGTTAGATATTTGCAAGCATATTAAAAGGACCTAAATGTGAAAAGTTATTGTTAACTTCACTGTTAAAATATCCATTAATAGATCCTATACCTAACAGAAATAGAATTTTATCTTTCGCTCATAAATTATACTAACATGAATTATTATCAGCGTTGTTGCATAATGCAATGTGATGTTATTCCATCATTATTTTTATCCGACTGCGCCAGAAGAAGGGTTATAGGTATTAATTTTTTTTGGCATGCTCTGTAGCCTTAACAGCTTGATGGATTTTAGTGTTTGAGGTGTCGTTATATTCGTCTTATTGTAAGAGTAAGTTTCACTGTCACAATAAGACGTAAGTATATCTATGATAATTATAAAAATTAAAATCCTCACTAAATTTTAAGTTTACATTTTCACACAGTCGGATTTTTGTTTTTTTTTTTTTCAGTAATTAGCTTGTATGTAATCTATTTATTTACTTTACTTTATTCAAAAAATTATAACGAGCTCGTTCAGCCATTCTGACGAACCGATTTATTCACTTTCTTTTAATTGTCCTCAAGTATCATAAATCACCTAACATTCACCCTTCTCAAGTTAAACTTCATGATTTCCTCCTGTACGTATCCTATTTCTATAGTACTCGTTATTGTATTTAAGGTGGATAATACTTTACAGGGTTTGTAACGTATAAAGCGATGAATTCTCTCTGCAGTATTTGTATTGAGACTGACTTTAAAAAAAAAGGGTACCTAGTACTTCTTACTTTTCTATATCTCCAGTTCTAATTGGGATTTGTTCTCGGTTTGTTGTGGTCAAAAACCTTTGCTACCTACTAGCTATTGTCTTGGAACTTTTGCCACTTAAAGCGATTGAGTTGTAGAGACACTAGAAGTAAACATTAAACTAAAACTTGATGTTACACAGCAACTTAGCACCTGTAGACTACTTGTGCTTAAATTAGACCAGCGGCCCCGACTGTTCTGTTAGTTATTCACCTGAGGCAATCTAAAGCGCCTTTTTGTTTTGATTGGCAACAAGAAAAGAAAAGTGTTTGTTTTACTATTCTCCTCGCAATTTTTCCTTTTATTTCTGTCTATTAGAAACTTCCCGAAGCCGTATTGATCGAGCCGTCCTCGCGTTTTGCGCTTAGCAACATATTTGACGATTCATTTTATTTATATAGATGGTATAGTTTTCTTTTATTATAGTACTATTAACAAAAGAAAATCCACTTATCGTAGATTTATTTCTCTTTCTTTTTAATCTTATATTATACCAATTTCTATGAATAAAAAAACACCGGTAAGTAGTATTTTCTCCGCATTGTAAAGTTTCTCAGGAAGCAAATAAACCAGTTAGACAGGATGTAATTGATTACAGTAGTAACAAACGTTACGGTAGATATTTTTTATCATCTCGAGTTCGCGATAGAGTTGTTAGTGACGCGAAAGCGTACTAATTATCGTTGCAATGATAATGGGTTTATTAAACACTTAATGAGATTTCACTGCAATTGACATTTTGAGTTATTTGCAGGCTACCATCATTGCTTGTCAAATTATTAAATTTTATAGAAGATCACCGACTTCAAATTCACCCTTAGGGTAGTCTTTTTTCTTGTTTGTCGGTCCACGGGTAGGTCGGTTATCGCGGTAAAAAGTAGCCTAATTTTCTCTCTGATAATCTAGCTTTCCATTAGTGAAAGAATTTTTAAAATCATATTAGTGGTTTAGGCGTGAAAGCGTAAGAAACAAACTCAATTTTTCACTTTCAAGTATGGGTATACCCTCCATAATAAAAAAATCCAAATCGTATCATAAATTACAGAGTTCAAAGTACAATCAAATTCTGAAGTTCCTTCTTTTATTTGAAGTCGGTTAAAAATTACTCTATTAATCTGAACTTTCTGCAGATAACTAGAAAACTGTTTGGTGTTAAAGGAAGTAATTACGAGATAGGTAGGTACGATCAATAAAGTAAAACGGTTCGGTTGAAAAAAAACCATTAACTTCAGTTAGGTTCACTGATTTGAAGAATTTTGATGATGAAGAGACTACAGGATTCTAAGGAAGTCATTGACAACTCGAATGGTTGTATGGACAAGGGTGTATGTATGCATTTAAAGGAACATTCGCCTTACTGATGAAAGTAAATAAGTATCAGTAATTGACACTGAAAGGGGAATGCCATCCGACCATTGACACTTTGGCCTTGGGTGCACACATATAAAAGCATAAGGAAATGATAATATACAATTTAAAGAAAAAAATGGTTAAGGAATAGATATTTAAAAAAGTTGGGATTTTTAAGATATAAAATGGTTTACAAATACAGTTTTTAAGCACGAGTGGCATACTACATTGTCACTCGAAACTTGTACCTAATAATAAATGTGCCATAATTATTAGATATTTTTACTATTTTAAGTTAACTCAGTTAAAAAGCATTTCTAAGAGGAAGAAATGACATGGATTAACTATTTACCTGCCGTGGTCGAACTCATTGTTGTATAAGATTTCGAACATTTCGCTACATTTACACCACAATTGCCACAGCCTTAATGTCCTCTTGAATGAGTTGAAGAAAGTGAAGAACTTTGGCCGCTGTAAAAGCTTTATCAATGGATATCAAGTCCAAGTTCGCGCAGGATATATCGTGAGAACCGCCAAGGATAATCAAATTCAGTTCGCACAGAAACCCAACTTACTCAGTGACTTTTCTTTGGATTGTGATTTTTTAAGGAACGTCTAGCTCCGGAAATCATGAATCAAGTAAATGATATGAGAAAATGTATGAATGTTAATAGGTGCTCCATTTTATAAAGCTCATGAATGATGTATAGAATTATCAGTGCATTTGCAAGCTAATTTATTAATTGGGAATACTTGGGAATATATATACTACGGAATGATTTTATTTCATTAGAATCTGTATAGGTCCATTGGCGCACAGGAATTGAATTTTGTTATAGGTATTAAATATCCCTACCAATAATATAAATGCGAAAGTGTGTCTGTCTTTCTATCTGTTACCTCTTCACGCTTTAACCGATGAACCTATTTAGATATATATATCGATACAGATATCGTCCTACTCCCGGGAATGGACATAAGGTAGTCTTTTTCCCAGAAAACATCCTTTAAGGGCGGTGGAAGTTTGTATGGAGAATCAATAACCGCTGAACCGATTTAGATGAAGTTTGGTATGAAGATACTTTGATTCTTGAGGAAAGACAGGCTATTTTTACCGCGGTCACCAAAATTTACGGTAGCTAGTATGATTATAAAACAATGACCGCCTTTGAGATCAAAAAATATTGAACACTTTTTTTTAAAGTTGAGAATATCCATCCTGCATTTAATAAAACTTTTGAAAAAAAAAACGTAGACGCCATAGAGTCACGCTATAGATTCAAATTGATTGATATTTCTTATATCATTCTAATATGATTTTAGATCAAAATAGTATTCAGTAATGGTTTCCGCTCTAAGGTTAAGTTCATGATACTAGCGGGTCAAGGCTCTAATATCTATTTTTAGTTCAGTCTGCGAGTGTTTGCATCATTTTTTGTAGTGTAGAAGCCCTATGTAAGTATGACCCTATTTTCTTTATAAACTTCTTCTTTCAACTATACTTATCTTTAATACTCTGATGAAGTGTTCACAATTGTTGTACCGCTTCTCTCTTTTTAATCCATACTTATATTATAAATGTGAAAGTGAGTTTGTTTGTTACGCTTTCACGCGTAATACACTAAACCGATTTTAAAAATTATTTCACCAATGGAAAGCTACATTATCAGCGAGTAACATGGGCTACTTGTTACAGCGATAAAAGACGTTCACGTGGCCGCAGTCGTTGGCATGAGCTAGTAATAATAATAATTCTTATTTGGAACAAGAAAACTATTTAGGTACTTTTTAAGGTTAGTTAAACAAAACTGAAACATGAGTTAATTAATACTATGTTACTATGATTTTTAACCTCCGACGAATTATTTTTAGCTTATGCTTTATAAATCTAACCTAACCTTATCATCCGTGTAACTTAGTTATGTGACTCAGTGTTTTGATGACGACATATTCTTAGTTGAGGTCGTGGTCAACAGACATACGAATATTGTTTGTTATACCTACTAAAACGTCACGCCGGCATATTATTATTTTATTTCTAAGTACATTGATTAGTAAACATTATAAGATTAAGATATAATTGGACACTAATACAGAGAAAACAATTACTATTAACAACATATATGAAAAATCTAAGCTTTGTGGGTTCCAATGCAGTTTTTCCATAGATAAAGTCGTGAAGTCTAATTGTCTTCATAAATACCATAAACAACGCCACGAAGTTACAAGAGGAAATTAACCGAAAAATCCTGAATGGTTTCAAAAAAAGGATTGTAGGTACGCTCGTTGTTTGTTTTTTTTTTCTCTATTTGGCGCTTGCACTGCCGTGCCACCAGATTTTATGATTTCTTCAACTTTTTAACCAACTTCAAAAGAAGGAGGCTTTTAATGAAATTTATTTATCGACCAGGTAAACTTAAACAGAGTATAGTAAAACTGTGATATATAATTTTTCGTAATCGATCGAAGTCAGCTAAGTTGTTGTATATCCTTTTCGCATAAATATCAGAAACATGATTGTTATTAATATAAATAATTACTACGAAATACTTTGGTATTAAACTATTATATGCTATACCACGTACCTTAACTGTTTTTTTTATGGAAGAGGGACAAACGAGCAAACGGGTTATCTGATGAAAAGTGACTACCGCCGCCCAGAGCACTCCATGATATATACGATAGAGAATGCAGAGTGAAGCTACAGCTCCATGTAACGCCAAGGGATCGAGCTGAGCGAAGATCTTTTAGCTATCGAAGATTCGAGTCGCTTCTCGTTGAGTCTTCCCACAGAACGATTTTATCATATCATGCAGTTACCAAATAACAAAACACAAACAAATTACAGTATGGTTCAGGTGCAAAAAAAGAAGAACTTACAATTAATCTGATTGTCTACAACTGTGATTTAAAAAAAGCTAGGTTATTCTATTGATTATTAATTATATTGTAATTTTAACTGTGATCGCAATAGCAGTTTTTATTGAGTGTGTTCTAATTTTTATGTTCCAAAAAGTGGCCTACTGTAATTGGTTGATCTTAAACGATTTAATTTTTAAACGTGCACTCCCACTTTTGTGGCGATAACGCCGTAAAGGCTGAATAAATAAGCCGTATGTATGTGTATGTTAATGTTACATTTAAATAGCCAAGATATCACATTCTGTCGTTTTAATGCAGCATTAATATTAATCTCATATGTAAAGGGGTACTTTATATTTTCTTTTAATAAGGTGATACAGCTTGCTAAGATAAACAGACACTCATAAGCTTTCATTTCTCTTCAGTAATTGCAATATTATATTTATAAAAAATATAAAACGAATCTATTCCATGTTTTTCAAATATACCTTGTTTTAAATCTACGGTATCCGTGAGAAAAATCGCGTTGTTTGAAACGTTTAAATAACGAAAGTAAAAGGAATATATAACTAGGAGGATAGGCGCTTAATACGCGCATTATAAATTCTAACATTTTTTTAAAATTATAATTTCTTACATCAGGTACCATTATTACACTTTAAAATGTCTCAGTTGATAAAGATTTTAAATTTTCAATACGATTTCATGAATTTTCAAATATGTTTTTTCAGATAGTATTTATTTTTCGAAATTCATTAGAACACTTTAAACATGACAGCGAGCACGTAGCTTCTGACAATAAATATACGCGCATACGAGTACTACTGATTTTGATACAGTTTAGTTGGTAGTACTTTAAAGTCGGTCTATCATATTATATTGATCGAAAAAAGGATAATTATTTATCCGCAATATGTTGTAGCACAACCACAGTCCTTCTTCTTTTTTTTATAGCTAGGCCCTTAAATAATACAAAATATAATATTCTATTAAAAACAAATAATGGGTATTTCCAAACGATCTGTTTTACTTCATTGATCGTACCTATCTCGAAATTATTTCCTTTAACATCGAACAGTTTTCTAGTTATCAGCAAATAATTCAGATTAATAAAGTAATTTTTTACCGAGTTCAAGTCAAAGGAGTTTCTCAATTTGATTGTACTTTGAACTCTGTAATTTATGACCTGATTTGGATTTTTTTTACTATGGATGGGTATATCCATACTTTACATAAATGTGAAAGTGAATTTGTTTGTAACGCTTTCACGCCTTAACTTCTAAATCGATTTTAACTTTTTACAGGCAAAAGCTAGTAAAGCATGTAATATGTAGTTACCATCATAATATGGACAGACAGCGATACTATCTATTATAGTTACTATTTAAGTTCTACTATCTAACATCGATATTAATTGATTTCTTCTTCCACCAGGCTGTACTCCTGTTCCAATGCCTTCAGAGTCTAGACGCACTTTCCATCGAGGGCCTCTCAGATTTCATCAACGCACTGAAGAATGCTATCGACGCCGAGCCCGTCAGGAAAGGCGTCAAGGCCCAAAAGGTTAGCAGTATTCTTTCTTTGCAGGATCTACTATGCTTTCAAACGTCCAACCACCAATCACAGCATCCGCTACACAAGCAATGTATGCTTACTTTTTCTGGCCAGAAATGCCTATATGTCCATTACCATTTGTGTTTTAAGATAATATGTTGAGGAATAATTGAATGACTATGAAAGAGTTTTAAGTTTTGCCTAGTCGCTGAGTTGATCACAAATATAGTTTTTAGAGGTAGTAATTGAATGATGTTTTCTAAGTCAATGAAGGTCGTTTAGATATTAATAATGCTCTGGATACCCGAAAAAAGAAACAATTCCCTTTAATAAATATCTATTTAAAAAATCCTAATGAAAGAAGAGACTAGGTAGGTACAGAATTTATAATTCTCATATTAGTTTGGCCTAGTACATAAATATCAGTTGGTAATCTAAAGCGGTTGAGTGTAACTTGATCCAGCTAGGGAACTACTCAGACCTTTATCGCCAACTACATTGTTTGCTATAAGCGTTTTTAAGTAGTTATGATATCAGGGGCAAGATATACGGCTATTGGTAAAGAATAATATTTTGGTCGACTTAGTCTGAAGGTATAGAAGTGAGATGTCCTTTCATTCATTCTTTCATTTCACACGTTCATTGCCCAAGCAAAAATGAAAATTTTAGATGGATCGCCCCACATAAAAAACGCAACGCTAAACCATCGCGTGATTCCGATGGTCACATCCAGTACCCGATGGTTTAATCCTTTTTCTGGAGACCCTTAAGAAACGCATTTGCAATATTCAATATTCCAGTTCACGTAATAATTTTCATATAATATATGGACTATGAAAGCTTCACGCGACGTCAAGTGATGAGCCAGATGGAAGCGCTCAGCATTTGAAAAATAGGCAATGAACGTGTTGATTGAACTTGTTGTTACTATGATGCCAAATATTTAAAATTATTTATTTTGCCTCAGTGGAGCACTGTTACCGTCTCCCTACCGCAATCCACCCTTCGGCTCGTCACCACAGGCGTTGTTCAGGAGCTGAAGGGTCAGAACCGGCGGATACCAGCGCTTGCCATCGCTTCGGCGGTTGGACAACGCGCTAATGAGCTGGTGCCCTGTTCTAGAGATGAGGAGACCAGGCCCTTGATGTATAGCGAGGCAGAGAGGAAAGAAACTTTCAAACGATGGCCTCATATGGACTATAAGTGAGTTTTATGAAATTGTATTTTATGAAATACCTATTAAGACAGACGTCATCCTATGGTCATCCTATCCTATCATAATGCTATCTTGCGTTTACTTGTTTATTACGCTTTTACACCTTAACTACTGAACCGATCTTTATAAAGCATACAGTCCCTCTGTGTAACGAATATTGAAAAAGTGTATTCAGACCATTATTTTGAGTCGAAAATCATTGGAATTTCCTGCCGGGAAAAAGTTAAGGTCATTCCCCGTAGGTATCACACAAAAGTAATAACCACATTTGTATTCCGTGCAGTCTACGCACACTAACACAAGTTGGCGGCCGGAGGGAAGGTCTCTCGCGATTCGGCTGTTTCATTAATTACATTGCAGCTTTTGACCGTATGCTGTATTTATTTTAAAAAAATCGATAAAATGTTCTTTTTACTCATTATGATATCACTTTAAACCGAAAAATGGAAAGTCACACACTTTTTGGTTTTTGGTTTAAAGTGTCAGCTCCAAAGCACGACTGAAGTTTATTCCTTAAGAACGATTCGGCTGTAAACAAATTACATGTTATACGCACACATGTGAAAGGTGCGCACGATAGGTTGCTCACAAGAAACGTAACGAAGTCATTCGATCACTGGGTACTGGGTGCCTTACATGAAAATCCATTCATAAGGAATTTTCCGCCTAAAAATGCCAATGATATTCCACTCAGAATTATGGTCTAAATACACTATTTCAGTAACGTTATACCGTACAGTAACCTTACAACCTGTATATGAAAGATACTCGGTTAATTTTTTATACTCGAAAGCAAGTAACAGGATTGACATGAGGCCAGAACGGTTAACGCGTTATCAAAATTTCAGTTCCAGTCTCTTATCGCGACAGATTAATAATTCACCAGAGTAATGTATAAGTTTATGTATCATCAACAGCCATTACTAGTCCACTGCTGAACGTACGGCCTCTCCTTAGAAAGGAGGGTTTGGCCTACTGTACCACGCTGGCCAGACGGGTTGGTATAGGGTTTGTTTCAAGTTTTCCTTCTTTTTGCAGTGCTGTTGCCCTGCTTAGTTTGTTCCCTTAGTCGCCTCTTACGACACCCACGGGATGAATAGGGGTGAAGTTTATGTATGTAGTATATATATGTATAATTTAATGCATGCAGTAAACTGATCTTCATTGATCACATAATATGTAACCTCTGTGCACCTCATCAACAACAGCCTTTAACAGCCCACTGCTGGACATAGGCCTCTCCTAAGGAAGGAGGTATGGGCCTACTATACCACGCTGGCCAGACGGGTTGTTATAGGGGTTGTGTCAAGTTTTCCTTCTCTTACGACACCCAAGGGATGATTACAAGACCTCATAAGGTTTCTACACCACCCAAAGGTTGACTGGAAGAGAATACCCTGGGCATTAAGTCCCCGATGTACAAAAGTGCATAATGTTTAAATAACAAAAAATAATTGTTAAACACGAAACTCATACTATATTATGAGTCATAAGGTACATAGTACTATATGTGTTCATTAACAACTGTAGATTAGTTAATATAATATGGTAAACTTAGCTGAAAAATTGATTTCATAATTTCTTTCATATAGTAAAAAACATTATTCTAGATGGGCGCTTCCAGCTCGCATGGCGCAAGCTGGCTTTTACCATCAGCCATCGCCTAGCGGAGATGATCGGGCGATGTGCTTCACATGCCTGGTGTGTCTCGTCTGTTGGGAGAAGTCTGACGAGCCGTGGGTCGAACACGAGCGGCACTCCCCCAACTGCCCTTTCGTCAGGGGCGAGTATACGCACAATGTCCCTATATCGGTAAGTACCATTCCAAAAACTAGTGTCAATATGTTTTGATACTTTTTCAAATACATGTGTTGGGGGTCTGAGTTATTTAAAATATAATTATAAATGTTAATACGACTAAAAATGTTACTGATACTTTTCTAAACGTATTTAATCACCATCACCAGAACCACAACCTAAATTATTATCTTTTATCACCAGGATAAAACCTCTTACTCCTCATCCTGGCTGCCTGACAGATCATTTACAAATCAACACTTTAAAATACTACTTCCCTAAATGTTTGATCATATTTGTTTTATTTTTGTGCAGGTGACAAACGCCACGGCATGTGCTGTTCCTAGTCCAAATGTCACTGTCGTTTCTAAGGGTAATACAGGGGACCTGATCGCGACGGGTACTCCTGAAGGCAAAGTGAACATATGGCGCTTCGACTGTGGACTCAAATTAGTGAAGTTCATCCACTTGTCACCGTATGATTCGATATTCAGTGGCATATTAGCTACTGATAGCAATAAAGTATGGTCTGCGAGCTTAGAAAAGGATACTTGTAAGTTGTTAATATATCTTCATTCTTAAAATGTCAAGTAAATGATCTTACAATATGTAGTAATATTACTTAAAATATCAGGACTACTAATACAACACATCAATGTAACAATCACATAACTTATTTAAAAACGATTACTGGTTGTTATAAAATATATGTTAGCAATTTTTACTCCATCTTGAGGTCTTCATCTTGAATTATGAGGTTATATTTAGATTAGTATTGTTCATGCACAAATACGAATGCATGGCAATATATCTCGTTTGCGAACTCCATTTGTGGAGCGAATTAAGCTCTCAAACATGGCTATTCGTTTATTCCTCCACAACGCTTAATTGTGCATCATTCCCATAGTTTAGGATTGAGAATTAAAATACCAATTCTTATTGGCGAACACTATCGTTGAACTTGAGTAATAATAATAATAATTTATTCAAGAAGAAATTACATAGATCCAAAATATAGCTTACAAAATTGTGATTGTAAAGTTACACAATACAATACAGTGAGTTGTTACTTAACCGAATGACACGTTGATATTCCAATCTAATATATATTCTGTTTTTCCGTAGCCACATATGGCGTAGAACTTACAGCAATGGCCTTCGTAGGCATGACATCTCAACAAGAGGTCTACCCACAAACACTAAGTACAGAAAACACTGAAAAAGAAACAAATACGAGTAAAACAAAACCATCACTCATTTGCGCTGTTATTATCACAAGGACGATCAGCACAAATCCAGATCAACCCATCAAAGAAGATTCAAGTAAAGCCCTATTTGACTCTGGTGTTGACACAGAAAGTGTACAAGCAATGAATGATCAAAATGAAGCTAAAAATAACTTAACCACAAATAAAATGCTGTTTCTACTAACATATGACATACACAGTTCTTTAGCGGGCTCCATAACCACAGTAGTACACACATCGAACAGTAGCGGTAACTCTAAACCTGGCGGCAGCAAGAAAGTATGCACTTTAGCTAGGACCGACGACGTTTATGACGAAGTATACTACCACTACTCTGACGAAGAGACAGAGCTTCCACAATGCACAAACAGCTTACTAGACGAACAAATCAGCAATGTGATTAATCTCAACGCATCGTCGAGTAAAGAAGACTGTAAGATGTGGGAACCTAAGAAAATAATATTGACGAAGCATGTCAAAGTAATGCCACCGCCTCCCCCAACGGCCTTGTTGCCAGAGTTACAAGAAGCTGGACAAGCTACAATGTTGGACTTCGTGGGCAAGTTATCTCAACTAAAAAGCTGGACTAAGAATGCTAATTTAGAATCTGTTGGTACTAAGCTTGCTGATCAAACAGATGCAGTGCAAGATCCGTTCACACATTATCTTAACATGAATGGTCCTTTAGAGATATCAGACCTGAAATGGTATGAAGGTGGAGATGGTACAGAGAAAGTTAAAGTTACTACTTTTGGGGGCAGTAAAATTGGCACACAAGCCGCAGTTACCAATGGCAATAACGATGGTTTCGATAGTGACCCTCCTCAAGAGGAAGCAGTGTCACAGGGTATAGCTATACAGTGCTTAACTCTTCCAGCCAAACTGAATTTAAAAGACGATTCCAAGGTGACGCATTTGTTACCGACAGAGGACAAAGAGCATCTGCTCGTAGTTATATCAAGTATTGAACCAGATAAGGTTAAAGTAGAAGAGGACACCGATAATGATGGTGATACTAAAATGGAAGTGGACGATGTCACAGAGCCGAGCGACAAAACCGAATCGGATGCTAAGGCGTATTTTATACTATATAAGATCAACAACAAAACGTCAATATACACTTTAGAAGATAATCCTGTATCGGTAAAAGAACTACCGTTTAATGAAAGTCCAGTAGATTTATGCTTATTACCTGTAGATAAACATGATCAGTATTCTTTCGCAGCTGTCGGAGTTGACGGAAGCTTACGATTATATTCTCTACCCGATTTCAAGACGTTGTCTGAAAAACGAGTACCAAAAGGCCAGTTTACCTCAGTAGTGTTTTGTGCTTCAGTAGAGCGCCTAAGTGTTTCCACTAAACATGGAATGATCTACTTTTACGCATTAAACAACGGGGAAAAGGATTCAGCTGGTGATATTGACGAAGATGAATTTGCTAATATAGATTTTGATATGCTACAACGAGCACCGCGGGACGAAGTATGTGGGCCGACACAAGCGCCGGTCATCATTGCTAATAAGACTGAACTAGACTTGTCAGACTTAGAAACTTTGATATCTTTGACTGGGTATTACGGTACTAATACAACAGTGCCTTATAGCGCGGTTGTGCCTGGTTTTTGGTGCGAACTCTCGCCTGCTCAACGATCGAGATCAGACCATCAGAATAACCGAACATGGAGGTTGCAAAATACTTCTTCGACTTGGGACGAACATGTCCTAGAACTGACGTTACCCTACAGTGTCTCTCTTGCTCACATAGAATTCGGATTTACTCTACACTCAGTTTGCTCAGCAAATTTGCCGATTATATTAGTAACACTGTTGAAGCAAAATTTGCATGGCATTGGATACAAGAAAGATGCGTCTTTCGGTCACAGATGTGACTCTCCGATCCATTTCCCCGTAATAGATGCAGATATGTCCAACTTAGAGAATCCTATAAATAGTGAGGAATACTTGCAGGCTCATAACGCTGAGATCTTGGCAGGTCCATTGTTATTGTCATCGGGATTGGATCTTACACAGCAATCGGGCACTTTAATCTTGACTAGCCCTCGCTTATATCGGGCTAGGGGCCGAACATTTTTAATTCACATAAAAACACTATTTGATCCTGCGAAAGACATGTGTAAAGGACCTAACAAGACTGGCGAAAGTAGTAGTATTAACAGCAATTCTAAGAAGACTGGCTTTATCGGATGCGACTGGCTCCACCAGATTTCATTGACCGTTCGTTCCAGTCCGCATACTGACGTACCTATGGAGAGGCAGCAACGGATAGCGATGTTAGAATCGAACAGTTTCTTAAACACTTTGTGTGAAATTGCTATTAACAGCGGGGATGGTGAAAAGAGGGACTTAGCCATGGACTTGTTGATTTGGGTTGTGTCGATAAGGCTACAAAGAATGCGATTGGCAAAGACGGAAAAGGGCAAAGATAAGACTGTGGAAACTCAGCAGTTGGAGTGCGTAAAGATTATAGAGAAGCATACCGATGCTTTGATTAAAAATTGCATTTTGTGTGCCAATAGAAGCATTGCTAAGAAGTGTGTCAAGATTCTTCTCATTACTAGCGAGTGAGTATTCATCAAAGGCTTTTTTAACAATAGTTTTTTATTTTATTATAAATACCAAACAAAAAGGTTTTTTCTTCTTAGACAAAACAAACAATAATTACACAATACTATTAATAGGTTATAAAAGTAAAAAAATTCGATGCTAACGACACTGTAAAATATTAGTTTTTTATATAGTTAGAAACGGAGATTAAGAATAGATTTATTCATTTCTAATATGTACAGATGTTAATATGTGGAAAATAACAACAATTACAATGGATGATTTTTAGTAGAGTTCAAAAAAAGAGTTTGCAAATTAGTTTAACAAACAGAATTTAAAAAATCACGATTTTGTAAAAAATGCTGTAAGAACTGTGTCGCTTAGCTAATGGGGCATCCATTAATTACGTGAGGGGGTTTCGGCGATTTTGTGAACCCCCCCCCCCCTACCACCGGGTGAGATGTCGTGAGATTTCATTCAACTCCCTCCCCCATCTCCGAATGTCGCATGAGAATTTAAAAAGTGTTTTTAGTGTAAAGGCAGTTTTATCAAAAGAAATATGCTTAGTATTTTAATTTAAAACTAGATTAGACTAGTATTTAGGATTGCTTCAGAAGCAGGCTAGTAAATTTGTATTGTAAAAGATTTGGCCATATTTTTCTGGAGGTACATGCTTTCCTTAATTTAACCCAGTTTTCTGGCAATTTTACTGTTTCTTGCGGATAAAAAAATATTCTTCCCCCCAAACTATGATTAGATGAGATTCGGTTCGACCCCCTCCAGCCCCCCTCTGAACGCTTAGAAAATTTAATGGTCGCCCCCTTTTTTCAGTCGTTGATTTGTAACTACGACGACACATAGTTTTGTCGTAAATTCAACATACAAATTAAAAAAATATGATATTTGTGATATTATAAATGTGTGTATGTCACATTTTAACTAGCATCAAAATCTGGTAAAAAGCAAAATGTTAATATGGTGTATTTATTAATGAAATAACATATTTTGTGGCAAATCCAATGACGATGAACATTATTTAGGGCCGAAAAGCAGCTGCCGAAACCTTGGAAGTCCACGTTCGAGCAATCGCTGTCGGGCAGCGTGATATCGTGCGTGCCGTACGTGGGCGCGTGCGTGTCGGCGGGCGCGCTGCGCTGGCTGGCGGCGCTGGCGCACCACGCCGTCTCGCGCGACGCCGCGCCGCAGCTCGTGGCGCGCTGCCTCGCGCTGCTCGAGGAGTGTGCCAAGTGCTTGCGCGACCGACCCGATGTTTACCACAGCCTCTTGAAAGCCAGGTAACGACTCTTTACCGTAGCTTTTTCGAAATACGATAAATAAAGTTTTAGCACGCGTATCCATATTCTCTTAAAATATTCTTACTATTTACTAGAGTTATTGCATATTATGTATGGCAGACTTTAAGTAAAACAAAGTAAATTTTAAGTAAATTTCTTATTACTCTTTCGGTACAGGTTTGGGCTCTACGGTCTACCCTTAGAACGCTCAATATTCTCGGTGGACGTACCAGAACTGGGGCGAGGCTCTTCAACCCCGGTGACGTACGCGAGTGTCCTTGCCGGAGATACCAACACTCCACCAGTCGTTAAACCGGATTACCAACTGAAGGACTTGCTCAATTTGCCTCTAGATATGGGTAAGTGATATTATAATAGTACCGATTTGCGAATGTTTGTATATGTGTTCATGTGTTTAATTTTTTTGTAATGAAAGTATTAATTTTTACGGTCTATATAATGATTTAAACAGAGTGATATAGCAAATCTTGCTTCTCCAATGGATTATTATGGACCAAAATATAGCTTAAAGAGATTGGAACAAAAACTTTCAAAGAGGACCAGCAGCAAGATAAAACTGTTAGAAACTAGATGGCGTTGTGTGTCAGATGTCTAAAAAATATTATTATTGAAGATCTCGCAATTAAAGAATATCTTTATAAAACATTGCGAATTAATACTAATGTAGAGACCATAAAAAAAAAACAGAATTCCTTGATAATGTTCACAATTCATGTTCGTGTTCGCATGTGTGAAGTGACGTGTTACCCGGTCACTGTATGTGTTTGGTGCTATGCACAAACAAATTGATAACTAAAATCTGCGTTCAGAACAAGAAATGACTGCAAGTGCTAAGTCAAAGCTTTTTATATCATGTTATTCAGTTTGAGCTAGTTTGCTGCTCAGCTCAGTGGCTGAAAATCGAGTTTCATGGACATTTAATTTTAAAAAATAACTTGGTTTTCGATTGGAATATACATTACACGTGATTGTTTTCTAAGTATATTGCACATGTTGTAAAATCTTTTACTATTGAAATCAATGTTTGCAAACATTTAGTTACTTAAATAAAAGTGTGCGGCAAATTTTAATAAACTAGTGTAATTATGAGTTACAGTATATTATGATTTCTAAATTTAATTTATACTGTATTTACTATTTAGTCATTTACTACAATGACCACATTGTTATAAGTTATTCCAATCGAAAAACAAGACATGGTCGAAAATTAAACTCTGTCCATGAAATTCTATTTTCAGACCTGTGTACCACACGTGTGCCACACCTGAACCCAGACTACTGCCAACTCAAGGACTTGCTGAATGTGCCGATTGACATCGGTAAGTCGTTACTAGCTTACAAGTACTTGTGTAGGCTATATCTGGGTGAAGAATTTATATCTCCGCAAAGTGGCTTATTTTTATTTCCCTAATTAGGTTTTGCCCTCGGCTCCGCATCGCGGTAAGAAGTTACTCGCTGATAATGTATCTTTCTTTCCATTGGTGAAAGAATTTAAAGAAATGGTTTAGTGGTTTAGGCGTAAAAGCTTAACAAACAAACAAACTTTTCTTTAGGCTTTCATCGCCTTCATTATTAAAACACAAGAAGAGGAGTTATAATACTTACTTTTACGGATATAAAGTAGATATATTTACAATTGTATCAATGTTCAATAGAAGAGATCGCAAATGGGGATAATAGACTTCCAATACTGTATGTTACTCATTTTTAAGCGACTATAAGAACTATTGTTTAATGAATTAAGCTAACTAAGAATTATGTTAATAAATAAGACATTGGTGCTAATTTTGTTGTTCGAAAACTCTCTAAATTAAACTAAAAATCACTAAACATTTGTTTAGTTCTGTCAAATAACGTTTCCTATTCTGAAAATGTAATATTTGACAGGACAAAAATTTTTTAGAGATTTTTTAGTTTAGAGAGTTTTCGAAGAACAGCATTAGCACCATCATTATATAATTCTACGAACAACAAAATAGTAATAATAATGTAATATATGTAAGTGTTCTATTTTAAGTTGAAGGCGTTTTATTATTTTATCTTGATAAATAAGATTTTGGAAGAAGCTGACAACTTTGAAAGTGCTAGGTTGACAGTTTTGATCGATCAGCTTAGTTCATGTTTGTTTATTAATTGTATACGTAATACACTGCATAGCTCCATTTCTAAATATAGTCAATACTTTAATTATGCTTCTTAAAAAGTAATTTTGTTATAAATTCGTCCTAAATCTCTTGACTACTAAGGCTTTCATATTACAAGTAAAAGAGCACCACCACTAGTCTTTCATTAAGAAAATACTTATGAAACCAAGTTTTAGGTAATAACATAAATGAATTGTCATAAGTTTTGTGAAAAAAAGCTCCTTACTTCATTCTTTTAGTAATTTGTCTTAAGTAAGAACGTAAGTAGATTAAGTTAAATCTTAAGTTGTATATTTCGCACACTGTTAACATGATTAGATACCGATAGATCGATTTGTTTAAGCCCCTGCTCTCCATAAAAGCTTTGGCTTGGTGTGTATAAACCACTTTAATCTGAACATCAATAATATTTCTACAGAGTCAAAAAGTGCTTCCACATCTACGGCGTGGTGGGCTCAGAACAACGGTGTTGGAGTATTCAGTGCTGGGTTGAGTGAGGCCATGCCGTTACACGTGACGTGCCATGTGGCGTCCGATGGCACCAAACTGGAGTCAAGTGGAGCGCGACATAACTCTGCTGTTATCAGTTCCATGCCTGGTGGGGGACCGGGTGATCCTACTCAGGTATGTTTTATTACTCGATTTCTTTTGTATAGACATATTTTTAGGCTGGAATTTTGATTTATTCTCATTAGTTCGATCCATCAGTTCGATCGTCGAAATAGTGAGATTTTTTTTCTCATTAGTTCGACGGTCGAACTAGTGAGAATAAAAAATGTCTCACTAGTTCTACTGCATTTAATTCGGAATGTAACATGAAACTTAAGCGATAAGGTAAGAGATAGGGAAGACAGAAAAATATTTTTCAATTATGTATTTGACCAAGGACGTGATTTGATTTTCAATGAATAAACATTTTTTTTTAATTTATGTTATTATGTTTCATGTTTCATTCTGAATTAAATGCAGTAGAACTAGTGAGACATTATTCAGACTTAAAAAGAATGAATCGAAATTTTCAGCGTCTTAAATGGTTATTTTTTGGATTAAAATACATATCTTTTTAATTTAAGACATTTTTAACTGTGATATGTTTTGAAAATTTCCTATCAAGGTTCTTTTCGAAAAACGGTTGAAACTAACTAATCTATGGATAATAGATTTCGAAAAATATAATAATTGGGAATGTATCACATCTAAATTGAATTGAAAGTTATTTAAACCAAATGACATATTTACTAACTTCTGCTTTGAACGCACATTCTCTTTTGGCGATATAATTCTACCGATGCTACCACAGCGTAAATTATGAGAAGTTAAGCCTGTATTGGTATGCAACAAAACCTGAAATATAATCTTACTATAAAAGGAAACAAACTCCGAACTTGTTATCATTTACTTAGTAATACATAAAAAAAAACATTTATATGTAACAACTTATATGGTTCTGTTACTTGTATGGTTTCAATTATCAGACTAAAACCTTACATTCATATTATTTCTTCACAGTTATGGTCAGTGGTGAAACAGAGCCAGATGAAACATTCTTCACAAGACCCTGATTCGTTGGAAGATGTTGAGAGTTCACTCATGGAGTGTGACCCCCAGGAGAAGTTAGAATTTGCTGATGAAAAACTGTTTAAGGTAACTTTTTTTTTAAATGATCTATCTTGCTTATTGTCAATACACTGATATAAAGTTTATTTCATAATGGTTATAAACCGAATTAATTGTGGTAGTATATTACCTAAACCTATATTGTAAACCTAGTTTTGCCGTGTGTGTCCTAGTGTCGTCCCATTTGAGGATCTGACTCACAACACTCAGCGCATTAGTGAGCGGCATGGCGTCCTCTTAAACCACTACGTCGTCCGTTCAGTTGCTTATTAAACATGTTTCACACACAGCACATCTAAGAAAATTGATAAACAGCAAAGAAAATTGTCTCTTCAAGGCTCAAAAACTTATCAAATTCTTAAAAACACAATTGTCGTCATAGTTCTAATTCATACATTTTTAATTACCTCTACAAAGAAAAATTAAAAGTTGTATGTGTGTAATATAAGCTGTAATATGCAATAACAATTGGTGTAATATGCGGTATTTGTTGTCCAGGATCAAGAGCAATGTGGTATCCCGTGGGCGTCCCTGGTGACGCGGCCGCCGCAGCACACACTTCTGGTGGAGCGCATGCACTCGGGGGCGCGACGCTATATCGTGCTTGACTTCGGACACACTGTCCGCTTGACTGACGTCGTATGTGCCCTTTCCTTGAAAATATACTTAAACTGATGATATTTTAGGCTCTTGTCCTAACCTGTTAGTGTTGAGAATCATCACTGACACAACGTGAATTCTAAGACTTTTTTTTTAATGAAATTTTGCGGTCACTAGGAATGTCCCACAAGAATTTTTTTGATTGTTAACTAATAATCAACTTATAAATTATGCAAATATGCATACATGTACATTTGAATTTCGATATGAAATTATACTTTATTATAAAATATCTCAGAAAACCGCCGTAAGTTTTGTTTTTATTTCAGTCACTTTGACTGACACAAGAAATATAATTTAACTGAAAATATAAAACCTTGATATTCTCTGAGTTACTTCTCAAAATGTCCCAAAACATTTAGTGTCTCAATCAATCATCTAGTGTAATGAAGAAGTCCCAAGTTTTGGTCTAATTTTTTTTTTACTTTTTTGTGTGTATAAATCATGTTGATATCAAATTTATAAAAACTAACTTCAGCATCTATGAATCTGAGCTATTTATAACAATCTATTTGGCTGTATCATTAAAAGTAAACATTCTTTACCAGATAATTCCATCTTGCTCGGACTTAGTAACGTTGTGCATTGATATTTGGGTGACGGGTGAGGAGACAGACTGCGTGAAGCTGGCATTCGCCACAGATATCGCCACGAAACACCTCGTCGTCACTGACATTCAACCACCACCACTTTGCAGATACATGAAGGTAAATTTTGTTATTATAAAATATATTGGAAACCTTATACATTTTGTACCGACATTCAGATGACAGGTATTGGTTGTGCGTAAATATTTTGTTCTCGAGACAAGCGGTTGACGCGTGTTCACCGAGCGTTGTCGCAGAAAAGTTCGAGTCATGTTCATCTCTGAATTTCGTTTAATTTTATTTCTCATCATTTCGAGGTTGTTCTTTTACTATATCTTTTCATTTGAATATAAATAAACCACACGAATCCTTACGCCCGTTAGCATTTGAACGACTAAATACGCGCGTTCAACGCCAGTCGTAAGAACATGGCCTAAGTGAAGACTTCTTGTAGTGTCATTATACGATAAAGCTTGTTATGCCTCTATGTTTACATAATTGGCATAAGCCAACGGAAATAAATTTACCTTAAATATTATTACGTCACCAAGTATATATGTTGCCTTTGTGCTTTGAACAATAGTAAATGGCTAATAACTTCATAACTTTTGATTTTGTTTTGCATATTGTTATATTTTGATTTAAACGTGAATGTTTATTCTTCGTTATTATTTGCATGTCATACCATTAATCTCATTGAGTTATAACTTACAAGACCAATTTTACCCTTGTGGCTCAACTAGATTTAGATTCGAAGGCTACGGGCCCTATTTTCAAAGAGTTAAACGTCCCTTGTGTGACACATTTATAGTGAAAGAGATAGCGCACACGTATACGTACGTGTACGCGTTCCGTCTTTATATCATTATTTTACTATTATTTAACTTAATGTTTTTTTTTTACATCTTAGATAACAACAATAGGAAGATATGGCATGTCGGCTATGAAGTGTAAAATCCCACTTGGCTGGTTCTACGGCGAGATTGCCGAAATCGCCAACGTCCAAGCTTCTATTAACGCGCTAAATGCTCTACATCAAGATTTGACGTGTCGCTTCAGGTTTGTATTCTTATTACCTTATAAACATGTTTGAAATTTGTTAATTTAGGGTGCAGTACACATTTTACAGCTTAGCCAGTTTTTTAAGGGAGGCAGACAAACGGGTTACCTGCTATTGCTGCTGGTAATAATTGTTTAATATCTGAGCTGGCCCATATATGGCGTGACTGTATCTTTGTGAATAACAGAAGTGAAAACTTATATACAGAGGTGTCAGTCACGGTAATGGGTTAGGTAACAGTGTCGCGAGTTCAATGGTTTTTTCCCATCTTAAAAAATGAGTTGTGTTTAACATAAAATACATTCTTTGGTTTGTTGTTCAAAAATGCCCAACGCGCCTAAAGAAGTTTTCACGTCTATAACTTATTTACCAACTTGAATACTCATATTTTGTTTGATCGTGAAACGACAAGTATTTCTTTACGTCTGATGGACGACAAATTTACTTGATATATAATTTTTGACATATTTTCAGATTTTTAACAATTTAGTTTCATATTTTAAGAATATTATCATTTGTTAAAAATACGTATACATACGATACTACTAGACCAACGCGTGGAATGCGGCCTCCCCGCCCGAATCTCCACTCAGGTACCGCGATCGTCCTAGTACCGTCAGCAAGGTTGCTACCGCTCGCACGTGTTTAATTTTGTTTCTGTTAGTTTCCATTCGTTTGTTAAGTTACATACAACATACTTATATACTTTTGATTTGTAAATATATACTTATAATACATAGAAGCATCCAGAACCTGAATAATTAAATATCTGTAGAAAACTATAATCATAAATTGCTAATCAAATTAAATAAAAATTAAATTAAAAAAACACCGATCGATCACTTGGATTCTTCTGCTATCCGTACCCGAAGTCAATGACGTCACGTTTGACAGTCGTCTAGTTCGCTTGGTCGAGTAGTTCATACCGTCGATCGATACATATCGTATACATACGACTTTAAATGTTTTTATATATTACTAAAGTAAATTCGTGTTACCTTTCCGCCCCTGACTAATCAGTTGCCTAGAAATTATCGTTTTGTTCGATAGCTTGGAACCTGATTTGTTTGCTATACGATCGCCATTAAAGGAAAGTATTTTTTTTCCTTATCCTTATGTTTTCTTTACAGACTCGCCACTGGGAAGCTAATGGATTTATTGAACGGCTACCTAGAACTCTACAACGGTAACGCCGCCCATATGATGTCATATCTCAACATTACAAGCGAAACTGACACGAAAGTCGTCACGGCTTACCAGGAGTGCATAGAACTACAACAGCAGCTCCACACCTGTAATAATATACTGAAGAAGTTACAGAACAACAGTGACATTACCAAAAACTTGCCCACTTTGATCGACAGTGGAGAGATATCGTCCGAAACGCTACTAAAAACGGCATCGACGGATAAACTTCGAGTCATAAGCGAGAATGTCGTGGATATGCTACTATATTTCTACTTCCAAATGGGCGATGTTGTAAGTCGAATTCGACCATCTCATTTTTGGTGTACTTTTCGAGTCGTTTCTCCCTGTTCAATGTTTTATTCGATTCGCATACAAATACAAATTAGATGCCGCTCCTAAAGGTCGTAGAGTCATTAAAATAGCTTTTATCAGTCATTAAGCTTTCAAATGCTAATAGTTTTTTTTTAATGTGACTGTTTATTTTTTATTTTTGTTTAGTAAATGAGATTTATTTAAGATTCGTTGAGCGTATGCATGCGATAGGTCAGGTAGGTGTTCAGTAGAGTGATGTGAAGGTGTAATCCGTCAGCAATACTCGGGCGTGAGCGAGCAGTGGTGCGGCACGGTGCTGCCGGGCGTGTGGGAGTGCGGCGGGCGCGCGGCGGGCGCGCTGGCCACGCTCGTGGCGCGCGCGTGCGGCGACCGGCCCTGGTGGGGCGAGCACCTCGCCGACACGCTCGTCAGCGCCTTCGCGCAGTACGACGCGCCGCCCAGCGCGCTCGACAGGTCGGTACCCGCACATCTACTTCAATGTTCTTTTATATACCCAGACTGAGAGTTCTGCCACACTTTCGTTGTGTCAAACGAATATATGTCATGTTATCATGTGCTCAGGTGACATTTACTTAAATAAAGAAACGCATGCATTTACATGAGAATAAGAATGATCAAAAACAATGCATTATATTTTTTTATAATTTAATTACTCAGAAAAAACTTAAAAGTAGATAGAGTTTACCTAGGTTCTCACCTCTAAGCTGTAACAAATAAAATCTTCATATATTTTCAACGTTCAATTATTTTTTCTAATATATATCGCTCCCTTATTGTCCACAGATGTCTAGTACTAATAATCTACATGTGCCGCAAGAGCCTGTTTGCTAACGGAAGCTCCGAGTCAGGTGTGGCTCCAGCGTTAGCGACGAGAGCTCTGGATTTGGTTCGTTCGACGCGCCCCCAGCCCGCTGTAACTGCGGCGCTGCTCACGGCCTTAGCAGCTGTACTCGACACTGTAGCCGCACACTCTAATAGACATGCTAGGTAAACAATGTTAGGCAATTTTAGTCACATACTGACACCAATAAGGCAATGACGTTACCTGAATATGTATTTGTACAATTTATTAACAGTAAAAGAAGAAAAACAGTTACATTTGATTTAAAACAAAACCTATGGTGTGAGAACTATATTATATAAGACTATTCATTTTTATTAGTGTTTAACATTCTCCTTCTCTCTTTCCTGCAATCTGTGTTAGGATTTTGGAATTAGGGAGGGAAGCGTGTGACAGGGCGTGGAGGAAGCGCTTCTTGTTTGGATCAGTGAGCGCGCGCGGTTCTAGAGTTAACCATCAGATGAGATGTTACTCACATGCGATTGCTGTAAGGCTCGCTCGTTTTTTGATGTGAAACAGCGTGGCAACGCATGTAATGGCGACGAGTAGCCACGACATGTGTCGCCACGCTGTGTAATAGTATATGTAATTTTGTCTTTGTATTTTACTTTTTCAACAACATTTATAAATATTATTTCTGGCAGTACGGTTTTCTTTTCGTTTGTTTTATTGTCAGCTGCATCTTACGTATTAAACTAAGCAAAATAATAGATATTGATAAAATAGATATTAAATTTTCGAGAGATATAAAACATTTCAATCGTAGTAGTAGTTTAATTGGAATCGATCGTTTTCATTTCGTTTTACTAATCGTCTCGGGTTCGATGCCCGGGTCGGACCAAATGTTTGTATGATCTTCAAATATTTATTTCGGAGTTTGGGTATTTTCCATGTAGAGTATGTATGCATTTACAAGAAAAGTAATAAGTATTCTATCAGTCAATCTAGCTCTCATAGTACAAGCTCTGCTTAGTTTCAAACTAGATGGTGTTGTGTGTTAGATGTCTGAAAATATTATTATTTTTCTCCTTGCAGATGGGATTGGGTAACAGGTGGTCGACCGGGTGGCAATTGTTCGGGCAACGGTAACGATTCAAATACGTCGAGAACGGCCGAGTGTAAACTACACCGACGAAAATTGCACAAGAAACTGCTGCACCAGATGCAGGAATTGGAAGCTGCCAGAAGGGGGATACAGGTCGCACTCGAAGATCAGCAGGTAACTCGATTCACTCACTCGAGTCACTCTTTATTTTTTTAATCACGCCAAAAAATATATTTTTTGAAAAAATAAAAAGTATGCGTAATAATAAAATAATCACCTAATATTAGGGATAATAATAGGTGATAATAATAATATCCTTAATATCCCTAATATCCTTCTTTGACGACTGGATGGCGTAGTGGTTTGTGTAACGGACTGCTATTCCAAAGGTCGCGAGTTCGATTCCCGCTCAAGTCAAACATTTGTGTGCATGAACATTTGATGTTTGATTTGGTCTGGGTGTTTCTATGTATAATATGTATGTATTTACAAAAAAAAAGTATTTATGTATTTATATCAGTTGTCTAGTACTCATAATACAAGGTCTGCTTAGTTTGGGACTAGATGGCGTTGTGTGAATGTGGTAGAATATATTATTATATATTATTATATTTATTATTAATCATTTTTTTTGACCGACATTTATATTCAAATAATTCAAATAAAAAACCTGTAACAAAATTAGACGCAAACCATAACCGTTTTCGAGATGCAAGAAATTCGTATACCAGTACTGTATATTAATTTGGGAATATACTCGTAATTGAATAAAAGTTTGTCAATGGTATTTACCAGCGGGCTCGTTTGAGCCTGAAGGCGCGGATGGCGATGGTGGGCAAGCGCAACACGGCGCGGGGCGAGGCGGGCGGAGGGCCGGGCGGGCCGGACGGGCCGGGCGCGGCGGGCGGGCCGGGCCGCGCGCGCCCGCTGGCCCCTGCGCTGGCGTCGCGCCTGGCGCACGCGCTCGTGGCGCACATGCTCGCCGCCGACACCTGCGCGCACGCCGACGCGCTCATGCTCGCCGCCAAGGTACGTCCCTTCTCACATCTACCCATCGTGCTCACGCTCCTAAACACCGTGTCTCAACGTCCACATGCAGCAGAACAAACTTCGACGCCGTTAGGCAAATACGAGTTCGACCATATTCCTCGTCACGTATTCTCCTTTTTTGTTGAATGAATATTAAACAGTTTCTTTTCAGCGAGATTAAAATACTAATTGAACTGTCCTATGCACAGGTGGTTGGACGCCTGTGCGCCTTGTCCGGTGGTGCTAGTCTGTTAGACCCATCGTGCATTCTCGGCCTGGCTCGCCTGGCCGTGACCCTGCCGCCCTGGCCGCGACACGCCCTCACTACGCTGCTACAGGTATGCTGTACAAGACATTTGTAAATTATTGTTGTGGATGAAAAAAAGTTTTGCTATGGCTAACCCTAAGCAGAAAGACTAATTACTATACGATTCCTACCGTGAAGTTAGGTACCGTGAAGTACTTGTTTCATTATCATCATCATCGTCACCCTATCGCAGTCCACTGCTGGACATAGGCCTCTCCCATCGCACGCCACTTTACAAATTTAACAAAAATTATTTATTTACAAATTTAACAAAAAATATTTATTTGTCAGGATTTAGTAGAATACGAAAGTGGTGAATCTCCAGCGAGTCCTCCGAACGAAGAGTCGTGGTGTGGAGCGGGTTCCTCTCGCGTCATCCGCGTACATATCGCCACGTCATCATGCTTCGGGAAAGCACCCAGGAAATCCAAAGGACCCACTGTTGCTGGTAAGTACAATCATTTTTCTTTCCTTTTTTCACTTTTTTGAAAGGGTGGCATTATGTAGAGCCATAGTGTGTAATGATACTTAGTTCCCTAACAAGGAAATCCTTAAAGCGTTATAATCCTTGAAGCGTTAATACATCTTATAAATATAAAAAAGCTTGCAGCATTCACATGTTATACATATAAATAATAAAGCATGATTTTATACAATATAGAGTTTTAAGTAATATTGTTACTGAATCCCGATATTGCTTTTCGTATACAGATTCACTTGAAGTAAATAAATAGTTTTAAAATGTTGGCAATAATTTTCAGCCGCCTGTTGCGTTAATGTATGGACTAATGGTAGTTTAAAAAATTAAATAGATTTCTTTATTGCATTTATAAGACGAATATGTCTAAAATATCTTAGATCAACAAAAAAAGGTACTGGCCCGCACTAAACTTTTCTATAACCGCAATGCCGAAAGCGGTCACCGTGACGATGAGTTGATGTGAAATAAACTCACACTAGGCCCTCTGATATTTTTGTGGTTATTCATTAACAAGAACAGAATATCTCCATTCAAATAATATTAAATACACACATCTTTACACCCGAAAAGGTAGATAATAAAGGTCGCCTATGTCTACACCTTTTACGCCTCCATTTTGCCAAAGAGTGACACAGATTACGTTGTGGTTTAAACGGTCGCCACGCCCGTTTCTACTAACGTTGAGTGTTGTGGGTTCGATCCCCACATGGGACGTCACTGTGGGATCTACAAATTGTCGTTCTGAGTCGGGGTGTTCTTTGTGTCCGTTTCATGTATGTTTGTAAAGTCCCCGCGACACAGGATATTTTTTTGGTCCCACTTACGTAATAAATGGCGAACCTATTGCTGTTAACCGAGCACATATATTTCTAAATTTAACATACCTTAATATTTCTTAATACATACAAATTAGATCAATTACACTTAGATACAAAACAAATGATCGTGCTCATCACACAATATTTTTCTTAGTGGGGATCGAACCTCAGGCTTATCAGTCAGGATATATTTTGATGAATTTATAATCAATGATGACTTTACTATTATTGAATCTATACAAATGTAATAAAACTTGAGAGTTTATATTTCTTTGTTCATTTAAACCCCCTAACCCCTGGAAAGATATATAGGTCATAGTTGAAAAATCCTTTTTGCATTAGATAGAGTATTCATTGAGAAATTGAAATGCATTGTCAAGGCAGTGATATTAAACTTGGGTTTAACTGCCGGCAACACCTTGTACTCAGTATAACTATGCCTTTAATTCTAACAAATACATAATACTTAAAATGGTGTTTGATCCAAAAATGTTTCAATTGTTTTTAAAGGTCTGAAAGGTAAAGGAAATCGTCTTGAATGCAAAAGTATGGACTATTGTTTAATATTGTAAAATTGTGTGGTGGAGTATGAAAGTGTAGATAAGATTGTAGAACACATTTCTGAGCTATGATTTGTGAATGAAATTTATTAGAGCGTAGGTTTCTTTTGTTTATATTTTGTATATAAAAAGAGCATTGTTAGTTTTCTGACTTTAATATTATTTTGAAATAAGCCTAATGCTATTAACAGATTTATATGACATAGCGCTTTGGGTACATTTTACTTTTTGAAAACAAGTATTAGTAGACCTAACAAGCTCATAATAGGTACTATTCAGATCACATTAAGAAATTATCTTGTCAAAAGTTTTAAATGTGGTTTTGATGATGACTGTAACGTAACTAAACAGTTCAACTTGGTAATGTTAATTTTACGAACCTCACGAATATATCTGTTTACTTCTGTTTACTTTGTATTTCTGTTTACTTATGATTTATTGTTACGAAGCCTTTTTTTATATGAAGAACATGATGCAATATTACTTAGCAATAGGGATGGGTTTCTGCCAGGCAGAGCAAAATAAATGTTAAGGTTTTTAGCACGCATGGTAGTGATATTTTCTTACCATAAAACAACAATTCATAATTATACAGATAAATTGCTTTCAAATCATGATTAATTATTACACATCAGTCGAATCGTATGATTTCACATTCATGAGCAGTACTTGAAACTAACACTGATTTAATCCATTTAGATAAAGTCTATCCTAAAATTATTTCCTATAAATAAAACATTGGCAATCGGGTTATAACATTTCGATTTTCTATAAAGAAAGAACAAAATTTTGATGTAATACGGAATAAATTAATTTGACAAGTTATTAGAATTGACCTGCTTTGTTGTTGTCATTGCAGATCTGTTAGCGGATAGTTTTGGTCTGCCGAAGACTATCAACTTTAGCAAGCCCAAACTATTGACAGCAGGTCTCAATTTAGCAAGTAAGCAATACATAGAATAAGGGACCTGGCACACTAACAATTCATTTATAATAACCTAACCATTTACAATTTTTTATCGTAGGATGTTTAACCCAGTATAAAAAGTTATGACAAAAATATTATGGGTATTCTTTAACTATTGAATATTGGTATTTTATGGTGTTGACCTATTTCTTAGAGTTCCATGGATTCACCGTGCTGGTGCCGGGTCCATCGCGTGATAGATTGGGGCAACACATGCGACTTCGACAGCACCTGGGTCTTGTGACCCAGGTATAGGTTTAGGAAGTACTCCTTGTGACGCGTTAGCGCTCACGTCTACTGTCTGCTGTGTTATCCCCTCTACCTAACCATATTTGATGCGAACCTAGAAATGCCGCTTTAGCTATTCGTTCAAGAAAAGAGCTTACTGAAGCTCTTGGCAATCCAAGGTCTTTAAGCAGGTTATAGAGGTATTTAGCTGGTATACTCCTCGCACCCACTTCCACGGCATACAACGCAACGACATAACCATTTTTAGTTTTTTAAAGCGTGGTCTTTAGGGATGTTCTTTTCCCACGGCACCGTGAGTTTTTTGCATAAAGAAAGATGTCTGGTCTGTACGTCGAGGCACAGGTATCCTCCGATATTCTTTAATGATTTTCATACGTGTCCACTAATAATGTCCAGTCACTGGCGGTATTTTTAATTGAGTACGGCTTTTGTGAAGTATTTTTTGTTGAGCCTTCCTTTATAAACGCGATGTTAGTTCTTATGTTGTTGTTATTCCTTTTTTCGCTCTCGCCAGCGATAAACTTATAGCTTCGCGTATGATTTGTAATACCCGCGACGTGAATAATTACCCCGGTCTAATAGCGCCTTACAATTGTCAGTAAGTGCCCGGCTGTACCTATTACCGCACTGCACATCGTACAAGCCTTTTCTGTAGCTTTTACCCATCTAACTAGGTTGCTTTGATCGGGTGAGTCTGAAACGCGTTGAATTTTAACAGGGCAAGTGAATAATCGTTTAAAAGTGTGCGCCATTTCACAGCTGGTGGGATACAAAGTTCTCCTAGAGTTAACCATTCATTCAACATGCACCTTGTAGGTCTCGTTTTCATCTTGTTGCAGGAAAGATTTTGTTATCTCTTTGTCGGTCTGTCTTCTAGCATTTCCCAATCTAACTCTACTGGACTGCATACTCACCATGAATTTCTTGTGGAATTGAAGCCGTGACTCGAGCTCTGATGAATTTTTGTCTTTAGAAGGGATCTAACGATTTCATCGTGTTTTTGACAAGACATGCATTCTGGTAACTCTTAGATGTTTGTAGAGTTCCGAAGGTCTTTTTAATTTCATTCTAAAGTTTTTTTTGGAGAATTTTTGCTGTTAATAAGGACTTTTACTTTGTTTGAAAATGATCATGTTTTTGAAAATTGATGATGATTGATGATTGATGATCTCTGTTTGAAAATTTGTAAAATAAACACAAAACAACTAATATTAGTAGAAGTATTGCAGCAGCTTGTCTATGCATCTTTGAGCACGTAGGTCCAATCATTTCACAAAAATACGAAAAACGATGCACTTTAACGTTACATACGAGTTAACCTTAAAAGTGAAATAAGATTAGATACTAAACTATCATTAAGGTTTCAGTTATTGTATTAGTATGGTCCATTCGTGTTAAAAAAATAGTGACGAATCGCACGATCGCTCTCCGACCAATCAGGTTCCAACCTTTCATACGCAGCTATAATTTTTTGGAACCTGATTGGTCAGGAGGCGGGACTTGATCGTGGGTCACTATTATCTTAACGCCCCAATAGACTATAAATACTATTAATTTTAGTCTTTTCCAAAATTCATGCTTGTCTATCAGATCTTTGCTATACAAGTGACTCGCAAACATAAAGAAGCTGGATGTTTGGTAGGTATGGGTATTCCCATACCTACCAAACATCCAGCTTCTTTATATCCTATTGGTCGTAAAGCATTTTTCACCCTCCTACTGGGACCCCTATTTTTAATCGCGTGCCATTTCTTTCATAATTTATAAAGCAGAACATCGTTTGCCGGGTCACCTAGTAATAAATGTTATTATATCCTATAATTGTCCGATATTTGTCCACGGTCTTTTTTTAATGTAAAATAACAGGCTAAAACTTCGTGAATTGTTTCAGCCATTGTTTAAAGTTGTTTAGTGTGCAAGGTCCCTATAATCTATTTCTAGATGTCGTAAGCTTCGTTAGGTTGTCAGTGATCTGTAGCGTAGCAGACCACATCTAGCCGCTTTATAAGTTTACATGGCACGCAGCCTTTTATCTTAACCAATTAAAAAAAAACATTGTTTTTTATATCGTTTTGCGCTTGGTACCACCTTTTTTTTATTATAAGGCTTTAACAGTATAAACAGGGTACTAGTATTACTACTCGACTAAGCAAACTAGACGACTGTAAAACGGAACGTCATTGACTTCGGGTACGGATAGCAGAAGATTCTGAATAATCGATAGGTGTTATTTTTTCCTATATAAAATTACCCATACGCAAGTATTACGCTTTGTTTATTATTAGTTCAACTAATGTGCCAAGTGAGCGCTAATCTTTATAAGCATTTGGTATAATTAGAATGTGAAAACAAACTTAACAACATACGAATGAAAGCTAAGAGAAAAAAAAACAAACACGTGCTAGCGGTAGGATCCTTGCGGACGGTACTAAGACGATCGCGGTACCTGCAGCGAGGTGCGGGCGGAAGCCGCATTCCACGCGTTGGTCTAAAACGCTTGGTCGAGTAGTACAAAGTCACATTCATTGGTTCGATTGTTATATCTATGTGAAGGGGGTTATTATGATCTGAGATAGTAAACAAGGCTGTATGAACTATTACTAGGCCAGGTACTTGCTAGGGCACGCATTTATTTTGTATATTTAAATTACTCATGCATCACGCATTGTATTTGAATGTGAATATGCTGGTAGCGATTGTGTTTTCTTTTCCTTATAAGTTATTAGAAGCAGTCTTTTATAGGCTTTTCACATAATGTAGAATACATGTTGACTTACGATTTTCGTCTCAGATTCTGAGTTCGTTGGAATTTTCTTCCGGAAAATTTATCAATCTTTTTTAAATTTACCATTTTTAAGTTAAAAATGATATCGCAATGAATAAACAGAACATTTTACCGAACACAATGTAATAAATACCGCATACGGTCAAAAATTGTATGTAATTTATCAAACAACCGAAGCGCCCGAGGCCGCCAACTTGTGTTAGTGTGTGTAAACTGTTTGCACGGAATACAAAGGTAGTTATTACTTTTGTGCGATCCAGAATAACCTTAACCTTTGACAGCTGATTGTATAAAAAGTTTTATTTCAAAGCAGAAAATTCCAACGGTGTTCGACTCTGAATGATGGTCCGAATACACTATTTCAGTAGTTGGACCCTGTATAACTTTCGAGAAAAGTCATAATTCATAATATTCAAAAAAGAGGACTAACAAGTTTGCACCATAGAAAGGTTTATTATCAGTTAAATCAGAAAATAAAATAATTTTGCTTTGATCCGTTTCTACTCCTACTCTTTGATGTGTACTCGCTTTCTTGAAATACTTTTGCCTATAAATAATGCGTGATTAAATTACCGATAAAATCAGACTTTCTTAGGTTAAATATAGTATGTGAAAAGCCTTCTATATGATGATTATAGCAGCTTGATGATGTTTTTTTTACATAATTATATTTTGTTGCTATGCGTTGGTTATGTAGAATGTTAGTAATTTTTTGAAATATAGACTATTTTAGAGAAACAGAAAACTACAGATAGCGTGTGAATGTTGTGAATACTTATTAAGTAAAAGTTTGCGTGTGCTATCTTTATATGCTGCTAATTTTTTTTGTTCCGATTATTGTATTATTTTTGTAAGTTTATGCTTCTTTATTAGGAATAAAAAAGAAAAATATTTTTAATTAAATAATGTTTCCTTTTTTCCCAAGATTTAGATGTCGAAGAGCAATTGACTCAAGTCGCGGAATCTGACGATTCGGAGTCATCAGAGGAGAAACTCGGACAGTACTTTATCGATGCTGTTAAGAAAGAGACTAGCAGATCTAAGATCGTCGTGGATAACAGTTCGAGGTAATATTATTGGTTCAAAATATTTTTATTAGATTAGAAAATTGCAATAATTTTATTATTCTTCAGATAATTTTGATTATTTTAATTTTATTAGTATGATTTGACATCAGTTTATGTATTTTAACCAGAGATATCTATTTTAGCCATAGAAATAAATTTAATAATAATTATTGTTTTTTTTTTACAATTATTATAAGATGAAAATAAAGTTATGTTTTTATGTGTTGTTATATGCGTTACGTTGTTAAGTTTTTTATGAGTGTTAGTTATATAACATATCATGATGGCTATTCATTTAAGATCGAACACACTGAACTGTAAGCTTTCAAGTGTATAGCGTGTTGTTTGTGTGGTGCAGCAACGTGTCTGTGTGCACGGACGCTCGCGCCGAGGCGGCGGGTGGCGCCGGCGCGGGCGAGGCGCAGGCGCGGCGCGCGCTCTTGCGCACGGCGGGCGCGCTGGCCGCCGCGGTGCGCGCGGCCCCGCCCGTGGCACCGCCGCGCTCCCCCGCCCCGCCTCCGCCCGCGCCGCAGGAGCCCACGCACCAGCGACACCATCCACCGCTCACGCATACACTCTACGACGTCTTCAGGCACCTCGCCCTCGAATTCCACTATCAGGTGCGTACTTTATGTAACGAAATGTAAATTCATCTTAATTATTTATGTGGCTGCACCCAACTCGGAGGCATCGCTCTCACGGCAAGAAAATGAATATTTTGCATTTTAAGAAATGCATTGAGCAAGTTTTATATTTTGGAGTTTACTCCTTAAGAATCGATTGTCATAAAAGGCACCATGTAGGACAAAAATATGAAGACTAAAAGTTTGTGATCGAATGACCTCGTTACGATTTTTGTGCGCAAGCTATCGTGCACACCTTTCACATATGTGTGTAAAACTTGTATACTTAGGTGCAGCCGAATCGTTCTTAAGGAATATACTCGAGCCGTGAGCTTTTTTTTATTTTCCACCTGGTTTTGAATTAACCATGTTGTGTATAAGTATTTTTTCTTTTTATGTAAACAATAAATCCTAAAAGTTTGCAGTTGCTGCAAGTTGCAAGTTTATATTATTTACTTTTACAAATGACAATTTACGCTGTGATTTTTTTGTTATTTCGTCTGATAAAATACATATCGTCGATAAACGAAACAGATTATATTTAACTTAAAATTGTGAACAATGATTATTTCACAAAAATATGAATTTGATAAATCATTTTAATTTCATGAATAATATCAGATATTAATGTTCAGTATTTTACCAACAAAGCAACTATTAATAGAGTACCACTAATATTAATAAAAAAAAAACGTTTTGTTTAATAATGTGTTATTTTTCCCAACTTTAGATGGACTGCACTTTTATGGAGAACGTGATCTCTCTATGGCTGACATTGAACGGGTCGGCGTGGGGCGCTGGCGGCGCGTGGTCCCTCGCCACGCTGGCCGTGCCCGTCGACACGCCGCGCATCAGGCTCGCCTCCGACACCGTCAACGCGCTGCTGCACTCGCTTTGCACGTTAGTCATCATTTGTTTTATATAGCGTACAACTATTTTTAGGTTAAATATCAAGAACAAACTCAGACCGGCTGTCGAAGTTACAACGCGTCGCTACGGCATGCGTCGCCACGCTTTGTGATAGTATTTGTACATGTACGAGGGGTGATCAATAAGTAATGATAATCAATATGAAACAGAACTATTAGATTAAAAAAAGTATTTTATTTTTCAACATAGTCTCCTTGCAAGTTAATACATTTAGTGTATCTTTTTTCTAAGCCCATGATTCCCTTAGAAAAAAATTCTTTGTCTTGTCCCTCCCAAAATGCCTCTACTGCGGCCATCACTTCACTATTGTCCTCAAATTTGTTGCCCCGGAGGTGTTCTTTGAGCCGAGGAAAGAGGTAGAAGTCACTGGGAGCTAGATCTGGCGAATAGGGAGGGTGTTCGAGCAGTTCGAACCCCGTTTCTTCAATGGCAGCCATCGCAACTGCGGCTTTGTGAGCCGGGGCGTTGTCTTGGTGAAACAGCACTCCAGCGCGCAGTTTACCGCGTCTTTTTGACTTAATAGCTTCTCGCAATCTTCTTATTTGGCCTGCGTAGTAACAGCCTGTTATAGTGGCCCCCTTTTCCAAATATTCCACCATAATAATTCCTTCTGCATCCCAGAAAACAGACGCCATAACCTTTCCCGCTGAACTTGACACTTTGAATTTCTTCGGCGTTGGTGAGGAAGCTCGTTTCCAAGTCATTGATTGTTGTTTGGTTTCGGGATCAAAGTGGTGGATCCAGGTCTCGTCCATGGTCACAAAACGCGACAAAAAAAAATCTTTATCGGCCTGGAACTTTTGAAGATTCACCCTCGAAATGTCGACTCGTTTCTTTTTTTGCTCGTCGGTTAACATTCTCGGTACCCAACGCGCAGAGACCTTTTTCATATGCATTTTGTTGACAATGATTTTTTGAACGCTGCCATAGGAGATCCCTGTGACCTCAGCTACATGCCTTACGGTCACCCTTCGATCGGCCAACACGATATCTTCCACTTTTTTGACGTTTTCTCCAGTAAGTGACGTGGAAGGGCGTCCCTCGCGATGTTCATCTTCAGTGGAGGTTCTGCCCAGCTTAAATTCCTTTGCCCAGCGTGCGACTGTGGAATATGGAGGAGCACACTCCCCCAATGTTTCCTCTAAGTCGCTGTGTATGTCTTTGGTAGACATTTTTTTCAGGCAGAGGTACTTGATGACAGCTCTTATTTCATTTTTCTCCATTTTGATGTTTTCTCTTCGACAGTTCGTATTCAAATGAATGTATCTCCCGGTAATGGTGTCCTATTTATACATTTTTTTGAAGCTGAAGTAGTGGATATATAAGCAAGTTTTGTGCGTTCTAGAAATACTCGATTATCATTACTTATTGATCACCCCTCGTAAAGCGGTGTGGCGACGCGTCTCCGTGCGCCAGTGTTTTAAAATAGTCTGAAAGTTATAATTTTAATTGTTTTTCTTTCCTTTTATAAACTATCCTTTTATATTCGTTATTTCTACAAAATAATTTCGATGTTTCACATCTGCCAGACGTCCCTCGTCGTGAACAAAACACACTTAAATGTTTTAAGTGTATTTTGTTGGCAACGAAGAACAATGTTTTGTTTACAATACTTTTCAATTGAATAATATACCTCAATAAACTATATACTTATTGTGTTGTATTGCTTTCATATCAGCTGTTGCATTTACACGTATTTTTAATTCTTTTTTATTTAATTCTAATTACACTTATGAATTATTGCAGATTAGAAAACATATCATTACGGTGCTGGGTTCTGTCAATGCAAGCTTTGGCGTGGATTGCCAGCTTACCACTACAGGTAAAATATATTATCTATCGGCAAAATTTGCGGCAGTGTTCCCTTTCAGGAATTCATCAGAATATGAAAATTTATGTAAAAAGAAAGAAGATCATAAGTGCGTTTAAATAGGACCAATAATATTGCATTGCCATTTGTTTATCAAATATTTTGAAATAAACAGTCGCCGTACAAATATTTAAGTTAAACCAAAATGCGTTATATCACAAACCAAATAAGATTTGATGAACTTATAACAATAAAGTATGAAAATACTATATGTGGTATTTACTGTAGGTTATTTTCATTGTTTTCTTGTTTGGCAGACGGAAGGAAGCAGCACTCAAACCATGGGCCGCGTCATTTTGGAGTGCGAACACTTCGTACCAGCCATCGTCAAGTTCATTACCATGAATGTTAATACAGATGGTGCTGTGTCATCTTCGGAACCATACTTGGTAAGTCGCTTATACCTTTTCTAATTTATTCAATGGGTGGGTTATTTTAAATTGGCTATCCACGATAAATAGGAATGATGACACTCCTTGTAAATATGTTTTACTAATTACCTAAGTAATCAATTGTTGTAGTTAAAATCTAAGACATTTTTAGTAAATTGCAATAAAATAGAATATAAAAGAAACTAGGCAAAAAAAAGAAATGAAATGAGTTTACACATTGACATATGTATATATAAATATATATATATTAAATAATAGGATATACAACAGGATGTTTAGCGAAAATATAAATGTATTTTCACACTATTTTTTTATCGTTTGTAATGTAGTAATTTTAGAAAGTAAGGAAGAAATGTCCTCACAATGGGGTATCGTTTGTGTTAGGGTGGCGCCCAGATCGGCGCAGGCGCCGGGGCGGCGTCGGCGCTGCACTCCGTGGTGTCGCGCGTGGTGTGCGCGCGCGGAGCCAACGGGGCCCTGGCCGCGCTGCGCGCCGTGTGCGGCGTGTGGCGAAGGGACGCCGACGCGGGCCACGCCTACGACCTGCAGGCCACGCTGCTGCGCCTGGCGCTACCCATGCTGCAGGTGCTCAGCCCGCGCCACGTGCATCACGCGCTGCCACTCATGCTCACTGTCGGTCAGTACCTTTATTATTCTATCAACTATGGGGTACATTAGGGTATTCGTTAGATACATTGTTTTTAAATGTTTTGATCTGGCTTTAACTTTAATATTTAATATGTAGCTTCCAAAATTTAATATTTAAGATAATTTTTTATAGAATAAATTAAAAAATGTATTAAAGAAAATATGTTAAAAAGTATTCTAGTAATTTAACATAATTTATTTTAGTTTACACTTTCATGAAAAGATAATATATATTTGTCGACTCTTCCGATTTGTGATGCGATTTTTATAGTGTAATAAAGGTCATGAGTAACAATAACCTGTGGTATAGAGCGCACCAAAACATATAATAACGTACTCTATTCACTATAAATCAAACAGCCTAACTACTACGAAACACACCAAAGAAGATTAAAAAAATACAGCGTCGTAAAATACACACGTTCTGTCTCAATAGCTCTACATATATTATAAATAATGATCGGTCACGTAGCACATCAATCGGTGTGGTGGGTGCGCGAGAGCAGCGGCTGGCGCGGGGACGGCGGCACGGACGCGCGGCTGTCGGGGCTGCTGGCCGACGTGCTGGCGGGCGGCGGCACGGGCGCGTGTCGCCGCGCGCCGCTGCGCCGCGCCGTGCTGGCGCAGCTGCTGCACTACTGCCGCAAGCTGCTCGCCGCCCCGCTGCCGCAGGCCGCGCCCGCCGCCGCCGCCAGCGCCACCGACACCTCGCACACCGCTCATCAACAACAACCCGCATCGGTAACTATGCTCGCGTGTCTCTAATATTACACTATTTTTAACCCCCCACGGAAAACGAAGTCTGTCTGTGGCATTATAGCGCCCGAACGGATGGACCAAACTCACTTCCTAGGTGATGAAGAGATCTCACTAAAATCCACAGGTCCGATTGATCTGAAATTTGGTATCTTGTTACTTTAATGGTATTTTTACGACATGGTATCCTAGAACTTGCTAATGTATAAATAGTCTGCTGGATAGCCCACTCCTCAGAAAATTACAGCATATATGTTTGGGCTTATTAGAACAATCTCAATGAGCAGCTGTAGTTTTTATTTGTGTCGGGGGTTTTTTAATGGTGCTGTTAGTAGTAATGATGACTAAATAAGCGGCCATTGTTTTAATCGATTTAAAAATGTATTTTATTCAATTGATAACACGAAAATAATTTTACTAACACTGGGAAACTTCACTCGTATGAATAATAAAACTGTGGGATTCCCTGCTTTCCTATAAATCTCACGTCGATTCTTGAATAATGATTCATTTACATTATTTTATTTAATGAAGTGCACTGTATTGTCATTGAGTGTTGCAAAAATTAAAGATTTCCAAACGTACCATGACTCCTTATAAATAATCATGGTAATTTATTTTATTTCTATTATAGTGTGAGATGTATGGGGCTCGGTTAAATAAAAAGTGCTGTTCTGGTTAGCTTCCACGATTATAATGTCATAAACCTTAAAGAAATACATAGTGTACTTACTGAATAATACAAACACTACAAGTATATTTATTTCCTTTGACCACGTCTGACATATTATACTAAAGTGTTTTTGTAAAATTTAATCAATGATAAGATTAATTTTAGTTGAATAATAAAGGGACCATCTTAAAATAATTGGTCTGACATTTGCGGTTATTATTTTGATAAGTGTCACTCTCTGGTTTTACATTCGTCTCTAGAGAATGACCATCATCTTAACACTCAGTTGGTTTTACACCGTCATTATGTTATTGCAGCCATTTACACAATCTATCCACATTTTCTAAGCTGATCATCTAAACTTGTAAGAGTGTACTCGAAAGAGTAATGAGTTTACCAGGGTAAATGAGTTAGACTGATGTTTTCACAGTCGTCTTCGAGTCCATCAGTGTCCACGAGCGCAGACCAGTCGCAGACGGACGAGAGCAAGGCTCAACACAGTACGACGGCTGAGGCAACCAATGTCGAGGATGAGAGGAAACAGCAAGCCGCGAGAACGCCTTGCTTCGCTGATACCGGTACTAACTAGTTTCTATAACCGATTAATTTTACATGTAGCCTTTTTTATGGGAATACCAAAAAATCTAATTTAACTTAAGGCTTGGGTGGGGTTGAATGTTTATCCTTCACTAGGTCATATTTTTAAAGTTTTGTAAAAAAATACATACATATGGGCTCAAGTTTCAAAATTTTAAACCCTTCTAAGCATAAATTGTTGCTAAAGTAAACCGACAGTACTACCGACTGTACTACTAAATTAGACTGAAAGTACTAACAGTATGGTGACTAGGTTAGATAATTAAATCTAGAATAATATGTTCTCGTGAAGTGCCGTCATCAGCCATTAAAGAGTTAGGTACCACTTCCGAAAACACTACTGTATGAAATGTTGACTAATTAGTCGTATGAGTATAATTTTATAAATCTTATCATTCTTTAATGACTGCTGCTTTATAACAAACAAGATATATGATGGAATGGTCAGAGAGCTGATGATATGAGATTGACCATAATTTACTTTGTTTACAGTTTTACAACACCAGCAGATCATGCAAAAGTTCTACAGGACATTGTCAATTTGCGATGGCTTGAATACTGTCGCACTTAATTCTGGTAAATATTCATATCTATTATGTGCACATAGTTGATAGTAAAATAAATTAAATAAAAGGTTTACATATTAGATATAATGACTTATTTTATTTTCTGAAGATCGTTAAATAACTTATACACACTATTAATCTACTAAGTACTAAATATATTTTGATTTACAAAAATAATCTGTTCACAGGAGTCAGCTCAGAGCCTTCTTCACTGAAAGAGGAGGTGTTCTGGCTAGTAGCACATATGGCCACTATAGCGTCCAACCCCGCACTTATGGTTACCAGCCTTATGGAGTTTTTACGTGAGTGTATTTTTTCTTTATTATAAAACGATAACTTTTCATTCATTATTTAAGGATAAACATGAAATGAGTTTTGAGATAGTAATAAATCTCAACGATTTTGGTTTAAAGAAGTTGTTGGCAGCTTTCATATGCTATGCACAGCGGGTTATCGGTAACACCTACAGCAATAAGGTGTTTCTTAAAGCAGCTATGTCCAGTGAGAGCTGCGGCGATCGTTTACAGCTGAGGCTAGGTCCAGCCATCTTGCTGACCAGCCAGCCAGATATCTTTTTGACCTCGACAGCCGGCTGTTGATATAGCATAGCTCTGGAGACCAGCTTCTGTGCCCTTTTAAACACATACATACATAATTCTCATGCTAGAAATAATTATATAACTTCCAAGTAAGCAAACTCAAAGTGACTTCTTGGACTTAAGGACGGCAACACACTTGTGACTCGTCCAGGGGCGGCGGTAGTCGCTTACCATCAGGTGACCCGTCTGCTCGTTTGCCCCGTATATTAAAAACAAATAAAATACAACCAATGGTTATAAATATGAGCGATTTGTGATACACCAAAGTAGGCTTAAATTGTCGAATTGTATAGCAAGGTTTTTTGTGTAAGTACGTGAACGTAAGTATAGTATAGGCTTGTAATGTTAATTCATATTTAGTAACTTTCTGGTGGTTTTAAGTGTTTGCACAACCTACACAATTGTCTGTCCTGCTGTCGGTAGTGTCGCGTTTCGGGTCCTTAATCTTGACAAATATCCCGTATGCCATCTGTATGGACAGACCGACTCAAAACAACGGTCCATTCTTCAAAAGACCAACTCAGACTCTATACTGTACTCGCATAGTTCTCTTTAACATTGTTAACGGACTAAAACAAGGACACCTACGGTTTGTTTAGGCGTTTCTACCCACAGTGTGTCTTAGGAAATTCCGGCGCCTTCTAGCTGTAAAGCTGACGACTTGTAGAAATTTCTAAAAAGATTTATTGACAGAAATAAATATCATTTATCATGGTCTTGGCGGTTTTGGCTAAAGGTTTGTTTTATTAGCATGTGAAATTATTTAGAATAGTTTGTTCTAGTAACTTAGATTGCAATAATATTCGTTTTAACTTCTCAAGGCAGACATATCTATACAATACACTTTACACTTTTAAAACGAATTTATTTATTATCAACAACAGGACGTGAAGAGGTAGTGAACCTATCTCAAGCAATGCAACAGCTGATCATTCGGCTGCTAGACTATCCAGAAGCACTAGCCGCTTTCATCGATGCCGGTGGGCTTGAACTTGCTCTGGAAAAACTGACCGCTTGTCACCAGGTTTATAATCTTATTTTTAATCGTAAAATACTTTTTTTTTCAACGTAACGTTAAAATATTCGTGCTTACTTATATTTAGTTACTTTTTTCCATCACACTACTTCCACTATGGTCTAACGTTATTCGATCAGTAAAGTTTTCTTGTCACACAATTCTGTAAAAATTTCAGAGTATCACAAGACTTATTTTGCACACCAAGTATTAATTTACTTAGATTGTTTTTGAGCGATATTTAAACAATTTTATTTCTGCTGATTCAGGCTGGACCAAGCAGCAATCAGGGACTTGTGTCTTCATTGATGAACTACTTGAAATTGCCGCCGCAGATGATCAACATGTCAACACCCGCGTCCGGTAACAATAAGAAAAACCAACCAACTGTTATCGAGACAGCTAATGGATTGGTCAACATTGCACCGCTTTGTAAGTTTACTTTAATTCATATTCTTTAGTTATGTTAATTATCTCGTTGAAAAGCTTATTACAAGTTATTAAAAATTAAAAAATACAATTTTATTTAACTTTAAATTAGTAATTGTTATTACTAATTTAAAGTTAAATAAAATTTCATTTATGAAGATGAAGATCGTAACAAATTTAAAATGTAGTACCTAAAAAATACAACACATTTTGCTGTAACACTGTATCTGGACAGGCGGCGGCTCGTAAACCCAACGAAAAAAAGTCACCATATGTTTATTTTCCTTCGGCGTGCACGTAAACGTGTGTCACGGTCAGTCGTAGTGTGACGTACTCGTCGTGTGATGCAGGCACGGTGTCCTGCGGCAACCCGACAGCGCAAGCGGCGGACGTGCTGCTGGACGGCGGCGGGTCGAGCGGCATGGCGGTGCGCGGCGCATGCGCAGCGCGCCGCGTTCGCGCCGCTGCGTGGAGCTACCACTTCTTCAGCGCGGACGACGCCTCGCTCGCGCTCACGCTTACGCTGCCTTATGCCGTGCAACTTCACGAGGTGCAACTGCAGCCTCACCTCACCAGTCTCGCCAGTCAGTACCTCTTTACATCTTATTAAAATGTGATACTCTGCAGTATTACAATGTAAATATTGAAAGAGAAATTACCTTCATCTATGCACACTACAGAAATATTGTACTCGTGAACTTATAAACAGTTTATACAAATGAAAAAAATCTGTTGCTAAACGCTGTATCAAACAAACACAGTAATTCGTTCGCGGATGAATAATTTATGATTATTGCTCTATAAAATCACGTCGCTATTAAAAAAACAAGAGAACGATTACACAATTCAAATGCATAATTTATACATTAGCTATAAATCACTATGCTATCAATAATAATAATAATGACTATAAATTGAATATATAAATGTACATAAATTTTAGATATTGCCAAGCTCGAGAAAGCTTTGTTGTAGATCTTTAATGCCATTTAAACTATAAGTGTTTAAAACAAGTATTTTATTACAGCGTGTCCTGGCGCAGTAGCTGTGGAGGCTGGATGCGGTGGCACTTTAGCTCCTTTAGGTCCACCTCAGAGCACCGCTGGCATGACGTTCATTCGCCTGGTGGTTGCGCGTCCAATCGTCTGTACCACGGTTCAAATAAGACTGTATAAACCAAGAGATTCATCCAACATGGGACTGTTGCAGCTGCGATTATTAGCTGCGCCCGCCTTCAATAACCACGTCGCCAGCCAGCCTAACACGTAAGTAGTTTGATCGCAAAATTACCAATTCCTTAGATTGGTTTTTTTTCGGTAACTGTTAATCAGATTTCCTTATGTGTAGATTATTTCATAGGAAAGATATTTCGAAATGTACTAGAGTAGTTAGAAGAATAGAGTAAAAATGAGTCAAAGTTTATATGCAGGTGGGTGGGACCGTACACATTTCATTATAGATTGGACAAGATTGATTGACATGATTTTATTGAGTATCATATCTGTCTACAGGAGTAACAATTGGGCGTGTGTGGTAGCGGCGTGTGCGCGGTCAGGCGGCGCTGCGGCTGCGCGCCTGGCGCGAGGCGGAGGCGGAGCGGTGAGCGCGCTGTGCGCCTGCGTGGCCATGGGCGGTGCGCCCGCGCACCACGCGCACGCCGCGCTGCTGGCCGCCGCGCGACACGCTCCCGCTCTGCGCGCCCCGCTCGTCACCGCGCTACTCAACATGGACGCACACGCTCACGCGCACGGTAATTACTTTATTTCCTACTTCTAATTTGCAACGGTCTAGTTGACAGCAATAGACATACCTGCCTATCGTTCCCCTTATAGTAAAACAAACTCAAGCGAGTACGTAAGTAGGTAAGTAAAGTAAGGTGATACAGTGGTTCACTGTGAAAAGAAGTTAGAATCTTTGACGTTGAATTACACTTATTTTCTACAGAATATTATATGTAGAGTTGAAAGCATAGACGAATAGCCTACTAATGTCGGTATGCGTTCAGCGTTCCAAGTGTCTCCGGCGGGGCGCGTGAACGGCAGCATGTGGGCGGTGTGCGAGCTGGTGCGCCAGCTGTGCCGCTGGTGCCCCGACGGCGCCGCGCTCGCCTACGTGCAGTGGCTGGCCGCCGCCGCGCCCCCAGCGCCCCCCGCACCCCTCGCACCCCTCGCACCCGCCGCGCCCACCACCTCGCTGCGGTACCAGCCCCCTTCGGCTGCGCTCACGCATACTCTCGCCGAGGTGACTTGCCGTTATTTCAAACACAGTTACGCTTTCTAGCACCAACTTAAACTTCTTTACTCGTTCCATCTCTGTCGCCTAAGGTTGAGAGCAAAGTTTTTTAAGTTATTGTAATTTGCAGATGAGACACCCAAACCTATGTATAAGTAAATTATTTCAAAATAAAAACCGTTCTAGTAATAATTCAGAAGTGCTCTATTTCACTGAAAATACTCTGTCACTATTTGAAGAGCACATAAAGATCAAATATACTACTTCTTATAACAATTATATTCAACATAAAAATAAACTTTGAATTAGAGATGCCACGAATAGTGATTTGGCCGAATACTGAATAACAAATATTCGGCCAGGCTCTTGGCCAAAGCGCCAATATTGGACAGCACTTAGTACCTTTCGCGGATGATAGCTTTTAACCTACATCACTAAAGTACTTGCAATGGCGACGTGAGCCCGCTGTGGTTGGTTCGTGTCACAAACACTCTTTATTTGTTGATTGTTAATTTCGTTACGTGATTTGTGAGTATCTTAACTGTTAGTTCGCGAAAAGCTTTACGTAATGCCACCATTGAAAAAAAAATCCATTTATTTCTGATTATCAAATTTGTACTGAAGACAATAAACTGGCATTTTGTTTGCTGTGTCATGATTTGCTATTCGACGTTTTGCCTAATATTTCGCAATATTCGACCGAATAGTTGCCGAATATTCGTGACTTCTTTACTTTGAATTCACATATAAAATATATATCAACCAAATGTATAATTCAACTTTTGCATTATTACAGGTGTTATGGATGTTAAAAGAAAAACATATCTTGGAAAATTTAGAAGAATTAATAACAGATGACTTGTTTGAGCTTGTCTACAACTGGGTAAAGGAAGTGCCAGAATCCAGTCTACTCAAGAAGTCCCTTGATGCCAGTTAGTTTTTATATCCATATTTTTAAGTAGCATGAAACTTATTTTAGACACATTCAACTAAACGATCGAATCGATTCGAATCGAATTCGATCTTCAAATTTAAAATGTCAGTCAGTCAGTTAGAAAGAGCATAAAGAAAAAATAATCGTTTTTCGACTAATTCCGTAGTTAATTCCATTATAAACTACAATTTGATAAAACTATGTTTATATAATTTGACGTATAGTAGACCAAAATCTCCATTCTAAGCTTAGGAGCCTAAGGAGAGGCCTATGTCCAGCCGTGGACTATTAAAGGCTGTTGATGATGATGTGCAGATACTTGAGGTGTGATAACGTAACAGTTCTGGTTAAATTAACAAGTTCTTTCTATTATTTTTCAGTTCTGTGTTCAATCTGCTATATTCGTCCAGAGTTGTTCAGAAGGTTACTCGAGCATATGGAAATACCTATGGATGAGGATGAAAGGTAAGGAATATCTAATGGGTTGATAATAAAGTGAAATATTAATGAAAACGTGCCCTTGAAAATATTAGATTTCTAAGATATTTTGTATTTCTTACGATTAATTTTTAATGTCAATAGATATTTATTGATTAATCTGAATAGGAATATACTTCTGATAGAAACTCATTTTATATACTGAAATTGCTATAAATTATGCTTTTACTAGATAATGTCATGACCAACATATGGCTTTGTCAACTAACCAATTACCCATTTTGCTATCACTTACCGATTGAACAAAAATTTAGTAAATTTTCCAGGTTGTTAGTTCCTTTAGAACGAATTTTTTTTTAAGAAGTAAGTAGTACTCTATCGTATAAGTATGATTGTACTCTGTATCTAGCATGGAGGGTCTCACAGACGACACGAAGGTGAGTGGTGCGGGAAGCGCTTCGGGCGGCAGCGGGCTGGGCGTGTCGTGGGAGGCTCGCGGCTGGCAGCTGCAGACCGTGGCCGCCGCCGCCATGTCGCCCGCCGCCATCCTGGCGCTACTGCACTCGCGCCTGCCCAGCGCCGTCGTCGAGGCCATCTCACGTACGTACACCGCCTTGAGCATATCGATAAGGATCTCCCATACAAATATTTTACCTACAGCTTCTCAATATTAGACATGGTACAAAATCACAATGAACTGTGAATGAACGGTAATTTATCATTCGATTTTTTCGTACGTAGGTTAAGGTTACCACTTACTCATGTTGTTACTCATGTCTTACATTGTTGCCAATAAGCTGTTTTCAGACGATGCGTTAAGACCCTATTTCTCCTATTTGACAGAAAATCTAATAATTATTTTATTATATATAGCTACCATTCCCTACATAATAATTTAAAAAAAATTACTAGATTTACAGCTAAATAGCGTCTAAATAAAACAATAGGTACCTAGCAACCCTAACCTATGTACGCAAAAATCGAATGATAAATCATGGTTCACTGTGATTTTGTCCCGTGGCTACTCAATACCTACTGAAGTCAATCTTGAGCTTTTATGATACCTGTAAAGGGCGAACGACGCGAAACTACGAGATGTGTGATGTTTTTAACCGACTTCAAAAAAAAATGCAATATTGTTCTGTTTCACACAAATCATACCAAAAAATGTCTTTTCAGATTTCAGTGAAGTTAAATTAGAAATGATAAAAGAACAACGCAATTCTTTACAAGAGGATGTTCAAATGAAAGATCCTGAAAAGGACTCTAAATTGGGTAATTACATTTTAATTCACATAGTGTCTATCTATGCTAATAGGTAACTTTTTTAAATGGCATCATATAAAAAGTTACCTATTAGTTGACCTGTCATGGTTCATAAGTCTGTAAAATGACGATTTAATTTACTCTTCTACTAGTCAATGAAAAAAACAAAACGAAATGAATTATGGTAGTAGTTTTATACTTATTATTAAATATATAATTAGTTAATATATAGCATTCTATAATGTTTACAGCTGATCTTCCATCAATGAAGAGTGTATTGCATTTGGTTGAGTGGGCTCGTGGCGTGTGCTGGTCGAAGCGGATGAAGGACTGGCTTGGAGGCATAGGGTCTACGTTCTGGCAACCTCTACTTACTCTTCTGTGTCACCCTAGACCTAATTATAGGTAAACACAAATGATTGTTTTGCCAATTGAACTTCGATACTCGTAGTTGACCCACCAGATATTCCCTCAGTTATCTAGAGTTTCAATAGCTTTATTTAATGTGTAGAAAAAAATTATCACTATTCAGAATAAAAATAAATAAAATAAGAAGTAACAAAAGAGGGTAGTCAAAATACAGAAAATAATCAAATATTGTGAATTCTATAATTTTAAATAATCTCAAAAACAATATTACTAAGTCTTAAACTTACGCAAACATAAAGAGAGAGTACTCTATCCATATAGGAACATAGTAAAATAGTTTAGCTTCTTTGGAAAGTATATATATTTTGACAGGTATTTACTTGTTTATAATTATTTTATATATTTTTATATGCATTCCAGCACATGGCAGGAGGACGCGTTGTATGCTCAGCTAGAAGAGAGTACTATTCGTCTGTTTTCCGAGTTAACAGCGTGTCATCCCGCTAACCAGAAACTATTTGCATCTACGTTACATAATATATTGGAATCGATGGAGTGTACTGGTGAGCATCATGACTTTCTGTTATAGCTTTTTGTTTTATTTTATATATATATAAAAAAATATATTGTTACTAACTGGGGCTCGTTATTAGCTAAATACACAGATTTTCAAACAAATTAAAAAAGGTTTTCAAATTAATAAAGATTTAACCGATAAGTAACAATAATTCAAAAAACTATTCTAGAAGGTTAATGAACTTTTGATTTGATAAAATTTCTCCTTCTCCTTCTCTCCTTCTCCTGAAACATTTAAAACATTCTGGGAATTTTTGAACATTTTGTATATGTCTTCACGAACTTCCATGTCTCAATTTGGGACCACCATCACAGTATTGTAGTTAGGAATTACTATAGTTATCTATAGTACACAGTAGTACATAGTATAGTACAAATAGGCTTGGTTTTCTAATAAAATAAAGATGTAGTAGTTAGTAAACATTTATGTAATGTGAGAGTAAAGCTGTTTGTTAAATTAAATCTACTTTTTTTTTTCTTTTAAATAAATAATACTAAAACTTTATTTCATTTTGATGGTTAAAAGTTTTAATTGCATTTTATACTAGTAGTAAAATTGACATCAATAAATTAAGGTCATGAGTCTGTTTACAAGAATAGTCCTGTCCTCTATAGTATATATTACCTTTTTTGAGTTGAACAGTACCAACCTAGTAGTTGGATATTATAGTTATATTAAAATGTGGTATGTTATTGACAATACGTAACGAGATGTGCGGTGTGCAGGTCCAGAGGGCATCTCCGGGTTCACGCGCGCGCTGATCCTGCGCCTGGTGCTGTCGGCGGAGCGCGTGTGGGTGGGCGTGCGCTGGGCGTGCGCGGGGGGCGCGGCGGGCGCGGGCGGCGCGGGCTCGGGCGCCGCGCACCCCGCGCACCTCGGACACAGCGTCGTGCCGCTGCCGCTGCACACGCCCGTCAAGCAGCTGCTGGCCGACCACCGCCCGCCCAGTCAGTACTCTCCTCGCTCTTATCTCTTCCACTCTCGATCGTATTTAAAAAAGTCTTTTTATAGTGAAGTTCTTGAGAATACGTTAATTATAAGTTGACATCGCGTCCCGATCTTTTTGAGTAAAACGATGACAAAAGCTGCGAGGGACGTTAATAAGATTGCAACAGATTTTTCAATGGCTGACTAAATCGTTAAAAAATATCTTAACGTGCCGATCGTCGATGACGCAGCACAATATACGACATGAAATATATTTCCATGCCCACAGTACCGGTCATGGAAGAGAGCACCAAAGTGTGTATGTCACCGTCTTCCGGCTCCGGCGGCACCTCTGTGCTCCGAAGCGCCTCCGACACCGCCATCACCACCGTGGCCGAGGCCTGGGAACTGAGCCTGGCTGCGGCAAGCGCTTCAAAGGACAAGAGAGTCAAAGATGTGAAGAACACTTCGCTCAAACAACAAAATAATAAGAAAAGACAAACTAAAACCACCAATGAAACTTCCGTATTATCCGTTACCGATGGTTAGTATATGGTTTGTTAACATATTTAATGAGTATTGCCAAAAACAACTCAAGTAACTTTTAACATTTTAACCACCCATATATCTTTATACATATGTGAGTGATTAAAATGAATAGTGACCATTTTAACCACATATAAATGGAGGATTAAAAATATGAATTTTGACACCGACCAGATAATGAAAGCAGGTACCCTTAACACACGATTGTTTCCCTTGTAATGACGACTGACCGCAGTTATCTATTGAGTTTTATAACCTCAGTCCCACGGCACGTACGAATATAAATTTGGTGCACTCTGTGTACCTCCTTTAAATTGCACTTGAAAATTAAAAAAAAGATTATATTCCTAAAATATTTTAAATGACTATAATTTTACTTTGACTTATGATTTAATTTTTTGTTAAAAACAGTCTTACTAAAAGAAAATATCTTATTAATCTCACTGTATATAATAAATGCTATAAACATTTTCATGCAACATTTGAGAACTCTTTTTAAGAGTAACAGGAAAATAATTAATTGGAATAATTTTGATGAATTTGTCTACAGATTTGATAGAAACAACGATACGCGTACAAGTGACGGGAATAGAGGGCTTTATCCCTCCCAGCACTACACTGGCGCAGCTCGCAGCTGCAGTCCCGCATGACATCGGCCCACACCTGACGCTTACACTGCATCTCAACACCAATGGCGGTATGTACACCACACCTCGACTCTATACAATATTCCGCACAAAATGTGCTTCAATTATTGAGAATGGAATTTATATAATATTTGCAATTTTTCAATTTTGAGGTATTTAACCTCGAGTACATAATTATTAAATGGGTTAATTTTTAAGAAATGCTAAACAAATTCGAATTTTATTGGTTTTTTTTGCAATTAGACTGTCCCTACCCATATACAACCTATAATTTAAATAAACAAACAAAACTATTTTTTTTTATTTAGTCGTCTGTAAGATAATTGGATTCTAACTAGGGTGTGTGCTATGTTCTTCTAGTTGACGATAGATGACACTGTTCATAAAATGATTACAAAAAATATTAATAAATTATTTTGGCGATTAAAAATTCATTAGGATTTGTATGTCATGTCGTTATAGTGACGGATTAAGAATACTGAGTGTCACCACTCCTATTTATCCCGTGAGTGTCTTTAGATTCGACTAAGGGAGCAAACTATGCAGGGCAGCAATGAGAGGGAAAACTTAACACAAACCCTATATCAACCGGTCTGGCCAGCGTGGTATAGCAGGCAAAAACCTTCTACGGAGAGGCCTATGTCCAGCAGTAGAGTATTAAAGGCGGATGATGATAGTTTATATTTACAATCGACAGATTCTTGTTCGGGCCCGATGTGGGAGGGCGGTTCGGCGAGCGGGTCGGGCGGGTCGGGCGGGTCGGGCGGCAGCGCGGTGCTGCGCGAGTTCGGCGCGTGCGGCGGCCTGGCGCTGGTGGCGGCGCGCCTGCCGCGCCCGCACGCGCCGCCGCCCGCGCCGCCCGCCGCGCACCACCACCACCACCACGACCTCGACTGGGTCAAGCTCGACGACCCCTACGAGGTAAACTACACCGCCGCTCCACCACCGCTCCTCGCCATTGTGCATTCGCATTTCTGGTTCACGTGGGACGTACAGCAGCTCGGATGATGATTCTTACTTAGACAATTGTAACGTTGCTCTTAAAGTATTTGTAGAAAAATGTTACAAATTTTATAACATTATTATCTATTAAATGGGAGCGACGTTTGGAATATTTTAACGATAAAGGAAAGCGTTCACCGTTTCAAACGTTACCATACACAGAAACTGTAATCAATAAAGTGAATAATAATAAAATGTATGTTTTTATGCTTCATTGTGGACATCTCTAGGAGGTACACATGTCAAAGATCAACTTAGAAATATCCAAAGAGCTTGCTTAGCACTACACCGTCATATGTATATAACCTATCTCATGCAAATATTGCTTGAAATAGTCGCTAATGTGAACATTGAATATTTTTCATCAATACCTTCTCATTCATCAAATTGGAAAGGATCAGATAATTTAAATATATTTTTCATCATTTTAGTGTCTTTCATACTTAATCATTTAAAACATTGTATAATTTACCAGAATGTTTATGTTCATATCATTTTAATCTTAGACTTCAATAGAAACTCCTACGAAGCTTTCAAATTACATGTTTTGCATGCTTATTCTACTCTCAAATTAAAAATGTACATGGCATAAATTTTCCACAGCAACAAACTACATGATTCTAGGTATAACTTGCTGAAATTTCTTAGAAATAAAACAATTGAATGTTTAGTTTCAACGTGTTTACCGAATCTTCATATAAATAACTATTTTTGCATGCTTTTGACTGAAAATTGTTCTATGTATAAATAATATATTTCGCGTTTCTTTGTTGATATAGAACTTGAACTATTACTTAAGATGGTACATACTATTCTTCACGGGAACCTTATTTTAAAATAATAAATATATATTCTTGTTTTCCTTTATAGGAAGTGGTAGAATTAGGAGTGAATTCAGTTGGCGGCGGTACAGGCAGTGAGGACGCCGGCGGGTGCTCCGGGGTCCCGGCGCATGCGCTGATAGCCCTCGGCTTACTTCTTAAGCTGCCAGGATATGCACATGCGTTGCTCGACGAAGGCGCTCGAGCCTGCCACCTGTTGCGGCTTCTGCTCGGTGTCACGCACGACGAAGACGGACGTGAGTCAGAGTGATCGTTGGTTATAGTCTAACAGGACAGACATGATAATTTCTAGTAAAATTATTATTTTCGTCCTAATTTAAAGAATATGGTAAAAAACGAGCGAGTCTTAAAGAAGTCGCATATGATGTGTGGCATCTGACATCTCACCTATCATCTGACAGTCAACACTAGCACCGCGGCTGTCCTTTTATTACACACTTCCGTTCCCTTTTTACCGAATCACTCTCACAGATGCAGAAAACTAGAGAAAAGATGTTACACATCAATCCGAAATTGTCTCTCGTTAAAACTAATTTCAAAATGCGATTCTACAGGACAGTCTTTTAGATTGGAATTGTCGTTTGAAAATATAACGTTTGTACGGCAGGCAGCATCGTGGTGGGCGAGGGCGGGCGCGGCGGGTCGCTGGGCACGCTGCCCTTCAGCGTGATCGCGCGGCTGCTGGAGAAGGCGCCGCGCCAGTCGGCCGAGGGCCGCGCGCTGCGCCGGGCGCTGCTGCAGCGCGGCGCCGTGCGCCTGTGGCTGGCGTGCCTCGCCGTCTTCACGCACCACCGCCCCACCTCCAACGACGTAAGCACCGCTGACTTCTCTACGCACTGATACCATGATAACTGAGGACCAAGTGTGGGTTTATTTCACATCTACGCGATCGTTACGCTGCGAATCATCGCTAATCGCAACGCCGAACTCGCTCACTGTCGAGTACGAGTTGATGTGAAACATACTTGCACTAGGCCCTCGGTTATAAATAAATAAATAAATAATATTGTACCACATTCACATAACACCATCTAGTCCCAAACTAAGCAGAGCTTGTACTGTGGGTATTAGACAACTGATATAAATACATATATACTTTTTTTTTGTAAATACGTACTTATTATACATAGAAACACCCAGACCAAATCTAACATTAAATGTTCATGCACACTAATGTTTGACTTGAGCGGGAATTGAACCCGCGACCTTTGGAATAGCAGTCGGTTACACATACCACTACGCCATTCGGTCGTCAGTTCTTTCATTACTTTTCTCCGAGTGAGTGAAGTTACCGGAGTTCAAACCCTTCACCTTCAACACACTCGGTGACTAAAGTAGCAGATGTCCGTGGACGGTGGTAGTCACTTACCATCAGGTGACCCGTCTGCTCCTTTTCCCCTATACCATAAAAAGTTATCTGTACAATTGTATTACCGAATACAATACTAAATTACACAAGTATACATTTAATATGTTGTAAGTAGATTGGTAACCGAGTTCATTTTCTATTATAATTCTTGAAAGAAAATACAACACATAATATGGTTACTAGTATAATACTATTCGAAGATTTCGTCAAAAGATAAGACTGCCTGAGTCTCCAGTAAAGTTTAAATAAGTAAAAATAAAACCTTGCCATTTTATTAAAACAGAACAGCCAAGGCTCGAACGGTTCAACGGGCAAATCGGAAGACAAGAGCCAACTGTATTGGGCGAAGGGAACAGGCTTTGGAACTGGTTCGACGCAGCAATCTTGGAACGTGGAGCAAGCGCTGGTGCGACAACGGACCGAGGAAGAACACGTCACTGTTTTACTACAGGTTTGATACACTTTAAATCATCATCATCAGCGCTGTCCATTAAGTGTTTGAATAAAAACCAGAAATTTTGTTTGGTATGGCAACATTTTCTGTTTTTTTGTTATTATTTCTACTGAACACAAGATTTTGACTGTGATGTATTCACATTTATAAGCCCAGAGTAGAAAATTATTCCCTTTAATCGTGAATAAAGTAAAAGTTGTTTTTGTTAGAAGTTGCTATATTTTACTTTCTGTTATGAGTAGTGTGCGTGTGTGTCTCTTATTTAGTGTTTTGTTTTGTATGGATTTTAATTGTTACATTTTTAACGCAGGTTCTAGCATCATATATGAATCCCGGCGAGAAGTGGCCTCCCGAGGAGGGAGCCGCGGAGATAGAGGACGGGGAACTTGACGAGGAAGAGAATCATGACTTACCCATTGAGTTTATTGACCTTGTAGCTAACAGTTCACTTGTACCCGCTATTTGCTCTTATCTGCGGAACGATTCAGGTATATTTGTTGTAGGATTAATATTCCTTAATTATGAAAATACGCTTCCACCATGATATCTTTTCATACGTTATATCAATGGATACAAATACCCACTCGGGACAACTGTTTGTAGAACACAAGCTCTTGTACTGTTTGTGAATCGAATTTCACTCGGCGTTATTTCCCATACGACGTAGCTGCGAAGAACCTGCTTGCCCCATTTTTCCATTAGTTTTACCTGATTTAAAAAATAATGTTCTTTAATGTTGACAATCACTACAAAAAGAGTTTTTAATTTTGGCTAAGAGAGATTGTTCTTCTTGTCCTTGTTATTTTTAAAATTTTATCCTAAATTTAATTTCTACTGGGACCAAAAAAAGTTATTTTGTTTAAACCAAATTTATAAGAAATTGTTTAATAGATATTTTAAGGTTTAACAATTAAAATATATTTTTGAAAAAATATGTGGGATGCCGTAGTCTCATGACGTGTTTAATTTCAAATTTATTTTAATTGAAGTAAAAATATTATTTCATTACGATATTATCGTAAATAAATAATATTTTAATAATTTAGTATCATCTTTATAAGCAAGGTACTTCGTAATTGTTCTCTATGTATAAATAAAAATAATGGGATGCCGAATCTACAGCAGTTAGGTGAGTAGAAGGTCGGTAGTGAGCGTGCGTGTGGTTGTGTGGTTGCAGTGCTGGACATGTCGCGCCACATCCCGCTGTACGTGCACGTGCTGCGCTGCGCACGCGCACTGCACTCGGTGCGCTCGCGCCGCCTGGGCGCCGCGCTGCGGCCGCTGCCGCGCCTGCTCGCGCTCATGAGCAGGACCACCAACTCCTACGCCACCAAGCTCAGGTACAGCGCCACACACTCTCTGTCTGTCTACAACTTACCTCTGATCTTTGTACACACGAATTTATCTTTAAAATTGTCAAATCTTTTTATTATAATTTTATACTAAGTCGTTCTACAAAAAACAAAATATATTCGTGCCGATCAGAAAATACTTGAAAATTATTGAAAACTTACAGATATTACTCTCTTTTCAGAATGAGTAAGAAAAATATATTCGGTAAAATGACATATAGCCAAAGATTTAGTACGTCAAGTAATTCTGAATTATCAGAGGAGGACGAGGGCCTACCCGCTCTGATAGCTGACATTCAGGTGAGTACAGTTTCTGTAATGTTCAATATAAACTTCAAATCACATCAACATCGAGGGCCTTTAATTGTCTACTGCTGGACATAGGTCTCTCCTTTTAGATCTTAGAGAAATTTCAAATGCGCGCTCAATGAATGGGCCTGTAATTGATATATTTGCTAATAAATATTCCTATTTTCTTCAGATGTTTTTATTTTAAATAATTTTGACGAGATTTTTGGTTTAGTGTTGATTTCGTAGCGATAACTCAATCAGTAGGTCTCGACAAGGCCTGTGAACTAAATTTATCTAATTTTAATATACAAAGTGACTATAGAGTAGTAAAATGAAATATATAAAATGCGTTTTGGGCAGGCGACGATGGCGCTGATGTGCCGCGCCGAGGCGGAGGGCGAGGCGGTGCGGGCCGGCGGCGCCTCGCTGCCGCTGAGCGGCGCGTCTCGCGAGGCGCGCTACATCGAGCTCATGCGCACCATGCAGTTCGGTGCGTACACATCTCTCACGACATCACATACATACTTTTTTTTTCACACGAAACGAATCAATGTCATCTAGCGAGCATTGAATTATGGAAGTAACTACTAACAAAAATGTAGCTTGCTTTTTTCAATTCGAGTGCACAATTCTTAAATTGTACCTAAGCAACTGTTATGGCCTTTACCGAACCGTCTAAAGGTTGACTGGTAGATAATGCCATGTGTTATTAAGTCCGCCAAGTGCAAATTTGTAATACAGGCAAAAAAAAGAAAAAAAAAACATCTATCTGTATATACACTAATTCCTGCTCGTCCACATTTTTGATGTAGTTTTACAATCAGTTGATTATTTTTCAAGTAACCTTTACATCTAAAATTAAACTTAAATGTTTTACCTAAACTTAACTTAATCTCGGGTACATAATACAAAATAAAATATGTTTTCTTCCTTTCTACTCCTCATTTTTACTTATCATATACGATAATTTGTGCTTAAATACACGGTGATTTTGAAAGCGTTTTGGAAACGAAATATTTGAATTTGGAATCATCTATAGTACCAATAAAAATGATTAAATCAATTGTAATGTTGTCTAAAAAAAAGTTTCAGTTTTAATATTCATTTTTACTCGATCGACTTGGAAAGTAGTAATGGACTGATCGTTCATTAATTATCTTATATGAATGAAACACGTCCGTGGGCGTTTCGGCGGCCGCTGCGCACCGCCGACGCTAACAGCAGCTGACAAAAGTATACCTATAGGCGCGAGCTAGCGAGTACTTACGTAGATAGACTCCAATTTGTCCTTCATACTTTACACGGGCTTAGGACCGTCAGAAATACCTATTTTATTTAAACTTCTTTTCGATTATTAACCACGATTGTTCTTTTCACAACAAATCAATTTATCAACGGACTATAGGTATAAATATTTCAGGCGTATTTAAAAAATCGGAGCTATCTACAGAATAATTAACTTACATACCTATTTACACTATTTACAGTTCTCTGTATCGAAGGAACTGCTCAAAATGGAGTCCGCTGCATTCAATACACAAACGTCCACGTTTAATGCAATTGTTTTTTAATTTTCTTAATGGTTCTCTATCACTTTTCACTTTAAAGCGTCCACTATCGCAATGCGTAAATTATCACGGCTTTCATATTCCCGTGTATTAACAAGTCTTTTTATTTCCGACCATAAGAAAAAATCCAGGGGCGTTAAGTCCGATCACTAAGCTCATTGTCCAGGTATGCACGCACTACACTCCGGCGAATAATAATTAAAACGTCCTTGACCTTGCGCATGAGTAGGCGCACGAAATTGTCCGTGGTCGAGAAGACGTTGGGTTGCAGCCAAGATGGTAGGTGTGGAGGGAATTTGAGGGCTTTCAATTCCACGTAGCCGTAGTGCATTTAAATGCTCCGGCTTGGGAATACAAACGCCGAGCCTCTTCCAAGTTGTAGTTGGCAGTAGCGTACAGCTGTACCATTGCCAAGAAGTATTCTACGTTTGAAAATTCATACTGTCGACTCATTTTAGCGCTAATCAATGCAGCGTGCCGTCACGATGTTATGGTATTACTGACCGACTGACGATGACAGGTGAGCCCCGCGCATGCGCCTACGGGGCAGACGTCATTGGTTGGACGACTCCGGCGCAACTCGGTAGCTTTGTTTTTATTGGCGAATACGATTTGATGTGACTCGATATTAAAACGCATAGTATTTCTATTCGTAGTATTTACCTACGTGTGATTGAATAGCCTACTACTACTGGTTCTGACTTTTTCTCTGTAAACGATATGAATATCGACTTTGATGATAAAAAAAAATATATTTTATTAAATTAACGTTATATATAGCTTCTGTTACTGATAAATAACTCAAAATTTTCTTTTCCAAAACACTTTCAAAATCACCGTGTATATTTCGAAGAAGATAGTTTTTCAATCTAAGAGAGACCTCTTATCGAGGAGTGAAACAATGAGGTTCACAAAAATCAAAAAAAATCAAAATCATTTATTATTTGCATAAAACAGGTATAAAGGTTGTAGAAGAACATCATATAATACATAGGTACGCTGTAATATAACCTCATTAAAGGTGTGCAAATATTTAGTCATAGATATTTAAAAGATTATTATTTAGACGTTCAACATTACAAATACAATTTGAAGAATATAATCATGTCATAAATTACTTAAAGCTTTTATTCTAGTAGAACAATGTGTTTGAATGTTGTAGAAACGTTCGAGATGATAGCGGAATGCTCAGAGAGCGGGTTCCGATTCCTGGTACCGTACCACTTCGAGAGCGCAGTGCGCGCGGCGGGCGAGCGCGTGCACCCCGCGCGCATGAAGCGCCTGGCGCAGGAGGCCGCCACGCTCGCCACCTCCCTGCCGCTCTCCTACTCCTCCTCCGTATTTGTGCGGACGGATGCCGACCGACTTGATGTTATGAAGGTCGGTATATTATCAGTGGAAATCTCATAAATTTTACGTTTTCTTTTTTTGTTTTACTATATTAGTAATTTATGAATAGTTTCTCTGAACTCAAGTACTGTCAAGTACAAGTCTCTGAATTCATATTTTCACAACTGTGATTAGACTACTGCATAACGCACAAAAATACGAGTATCGAGTGCGATAAACCCAAGAAAATTTTCGAAGAATAATTTCTAATGAACACACATCAACAGCCTTTACTAGTCCACCGTTGGACATAGGCCTCTCCTTAGGAAGGAGGTTTTGACCTACTATACCACACTGACCACTATACGGGTTGGCATAGGGTTGTGTCAAGTTCCCCGGAGGCGGCTGACGGCGGGCTGTCCTACGCGGCCGTTTTTAAAAAGGCCCGGGACAGCCTCGCCAACGATTTTGGGACGATAGGGGTCAAGATGCGCCTCGCCCAAACGGGAGCTCGAGTTCTCGAGTTCCCAGGGGCTGAAGGCGCTAAGACGGCGGACACTTTTGCTGGGTTTATTCGCGACCACAGATGGTGTCAAGATCGCCAGGCCTACCAAGTGCGCATCTCGGGCCTGGACGACTCTGTGACGGCCGAAGATGTCCGCGCTGTAATCCGGGAGAAGACGGGGTGCAGCGCTGACAACGTCAGGGTCGGCACCATCCGCCCCGGTCCAGGAGGGCTTGGCGCCGTGTGGGTCAGCTGTCCCGTAGCGTCGGCCAAAGTATTGGCCGACGCCGGCAGGCTGCTCATCGGTTTCGTGAGCGCTAGGATCACAGTCCTGGCGGCGAGACCGATGAGGTGTTACAAATGACTAGCATCGGGGCACACGCGCGTCAAGTGCCAAAGCTGCTTCGACTGCAGCGGACTATGTTTCCGCTGTGGTTGACCGGGGCATGTGGCGGTGGAATGCTCTGCCGCCCCTCACTGCCCGATGTGTGCGGCGGGTAACAAGCCCGCCAATCACCAGATGGGGCAGGGGGGCTGCAAGCCTCCCCGCAACTCTCAGCAAGCATCGGGGGCTAGCCAGTCGACCCAGGCTGCCTCCGATGTAGTTCGTGCGTCGACGTCGTCGCCCATGGAGGAGGTTGTAGAGACGATCCAGTAATGGATCGGGTCTCCAACCTCCTGGTCCAGACGAACCTGAACCACTGTGCCGCGGCGCAGGATCTCTTCCTGCAAACCATGGCACAGTGGTCGATAGGTGTTGCCGTAGTCGCGGAGCCCTATTTTGTCCCTCCCCGTCCAAACTGGATGGGTGACTGGGACGGCTCCGTGGCAGTCGTCGGTTCCACGGCGGCTCATTCCCCGCCCTTGTCGCTAAGAGACAAGGGCACTGGATATGTTGCCGCCGAGTGGGGGGGATCACCATATATGGTGTTTATTTCTCCCCTAACCGGAGTTTGAGCTTACGGGGCTTACTTACTGGGCTTACGGGTGGCCCTAGATAAGACGGAGGCCCTGTTATTTCATGGGCCCCGTCGTGGTCCACCCCCTGGCGCCTCAATCGTGGTCAACTCGGTCCTCGTACCGGTTCGGGCCCAGATGAAATATCTGGGCCTGATCCTCGACGGGAGGTGGCTCTTCGACGAGCACTTCCGACAGCTTGCTCCAAAGCTGGTCGGCGCTGCGTCTGCCCTAGGGCGACTTTTGCCCAATTTGGGTGGACCCAGCGTCGCGACAAGACGGCTGTACACGGGGGTTGTCCGGTCAATGACACTATACGGTGCACCGGTGTGGGCGGCGGCTCTGACCGCCCAGAATAGGGCACGCCTCTGGCGCCCTCAGAGGGTAATGGCGGTCAGAGCCATACGCGGTTACCGCACCGTGTCGACGGAGGTGGCGTGCGCGTTGGCCGGAACTCCCCCGTGGGATTTGGAGGCGGAAGTGCTCGCCGAAGTTTATCGGCGAGTGGCTGACTCCCGGGCGGAGAGCGGATTTCGCCCTCGCCCGAGGATGTGCGCGAGTGGCGCGAAGCCGCTCGCCGAGCCACGATGGCTCGTTGGTCGTTCCGGCTGGAGACTCCACGCGCTGGCTTCGCCGCCGTGGAGGCTCTCCAGCCGGTCATCGCCGAGTGGGCAGGGCGGCAGCACGGGACCCTTACCTTCCGGCTGACGCAGGTGCTTTCCGGGCACGGTTGCTTCGGGAAGTACCTGCACTCGGTCGCTAGGAGGGAACTGAGTCCCGCCTGCCATCACTGCGACTGCAGTGAGGACTCGGCCCAGCACACGCTGGCGGTCTGCCCCGCATGGGCGACGCAGCGCCGGGCCCTCACTGCAGTCATCGGAGTGGATCTCTCGCTACCGGCCGTAGTACGCTCCATGGCCGGTAGCGACAGTGGTTTTACCGCGGTCGCAACCTTCAGCGAGGAAGTAATCTCGCAGAAGGAGGCGGCGGAGAATGCCCGGGAGGACGACCTCCACTCGGACCCGATCCGCCGCCGGCGAACCGGGCGGCGGCGGCGCGCCTATCACCGCCTCATGCCGCCCTGAGTGTGGCCGCGGGTGGACGGGGTGGGTTTCCCCTCCACCCGCATTAGTTTGGCCAGCCGCGAGGGGGCGGCGTCCGCGTGTGCCGGACGTCGCCTAAAGAGAGGTTAAAATTTTGAGACGGAGCCCGCACCAGGAGCGGGCAGGCGCTAGGAGGGGTCCGGATGTCTTAATAACAGCTGTTCCCGGATCCCTCCTATTACAGGCGCAGAGTGGCACACCGTGTGGTTTTAGTCGGTCCGAGTCCGACACACCACGCCGCCGCAAACCCCGGTGGGGTGACGGTCCGAGGGGATTTCCACACGTTAAAAAAGAAAAAAAAAAAAAAAAGGGTTGTGTCAAGTTTTCCTTCTCTTTGCAGTGCTGTTGTCCTCCGTAGTTTGCTCCCTTAGTCGACTCTTACGACACCCACGGAATGAATAGGGGTGGTGACACTCTGTATTCTTAATCCGTCACCACACGGGTCTCTAATGAACATAACCCATAAAAGAAAATAAAGATGCAAAATTTTTTTTCAGGTGTTAATAACGGGCCCGTCAGACACGCCCTACGCGAACGGATGCTTTATCTTAGACGTATACTTCCCTGCGGAATATCCCGCGGTCCCGATGCTCATCAACCTAGAGACCACCGGCCGTCACTCCGTGCGGTTTAACCCTAATCTATATAATGATGGGAAAGTTTGTCTGTCCGTACTGAACACGTGGCACGGACGACCCGAAGAGAAGTGGAACGCACACACCTCCAGTTTCCTACAAGTAAGTCTAAAATTAATTTAAGTTACTACATTCGATTCTTACTTTTATGTACATATTTTATACACATCACACACACACACACACACACACACACACACACACACACACAAAATACATTATAGATAATACTAGCTGGTGCCTGCGACTTCGTTCGCGATGAATTTTAAAAGGCGCTGCCTTAGTGGGTTCGATTCCCGGACCGGTCAAATTTTTATAGGGTTTTTTTCCGAGAAAAAAATAGTCTAAGTTACTCCTTTTATAGACAGCTACTTGGTAGTAAAATATTATCAAAATCCGTCTAGCCGTTTTTAAGATTTCAAACAGACACTTCAATATAATGTATTTGTACAGATTTCTTTTTTTTTGTATAAAATTTTAACTTACAATAGATTCTTAAATAATAGAAAAAGATAGAAGTCAAAATAAATTGAAATGTAATTCAAGCAATAGCAGCTTTGTTACAACAATATTTAACCAGATCCTCTTTTATCACGAGTACGAACGACGCGGTACGATATTTTCACTGAATTATACAGTTTTTATTACAATTCTACGATAGGTAGATGAATATCAAGTCAAATCAGTATATTTTTTGTTAAATGACAAAACGCTAGCCGCGGTACATTTTTGTATGAAATACTGTTTCGTGGCATCATACCTATGTAGCTATTGTCCAATTATCTATATTTGATGTTAATATCAAGATATCAAATCAATAAAAAGATTAAATTAATAATGGAGGACAATTTAAGCTCTAATTTAAGATATTACATTTAATGATGCAGGCGAAATAATTAATTTTAAACCTAGGAATCTACCCTATTACATCAGCTGACTGACACTTCAATTGCGACAGTATGTTTTCTTAGTGAATCTATGACGAAGTGGTAGCGTAGTAGACATATTAATAGAATACCCGCTGTCTGTGTTGGTCACACGAATTGTGTACATTGCAAGGTTACTTTACCGGATTGTTTGTTTGTGTAGGTGCTAGTGTCAATCCAGTCATTGATCCTAGTGCCAGAACCGTACTTCAACGAGCCGGGCTACGAGCGCAGTCGCGGGACGCGGGTGGGCTCAAGCGCCTCATTGGAGTACAATTCAAACATCTATCAGGCCTGCGTCCGCTGGGCCATGCTCGACCATCTCAGGAACCCAGAGCCTTGCTTCAAAGAGGTAATTTACATTTTGTTTTTACAACTTGTTAGAGAGGTCGAACCTTTTAGTAACAGCCCTCCCCTCCTTAATGAACATAATATAAACAACATCCTCTTCCTGTTATTGCTGCCCCCTATGGACGTACCGTTTCGTTTTTGATTACATAATGTTGAATGGAATAAATGACACCTAATAGTAGCCAAAATGTGGGTCTTTAATATTTTAAAAGAACATGTTTAATTCTATTTGCATTAAACCATGAATTTAATCTATATTTCAGGTGATCCAGACGCATTTTTGGATAAAACGCAATGAGATCATGCAGACGGTGTCGAAATGGATCACAGAGTTAGAAAGTCAAAGCGGGGACGAGCGGACACAAAGGAGTATACAGCTTAACCTTATGGCGCTTAAGGTATGCTTATTTATTGATTTTGTTATCAAAGACTTAGTGCCATTAGCGTTAAATACAGCAGGCCTAAGGTCGGTAGTATTGTGTGCTTTTAAACATCTTCTGGATAACTTAACAAAGTATGTCGGTTCTTATTGTTTCGCTATAATTTAGTGGTATAACTCTAATGACAATCGCCCTGTATTGATATTATGTATTTTGTAAGTGTACATACTTATTTTTAGCGGCACTACGTAAAGCTGCAAGAAGAACTAGCAAAGCTGCCCGTGCCAGCGGGACTAGAGGAGCTGGACGAGCCGTTCCAGTTGCCGGCCGCGCCGTCCCCCCCTCCGCACCCCGCGCCGCAGCCCACGCCGCCCACCAACGACGAGATCGACCACGACATGGAGAAGATCGTCTCGCAGGTCCTGGACTGAAGCGAGCAGTAGCTCCTCTACTTGCAGCGACGTTGTACAACAGGCCCGGCGTGTCCCGCGCCGCACACAAGTACAAGCACGGCCTCCCCAGCATTTACCACTTAACCGCAGCCTCGCTCATACGTTTCTAACGCGTTTATTGTTCGTAAACAAGATTTTTTTCTTTTATTTTATATTAGAAGATTTCGGTTTTTATAGTCTTTTTTAGAAGGCGCTTAGGATTTAGTGGGACCTTTTAGTTTAACACGCATTGTGATACTAAGATGGGCCCGCTCGGCGCCCGGTAAGATATTAAAAGAGCGTACGGGTGAATGACGTTATACTTAAGGCTATCTGTAGTCGACGGGAGCTTGTGCAGCGCGAGACCGGGCCTGTGCGTGGCCGTGGACCTCGTACCTTGTCCTGTACGCCATAGGGTCCACTGTCGAGTGTAGTGTCTATCACTCTACGCCGTTATGTAGGCGGACCGCGTCGGTCTAGCGTAGGTGACTATATGCAACTATGTACATGAAATTATAATTTGATGTATATAACTTAATGTTTTAATTTTTTGTATTCTAAGAATATATTATTATGTATATGTATCGCTGTGTTGCTCTATAAGAGTAGTCTGAGGCGGCTGAACTATACGAAGGATATAAAATATATGAACTCATTTGGTAGTAAATGACGTACAGGCCTAGCCGACTCAGTCAGGTTCCGATGCTATGTCGCGGACGAGCCGCTCGCTACCAGACGCAGCAGCCGCCCGCGTCGGCTCGGACGTGTCGTGTTGACGAAACGTTTGTGAATGTATTGTGTGTATATAGATAAATCACCAGTAGAGACTTGTTACTCAGTGTACTTTCATTGCCAGGTAAGTTGGACGTAGGACGAATATTGTTATATTTCATTGTGAATTTCGGAATGTAAATAAAAATTTATGTTATCGCAATCTTTTTTTATTTTTGTTGTTTTTACTTCTTCCTGTGGTATTTATAATAGACTGTACGTTTATTATTTATTTAGTATGTTAGCTTATTGTTGTATTGCTGGAATCCAACAAGCCAGGCGTTCACTTTATTATAATAATATTTAGCTTAGTAATTTAAAGGAACCATAATTAAAACCGACTTTTTGATAATACGTTTTTTATTATCCATGTATTTACATTGTCACAGGCTATAAAGGATTCCACATTAACTTGAGTTTTTCTTTGTTAAATCTCTCCTTTTCATTCTGATCTTAACCAAGTTAAAAAAAAGTTGTGGCCTCTCTTCATAAAAACAACAATAGTTCTGGTATGACTACTGATCTCCAGACCTTCGATATCCCTCGGTTGTGAAGGTCTGATGGCAGTCGTTTCACTTCAACTTCAAGTTTCAAAAGTTCAAAAAAAAGTTTGTTTCAAGTACAGGTAAATGCAGCTGTTGTCTATAATATCAAGAGTTAACTTTATACTCATAGTATGGTTAGTGGATGCTTCTTGAAGTTATGGGTGTTCTATGTGGCTACTTTTGTTGATTACACACCATACTCCTTTTTAAGTCTTCGTATGAAGACAATGCAGAACTTAAGAGAAATATTTGTCGTCAGTGTCTTGTCTGTGCCTGTGTAATGTGAAATAAAATTTTCCTAAGACAATTTTTTTTTGTGGTATAAGGGGGCAAACGAGCAGACGCGTCACCTGATGGTAAGCAACTACCGCCGCCCATGGACACCTGCAACTCAAAAGTCACAAGTGCGTTGCTGCCCTTGGAGTCCCTCCTGCTCGAGTCAGCGGGAGGGAGATTTGGGCTCCGGTAACCTCACTCACTCAGTGAAAGGCAAGGAAAGAATTGCTTGCGGTTTTCTGTGAGGCCGTGGTATCACTCCTGCCGAGCCGGCCATTTCTTGCCGAAGCATGGCTCTCCCACGTTTATATAAAAAAAAGACTGGCATTGGAGATGCACCGTTTTTATCAAAATAAAACGCTGCACTGTGTTCTTAAAGCTTAGTTTACCAAATTTTCTATCGAAAGCAACCACTGACAAGGGCAACATTCCAAAAAAACGACGCCGTGATCGAATTAAAACGTATACTTCAATTTACGATACGCAATTATCCCTTCTACTCGGCAACTTAAGATGTGGGCCATTTCTTGGAAATTCATAGATAGCTAATTCGTGTCACTGACACCGGCCACCATCATGGAATTTAATTTTGAAAAATTTAGTCGCCAATTAGTCGAATTTGTCGGTCACTGGTTCAAAAGTTATAAGCGTTTATAGGTGGCGCTGCTGGGGCCAGTATCCTCAGATTGGTTTATTTATCTATCTCTGACATTCCTAAGGTTTTATGACCGATTAAACTAGAAGTAGAAGCAAAATATGCCAGGTGGTCATTGGAGAGAGCCCCAACTCTTGTAAACGGCGTTGAACTGATCGATTTGAATTCGCATCAACACTGGCCTGAACGGCTGCGATATTCTCTTTACTACGGGCATTTCTTTGTCTCACAGGCATAGCAGTATCGTGGAGAGTGAATTCACTTTAAAATTTTGTTATTATGCGATTTATAGCGCGCACAGAAGGAGCACTATGACGACCGTTTTTTGCGCGAAGCGCTCTTACTGTAGCGGTGGGAGAACGCGAATTTGCGTAATAATTTTGGACAATTTCCAAGCGTTGGTTTAAAGCGAAACGTGACATGATAAAATGGCAAACCTGTCAAGAGACAAATGTCAAGAGACGTCAAAGATCCATCATTAAACATGGCCGCTATGAGCTGTCAAAACCAGGTTATCCTTATTGGTAGACCCAGTACATTACACATACTTCTTAATAGAAATATTTTTTTTCTTGGCAATTTTCTTAAACTCTTTGATCTAGCTCTTAGACTACATACATCTTAAAATTTGAAATATCTTTAAATGTAAGACTCGACTAAATCTGCGACAAAGAGAAATAATGCGAAAAATTGCGAATAATTAACGACTAAAGACTATCAGACTATCATTCAAAATGTACCCAAAAATTAAAGTGCCAGTAAAAAAAAACTGTGTCATCTTACGGCAAATGATCTTTTAAACATTTTTTTATTATTACAACAAACTTCTACGACCAACTTTTAGACCCAAAATGGATCTCCGAAAATCATAAAATGAGCATTTAAATTTATGTATCAATTAACTATTTCTGAATAATTAAAAACCTAAACAATGAAACCTAATGAAACTGACAACGGCGATGGTGTTTTTAATTGGTTTTTTAGACAAGGTGATGTATTTATTTTGGATCGCGGCTTCAGAGATGCTATATCACCAATGGAGTCACTGGGATATTCTGCACATATGCCTGAAGCCAAGCTCCGAAATGAATGACCATAGAATGTCAATCCCTAACACGCTGGCTGATATAGTTGTAAGGCATAATTATAATAGAAGACGAGCACAATTTCAGCCGATGTCCGCCGATATGCCCGAGTTCGATGATTTTCCAAGGCTCTCAGAAGAGGATTTAATATTATTTAGTTTGAGTATTTATCAAATAAAACAACCTAAAAGCTATTACGGCGAGCACATCAATCCAAATGGTGTTTTTACGGTCGAGCTTGGCGACAGACTTTTAACAGAACACGTCAGAGAATTGGGAGAAAACATAATAATTTTAAAGAGGAAGAGTACAATCTCAACATGTTCGGGCCAGAGTATATTATGTTTACATTGGCATCGACACATCATGGAGTGGCCGTGATGCCATACCGTATTATTATTGCTGGTGCAATGCTGGCAAAAGAACGGTGGGCTGCTGTTCCCACACTATGTGCATAGTGTGGTACATGACGTTCGCGAGGCACCAACAACCTCCCATAAATCCACCTGCATTAGGTTTAGAAAGTGTTATCGTAAGCTGTCGTGTAACCTGCGGAATTATAACATATGAATAAAGCCACGTAGGTAACGAAATGAAGTCTTTTTCTTTACATATACTCGTATTTTATAACACTAACACCTACACATAAATACCTACGTAGGTACTTAGGTACCTAATGATGATTGTATATAATTAGGATTTTTGTCATATTTTATTATTATTAAGCGAGATTAAGTTATTCTTTATCATCATTATTTGATTTTTGCTATAGTAATGAAGTAAAAATTGTTCAGACGAACTCGTATAAATGCATTTTTTTATTATTTCTAAGTCATATAACTCATAAGTAATCGGTCTTAGCTCTTAGCCGTCTAAAGAAAAAATCTTAGAATGTCATTCTCTAACCGATAAAACCATTATTTTTCTTTGGCCGGCACTTTTTTTTTGGGTAGTTTTTGTATGGAGCGTGAATGATGTCCTTTGTGAGGCAACAGATCTTCGGAAGATCCTCCCTAGGTCGGCCACCTAGAAACGCTTATAACTTTTGAACCAGTGACCGATAAATTCTAATATTTGGCAAAAAAAATCGACTAATTAGCGACTAAACTTAGGTGACAAGAGGTCTTCGCTAAGTTCTCAAATTTTTGAGATATAGGTAAACGTGGCTACTATGTGGTGATTATGGCTAGGAAGGCCACCTAGAAAGGCTTATAACTTTTGAACCAGTGACCAATATGTTATGATATTTTGCAACTAATTTAAACTAATTAGCGACAAAATTATGCGAAAACAGATCTTCTCTAGGTGCCCTGGTTTTTGAGATATAAGCGTGGCCAAGCTGGGGAGACTGACCCCAGCAGGACCACCTATAAACGCTTATAACTTTTGAACCTAAGACCGACAATTCCTCATATTTGGCGACAAATTTCGAGTACTTATAATATATAATTTTTGTATTATCAAAATTAAAATCCATTATGGTGGCCAAGCCAGTGCAGTGACAGCTAATTCTTCTTTCAATTTGATCACGAAGTCGTTTTTTTTTTGGAAAAAAATGACATATTTCTAACGAGTGCTTTGTTCAATGAAGTATTCCAGCTCTCATTGACATTGTTCGTACACTGTTTTTCCTGGTAAATGCACCATTGACTACAGAAAGTATAGCTAAGTTCGACGCATATATTAAAAAAAAAATTGGCGTATTCACTCATTAATTGAATATATTTCCAAAATTTGTCAATTCGTCAATTTCCAAACCAAACCAACCCACAAACACTTCCACAAAAAACGCAAATGATTTATATTTTATTTGGAAAACATAAATAAGAAAATATGAAAAAAAACAAATTAACAATTATTATTTCCAAAATTATACTTTAGTAAAAGGCAAAATTAAAACCATTTTTAAATAAATTATAATTACTTTATTTTTGTGTACGACTGTACACTATGTTATGCGATAGGAGCAGAGGTAATAAAATGTTAATTATTAATTCAATCCTCGTTGAGTCTGTGTACAATAGGAGCATCATAACATGGGTGTCCTGGTGCTCCTATCAGTAGGAAGACCTACCCAATTAGTAGAAGCATGAGACCGAAGCGTTTTTTCTTTGTAAATAAGAACTTTAAAAACATACACGAAACGGGCACAAAAACATCCAGACTCAGAACAACAATTTGTGGATCACACAAAGTATTGTCTCATGTGGGGATTGAACCTTCAACACTCAGCGCAGTAGAAAGCGGCGAGGTGACCGCGTAATCCACTGCGCCATCCGTGTAGTCGTGTGTCAGAACAATGTAAATTAACTTTTTTAAAAGCATCATTTATTTCAACGGGCCTATATCGTAATGAATTTAAATTAGGTACCAAACCGTATTCTTTATGCCTTAACTAAGGGGTGGATCTTTCCTCAATTGAATTGAACCAAACCGGCAGTACACTCTTTCAAATAAAAAAAGAATTTCCAATCGGTTTATAAATGACGGAGTTAGGAGGTAATAAACATCAAAGAAATAGTCGAATTAAGAACCCCCTTTTTTGAAGTCATTTAAAAAGTAACTGTTCAGGTTGTTTACTGTTTGTACTTAGACTTGCCTTGATTAGTGACGATAAGTTTTTGCTTATAATAACAATAATCGTTACCGTAGCCGAAGTGTAGGTAGGCAGGTACAATCTCCTTTAATGCTGGTGGGAGTTTACAGGTCAAAATAATGAAAGTATACACGAGATCCTTATTGAATGAAAAACATAACTTGACAATACGTTTTTATTGTTCGTCTATTTACACAGCGTCAGTTAGGTAAACATTCACTTAGAGAAATTATTATGACTCGCAACTAGCCACCCTAACATACAGAACTAGCTAAACATTCACATTGTAAGAAAACTTATGACATAAATAATTTATTCTCTATTATATTCTGACTATGTAGAATTGTAAATTACTCAAGAATTATCATTCACAGCAGTTTGTGACATTTTTCAATATTCTATTTACACAAAAATGTTAATTTAATGTGATATTCCACTATCTAGGTATATCTAATGTAGTTAGTGAAATATAAGATCAAATGAACACACATAAGTTATAATCTATTGGTACGATTGCGTGCCGTCAGCCGCGCCGGCGCTCGGCGCTCGATACACGCCACGTATGGCACATGAACAATGACGACACTAACTGCCCGCCTCGGCGGCCGACACCGCCACGGGAAGGAAGTAACGAAACGTTATCTAACAATTACATTGTAGTTCGATGACACACATAGATAAGGAAGTTCCTGAAACTGAACCAACATTAAAATAACTACATTGTCTAACAAATAATATTAAGTAGCATATTTATGTATCGGCCGCCTTCATCGTAACGATGTGTACCTATATATCTACTATGTACGGAGTATTGGAGGTTTACTTCTTGCGGTAGGGCTGGTCGGCTTGCGCTTCGGCCAATTGAGGGTCCAGCTGGCCTGCCTCCACGCACGACTTACAACAGAATCTGATGAATAACATGACGGGATTAGTATGTACTAATGTATTTTCAAGAGGTCATCAAAATAGTAACACAAGGGCTGTCCATGTGCCAGTTTAATTAAGGTAAAATTCATAATTCATGTAAAATTCGTTTGACTTAAAGGAATATATAAATTTTACTAAAAGACTTATTTAAGCTAAGTTATAGTTATAAGAAGCTTTAATAATTGGCTAAGCTTATCCAATTCTTCAAATTAAATCTTTAACTGTGTCACAATTTTATTGGTGAATTAAGAGCCATTACTGTTTTTATTTGATACACTTATATTCGTAATGAAACAAATGTTTTTATTGTTATCGAGCGATTTACCTCTAAATGAATGAATGTCATAGAACAATTGGTTAAAGTTAGTTTTAAGACAATGAGAACTTACTTGGAATAATACTTGTGGTTGCAGAATCTGCTGCGCACGATGAGGTCACAATTAGCGAAGAATGGATTGTCAGTGCATTTGGCCGGCACCGTCAGTTCTGTGAGAGACAAAAATCTTTAAAGATCACATTTTGCACAAATTAATACATACCAATAAATAAATGTTGGCTTCGTTCTGGCATTGTTTTTAATATAAAAGGAAGTTACTAGGTTCTGATTTAGTATTAGATAGAGGCGAAACTGATGGACTAGCTTCATCAGTGGGAGACCATACGGTCCTTCCTATGTAGAGAGCCATGTTTTCCTTAAACCCACCTCATTTCCGCTAAGTATGTCGAAGTATACTTACTACCTGCTGTTACAACAAGTCTAGTCCACAATAGTGTACTTACGTTGTACGTTGATCTGCGCGTTGTCGGAGTGAGATGAATATCCGTTATCTGCGTGGCATCCGTACAGTCCGCTGTCGCTTACCGTCACACGTGAGATGGCAAGCCGAGATATTGTGTTGCCTGTTCATAAAGCAGTGTTCGGTTTGGTCAGAAGTAGGTATTAGAAATCAAACACACTACCAATTAAACAGTCAAGATAGGATATTGATTATATTTAAAAAAACCTAATTTAATTTGTATTTTACTTACGGGTTAGAAATACAAAAAAGAAAGAAAACACCACTTTGGAATCAAACTGACAAAGGGGGGAGGGGGGAGGGTAAGTATGAATTGGACTGTTTTGTTTTGCCGATCTATACATAGGTATAGGTTGTCCGTGACGTGGTGAAGGATTAAGAATACAGATTGTCACCACCCCTATTCATCCCGTGGGTGTCGTTAGAGTCGACTAAGGGAGCAAACTACGCAGGCCAACAGCACTGCAAAAAGAAGGAAATCTTGGCACAAACCCGATACTAACCCGTCTGCCCAGCGTGGTATAGTAGGCCAAAACCTCCTTTCTAAGGAGATGCCTATGTCTAGCAGTAGACTATTAAAGCCTGATGATGTGATAGGTTACATATAGGTCCTTTTGGTATACCTAGGGGGCAAACCAGCAGAGGGGTCACCATGGTAAGTGTCTCTAAACTATCGTCTACCCTCCGGCTACAGACACTTACAATTACTCACGAGCCTCAGACAGTACGTCAAAGAGTTGCGTGAGAATGAGAGGTATTCACTTACCCGTAATAGAAGTTCTATCATCAGGCTCGAGTCTTTGTCCATCCTTGGTCCAATATACCGTTGGCTCCGGGAAGCCGTCCACTTCGCAGGCGAGACGCAGCTCCGTGCCAATGTTCAACGTATTGTAGGTCGTCGAGACGTGCGCGCTTACCGGCACTATGTATTGTTAAAAAAAGTTAATTTTTTGGCATTAACGATGTATGAAGGTCTACTTGATGTAGTGATCGTTAACGGACCTGTACCACGCGGCTTTTATAATAACAAAACCATTAATTAAATGCTGTCCGGAAAAAAGTGTTTTTTGTGGACTTTATTTACTCTTCATAATTATAAACTTCGATCTAACCAAGAAGTAATTATTAAATAACCTTTTGACCCTGTCATATCACCCATTAAGATCACTATCATCCTCTGCACATACATACATGCTTTGTTTATTTACAGTCTTCATTGTAGAACATCGATAATTCTGCAAGTTACTTTTTAAAATGGAGAGACAAAACAATTATTCAACAGAATACATAGTAATCAAGGACATTTTATGTGTTTATTTTTACATTTTATTTTAAAAATTATCTTAAATTGAATATAACGATTTAGTGTCTAAGAAAATCAAATAATGCACTAAAACTATAGGATACCTACATATTTTAATTTTTTAAACAAAGATTACAAACATTTTATAATGTACTTATAGTCTGTTTGCTTCCCAATTATAATCTTAAAATGAATATTGATAAAGTAATAAACTTACTACACGTGCAAAACCAAACCCAAAACATGCCGCATGCAAAAGATCAGCCATACATTGAATTAAATTAACATATTGTTTTTCTGTATACTAATTAGTTAATTATTGATGTTAATTTCCGATAATTACATCCAACTTAAAAAGTTTCAATGTTGTGTGGAAAGAAACTGAAAAATAACATCAACAGTTAGCTAACTGTTCAGTTAGTATCAATTGCTAATCTTACCGGTAAAGAATACAGGTCGTTCAGAAGTGGTGGTAGTGGTAGTGGTAGTACTAATCTCCAGAGTGGTAGTCAGTGGTATGCGTCTGGTGGTGGTGATGCTATTGCGTATCACCAAGTATTCGTGCTCGATGAAGAACCCTTCGGGCCTGTATGCGCGCACCAACACTACCCACGAAGCAGCTTTCCCGACTCCATTATAGGCTTGACAGGTGTATTGTCCGAGGGTTTCGATACTCAAGTTTCTTATAAGCAGCGAGTTTCCTCGGACCTCGTAGACAGCATCGTTAAACGGCACCATATAGTTGTCGCGTGTCCAGAACACATCAGGAACTGGGTATCCGTAGGCCAGACAGCGTATCACCAGACGTTTATTCAGCTCACCAGTTATCACCGCGTTTTCATCACCAGCGATTCCCACAGGCGTTTCCTTAGGATCTACCAGTCCCATTTGTTAGCGTACCAAGGTTAGAGTTTGTGAATGATTTAAGTGTCATTTCGGAATTATAGTGAATGAAGAGACAGAGGGTTACATTCAAAAACTCTATGTTAATATTTTTACTAAGCTTAAAATAAATTTAATCTAGGGACATAACAAATGAAATTAATTGGTTTAAGTACTTCTATTGGTTGTTCACTTATATAAAATTCAAAGTTAAACTTCAAAAACTTATATATCTGTACAGAAATACTTAATCCAATTGAAGTAAATGATATAACCAGCGACTGATGTGTATAATGTTTTGTTCACCTTCGTAGGCTTCCGCGCACGCGACCAGAAACGCAATTGTAAGAAGCAGGCAGCGAGACATGATGCTCCGGGGGTGATAATTGCACTACTGGATATTGACTATTTCGATATCACTGTTGTACTGATAGCATTGAGAATGCCGCCACGTCCGATGTGTCCAATGGGCGTATTCCTACTAATTGCGGTCATGCTTCGATAAAAGACTGTTGACTGCAAATGATTGTTGTTGGATACTGACAGGATAGAGGAACATTATTTGTTTTACATATTGCTTAAAATGTTTTTAAGGTTATGGGTGCCTGGTACTTTTACGTCGTCCTACCTACTGGTTAGGAATGAATGAAAGATAACGAACCGAATTAGGGAGTTTAGAAAGTTCCGGTACAGGTAGATAGTAACATTGTTTTCTTATGTGATTTTTTTGTTATACATATAATATATTTCCAACTAAAATTTATAGAAAATTCTAATACAAATAGCTTTATCTATCGCGGTTAGACGCGGGTTAACTAAACAACTATGGAGCCGATAACTCGGGGTCAAGTACGAACACCAGATGAGCTCAGCGAGCTGATCATGACTTAATATTAAACGATTTTGCAAAGCGACACTATTATTCTATAGATGTTGATTAATACCATAAGCGTGGTGTCATGTTACTGTTACTGGACAGGATCACGAAGATGCAGTTTAGTTCGTAAGCTGACATCATGACAAACGATTACTAGTCTTAACCGTGTTTATAGGAAATGGTAACCGCTTACCGACCTAAAACCTCTCTATTGTACCGTAGTAATACTTTTGATCACCACTTTAGGAGTTCTCTATGTATGTACGTATGTACGGTTTTACAAATACAGTAATCCCCCTATAACACGGTAGATTTGTGTCGCGTTATTGGAAAACGCGTTGTAGGAGTATTCTCGCATAACGCGTTTGTACAAATGATTCACGTTTTACTTTACTCTTTAAAGGGGTTTAAACTGAATTATGAACTATTGAACTAATCATGAACTCTACGAATCATTATAAATTTCACAGTATAGAAATATAATGAAATCCCCGCGTTATATGGGGAATACCCGTGCTACACGTAATATGAAAATGCGTTATAAGAGTACCGTGTTATAGGTAGTACCTTGTAGTAGAGGGTATTACTGTAAATAATTAAATGTATGGATATTGCGTGTTCTAGAACCCAAAAGACATGCCATGAAATTACTATGCGCTGTTTCGTATTTAGGTGACCAAACTTATTGACAGAAACACCTTTAGAATTACCAAAGAGGGGTTTAATTTCTCAAAAGACTATCGAAATAATACTTATGTAGCTATTACGCATAGGAAGTACCTACTACTATAAAATTCCTGAGAATTTATTCATGATTTCTATTCCCAAGGAAGTTTGCAGGAATTGCATATTTTTAAATAATGTAGCTACATTATTAGCGATTGTTCAAGCCCGGCAAGGCCGCTTTTGATATTTACAACAGAGACTCCATTTTGGTTTCGTGTCATTTGTTGGCGAGTGGTTAACTCGAGCAGTCTTCCAAAAAAAGTATAGTGTGGTTTCATGAAACCACGATGCAAGTGAAACTTATTTTCGGAAAATTTAACTGAAAATTTTCGGAAAATTATTCACGATCAAGTGAACATTTACATCAACTATCAACACACTGATCAAAACACACAAATACTGCGGAGCACTTGCACGAATGAATGAGCGCCGCCATATTGGCCTTGGCTGTAATTCGACATGCGATAGAACGAAGACGAAAAAATTTGAGGCGATGTAATAAAAATTATTAATTTGCAAGTCTTTGGTAATTTTCTTATGATACAAAGTCACCTGAGGGTAAGTGAATATCGCCTCCCGTGGACACTTGCAAGTCTTGCAACAATACGAGTACGTTGCCACGCTTTGAGAGCGAGAAGGCGGACAGGAATTATCCAATAACTAATAAATACTGAGTCAGTCAAAAGTAATGAAATAATTATTTAACGTCGCCGCCGGTTTTCTGTGAGGACATTGTATCACTTCGGTTAAATGACATAAAATTTTATAAGACACTTGACTGCAATCAATTAAATAAAATTGATATTGGTATGCTAAAATGTTTTAATATAATTCAGGACGTTTAGTTATGTTGTGACTACGAGGGAGCACTGTATGACCATTACCATGTAGATCATTCATGTTGTTTACTACCAAGTAGGTACTTTGGAAACTTATCTACGTTATGCAAAATTGTCCGCGGATTGATAAGCAGAAGCCTAAACAAAGTAGCAAACATTGAGTTATAGGTACTACTCGTAGTAGTAAATGTTGTGTTGTTGATGCATAATTTAATACTAGTTACTTCTAAATTTACCACTTTCCTGTAATCTGCGGGAGCAATTTTAGGAAAAAGGAGGGAAGTATGTAACAGGAAACCGGGCAAGCGCGCCGATATCAGAGGGCTTAGTGCGAGTTTATTTCAGTTCTAATCGCTCTCGTCATCGAACATCGACCAGATCGTCACGGTGACCGATTTCGGCGTTGTCATTGGTGAATGTAGTGTAGAAGTGAAATAAACTTACACTAGGCCCTCTGAGGGCTGAGTACGAGTTTATTTTACATCGCGTTTGGTGGAGATTTCAGTGCGGGGCAATCGTAGCTCCAAACGCGGTCACCCTGACGATCGAGTAGAAATGAAATTACCCTTTGATGATAGAAACATCTTTCGCCCGTTTTCTTTTTATTAAAAACCTATTCGAGAGGTACGTTTGAATAAAATATAACTACGTGAGAAGGTATGCAATACTTTTAAATTGGTACTTACGTCGTAGCGTAAATTGCGGTATACATAACATTCATATTTGTACAAATCTATTTTATGAACAGTACTTAGTTTTGTTTTAGTGAAGATCAACGTATAAAAGCTTACTGAAAAAAAAAAATATCTATTACTTTTAAAACAGTATTACCGATTTCGAATTTTAATGAACTGTTCTTCATTACTTATTTACCACTTTTCAGGGTAATAAATGGGTTAGGGTTGAAATAAATAGAACATAACGGGAAGTGCATATATTTTTACCAACAGTAATAAGGATGTCCTAAATTGGTTATTCAATGATATTGTTTTGAGATAACAAACATAAAAAGACAATCGAATTCATCAAATCATCAAAATATCAAATTTTGTGCATTCTATTTGTTGTAGGTACGTATTTCATTAAAATGTCAATCGCTGGTTATCATGGAAGAAGGGTAAGTAAAGGAAAACAGAAAATAAGTTCTAGAAATAGTTTATAAAGTCAATCCAAGGTTTAGGTAACGTTCTACTAAACTACTTTTACTATCTACCAACCTCTAACTACTGAGTGGCAAGTTCTAAGAGCTTCAAAAGATGCACTAATTAAAAACCCAAGCTTAAAGGCCTCAGTCGCTGTGAATTGTAACGATTTTTTTAACGTTTCCAGATTATACCTATTGCATTAATTAATTGCAAAACAGTGTTACTATTAAGACAGCTCCACGTTTCCGGAGCCCGACTGAACACTATTACTTCATTAGGGATTAATTAATTGAGGTTAAAACTGAGAAACTTATTTTTTATTTTACATTTGTCAGTCTTCTTTATGTGGATGGTTTACAATGAGAATCATTTGGCTTTGTAACATGCATATAAAATAATCGCCATTAACCCTATGACAATTCATACTTTGATTTCAATTGCCGTTAAAAGAGTCAGACACACGCGTTATTACCTCGTCAAATTTCATAGAATTTGAACTTTTATATTTTTGTTTTAAGCTTCTATCGAATAATACCTGACAAACATGTTTCTATTCTTGACCCGTGTATTCATCAAATTCGAATCTGACATAACATGTTGTGTTATTATGTAGCTTTTGGATAAACTTACTAATTTAAGCTTAGAGCGAGTAAGTTTTACAATTTTATTTAGATATCTCCGACTGATTTTATAACCTGTTTCACGCTTTCAACCGGTTGTATTTAGAATAAAACCATTCAATTCACAGCCACTGAAGTCTATCACCATAGCCCCAAGACACTCGCATACATATTATCAACTTACCAGTAACGATGAGGTTTATCTCCTGCTTGGCAGTGCCAAGTCCGTTGTCGGCCACGCAGATGTACACGCCGGTGTCGTTGCGGTACAGAGAGACGATCTCGAGAGCACCGTCGGATGTCAACCTGTAGCGGCCCACGTTGCCGTTGATCTGTGTTGAAAACAATTTTGAATGCTAAGGATATTCAGGTCCAGTAGCCGCGCCGAATTTGGGGGTTTTATTTCTACACGAAATAAAAACATCCGCTAATGTCCAGTGACACAGGAATCATTCCTAGTGTGGAAGTCGTCTTACATGGAAAATAAAGTAGAGTCCGTCTGTCCGTTTCGTGTAATTAGTATTAACGGATCATATTTATCTTTGGATTTTACCCCATAATTTAAGATTTTTGTTAGGATATTCATATATCATTCCATTTTTTACCCGAGGCCTGATTAAACTATGGCAAATTAAACAAAAATAAAACTGATTGGGTACTTGTATATAAATAGTTTTCATTAAAAATAATCAATATTATTTTTATTCATAAAAGTATTTAAAAACTATTATGACTCCTTCCGGCAAATTTATGTAACCGCTTTTCGAAATTTTCTGAATTAACAGCGATGTGTTGCGGAAAGACACGATAGCATGTAATGTTTCAGAAGACGACGTCAGGGACAGGGCGAAGTGGAAGAAGTATGCAAAGAGTGCTGAACCCACCACCATGTGTGAGGAATAGTCGGGAAGAGAGAGAGAATAGCGACACCCATTTCAAGCACTGCATATCAGCGAACATTCAGCTGCTAAGCACATTCGCTGGAACGAACTCTTTCATTTTACCTTTTATCCACTTGCATTGGGGAGTCAGAGGGCTGGAGGTGAACATTCAAGTTATCTCGTGTAACTTAAATTTGTTCAAGTAATATACATATTTAATTATTTTTTTGTTTTATTAGAAGATAGCTAAGAATTAGCTAGAATTATTATTAAAGCTTATGAATATTTTAACATAGGAGGAGACCTTATTTAAAAGATATCTGTAATAAGTGGTTTCAAAATAAAATCAATGTAATATACTTACGGTAATCTCTCCTCTTCTCCACGCTATCTTGGGCGGTGGATTGCTGTGGAACAGACAGCGCAGCGTGGCCTTGCCGCCCTCGGCCACCGACAGATCCGGTTCTTGCAGCGGTAATGCCCTTGGAGGTGCTGGCATGTCTAAACACAAATAGATTATATGACTAGAGCTGTAACTACCTTTTACAAGACATTCAAAACGGTCGATCTTCGTACGCCAGGCAACCTCTAACTACTTACATAAAAAAAAAACAGTGGCACTGCGGGGGCGCCGACAGAAGTTAAACTTATATACAGAGTTAACGGTAACAGTCGCGAATTCAATGGACTTTGTCCCATTTCAAAAAATGCCCACCGCGCTTAAATAAGTTTTCACTTCAACAGAGGTATCGGTAACGGCAACAGTGTCGCGAGTTCAATGGTTTATTCCCATAAAATAAATTATTTATTTGTTATCAAAAATGCCCAACGCGCCTAAAGAACATTAAAAAAAATCATTTTTTGAATTAGGAATATATAGGAACACATTTCTCGTACCTGGACTATGGGTGGTGGTGATGATGACCGGCGCGGGAGTGGACTCGGCGGGCTCCACGCACGTCCTCTTGCAGCCTCTCGTGCAACACTTGCCGTTGCCGCGGCAGTCCGCGTCGTCCTTGCACTCGTCTTCACACAATATTTCGTTGGAGAAGACGTCATCGGTTGGACACAGACCCGGTTTTGTCACTGGACAGAGGGAACAGATGTTTAAATAGCCTATATTTTTAAGGTATTTGTTGCATTGCTGCAAAATTCTAACTAATTGGCCTTTACTTGGCCCGCTCTGAAGTTCAGGAAACAAGTGACAGAATAGTGTTAGGGATCAAAATTTGTTGTCGATGTAAATTTGAATTCATTTATGAAATTAAAATTAATTTCTACATAAACTGTACAAATCCGTAGCCGATATTGTTATATATGATGTGGTCCGATGTTTTAGAAGTTTTTATACTTAAAAACAAAACAGTCAGTCCTTTATTTTGTGTGTCATTTATTATTAGAATATTTTAGTGCCAAATTCGATGGGGTACGAACCAGCTCTGCACTCAGGGGAGTACTTCAGCCCTTCGGAGAGAGGGTCCCTGTAGGAGACCACAACGCATCGCTCACCCACGTTGCAAGTCACCAGACCCGGAGCGCAAGGGTCCACGCATGAGCACCTGAAGGAATTAAACTCTATAAGAAACCTTAATATATTCTTATTCAATAGGATACAGTCACGGAAAATAAGCTTGATGAAAGAAAACTATATAAAAATTATTAGACTAAAACACCAGACATACAAATACCATATAATCTATAAATATGTATGCACCTATAATAATATGACTGGATATTATACTTTGGGTGATACATACTATTTTCTTTTCTGATAATCGCAGATAATATAGGTACATATTATATATATTATATGGGCCTAGTAATCCATCGGAATTGGGACTTCATACTAATTAAACTCTGGTGTCCGGGAATTCTAAAAGAAAACTTACAAACAACGACTCCCTACCTTTCACAACCATCATGTCCCACGGTCTTATCCAATCCGTAATAGCAATTGAGCCTGTTGCATGCTTCCGTGTAGGGCTCGCAGTTGATGGTGGGGGGCGCGCACTGGCAGCGGTGGCAGCCGTCGGCAGTTTGCATGTGCTCCACACCAGAGGCGCAGCGGAGGCGCTCGCACTCCGCCTCGTACCGCGAGCAGTCTGGTGTCACTTCGTTCGTTTCGTCTCCTAATATATTTTTTTATTAATATTTTGACAACTGACACACAGCGCCATCTAGTTTCAAACAGTGTAAGCAGAGCTTGTACTATGAAAAATATATTGACTGATAGAATATTTACATACTTTATTTATGTAAATACCTACATACATATTATACATAGAAAACACCCAAACTCGGAAACAAATATTTGCAGATCATACAAACATTTGGTCCGACCCGGGTATCGAACCCGAGATCTCATCATAGCAGTCGCATCACTACCACTTTTTTTTTTATTCCGTGCGGACGCATCACTACCACTGCAACACTTAGGCTCGTTCGTTTCGCTCGTTCGGCTAGGTCGTTTGGTCGCTCCTGTTGGTCTGGTCAAGTGGTCAGCGATCCTGACTGCTAATAATTATACCGTATACAACCAACCGACTTCAAAAAATTGGAGTAGGTTCTCAATTCGACTGTATTTTGTCACCTCAGAATTCCGTTATTTTTTAAAAATGGCATACTTTACGTTTATTCCATTGAAATTGGGAAAAATAATTGATGAAAGTTAGAAGGTGAAGAATACCGTTTATTAAAATGCATCACTATTTACGCGCATTGAAGTCGATGACACTTTTGTTTAAAGGTAATTATAATTATTATTGCGGATACAACTGTTCCATGATAAACATATCAGAACCGCAAAACACGTCCGTTATCCATGTGGTGACAGAATAGGAGTGTCACCACCCCTATTCATCTCTTGGGTGTCGTAAGAGACGATTAAGGGAGCAAACTACGCAGGACAACAAAACTGCAGAGAGAAGGAAAACTTGACACAAACGCTGTACCAACCCGTCTGGCCAGCGTAGGATAGTAGACCAACCCGGTGGGATGACGGCCCCAAAACCTCCTTTTGGTTAAGGAGAGGTCTATTTCCAGCAGTGGATTATTAAGGCCTGATGATGATGAACCGTAAAACGTCATAAAAATCTCAAGATAATCTTAGTCGGACGATGAGTACTTACCGCCAACGATAAGCGTAATCTGTTGCGTGGCAATACCGAGTCCATTGTCAGCTATACAGATGTACACGCCGGTGTCGTTGTGGTGCAGAGACACGATCTGCAGCGCGCCGTCTGACGTCACCAAGTAGCGGCCCACGTTGCCGTCGATCTATCAAAGAGGCACCAGTTTATTATGATTGATTTAAATTTACGGAAACTGATGCCGTTTTGTTGGAAGCTTGATAAATATTAAAACAGTGGTTATTAAGATTTCGAAGTGTATGCTACTGTGCTCGAAACAAGTGTCATAACAGACCAGTTACTGTGCCTTAAAAAAATGTATATAACATAACTATTTGTGGAAATATTGCAATACAGTTAATGCTAGATGTCATAAGTGTATCTAAGGTCTTCTAATCGATCGCATGTGTTACACTTATGTTGATATTTTTCTGTTACAGAATTCAATAAGTACCTATTTCAGTTCCGTTTCTCAGCCGACACTTGCGGTAAACTTTAGCCCCGTTCAAAAGTAAATACGCAATAATATAATATATCTCGGGCCGGTCATAAAAAAGTGCAGTTGAGTGATGGTGATGACGTGATTCTCACTCCTGATTAAAAATACATATATGGAAATTAAAGAAGCATCACCTACTTGCATTTGTCATGGAGACAAATGCAAGTAGGTGAAAATGCCGAACGGGCCTGTTGGTCGAGTGGTTAGTGACCCTGAATGCGTGAGTCATGGGTTCGATTCCCACCCAGGACAAATATTTGTGTGATGAGCACGATCGTTTGTTCTGTGTCTGGGTGTAATTTATCTATAATATGTATGTATTTAGAATTATATAAGTATGCTTATCAGCAGTCTGGCTACCATAGTACAGGCTCTACCTAGTTTGGGATCAGACGGCCGTGTGTGAGATGTTTGAGGGTATTTTATAGTATTCATCATAACGTGCTTTAAGGAGCCTCTTAAGTTTAGACTGCACGGATGGCGTAGTGGCTTAAGCAGTCGCCACGCCGCTTCCTACTACGCTGAGTGTTGTGGGTTCGATCCCCAGATGGGAAGACTCTTAGTGTGATCCACAAATTGTCGTTCTGAGTCTGGGTATATTCCTAGAGCGGGAGATGTCTTTAAAAACAAAGTACGTACGGCAATTTCTCCCTTCTTCCACGTGACCTTGGGTGGTGGGTTGCTGTGGAAGAGGCAGCGCAGCGTTACATCACCGCCTTCTATCGCGTTGACCTCGGGTTCAGGCAAAGGTAATGCAACTGGAGGCGCCTCTGGTTCTGTAAACATAAAACATAAATTAACTTACTAACACACAAACATTCAGTTTGGGATGTTTGGAATATACATAGTATTTGTATTTTGCTTTGAACCTCTGGCGCCAAAAGAAGGGGTTGTATAAGTTAAACAACTTGTAAACCCTGATATATGTCTGTATGTCCCATCAGAGTTCTTAAACTTAGTTTTTCTTTGTTGACACTAGTGTCCTTAGCTGCAATTTAAGAAAGCCTTTTCAGCCTTTCAGGGAAAATCTGTTCTTTCTAATCGTTGAAGGGATTTTTGAGTTGTTCGTATTTAACTTACGTTTCTATTTTTAACAAATATTTTATAACTCAGTATAAGATTAATGTAATCAAATATATTCGTCACTAAAAAGAGTATTTAAGAGAAAAAACACATAAATACTTTGCACACAAACAAGAAAATATAGAAATATACCTTCACATCTGTAAGAGTATCTCGGCTTGCGCGTTACAGGGTTGGCGACTGATATCGTCACACATCGCTGATATTCTGTGCAGTTGTTCCTCAGGCAGGGGTCTTCATCACATATACACCTGAGGACAAAAGAAGATGTACGATAGTGATTAGACAGTGTTCGATATGACACTACCTTAACTTCTAATGAATATGTAAATCACTAAAGCATGTTTGACAAAACTAAACCCGCTTTTTAATTGCCCGGCTCTTGGATTCAAATTGAGTGGCGACTGAGTACCTACTGACAAGATATATACTACAACAGTTACACGTGATGCTGACTCCTAACCCAGTGGGTTCGATTCCATCTTGGGCAAATAATTGTGTGATGATGACCATTAAATTGTTCTGTGTCTGGGTCAATATTATCTGGGTGAAATCTGGTCATCATAGTACAGGCCAGCTTAATTTTGTATCAATGAGGGAGACGTATCAAGATTTTATTATATTGTTATTTTGTTACATTAAATATACTCCATTTATTTCACGATTCGATATTACATTAATTTTGTTGCAAGACATACACAATATATATTTATCTGATAAGATCTGTTAGACCTATTTTGGTATTTTATTTTCTTTGCGTTTTTAAATAAATATTTTTTCAATTTTTTTTAAACACACCTATAGTTACATAATTATTAAAAGGCTTTTAAATGAACTAAAATGTTAATATTACATTTCAGTACTTGGATATTGTTGCTACATACTTATTTGTCAACTTAGTGTTATATTCCATATATATTATATTTTACATATAATAATAAGAGTATATTATATACATTATATCATGTCGACCACCTACCTTTCACAACCATTATCCTGGAGCTTTCGAACTCCGTATGGACAAGCAATCGTCTCACACTCTTCGTGTAACTGCTGGCACTGTGAGGTTGTATCAGCGCAGGAGCAACTCTCGCAGCCGCCCGGCGCTGAGGAGCGCACGATGGAGTCGCAGGTCAACGACGCGCAGTGACGCTCGTAGGACTCGCAACCCAACTTGTTCTTTCCTGTACCATGATAAAGGCGTAGGAAATTAACATTAAATGTTTCTTGTGTTTAAATAAATGGTACACAAAACATTAAGCTATGCCATACACAATTAATAATGTTTTAATGAGTTTTGTATTCAGTTTTACTGAAAAAAAAGATTAAACAACCGAAGGAAGCTTGTATGGAATATCCGACTGCACAGATTTTTAATTAAGTATACAACAAAGAAACAAAGCTGAGTCTTGATTGTGCATCACCATCACCATCACCATCATTGTGCATCACCATCCGTCACTGCATGTTATATTTACCTCAAAGCAACACTGGCGACGTAATCTGCGCACGCGCATCTGAGTTGTGAGGCGCTTACGGTTAAAGACAGTAAACATCATAGATACCCTACTAAGGAGCCTACGAGTACTAAAACTTGACACAAACCCTATACCAACCCGTGTGGCCAGCGTGGTATAATAGGCCAAGACCGCATATCTAACTGTTAAAGGCTGTGGATGATGATATGATAATGGACTATCTTCCTAATCAGAACCATAGAACATGCGGTGGTTTCCTACGATGTGTAGTGCAGTATTGAATAAGCAAGCGTACGGAAGCGTGAACAGCGTGAACATTATTGGTGTTCATATCTGGCACAAAGTAAGGGTAAAACTTTATTTTATATAACGGTGTTCAATTTTGTATTCACACTATACACTATATTAGGGCAAAATAAAGTTCAAGAATTTAAGATGTTATGATTAATGTAAGAAAATAATTTAAGATGTTATTTCTTTTCGATTAAATAAGGCCCTATCCGATACTGTATGAATTTACTGTATTTTCTTGCCTATAGTAGTCATTGAGTAACTCAATAACTGATTAAAGCAAAAAAGAAAGAAACATGTTAAAGAATAGCATCAAAATGAACAGTCTTTATTTGTTAGTTACATGGAGATGTAAATAATACCAAAAATATTATCTTTTCTATGTGAATATCTTTACTGTCTTAGTGTTAATATAGTATCTATTTCAGACAAGTTAACGTCATAAGTTATAAGGTAACCATCAGAACTCGGTACGCCTCCTCGCTATAACAGTTGACAAGAATTATGAGTCACTGCATGGTAAACATGCTGGGTATATTTTTTACTTGATGAACTTTGCAAGATGTGAACATTAATCGATTGCATGCGGCAGGGTACGTGATGACGTGGACGTAAGTACCGGGCGGCTTGCAGTATTGGCGACAATTGTCGTAAGAGGGGAAGTTGTTATCGTTGCCCCCGCAGCCCTGGTACGCGAAGGCCAGGCAGTCCCCGCGCGGCGCGCTGTAGTGGTAGCGCGGGAGCGCCGGCGCCGCGCACCCCTCCGCGTGCCCCGTGTCCACCTCCTGCAGGCACGCCGGCGCTGCCAACCCGCACAGTTAGTCCACTAGCGAGCTCTAAGCTACTCACTCCGCTGTTATTTGCACTCAAACTAAAAGCTTTCATACACTCGCCGTAAATATCTGTACGATGCATCTCTATTCTTGTTGTGTTATTACATTAAATGCAAACACATTTCCGTTATGAAATATAACTCAAACTAAAACCCAAACATTATATTATAGCAGAGTTGCTTAATACGTATTAAAACGTAAATTTCCGTACGAGACATTGCCGGCGAGTATCGACTAAATTGCTCATGCTTTGTTAACAGTGAACAAGTCACCAGAGGAATTTGCGCAGTATTAAGATAAGGGGTGCTAAGAGTCAGTGGTAGTTTTAACGCAAACCATGATAATATGAGTGTCAAATCTTGAGGAACAAGCTATTTGATCTAAATATTCTGATCATTATTAGTTGTAAGAGTTTAGAATAGAAAGCATATAGTTTATCCATACCAAAAAGAAACGGAAAATAACTGTGACATTTGTTAGTTTTATAAGATATTTTTATACCTAGTCCGCTCTCGCCGCAAATTTCTTCGCATTCGTTAATGGTGGAGAACCTGTTTGGTCCACCGGCGCAGCCGCCGTACGTAAACGATTGGCATCTTCCTGTCAGAGAGTCGAAGTAATACTTCATCACAGGGTTACGACAAGGACCCGGATCCAGTTGAGCTTGGCATATGTCTGTAACAATTTTGTCCAATGATTTATCTGCTATAATACAAACATTAATATTACTATCTTCGTTAATTGTAAAGAGTTATACTCGTAGATAAAACATGTAGTAACGTAAACTGCAGACAGTTTTAGAAAACTAGGTGATTTTAAAAACAGAAATCTTAATTTGAAACTGACAAATTGAAGATCAAAACTGACCATGACTTGATAAAATATAATATTTTATAAGAGAGGCCTGACGTAAATAAAACTGTGGATATTTAAATACAAAGATGTTAATGGACTGATCAGATGTTTCCACTAAAATGTCTGCTTAAATCAATACAAAAAAAAACATTGACATGAAAATCCTTGGGGTGTTGCGATGCTTTTCTATATTTATACCTTTTATAAATACTTAAGTATTATATAGAGTACAAGCTGTTGCCCGCGGGTTTGCTCTGTTGATATTGCTTATTGCGTGTTGCTAACTTTGAAAATGACCAGCCCCAGCGGTTTAAGCTCTTCGTTGATGTATTTATGTATAGAATTATATCATTTATACTTATAGGCTATATTCATAGGTTATATTAAACTTAATTGGAAACGATGTAATTTCTAATTTCAGTAGTATCTAGAAAGCAGGACTTACCGACTTCACCGCGGAAGGCGCCACATTGCCTCTCGCACTCTTCTTCGCTGCGGTATGAGTTGGGGTGCCTGCAACTACCAAACTCGCTCGGCAGACAACTCTTGGTGTTCGAGTCGTAGTAGAACACGGTGGAGTTGTAACCACATGGAGCAAGGGAACTCGGCGTTTTGCATTCATGTTGCTGATGGAAATTTAAGACAACATTAGATATACGTTAGAGAGATAGATGGCGTGCCTGTTGCTCTAGTGGTTAGCACTCGTGATTGCTAAACCAGAGGTCGTGGTTTCGATTGGGTGGGTGGGGTTACTCCCTACCCCTCTACTTATGGGACTTATGGGACGTTTATCACTTACCAACAGGTAACCGTCTGCTTGTTTGTTCCCTATAATGGAGCTTTAAAAAGAGAATTATTGAATAATGAATAATTTGTTAGATACGGTTGATACGAACCTCCTCTGGGTGAACAATGGACGCTATCGTAGTAGTAGTTGTAATCACTGGCTTACATCTGTTTTCGCAATCCTCACGCGTGTCAAACCTGCCAAAGTAAAATTTTGTTGTATTTACATTATGAACGTGCCGTTTATCTAAGAATTCGGTGGTCGACTGTCAAGTCAAATTAGTCCCTTCAATAAATTCAATAAAATTAGTCTAAAACAATTGTTTTTGAAGAAATTTGTAGGAAATAACGAATTGTGACGTCACACTGTACTGTTGTTGTTGGTTGTTTTAAATATTTATTTAAACAATAAAAATAATAATAAAATAATTCTTCTTAATTTTCTTTTAGTTCTAGTCGTAAGCGTATGTTGTTATTTCGTGTAAATGTTTAGCAAATATATTAAAACATCCAGCAAGTTATATACTAGTGAAAAGTACAAATGAACAGTATCTAAGAATCAAATGCATCGATCACAACCTATGAATATACAATTTATAATCCAGACTGTACTTTGTAAAAAGTTAATGAGGGCGTACCTATTGGTGTTTCCGCCACATCCCGTGTATACAAACTGAGTACAGTCACCATGGCTCGCGTCGTAGTACCATTGCTCAACATAGGAATCGCAGTTGCCCTGGTCCGGTAGCAATGAACATATATCTGTTTGAAAACACAAATTTTACTCAACGTTTCTTAGTAAAATATCTGCTTATGCGGAAAGCAGTAAACAGTGTCGATTGCATCACATCACATCATCATCATCAACAGCCTTTAATAGTCCACTGCTGGACATAGGCCTCTCTCGATTGCATCTGAACAGGATAATTACCATACTTTTGGATACAACGTCCTGAGCTCTAAGTTTAGAAAATGGAAAACACTGTTCTAATATTTTTTCCGATATCAAAAACTTCCTCTTTTTGCAATATGCTGTTCAAGGTTCTCAATTCTTTGAATTTTTTGTTTAAAAAAAAATTGACCATTTTTTTTTTAAAATACCAACCTTAAGGGTAAATAGAAAATTAAGAAACGAAGAATATCACTATCTAGACTTATAGAATACGTAACTATCTTCTAATGTTTCCTGTAACATGTAATGACAGTAATCTGTTAGCGTGCCTTTTAGAAATCAATAAATAAAGTTTTTTACTGTTTTGTACATTATGATGAAGCGCAGTGGTATATGGTACTCTTCGAAATTAAAACAGTTTGGTTGCATTAGGGATTCTGAATTGTTTACCTGGTGTAGTTGTTTTGACCCCGCAGACTTCCGTGCATTCCTCAATGCTTGAGAATCGGTTGGCTCCTCCAAGGCAACCACTGTATGCGAATTCCTTGCAAGTGTTGGAATTGGAATCAAAGTACACCTTCGTTACAAATTCTTGACAAGGACCTGCGTCTAAAAGTTGTTTGCAGACATCTGAGACAAGGAAACAATTATATGTTAATCTATTCATTCATAATACAAACTGCCTTAAGAAAGAGTGAACATAGCAACCTATATTCATTTGTAATACGGTTTTGTGTTGTTGTTGACTCCTCACGTTTATTTAAATATAACTTTTTACTATTTTTTGACATAAGACAGACTAAAATAACAGTATTATCACACGGGTGATCTTCCCAAATTAATTCTTCTGACAAAAGCTCAACGGACTCTTAAAATAAATTGTATACATCCGTAAAGTGAAAACACACTGAAACAAGTACGTCAAGAAAATAACACAATAATTCTTACATAAATTTAAAAAAACACGTTATTGTTTCAAAGATAGGAACTTAATATAAACTTAATACAAAACAGTATAATTATGGGACTTACCGATTCCCTGGAAGGCACCACACTTCCTCTCACAAGCCTCCTGGGATTCGAAGACGGCCGTGTGCCTGCAGTTCCTGCCACGCTCCTGGTTCACGTGTGACACACACTCGTGGTGACGAGGGTTGAAGTACCACACTTCACCGGTGCTTCTACATTCTTCAAGGAAAGGCGACGCTCTGCACTCTGATCGTAGTTGCTCTCCAAGATGATTATCCTATACAAAAAGTTTTATGAACGACATTTTGCATTAAAAATATATTTAAATTATGGGTTTTGTCTCTATAATCTATATATATATATATATATATATATATATATATATATATATATATATATAAGAGATTTCCACGTATATAGTCACTCATCACGATATCTCTGGAACCATTAGAGCTAAAGACTTGAAATTTGGTAGGAATATTCTTTTCACCGAGTAGAGGTCAACTAAGAACGGATTTTAAGAAATTAAAAAAAAAGTTTTTTTTTTAAATAATGTAAATAGCAACACAACGTTTGCAGGGTCGGCTAGTTAATAATATACATGATAATTTTTTAGTAACTTCCAGAGTTCCAAAATTATTATTACTAAAAATAAAAATAACTGAAAAATCTCATACATTACACCCAGACACGGAAGAAATAGTCGACCTCACCACATAATTTTATATAATAGTAATGAAAGTAATTTTACTAAAATTTTGCAGAAATAAAAAGTAGTTTTCTTAGAAGAAGAAGGTACGAGTAAAATATAAAGTGTAGACTAACGACAGCGACGGTGGTAGCAAGAGTTGTTGGTTTCGTCGTGGCTGGTTCGACTTCTGGTCCAGTCCTGCATCTACTCTCGCAAGCCTCACGACTCTCGAACCTGGTGAAAATAATTCAACTTATGATAAGGTTGTTTAGGTACATATACGGTATATACACATATACGGATAATCATCACCATCATCATCAGCCTTTAATAGTGCACTCTTGGACATAGGCCTCTCTTTAGAAAGGTTAATAAGTATATACCTACGGTAAGTGAAGCGGCATTGCTAGGCTCGTATCAAATATGGTTAGGTAGAGGGGGTAATACAGCAGACATTGCAGGTGAGCATTGACGCGTCGCAAGGAGTACTCCCTAAACTTATACCTGGGTCGCAAGTCCCAGGCGCTGTCAAAGTCGTATGTGTTGCCCCCATCTATAACGCGATGGACCCGGCACCCGCACGGTGGAACGCTCAGAAATAGCTCTTAAAATTGCGATTTCCTTAACATTTTGATTATACGCTACGTTGTTTATTAGTTAATTTTTGTATTAAATATTTTAACATCATCTGTTTTCTTTGATTAGAGTAATTACAATACTTGAACGGACTCAGCTCTATTTAGGCGTCATGATCAGCGATTTCGTAGACTGCTAGTTCACCAGTAATGAGTTTAAACAACTCATTACTGGTGAACTAGCAGTCTCAGTCACATGAAAGTTTGATAGTCAAACTCAAACTCAATCTCTCTTTATTTCATAAAATTTTCAAAATTGTTTGAAATCGTCTTTTATGTAGACTCTAAAGTCATAAATCAACACACACAAAAGCAACAATCTCTGTTTTGTCAAATAGTAAGCAAATAAATTTAACAAAAATCAAACCCATACAAAATCTATGATATGCCTCTGCCGATCTACAACCACCCGTTTCCAAGGGGTTGAGCCTTATAAGAAGAAAGGGCAAAACAAACTCATGGCCACTCTTTTGAAATTGACAGATAGATACAATGGCACTATTAAATATTTATACCACAACATTGTTTTGATGTGTGCGTTATGTATGTCCGTTATTAAGGACTAAAAGGTAAAAAGACAATGAAAAGAAAACAAGATTAAGAAAAAAAACGAATACAAGAGAAAATGAAGTGAAACATAAAAAATAGAAAAAATAATAATAATAAAAAACTCACTAGCCTCATCACATTTTTACTTAAGAAAGAAATAGGTTGCGCGAATTAATCCCAAGCATTCTTGTCTTCCATGTAATCCACCATTGAGTAGTAGGCCCTCTGACACAAGCCACGTTTTATTGCGGATTTAAATTTGTTAATACTTAACTCTTGAATATTATTTGGGTTTCTATTATAAAATCGGACACATTGACCTCGAAAAGACTTGCTTATCTTTTGGAGCCTAGAGGCGGGTAGTCGTGGACCTTTTACATAATCGCGAGAGCTCCGCAAATATTTTCTTTATACTATCTTCGAATGAATGCGTCCTAATAGTATGTAAGTATTTATATGCATGTAATAGAGATTGCCTGGCATGTTGAATTGCGACTGCTTTGAATATCTTCTTTTATTCCATTGACCAGTATAACTTGATCTCTCATTGTATACACTTTTGTACCATAACAGGCAAAAGTATAGAATGGACGCATATATAGTTTTATGTAGCGGTTTTTACACAATTTTTAACTTTATAACATATATTGTTTAAAAGTGTAGTTTCCTGCAATTCTTCTACTTATAATGATTAAGTGTTCCCAATACGCTTCCATGTGCTATGTTTGTTAAAAATGGGATACAAAAAACTTTATTCATGTGTAAATATAAAAATACGTAGCAACTACAACGGGTGCTGGTGACATACCCGAGTCAAGTGTACGATAAAACAAAGCTGAGTCTAAGCATTTCGTGAACCAAACATTACATTCTTAGACACAGCTTGTGGGTTATATTCCCTGTACTTAGATAAGGGCGTACATAACTAGACCATCATACCTATTGCCATTTCCACCACAGCCTGAGTACGTGAACTGGCTGCAGGAGTCATCGACAGGGTCATAGAACCAGTTCATTACTGAATCTTCACAAGTGCCTGTCATCATCGGTAATTGACAGATGTCTGCAAGAAAGACAATTTTTAAATTTAGAACGTTAAAAAAACACATTACAGTAATATCAAAAAACAAAGCGATGCTGAATACAAGCGATGAATAATTAATGAACTCCCTTGGAGGGGTTAACTTGAATTTTAGTAAAATGCAAGTCGCTTATTAGGTAAGCATTTTTAGGGTTGATTTTATCTCAATCATGTTCGGTATATACGTTACTGTAAAAGCCAGCACTACTGTAAATCTTCAGATTATTTAGTAAACCTAAAATTTACTAACTTCTAATGGTCAAAGTTTGAAGTTTTTAGACCACTGTTCATTAGGATTTTTAACACCATCTACTCGATAAATAACATTTTTCATCGTTGAAGTACGGGTAATGTCGATAGCTAGATTTATTTGAATACATCGTAATTTTAAATACTACCATATACTGGACTACTGGATAAGTCGACCTAAATACTTTAAGGGTTTCCCAATATAGTTTCCCCTTTCATAACCGCAGTTCAGACTTTTATAGTAACAGCTTCATGTGCTTATAGTTCAAGGGATGTCATGATAACCCATATCATGACATTCCTTGAACTATAAGCTAACAACTCAATATTTTATAGATTTAGGAACCTGTATAATAATATTTACAAATTGTTTCGAATTTAACTAGTTTAGAAACTTCCTTAAAAAAATTAGAAATTAGCATTTACTGTACCATACCTTGCACAGGATGACAGTAGTATGTACAGAACTCCTCATTGGGGAAGTTGTTCTGGTTTCCTCCACAACCATTGTACTGGAATGTTACACATTTGCCGAGCGTACTGTTGTACGCAAAGCGCGTTACCGCCGGCGAGACTGAGCATAGCCCGCCAGCGTTGATTTCCAAGAAACAGAAGGCTAGAACAAATTGTTAATCAGGCAATTGCAGAAGCCACCAAAACCACAATTCAAAGCTTAACCCATTATTGTGATACCCAGTAAGCTTTATGAACTTAATATTAAGACATTTTGAAATCAAAAGACAAATTAGGTTAGCACTTTGCAGATTTGGACCACAACCCATATATTGGCGCTAATTCTGATGTTCGAAAACTCTCTAAACTAAACTAAAAATTAGTTTAGTCCTGTTCAACAACGTTTTCTATTCAGAAAACTATTGTCATGGTTTTAGTTGTGTCATAAATAATAATTTAAGGTAAATGTAAAACCTTACCTTCTCTGTCTGGTTCAGGTTCAGGTTGCCGTTGTGGCTCTGGTTGCGTCCGTGGCTCGGGCTCTGGTTGCGGTGCATTGTGCGGCTGAGTTGGTCTAATTGTGGTGGAGGTAGTAGTAGTTATGACCGGCTCGGTACACTCGTTAGAGCACTCACTCTCAGTATCGAAGTTGTTCTTGTTACCGCCGCAACCTCCGTAGTAGAATTGACGACACCTATAAATAATACAGTTTATGCATAACCTATGTTTTTTTTAGTAGCCGGGTGTTAGTCTGAACCAAATTTAGGTTCATAAGCTCTGTTGGTGCTTTGACTCTTTACCTACAAACTCTGTGCGTGTTTCTTACCTCTTGATGCGTGTATCGTAGAACCATTTCACTCGATAGTCGGCACAGTCACCCGACTCAGCAGGCAGTGTGCACTTGTCAGGCACTGCGAACATTAAAATAATGATAATTAATAGTTTCCACTGATTTGTTCATGTATACCTATCCGCATTACTTTAGATTTAATGTCAGTTGTAAAATTAGGATGTTTTTTTTAAGATTTACAATCTATATTCATTCTCAATTTGAATCACACCGATAAATACCTAGACCTAGATCTGAAATGTTAAAGAAAATTCATGCCGAAAAAATAATTTCGAGAAAATATTAAATCCCAAGCAAACTATTTTACTTCCATTTAGTTTAATTTTCTTCCAAAAGCATGCTCTTTAAATATTAAATAAGATACACCATTTGCCATATAATACCATTCCGTCTTTTTCTATTTCACTTACAAAATTAATACTTATGCCAAATGTTTTACTAAAGACATACCAACATGTGTGATAACATAACAAAAAAAAACTCCAATATTACCTATATGATGATACAAGACGTTAACTTAGTGTTCTAAAAAAAAAAAAATCTAACAAAGAAAAATTTTACCGTAAACAGCTTACCGTAAACACTTGGGCAAGACTGTTCGCAACTCTCCCTGGATTCGAATCTGTTGCCATTGCCACCACATCCAGTGTAGTAGAAAGGCATGCAACGGTTTTCTGTTTGACTGAACGACCACAAAGCTTCCTTGCCGTCACAGTTACCGGCCTCTTGCTGCTCAGAGCATACGACTGTGTGTGCAACCCATTGTTAGTTAGTTACCGCATGCACCAACCACACATAATAGGAAATTTTATTAGTTACAAGGAAAAAAGAAATATAGAAGTTAGTAAGAGAAAACATGTATTTTTAAGGTATGTTGGTTTCAGGTTCCGTTGGAGTATTTTTCAAAAATATGTGGCTTTAAAAAGTAGTTTCTGTATGATTGGGTAAATCTACATGAAGATAATTGTACTATATCTTTATAATTCATTCAACAGCAGTTCTTATGATAATGCGTTATAGCCATAGACAAACTCTCTTTAAATTAATAAGTTCCCGCGTAGACCGATAGAAGTTAATTGGCAAATATTTATGAAAAACAATTTAAACGAAACTTGAAACCAAATAATGCTAAAATCTACTAGAAACACACCAAACCATGCTTTGTTGCGAAACGTTCCAAGAAAACAAAAACCACAACACAATAATATTATTTAAAAAGCGTACGTCTCATAGTAGTCGCTACTTGGGTGGAGGTCTTGAGGACCAGCTCTGTATGTGAGAAAGTGTTTGTCAATAATTTATATTTAGGGGTCGCTTCCACAGCTCGAAAATGTGATAACAAAGCACTACAAAATGTAGATTTATAATGAAATACTTTTTAACCGACTTCAAAAGAAGGAAGAGGTTCAATTCGCTTGTGTTTTTTTGTTTTATGTTTGAAACCTCAGAACTCTGTTATTTATAAACGCATCTGGGAAATTCTTTTTTATGTGAGAGGCTATACTTTCCGTTTGGTCCCTTTGTATTTTGAAGAAAAAATAACGGCCCTACATAAGGAAGAAAATTTAGGAATTAAGAATACAGTTTATTACAATGATTCATTATGATGTGTGCTCATTAAAGTTGGTAATCCTTTTTAACCGACTTCAAAAAGGAGGAGGTTATCAATTCGGATGTATGTATTTTTTGAATGTTCATATGTAGACGAATTTTCAAATTCTATTTTTGTTCTAAAGGGTTTATTCCGAAATGGTCCATTTTAAATTTCATATAGATCTGATGATGAAACATACAACGGAACTCCTAAAAAAATGACAGCAAATCAACCGCGATTACTGCAAGGTTTTTAGTGATCTTTGTTAGTATCGTTTGAAGTCGGTCGTTTCACTTTTTTAAGGGGATTTTCTTATTTATATAAACATAGGTAATATTATAATTGCTTCATTTTTGTTTTCCATTATTAATCATTTTACTAACTACATTAGTCGCAAAAAAATAACCAGCGTTTTTCACTGAGCTTGTTACAGCTAGCTAGCTTTGTTATACCCATTGCCTAAACTGGTGAAATTCTACTCGTTTTTTTCACTGATTGTGATTTCAGTTAAATAGGTTTTTATTTGTCCCCCATGCAAGATGATGCTGGCTAATATCTACTAAAAATTCTACTTTCTACAAAATTCTCCATACTCACCATTTTGCGTACCACAACGTAGCTGGCAGGCAGCTTGTGTCTTAAACTGGTTGTTGTTTCCTGCGCAACCTCCCCAGATGAACTGTTCGCAGGTACGCGACTCACTGTTGTAGCCCCAACGGCTGAAGTTACCCGCGCAAGGACCTTGCTCGATTGGTAGGTTGCATGTATCTGAAAATAAATAATATTTATGGTCAGTTTTAGGAAGTTTGAGCAACAAAGTACATAATTCTAGAGTTTCATTATTCATTTCTAAAACAAAAAACCTCATTTGGAAAAAATACAAAAGAAACAAAATTTAAATAAAAAAACTTTGTAAGATGATATCAATGTTACATATTATTATCTACGTATTTATGAGGTTTAATTGTTTAGTTACTTATGAATACCTTCATAAGTTTGAGTCTTTTCTGGCTACGTAGACAAAATTACTTTCGGTATTTTAAGCTTAAAAGGAAAACGTATATAAAAACAAACTTTTGCGCGGTGCCTTAAAAAAATTGTACAAAGTTTTTAATGTTATTTTTTTGTTATAAAATATAATTATATTCGGGGTTTATACGGCCAACTTTACGCCTAATTAAACAACAATTACCTACAAATTAATAGCCGTATCATCACCCCTCTGTTTGTCTTATTCTACCAACGCACTATTTAAGAAGTCAGTTTGTAATAGCTAGCTCACCTGTGGTCTTGTCTGGCTCACACTTTGTCTGACACAGTTCCCTGGAATCGAAGTTGTTGGCGTTGCCCAGACATCCCCCGTATCTAAACGGTAGACATTGCTCCCTTGTGCTGTTGTAGTACCACCGGACGTGGTCCGCGTCACAAGGGCCCTTTACATCTGGTAGTTTGCAAGCGTCTACAAAAAGGAAACACAATCCATTGGTATAAAATTAAAATATTAGTTATTCTGGGAAATAAAGCCTAAAGGTAAGATGATTAAAGTTAAGTTTAAGATTTATTTTGTCAATTGTTTACAATTATTTTGCCATTTAAAACAATAAATATTTCAAGTTTTCGTTACACGACTGAAAAAGTTTATGCATTCTAAAGGCTAATTTAACAATGTTTTAATATTTTTTACATAAAATAAAATAAAGGCATATATCGAGTATAATATTTTACTTTTGTCAGAATACAAATAATCGCGCTATTGATAAAATGCAAGGAAGTAGTTTTCTTACCTTTAGGTGCTGGCCGCACACAGATATCCTCGCAGTCTTCCTTTGTAGTGAATTTATTACCGTTGCCATCGCAGCCTCCGTACCAAAATCGGGAGCACCCACCAAAGCTTCGGTCATAGAAGTACATGACAGTGTAGTTACTGCATGGTCCAGGGTCCGAAGATAAACTGCATACAGCTGTAAAATATATTAATTTATAAGTAATAATCTTTCGACTCTTTCTATAGATTACACGGTCTACAGATTTTGATTTTACAACCCGACTGCCTCGTACGCTTAAGCGTAAAAGTAATGAAAGCAAATTTAATGACAATAAATAAATTTGTAATCAGCTATGAGCACACACAACTGGGATGAAAAAGTTTTGACAATTGCTGTTTAGTTTAGTTTAGGATTAGCAAAACATTCTTGACCTTGTTTATTTTCTGGTACATTAGTGCATCCAAGGAATTGAACTCCTGCTGCTTCAGTTTGTCCATCAGGGCAACATCCATACTTGCTCGTGGAGCAATCGCATCCAGCTCCGTTGGGTCCAGTAGCAGGAGTCTTTTCATCGCTGCAGCAGCCGTACGTGCTGAATTCGCAACGACAGCTCTGCTGATCTGGTGATGTTGCGATGGTGACGCCATCAGGGCAGCAGCCAAATTGATACGTGAGGCAGCTGCAGCCTTCGAAGTTGGGTCCAGACGCTATTGTATGCCTGTAGGTAATAAGTATGTATCTTTGTAGCCTAAGCATATAACCTGATTAATTGGTGAAAAATGCGAGTATTTTTAAATAATAATAATAAAACAACTAAGACACCACACATATGGCCGATTGATTCAATAGTAGGCAGACCCTCAGATTGCTGATAAACATACTCATAAACAGACATCTAAATTTATACATATTGCAGATAAATTACACCCAGTTCAAACAAATGTTCGTGATCATCACGCAGGTATTTTCATCTTGGGAATTGGAATCGGGACCTTTAGCTCTGGAGTCAGGATCAACTGACCAGTAAAGAAGCAGACTATAAGGTTGCGATCTCAATGTGTAGTCTTGAGGCACACCTGGGGGAGGGAGGGTTGAACGAACCCTTGAGCCATCTTGTTTAGTGGTTTCCTACCGGTTAGATTTATATGGAATCATAATATAACTATATAGATGAAATGTGATATTCATATAACCATAATAATACAATTTGACGTCAGACGATCTCTTACCGATAACGAACTTCCCTGTAATTAATAAAATGTAAAGTACCTGTCAGGGCAACAACCAAAGTCGGTGTACTGACAGCCGCAACCTTCATTGTTAGGTCCTCGAGCGGCGGTCACGCTGTCAGGGCAGCAGCCATATTGCGCGTGTTGGCATCCACAACCTGTTTGACAATAAATGTGTAATTATTCCTTAGAAATATATAAATAATTTATTCAGAAATATAGTCCATTAAGTTTATGGCACTTAACTTAAACAGACAGACAGACCCCTCGTTTTCCGTCGGGGGTTAAAAAAACAATGACTGTCATTAGAGTACTAACAAGATTACATAATTCTGATTACATAATCACCGTGTGAGAGCCGTGACACACATGGGCTGGCACGACCGGAGCAAATCGTTAACGGTGGTAGTCACTTACCATTAGGTGATCCGTCTGTTCCTGTTCCTTTGCTCTCTATACCAGGAAATAAATGAAAGGAATCCGATAAACATAGGCAATACTGGAACATAGACTAAAGATATCCACCAAGAACGGAAACTTCCTCTCTTAATACACGTCCCGTAGCCTCCATTTCACCTTACCTATTATATTATAATAGATTACCTTCAAGGTGTGGTCCTTCGGCCGCCTTGCGATTATCAGGACAACAGCCGAATGCAGTCTGTAAGCAGCAGCCCTCGAAGTCAGGCCCGTGCGCTGGTCTCTCACCATCAGAACAACATCCATATTTTGAATTTTTGCATGAACCTTGACAGCCCTTGTTATCTTCACCTTGAGCTAAGGAAAATTAGAGCTTAGTTTAATGTAAGCGTCAAATTCGAATGCAAGAAATTTAATGATATTGAGTTATTTACATGGGCGTACCTAATGACGGACAAGAGATGGCAGTTGGCCTTCTTTAGCTTTTTGTGTCCTTAGTTCCAAAAGTTCTATTTGAGTCATGTTACTACACAAAAATCCCCTAATGTATCGTGAAGGTGACTCCTGTAGTGTCTAGGGCAACATAAGTGCTGGAATTCCGGCTTAAAAATTAAGAAGTGGCAAGTGTGATAGTTATCTTACCTGGTGAAACACCATCAGGACAGCAACCAAATTCAGTAGCTGTGCACGGGCATCCCTGCATATCGGGTCCTGAAGCTTCAGTTGCGTTATCATAGCAACAGCCAAATTCGGAGACAGCACATCCTTCGGGGGTTGTGGAGCTTTCAGTGGAAGAGGAGATACCTTCACTCGTGTTTTCACTTTCACTGGTGGTAGAGCCTTCGCTAGTGGAGCTTTCACTGGTCGAATCTTCACTGGTGAGACCTTCACTGACAGTGGTACTTTCACTAGTAGTCTCCTCTGTTGTACTTACTGCAATATAAGTATAAGATTAAGTAAGTATTAAGTGCAAAATACTTATACGATGAAGTGTGAGAGGATTTTCAGTTTTGTGTAATAAATAATAAAGAATTAATAAAAAAAAGAAATTCAGGCACATCATTGAGGCTAGGCGGGGATCGCACTTTTATTACTAAGAAGGAATTAGAATTACATTATCAAGCGTTCAAAGCAGAACTAAGTACCTGAAACAACGATTGCTGGGCCTACATATAAAACGTCCGGACATTAAAGTATTAAATTACCACATATTATGAACATATAAGACACATTGTCGTTTATAAATCACGAATACGCTATTACATTTTAATGTGTTGTTTCCACATAATTAATTTTAAACTCACCGTACTCTGGACAGCCTTCACCATTTTCTCCAGTAGCTTCAGTCTCCTCGTCAGCACAACAACCAAAACTAAATAATGAAAATTATAAAAAGTATATTCTTGCTATTTTGACAGAAATATAGATAAATATATGTTCCTCTACGAAATGCTTTGGATGAAAAAAAAAATACAAAGACAGAAGAGATATAAAGACAAAGTGAAGTTTAAGATTGAAGAATCATCTTGTTTTCTCTATTTCTCACGGCCTAGAATACAATCATTTCGTTACTAGCCCTTTTAGTCCTAGTTTATTTCGTTTCTAAACTAATCTATGTGGAAAAAAGTATATTTATGCTTACTTGGTAACTCTGCACGGAGCTGGGCAACCTTCGTCATCGTTTCCAAGAGCTGCAGTTTCATTATCAGATGTACAACAACCAAAGAGTGTCTCTTCGCAAGGAATAACTGGGCAACCCTCCTCATTGTCTCCCTGTGCCGGGGATACCCCGTCAGGACAGCAGCCGAATAAGGCCTCCTTGCATGTACGAGGTTTAGGACAACCTAAAAGCATAGAAATTAAGTTACGTACTATAAAATAGTTCCCAATTTAGATTTGTATAAGGCATATTAAGATTTCTTAATTAAATTTGTATTTTTTTACCTTCCTACATTTATACCTTATTCTGAATGAGATATAGCTGGGTTATTTCTCTATTTGGAAAAATAATACATGTACAATGAAAAAAACAGATGAACTGTTGAAAATTTGTTTTCTCACTAATATAAATTGGTATTTTCAGATACATTTGTAACAAATTGTAATAAATGAATTCAATAAATAAATAAAAACTTTATTCAAAACTTCAATATTTGAAATATTATATGACAGTTTACCGTCATCAAAGGGTCCCTCAGCCGCAGTTTTCTTATCGGGACAGCAACCAAAATCGGTCTCGTTGCAATTACGCGCTTTATTGCAAACTTTCGGTGGACTGGTTACAACGGTCGTTAACGTCCACGGGGCTGAAATGAGACACGTGATCATGTAATTATAAAATTGTAGCATCAGTACAAAGTGATAAAAAGTAAAATAATAATGTTTTATATTATATGGTTCCTCATATTAATATAAAATATAACAACGCTTTATTTCATGTAGAATGTACAAGACATTAATACTTACTAGTAGAAGTATGTTTCATTGATTCCTCTGTACTGCTAAGAGGGGTGACCTCAGTTGAAAATTCTGCAAAGTTTAATATCATTAAAATAGTTTAAAAGAACCAGGTCCAAACAACAAAAAATGCGATACAGTAATCGATGTTGGGCTCAAACCGACTTAAATCAGTGCTATGTCGGAGAGGCTCATACAAATGTCAGTAAGATCATAGATAATCATCATCGCCGATATTGGCGGTCGTGTTACCTAGTGCTAATTTTTAATACATTTTTCTCAATACATACTAATAAAAGAAATACTATATCTGTACCTCCGGCTCCGGTCGTAGACGATTCAGTTGTACTTGCACTGGCTTCAATTTCTGTAGTTGTGCCCTCAGTTGGTACAGATTCAGAAATACTAGTTGATACGGATGTAGGTTCAGTTTCCATGGAAGATCCGCTTAAGGTTGTTGCTGTTGTTTCAACAGTAGAGTCTGATCCTATGGTACTAGTTTCGGTTGACGTTATTTCTAAATCGGAAGCGCTGGATTCCGGTGAAGTTGATTCCAATCCCGAAGTACTACTTGAATATGCGTCAGTAGATTTTGATCCTGATGTACTAGATTCCGTGGATGAAGATATTAATTCCGAAGTACTAGATTCAGGTGATTCCGATCCCGAAGAACTAGAACTAGGTGGTGTTGATTCAGAGGTACTAGATTCAGATGACATAGATACTGATTCAAAAGTACTAGGTACGGGTGATGTGGATTCCGATCCTGTACTACTAAATGCAGGTGACGTAGAGTCCGACCCTGATGTACTAGGCACTGGTGACGAAGTTTCGAAACCGGAAGTACCAGATTCGGGTGATGTAGATTCCGATCCCGAAGAACTAGAACTAGGTAGTGTTGATTCAGAGGTACTTGCTTCAGGTGACGATGATCCAGATTCAAAGGTACTAGATACGGGTGATGTAGACTCCGATCTTGCACTACTAGATCCAGGTGATGTGGATTCCACCTCTGGTGTACTAGACACTGGTGACGAAGATTCGAAACCGGAAGTACTAGATTCGGGGGATGTAGTTTCTGATCCCGAAGTACTAGAACTAGGTGAGGTTGATTCAGAGGTACTAGATTCAGGTAATGTTGATCTTGCTTCAATGGTGCTAGATTTAAGTGACGTAGAGACTGATTCAGAAGTATTAGAGTCAGGAGACGTAGATTCCGATACTGAGGCACTAGACTCCGGGGACGAAGACTCCAATATCGAAGTAGTAGATTCAGAGGAAGAAAATTCTGATCCCGTAGAACTAGACTCAGGTGATGTGGATTCTGATTCTGAAGTACTCGTTTCAGGTGAAGTAGATTCTGGTTGTGAAACACTAGATTCAGGTAATGTTGACTCTGTTTCCGCGGTACTAGATTCAGGTGTGGTGGTTGATTCTGAACTACTAGTTTCAGTGGATGTTGATTCTGATATAGAAATACTAGAATTAGATGACGTAGAATCTGATACAGAAGTACTTGATTCAGGTAACGTAGATTCTGATTCTGTAATACTAGTTTCAGGGGATACAGATTCTGAATTTGAAGAAATATTTTCCGGTAATGTTGAAGTACTAGAATAAGGTGAAGTAGAGCCTGATCCAGAAACACTATATTCAGATGACGTAGATTCTGATTCAGATTTACTAGATTCAGGTGATGCAGATTCGGATTCTGAAGTACTAGTTTCAGGTAATATAGTTTCTGATCCCATAGTACTAGGTTCAAGTGAAGTAGATTCTGATTCCGAAACAGTGGATTCGGGTGACGTAGATTCAGAACTCGAAGTACTAGAGCCATCGGATGTAGATTCAGGATCACCTATATCAATAGATTCAGATTTCGAACTGCTGCTTAATTCTGATTCAGTACTGGTAATTAATGTAGGCTCTGAAGACTCCGTTGCTGTTGAACTTACACTTACGCCGGAGGCTGTTATGGTTTCTTCACCTACAAAAAAAATATGATCTGGTAATTGTATTTTATTTAGAAAATATTTATTTCTACCGTATGAAAAATATAAACACATGTATAATACGAGTACACGGAGACTTCGTTTTTGTTTCGTGAGATATTAGTTGTTTTACTAATGTTTCCCCTCTCCAATTTCCCTTGACAGAAAAACTACCTCCAGGAGATAAACTCCCCTGGCCAATCTGGAATACACTTAATAGGTTGCGTACCCATCTAAAAACAATCTGTCAAGGTGGGGATTTATCGACCCAAGCGCAAATAAATGCGACTGTGGCGCATCGCCACAGACAATGGGCCACTTCCTAACATGCTCACAATTGTGTACGCTTGACAAACTGTATCAAGCACGGCCAAACCATGCGCGTCGCCGATCACTGAGCCAAAACCGTGAAAGTGTGGCATCGACACGATAAGTAAGTAGTTTTACGAATAGTGTTCGATGTTTATTTAGGGTTTTTACATTCAGACCGTCGGGTACCAAAGTCCATCGGAGTACCAGGGATTTCCTTTCTAGGTTACACCTGGTTCCCCAGATACTGGTGGTTTTTAGTCGGTTCGATTCCAATATGACCATCCTACCAGTTGTCCGATGGCGGGTATTAGATGGGATTTCCGAATGATAAAAAAAGGGTTTTTACTTTTCTCAATTTTCGACAGACCTTTACAAATGGTTTTTCTTTCAGAAGCTTCAAGGTATTTTATGCACATAGGTGAAACTGGAATTGTTTTTTTATAATTTTCCATTCTAATGGAACTTCTTTTAAAACTTTTATTAAAGTCTCAGTGGCGTAGTTGGGTTCATCAATTTCTAAAAAAGAAGGAAGCTTCTTATTGTGTAGAATAGTGAAAGCCTTGTCACAGTTATGAATTGGGCAGCGAAATTTTTTGTATCGTTAAATTTAATAAGACTGGGAAATGATCTGATTTATATGTGTATTAATTACATACTGTTTGAGCTTTTCGGTTTGTTTTAAAGTTAATATGATCAAAACAATTTGATTAACATTTAGGTGAAACGCGAGCTGGTAGAAGGTTAAACGATTTGAATATTCGTGACTTTTACGATCACACATATTTTATAATACAATAATACTCATAGATTAATAATGATTGCCAAAATGCTACTCATACTATTTTAATAGTAAGAGGTTTAATCAAAAAGTTCTTGGAATATTAATTCGTAATTTTAATAATATTTGTAACGTTTATTCTTTTACTTAACTAGCTGGCACCCGCGACTTCGTTCGCGTCGAATTAGAAAAGCGCTGCCTTAGTAGTGTAGTGCGGTACGCGACTGCAGTTCATGACGCCTCGGGTTTGATTCCCAGACCGGGCAAAATTTTATAGGGATTTTCTGAGAGGAAATATGTATAGCCTAAGTTACTCCTTATATAAACATCAACCTTGTAGTAAAATATTACCAAAATCGATCCAGCCGTTTTGAAGAATACCCTGAACAAATAGGCAGACAGATTGACGTACAGATAGACAAAAATATTTGAACTGATTTTTAGGCAAAGTTTTTTTAAGTTATCTGTATGTGTCATGTAATCATACGAGTATTATTGCAAGATATACGTTTTACTCATTTTTATATTACAAAAAAAAAAAAATACAAAAAAACACTACCTGTAGTTTCATCAGAGCCAGTAGTGTCATCTGAGCCGGAGGCTATAGAATCTGTTGTTCCTATTTCGGTACTCTCAGTATCTTCCGTACCGATCGAGTCAGAGACTGTAGCCGCGTCATTCTTATCGGTACTGCTTGAGATAGTGGTAGATGAGCTGTCTGTATTATCCTTTACCGTAGATTCTGTACTACTGAATAATTCTTCATTTGTAGATTCGCTGGCGTATGTTGATTGTTGAGTAGGTGTGCTTGAGTCGTCACTGCTGGCTGAACTATATCCGGATGAAGTAATGTCGGTTTTGTCAGATTTCGAAGATTCTAAACTACTGGTTGAATCTTTTGTAATTAGTTCACTCACTGTAGTGGCATTTATATTGTCAGTGTTTGTTGATTCACTGTCACTACTTTCAGTTGGTTCATCAGTCGTAGTTTCATCGCTTGAAGCAGTTTCGCCCGATCCTGAATAAAAAAAACATTTAAAAATAAATAGGCTCCGTGGTGCAGTGGCAGCGTATGCGACTGCGTGCTGAGCTGATTCCCGGGTCGGACTGAATGTTTATATGATGATTTATTAGTCAATATAACTTTCATAGTACAAGCTCTGCTTAGTTTGAAACTAGATGGACATTGGGATGTGTCAGATGTCCAAAATATTTATTTATGACAATGAACGAATACTAAATTCCTGTCTCCTTAAAAATTTAGAAGGAGTGAAGAGTATGGTAATTATAGGATTTGCAGCGAGTTTATTTAAGATTATTTTTGTTATTACGCAATTATTACTACCTATTAAGCAAGTAGCGGATGTACCAATACTACGTCACCCATTTTGTATAATTTATACCCCCTTTAATGATTGTATTGCAATAATATCGTATTATTTTTCCTTAATAAGTTTTTAGTTTATAAATCGTTTTAAGCTTTTAGCGCTGACTTAAAATGACTTAGTTGAATTACGTTGGGACTTTTGAGAGCTTAGTTATAAGTACTTTTCGTAATCAGTTTTACAGTTTTGTTTGTCGTCGGCATGATTTACAATTTAATTAATTTCTATTAATTCTACCAAAATATAAAAATGAGCTTATGTGTAAGCTAGGAGTATTTTCGCAGTTCACTGTACCAATAACTTTACGATTAAAGTATAGGTACATCTCTGTAGTACATGTACTGTAAAGGCCCTAAATAGGTGTAACAAGTATTAATGAAAATAGTGATTACATGTAAGAATAAGATTGTAAAGAGTAACAGTAATAAAAGGTTTAGTTTTTTTTATACTTCTCTTGCACATACCCAATTCAGCAGTATCTGTTGCAAATGAAGTGTCTGTGTAATCGTAATCTATTATCGGAGTTGTAGAATCCTCGAATGTTGAAGACTCCTCAGTTGTATCTGAAAAACACAAAAAAGCTGAACAATACTTTCATTAAAGGCACCGACCCTGGGCCCCTCTACATTTGTCACCATAGATAACTAGATAACTTCAGATATTGCACAAACCTCCGCCTGATCCCAAATTAGCCAGTGCCTCTGTTATGGTAATCAGACTCATAAACATACTTAGGCATTTCTAAATAAATACATTTTACAGATAAATTACATCTAGACACAGGCCAAAGGATCGTGCTCTACGGACTACGGACTCTATGATTTGATGAGGGTAGGAATCAAACCTACGACTGGACGCTGTCAGGATCGCTGAGCGCTATACCAACAGGCCTGGGGTAAATCTCTGAATGTTTGCTGGGAGTTATTGGAGCAATAATGTATTGTGTTTTCAGATTACTATTATAAATGACCAATTAATAACAATAATGCTCAGAGAGATCTGAGACACAAATCAGAAATAGGGACTGAACTGTTTAGTCTTTATTTTATTAATGTATCTATTTATACAATTATTTATTTATTTATACAATTAATTATTGTAGTATTGTTAAATACTACAATAAAGTTACATTGCAAGGCGGGCTTGACAATATGAAAATATTTGTGATCTTTGATTGATCCAGTAAGCATAGATAAAAATATCATCATTAACATAAACAACCTCCCATACGCCACTGCTGGACATAGGCCTCTCCTTAGAAAGGAGGTTTTGGCATACTATACCACGCGGGTCAGACGTGTTGGTATAAGGTTTGTATAATTAGGCCTCTCCTTAGAAAGGAGGTTTTGGCATACTATACCACGGGGGCCAGACGTGTTGGTATTATACAATTATTTATTTATTTACACAATTAATTATTGTAGTATTGTTAAATACTACATTAAAGTTACATTGCAAGGCGGGCTTGACAATATGAAAATATTTGTGATCTTTGATTGATCCAGTAAGCATAGATAAAAATATCATCATTAACATAAACAACCTCCCATACGCCACTGCTGGACATAGGCCTCTCCTTAGAAAGGAGGTTTTGGCATACTATACCACGCGGGTCAGACGTGTTGGTATAAGGTTTGTATAATTAGGCCTCTCCTTAGAAAGGAGGTTTTGGCATACTATACCACGGGGGCCAGACGTGTTGGTATTATACAATTATTTATTTATTTACACAATTAATTATTGTAGTATTGTTAAATACTACATTAAAGTTACATTGCAAGGCGGGCTTGACAATATGAAAATATTTGTGATCTTTGATTGATCCAGTAAGCATAGATAAAAATATCATCATTAACATAAACAACCTCCCATACGCCACTGCTGGACATAGGCCTCTCCTTAGAAAGGAGGTTTTGGCCTACTATACCACGCGGGCCAGACGGGTTGGTATAAGGTTTGTATAATAATAATATATATAAGACGAGCATTCTAATGAAATGAAATATCAAAAAACTTACCAAATTCTGATTCAGTGTCTGCAGTGCCTGCAATAAGAATAGAAATTGTTAGAAATGTTGTTAAATCTTCAGAAGAATATTATAGCTTTTATATTTTTTAATCATTCACATAAACAGAGTTCTAATAGCCACTGTCTACTTCTAACATTTAATTATATTAACAATATAAATATTGTCTCGATCGAGTTTTTCTCTAGACAAGGTTTACAAGATTATTTTCGGCAGCTTAGTTCTTTTTCATGATACATGAATACTATTGAGATTGACCTATATTTTTGGTCTTTTTTGTAAAATGTAAGTGGGTTTATTCTTTACAGGTTAAGCAAACAACTAAATAATTAATCAATTAGGTTATTTTAGCGATTAATTAGAATAAAATATAAACTAGAATATACTTTATTGTACACCAATTACAGTAAGTTGGTTAGATATTACAGATGGATATATACAATGGGCGGCCTTATTGCTAATAGCAATCTCTTACAGGCAACCTCTGGATGGACAAATCGACAGTAGATAAGAAGAAACAATGGGTAGTCTAGGTGTATCGAAGCTAACGTAGTGTAAAAATAAATAAATATACATTAAAATAATTTAATTACTGCAAGATTTATTTCAGAGGCTTACTTGCTAGGGTATTTTGCTAGGGTATTTATAGTTATATAATGTTTCTTTTTGTTTCCACTAAATCCGTTTGCCTTGTGAGAGCCATAGTTCTGTACGTATGGGGCGGGTCGACAGGACTGATATAACTACCAAGGTCCATAGAAAACCGGTGTTAATCAGTCCAGCAGAGTAATCAGAGTAGAGATAGTCACTTACCATCAGGAGACCCACTTGTTCGTTTGCCTCTTACATCATAAAAAAATACCTTTAAAAGCGTGTGCTCCTTTGTAATCGGAATTTGTCATTAACAGGTTAATATGGCTATATTCATATAACATTTTATTCCTATTTTACGACTCTTTAATCGCTAATAAACTTATGCCCACATGTACTATAAATATGTGTATATAATATAAATGTAAAATTGAGCTTGTCTGTTACGCTTCACGCCCTAATCACTAAACCGATTTTAAAAATGTTGTACCGCGATAACTGACATACACGCAAGCGGAGCCGCGCGCAAATGCTAGTAGATAAATATATTTACGACACAGTGACGTATGCGGCAAATCGCCTCACTACTTGATAGAGGTCTCCTGTCGGTTCCGATATTGGTCGGATATCCTAAAAGACAACCATGAGTACAAAAAAAAAACGTAAATAAGAAAGTACTTACTTGGGTCATCGCCTAACATTGTTGAGAGCTGAAAATAATAAATGAAATTGTAAAATTTAAAAGATTTTTCAAGTTACTACTTAGTTACTTGATACTATATACAAATAAGAGGTAAATACGCCACTAAAGCACAAAAGGCATGCTGTGAATTGGTCCTAATTAGGACCACTGCGAGCGAGTGCACGTACTAATTAATTCGAGAAAATTCATAAAATGCCTGCCTGTGTATTCCGAAAGTGCACAAATTACGACAAAAAGGTAAATAAAGATAATGGAATATCATACCACAGGTAAGCGTATGTTTTGCGTGCACTATGAATAGAACGTATCTTTCTTAAAATGTCATTGATACAAGTAACAAAAGATTTAACGTTTCAGAAATATTTAAATCCTTACCTTGGGGCCACTGCCGGTGATTTCTTCTAATCCAACCTCAGCGTAATCTTCCTCGGCACAAAATTCGTCTACAATCGGTGGGGAGAGTGGGTCCACTGGTAGCAGGTCATCTACGTGCAAGAACAAAATAAGTTTTTAATTTACTATTAAGAGAACTAGACTTTGCCCGAGGCTTTAGTGTATTTTTAGTCAATGTAATGTTTGTCTCCAGGAAATGTGACCCACATCAAACATGTAATACCTTCGTTGCATGCATGCGTGTTACAGGGTTGAAGGGCTGTGGGTACAGCCAACGATTTGCAGTCCTTGGAGTGTTCGTTGCCTCTCATGCACATGACGCTGCGGATTTGATCGCCACCGCCGCACTTTGCCGTGCACTGTACAAGACGAAAAATATTTAAATCATTTGCAAATATATCCATTTTCATAAAACCTAAGTATTTTAATTTAAAAAAAATGTAAGTAATATGTTTCTCTTTTATTTTAAATATTTTTTTTTAAAGTTGGCCGGGTTTTGATATATCAATTAACTTTTAAACAGGAGTATCATCATAATAAATTGGAACAAGCTGTATTTTTCATCTCTTAATTTTTCCATAGAGGTAGACTTTCCTATTAAAAATAAAATGGGAATAAATTTGAATTACAAAAGAATCATTGAATTCTTTTTTGCTATTAAAAATAATAACTACATAAATTACAATGGCACTCACCTTCTCCCATGGTCCAGCATACCACTGTGCGGGGCATTTTTCATCAGGTACTAAGCACGGTTTTGTTTCGTTGTATTTAGGCTGATCACTGCACTTCGCATCCTCGACCTCCTGCACTTCGTTGTTAATGTAAAGACCACAAAACACTTTTCTGGTCTTCACACCTTCCCCACACTCCACAGAACACTGGTGAAAAAAAATTCCAAATCTTAATCATCATATCTGCTGTGTAGTATTTCCTTCAATTTATTTGGAGTTGGCCCAAAATGTTTTTATACAATTTTTTCTCTAACAAAATTATAGTGATTTAGTCAAATTTTAATTAAATGATTCAACGTATTGGCCTAAACTTCGGTCAAAATGAGTAAATTTTATCAATTCTTTTCTTTTTTTTGAAAGACATCTCCCGTATTAGCAATATATTCTGTGTCGCGGGAACTTTACAAACATACATGAAACGGACACAAAGAACACCCAGACTCAGAACAACAATTTGTGGATCACACAAAGTATCGTCCTACGTGGGGATCGGATCCACAACACTCAGCGTAGTAGGAAGCGGCAAGGCGACCGCTTAAACCACTACGCCACCTGTGCAGTTCTCCACTTTATTGATAGAAAGGTAACTTCTAAGTTACATTTTCAACTTTTATACTTCGTTTAAATGTAAACTAAATGGTAGGGCAATGTACGATAATGCTGATAATCTTGAAAGGGCCCTGGAACATACAACTATATTTTTAAATAATGATGTACATACACGGGTATTAGTGTTACAGTTGAATACTATTTACCTTGCTCCATTGGCTGGCGTACCACTGATATTCACAGGGGGGTACATCTGTACATGATTGCTCGGTGATGGGCCGGTGATGATAATTACAAAAGCTGTCGTTGTACACTCTGTAGTCTTTTGTTGAGCACAGCGCTAACCTTGTGCGAACTTTTGATAGGCAGGTGTCACACTAAAATGTAAAGCGGAATGTAAACGTTGTAATAATGGATGGATGAGTGGATTTTGGTTACTTCTTCAAAGTAGAAACTCATAAAGAACTCATCAAATAATTACTTGTCTTGGGTGAGAATCGCACTCAGGGTCAGTGACCAACAGGCCAGTCATATAAATGCTTTATTTTAAAATAAAATATTTATAAAAACTATTTCATTAGATATATAGTCGTAATTAATAATAATAACCTCATACATCTCACACACGGCCGTCTAATTCCAAACTATGCAGAGCTTGTACTGTGGTAACCAGACTGCTGATAAACATACATATATGTTTCTAAATACATTCGGATTATACTCGTAAATCAATTACAAACAGAGACTGAACAAATTATCGTGCTCATCACACAATTATTTGACCTAGGTGGGAATAGAGTCCACGACCTCCGCTTAATAGACAGAGTCATTAACCACTAGACCAACACGCCCGTCCGCAATGCGCATTTTGGAAATATCGATGGCGAATAATATTATTTCTATCATTTTGTTTACCATGGTGTAGGCTCTGCCTAGTTTGGCATCAGACTGCCTTGTGTAATATGTGTGAAGTTGATATTATTATGTTTATCCGTGTGGTGACGGTTGAAGAATACCACCGAGGAGTGTCACCACCCCTATTCATCACAAGTCGACCAAGGGAGCAAACTACGCAGGACAACAGCACTGCAAAGAGAAGGAAAACTTGCAACAACACGTCTGGCCCGCGTGGATTAATAGGCCAGTAACCTCCTGTCTAAGGAGAGGACTATGTCCAGCAGTGGACGACTAAAGGCTGTCGATGATGATGAAGTGATTTAATTTCAATTGTGAGCCAGAATGAAGGTCTCCACTCCACTTTGATTACTTTGACAAGTGCAAGACTACAACGCTTTTTTTTAAGACTTTACAAACATACATGAAACGGACACAAAGAACACCCAGACTCAGAACAACAATTTGTGAATCACAGAAAGTGTCGTCCCATGTGAGGATCGAACCCACATCAACGTAGTAGGAAGCGACGTGGCGACCACTTAAACCACTACGCCATCCGTGCAGTCAACATAACTATGTGTACAAACATCACTGTTTCTTCCTTATCCACGAACAATATAAGTGAACTTACACCATTCCACTCCGTGGTGATCCAATCCACTCCATCACACAGTGACAGCATGCATGGTTTTTCAGTTTCCGGTTTTTCACTCTCACATTCCGAGTCTTCAAAGATTTTGACCCGACCATTTTGCTTCAGGTGGCAAACAACTTGTCTGGTCTGTTTGCCCTCGTCGCATAGCTTGTCACACTAAAGACAAAATGTAAAATTATATTTTACTAGTGTTCGGCAAGTATCCAGAATTCCATCACAATACATTAATTAATATAAAATAAAGTCGCTTTTTTGTGTTGTACGCTTAGATCTTTTAAACTAAGCAACGGGTTTCAATGCGGTTTTCACCAATAGAGAGAGTGATTCAAGAGGAAGGTTCATATGTATAGTATAATACATAGATTTGTTGTAAAAACATGTTTTGGTATATGTCTATCTCTTAGGGATACCCACAGTAACAATTTTCATCTTTTAAATATTACTAAAAAATATGGGTTTTTACGAAGCTTTTTTAAACAATACATTATTTTTCTTTATTCTAAATATTATATCAATTAAATATGTTAGATAGGTTGTATATTTAATGTAGGTTATAGTTACTCTTTACAGCATCTTATTTAAATGCATAGGTAGGCATAGGTATCGTGCAAATAACGGTGTGAGCATGAAAAAAACCTTTTATTCTGGCATTACAAACAGACAATTCAATTTTATTTATTTGTATAGACTATCAGACCGGGCAACTTCGTCTGCGCCATTCAAAAGAAATATTTCTTTCCCCTTTTTGCAACATTGATGCTAGGATCCAATTGTTCGTAGCGTGATGTTATACCTATAGACTAATTTTTCATTCGAACTAGTAGTTCCTGAGATTGGCGCGTTAAAGCAAACAAACAAACAACCTTTATATCGTTAGTATAGATTTAATTATTTACCGCTTTCCAGTGACCAACGAACCAGGTAGGACACTTCGCATCTCGGTTGCACTCTTGGTAAAGCTCTGGCTTCGGGCCGTGTAAGTCGAAGCATTCCTTCTCTGCGACCAAGGATGCAATCCTGGAAAATTATAATGATGTTGTTTTCTTTTCATTCTTTTTCAATCAGGTACAGGTTAAAACCATCAGAACATTGTTCATTACCCAAGCGTACCATTAACAACGTTTGGAAATCTTTAAAATGTAGAACTGCATCAGCAAGAGGGCAATGCTTATACCTATTTTCACGCATATACAGGGTAATGAATAACCCGTTAATTTAAGGTAGCCCTGGTGCCAGGCTATAAGAAAATTATTTTTTTATGTCAGGGTTGTCAACGGTGTAAAAATGGTACTTATATTTTTTTTAAGTTTTGCTAATTTGCTCATTCATTCTGATGCTATTTCCCTATTTCCACAAATTTAGGTTTTAAAAACTTCTCTATTCTTGCTAGTTTTTTTTGTATCGTACTCCTAGAAACTTGTATTATTTTATTTAGTTACTATTGTGGACGTTATTAATGGAAACCCATTAAAAATTAACAATTCAACTATATTTTGTATTTTTTTTCATTACGTGGAGTTTTAACCTTTGACTGTGAAAAAGAAACTATTGTGGCATAGTTGCCCATGTTCTTAACCATATGTCTAGTTTGTGTAGATTCTAAAAAGGTACCGCAGTGTGTGTTTTATAGGCAAAACTATTTATAAGAGCGAAAGAACTTAGCAAGGGTAGGGTTTTGATATTTCCAGTTTTTTTTTAGATTTTTAGATTAAAAATGCAGCTCCCTCATTAGAAATATATTCCTGTGACTCGAGAGACTTTACAAACATACATGAAACGGACACAAACAACACCCAGACTCAGAACAACAATTTGTGAATCACACAAAGTGTCGTCCCATGTGGGGATCGAACCCACAACACTCAGCGCAGTAGGAAGCGTCGAGGTGACCGCTTAAATCACTACGCCATCCGTGCATCAAGTTAATTTCTTATATATAACACAGGACCCCAGAGTCCCAATATATTGAAACAATGACCGTATCAACAACAAAAATATTATTATTATTACCCATTAGCGATGATCTTCTCACAGGTGACTTCACGTTTCCTTACACCTTCTTTTCCACAATGTTTCGAACAATCGCTCCAGGGTCCCTCGACCCACTCAGCAGGGCAAGGGTCAGTGTTGCAGGTCTGGTTTATGACTGGTTTTAGGCCTTCGTCGCAGAGTTCGTCGTCAACGATTTCTAAGCCTTCTCTTGAGCGGCAGGTGACGTTTCTTGATTGAAAGCCTGGATATTATGCAATACATGTTGGTTAATGCTGTAATGGACTAGTTTTATTTTGTTGGTTTATCGTTACATTATAAGTTGGGAACTCCTTTAAAACTTTTCTTATCCCAATGTGGGCCATTAAGAGCAAGAGTTAAATGATTCGAGATTACAACGACGGATATTTAGTATAAATCATTATTTTAACATGTCATTGAATTCTTGTAAAGTTTTCCTACGAAAAGGATTCAGTTAAATGCCTGCCTGTTGTACCAGTATTTATAATCACTGGTCTTAAGCTTAAAGCTAAATTGTTTATGACTTTGCGAAAGGAATGAATGAATGAATGAATGAAAGTTCTAATAGATCGCGCGTTTAGCGTTCTCCAGCTTTATTATATAAGGATCCTTACCACCACCACAAGAGGCGTTGCACGGTATGAATTCTTCATGCACCCAGTGGTACTGTTTGTCAGTGTATGGAGCTTTGTCTTTCGGCAAACTGTACTCGTACTGGATACCAACGTTCACGTCTTGAAGTAGAAGCTGGAAGTGAAGGGGGTGGGTGGGGTTATAAATCTGTCTAGATTGTGAATTACGCTTTTGGTCAATTCTCCACTTTTATGGATTATCGTGTGATGTCGTGTTTAATTCATCGTTAAATTTAGAACAAACAAAAAAAAACACTTTTAGAGAATACTTTTAGAGACTTAACCAAATAACATACTCAACCTTTAAATAATGGTAATGGTAAAAAGTGGTAAAAATAAATGGTATACGACAGCGAAGTTATCACATGGAAAGTATATTAACATTATAAAGGACACATGGAGCACATGTAAAACTGATAAATTATTCATGAAATTAAGTCCGATACAGCAATGGTTTTCAATGCAGACATCCTGACCAAGTTACACTAGTTTTGGTCATATGCCGTTAATTATTAGTTATTGTATCAATTCATGCAACTCTAAAATAGACAATTATTTTAAATCTGTATGAAAAAAATATAGAGAATAATGTTACCAGTAACATTATAATGTAAAGAGTAATATTCTGCGGCTGCGTGTGTGTGTGCGTGTGCATGTGAGTGCGTGTACATTGTACAATTTGTGTACACACATACACACACAAATTCGCACAAAAAACATAGAAAATAGCAATATTTTCTATGTTTTTTTTTGGAATACATTAAATTACCTTGTTTAATACGGACCAACGGGTATTTGACATTAAATAAATATTCATTGTATGTAACGCTACTTACAGATAGATACAGCGGTTCAATGGTAGGACCCATGCATCTGAGTTTGTCGGGAGCTGGATAGCTTGATTGACTGCGCTCGTAAGTCCAGAGCGCTCCAGCAATCATTGTGCTTTTCGGAAAGTCGATGTGGTAATGACCGTTCAGGTAATATGTACCATTTTTGTTTCGAAGCGCTGGAAATAATAAAATTATAATACGTTCTTACTGCAAATTTCGACGTCATCTGTGTTTAAGAAGAAACAAAGTAAGAGTCGTAACGTAACGTTAAATGTTACACACAAAAATGCCTTAACTGAACACCGATGTTGAGCAACTCTCTCGTGGATTCACTGAGTAAGTAAGATTACTGGAGCTCAAACCTTACCTCCCCTGATCCTTGGGCTCAATAGGTGGCAACCCACGTGTGACTCTTAAGTTGCACCAGAAGGCCAATTCTCGTTATAAAAGTTCGGTCACAATTCAGTTCCGGTTAACTTCCGATCTCACAACTGTCATAAAAGGTATTTTCGTAGTAAATTATTAAACATCTAACGTTGACTGTAATGTGATTATATCGTATTTGAGTTGTGAGATCGAAAGTTGATCGGAACTTAATTGAGACCGAACTTTTATTACGAGAATTGGCCTTCTGTCCATGGGGGGCGGTACGGTTACCATCAAGTGATCTGTCTGCTCGTATATAATAAAAGATAGCATATAGCCGTTCTCATCATTGGGATTTCAAATAAAAAGTTCTTTAATAGTTAACTATAATAATAATATTTCGGACATCTAACACTGCTGCTGCACACTTTGACGTAGTGGTTTAGGCGGTCGCCATGCCGTGTTGTGGGTCCGATCCCCACATGGGACGACACTTTGTGTGATCCACAAATTGTTGTTCTGAGTCTGGGTGTTCTTTGTGTCCGATTCATGTATGTTTGTAAAGTCTCCCGAGACACAGGATATATTCCAAATGCGGGAATTGTCTTTAAAAAAAAGCGAAAGAAAAACCACACAACGCCATCTAGTTTCAAGCTAAGCAGAGTTTGTACTATGAAAGTTCAATTGACTAATATTGAATACTTATATACTTTATTTTCTGTAAATACATACATATTTTACATATAAAACACCCAAACTCCAAAACAAATATTTGCACATCACACAAACATTATCGGGAATCGAACCCGAGACCTCAGCACAGTAACAATTAGTTCGTTCAACCAAACAACAGTTCTCGACGTTATGATGTTAATAAAAAAACCCGCTTATCTATTCCAAAGTATTGCAAAGTGATGTCAACTCACCTAAATAATTATTCGAAGGTTCAATTTCCTCAATTACAATTGTCGTTGAGCCCGCCGGTATCAGCAGGATGTCGTTATAACCTGAAACATTTCTACTATTAGTGATATTATAATCATCGTGGAATAAGGTTCAGTTTACGTTGAACTTAGAAAATGCTGAGTCATTCCTTAGAAACAAGGTAAGGAATGATTCTTAATGTTTATCTTAAGTATATTAATGTATGTGAAAAAAAATATTTATCTTCAATACAAATAAATAAAATTGAAGTGTCTGTTTGTAATGTCAAAATAATAGGTTTTTTTAATACTCGGTTATTTGCACGATACCTATGCCTTAAAACCAGTTTAAATTTTTTTGTCTGTCTGACTATCTGTTTCTTCCTGGTAATCTTCTAAACGGCAGGACCAATTTTGATAATATTTTACTACCAGGTCCGGGAATCGAACCTCCTAAGGCAGCGCTTTTTAAATTTAACACGAACGAAGTCGCGGGCCCCAGCTAGTATGGAATAAAATATATTTATATGTATAAATACAGGTGAAGTAAAATCATTTTACTAATGAAATGAAGTTACAGTATGACGTATATGCTCGTAGTCATACTGGTATGACATATAGTATATACACCATATATACCTGGCTCCTGGCCTCCACCATATATCCGTGTGGTGACGGATTAAGAATACAGAGTGTCACCACCCCGATTCATCCCGTGGGTGTCGTAAGAGGCGACTAAGGGAGCAAACCACGCAGGACAACAGCACTGTAGAGAGAAGGAAAACTTGACACAAATATACCAACCCGTCTGGCCAGCGTGGTGTAGTAGGCCAAAACCTCCTTTCTAAGGAGAGGCCTATGTTCAGCAGTGGACTATTAAAGGCTGTTGATGTGATGATGATACCTGGCTCCTGCGTCCTCAAGGAGCTGGAGATACTAAAAGGTTTACTACCCCGTCAACGAATAAAAACACTATCAAAATGCGCCTCAGCATATTTCTTCGGGAATGACTGTACTACGTACGTATGAGTGTGTACGTATATTAGTTTCAGAAAAGAATTATACTACCATGCTATTTCCTGGTACACTTACCCTTAATAAGATCCTGAGTATCAAGCAGGCCCGCTGTAGTGATGCAGTTGGATCCATTGCCACGGCACTCCCGGCACTTATCCTCACGAGCGTTCGAACCCAGCATCATATCACAGCCCACCATCTATTGGGAAAACAATCAAACATGTTATGACCTGATGTAACAGGATTCCCGGCGATAGTAACTTCTACTATATAACTTCTTATGTTGCTTCTGATGGAGTGGGAGCGGGGGACCTCAAAGGACGACCTAGCGACTCTTGAGTTGCATGAGCTGTCCATTTTCCATGAGGTGCCCCTTCTTGTGCCCTCTTTGCAGTAAAAATAGTAGGGTTAGGGGAGTTGAGTAGGTACTACATTATTACAGGTTTCCACTTGCCTGGCAAACTCCGTCCACGCAGACATCGTAGCTGTCCTGTGTGCACCGGGTGCCGTCGATAACCTTCGGCTTGTGTCGGTAGTAAAATCGTTCTCCGTGTGGCATGCAGTTCAGTTCACAAGGGTTAACTGCCTTCGTATATGGGACCCAACTGAAGAAGAAATTATAGAAAATGAAATAATAAGCATCTATACTTCTGTACCTGTATTAAAATTCTTCTCATTCTTTGAAGTTAATGACATTATGTAATGTGCGGGTAAAGGATGATCAGTGTGGTGAAGCCATGCTTCGGTGTATTGTTGGCTCGACTGAAACCGGTGTTAGGCAGTCTTTCGTTTCATTTCACCGTTGGAGAGCGGTTACAGTGGGACCATACCCCCTCCATAGAGAACAGCAACGCAGATTTAGGTACATGTGATCGCTCAGAGGTCGAAACTCTATAGTACTTCTTTAATTAAATTATGAACATCAACAAAACTCTGTCCAAGGTAGGAAACCAACTAAATCCATGTTTTATTATTAACACTAGCTACGTGACTAAATAAAAATAGTGTTGTCAACCTTTTTTTGTCCACTGTCAAAGATTAGGCAAGTAATAATGATGGAGGCTGACCAGTGGGCAACAACTACATCCTATTTTATAAACATTTAATAAAAGATGACCCGGTCAACTTCGTATCACCTACATTTTTTCGTCATCATTTATTTACTAATATAATAGTAACCCTCATTTAATATGTTCTTTAATTTGAGCAGATCCGAGTTTACCGTACCGACGATCATTAAATGTTTGACAGGAACAAATTTTTTTTATGGGAAAATAAAATAGATGTTTTTACTATTTACCTCGCATTTTTAACGTATTTTTTCATCGTTTAAACTTTTCCTGGACTTCCACAAATATTTAAGAAGCCAAATCGGTTCAGCCGTTCTTGAGTTTTAGCGAGACTAACGAACAGCAACTCATATGTGTATAGATTGATGACAACCATGAAGAAAAAGTATGAAGTAACTTACTTATATTTGGCTCCCCTGAAGTCCTTGTCGTTGAAATCAGCGCACTGTTCAGCTCTAAAGTCCTTGGCATCTGGCGGACAGTCTTGCGTCTCACAAGAGAAGTACTTCGTGTCACCACCCCTGCACTGCGGTTGTCCGTCTGGCCTGGAGACACAAATGTAAAAAGATTAATTTTTATATTAATGCAGCATTATTTAAAGGAATATTACAAACACCCACATCATATTTTAATGAAGGAAACTTACGTAAACTAATCATTTTAAGATTATTATTATTTAAGTTTGAGGAAAAATTATCTATACGTTTGTTTTTAATAATTTTTTACAGTTCTGTGATACACTGGTCATCCATGCATTTTCTTTTGCGTTTATGGTCACCGCTTCACACTTAAGAATCTTAGCGTGATGTTTTATAGTTTATGTCATTCCTCAATTTAAATTCTATTTAATACAAAAAGAGTTACATAAAAGTGACAGATAGCACTAGAGATTATCGGATTTAAACAAACAAAAAACCTAAAGCCATATTGTATTACTATAATAATATAGATAGAAGAGTATGATAACTGGTCACCACAGTTAAAAGAGGTCTTTAGAGCCAAATATTACTCATTTATGTACTTATATATATATAATAAAAACATAAAATAATTTAACTTTATTTAAATTCAGAAAAACATATTTTAATGGGACTAATCCCACCCACACGCCCACCACTGTAACTCCTGTACACCAGGATCCACAGCAGTGACCCACGAACACACCGAGTTATGACACTCGGGAAGTCCCAGGAAGAAATTAAACTGTCTTGGAACCCGCAACGAAATTAATCAGAAGAAAATTGGAGGAGTTGGAAATACAGTAAATCCACTTCCCTCCTTAGCAAAGCGGGAGACAAAATGAAGTAAAATAGGCATACACCCTTTTAAACAGGGAAGCACCACGGCCACAAAATATTACGGGTCCTACATGAGCTATATTTGATTTCTATAATATGTATGGCAGAATCGCCTAAACGCACGGAAATTCACCCTAGTTGACACAAGATCCCCATAGTATACCGCCCCAGATGTCACCTGCAAGCTATTCAGCATTATATTACGTTCATTATACCAAAGACTACATTCCCAGAGGATATGATGAGCAGACTGTTCATAATGAGAGTTAGGTGTTGAGCATTGACACAATGGTGACTCGACTAATTTAAATGAATACAACTTGCTCTTAAAGTTACCATGACCCGTAAGAAATTGAGCGACACAGTGATCCACCTCAAGCCATGTCCTCGACAACCGTTCGCGAACAGATGGAAAAAATTGGTAAAGATGGCGCCCCTTGGATGATTCGTCCCAGCGTTGCTGCCATTCGTCTATGAGGTCATTATAGACATCGGACTGCTGTTGAAGCAATCTTGTAATTTTACCGCGATCCCGCGCGCCCAAGAAATCGCATTCCATGTTTTGTCTTGAATAGTACATGGCTGCACGTCTCTGCACCTCGAGATCGACCGGAAGGACACCTGCCAACACCGGCAAAGCCTCAGTGCTAACCGTCCTATATGCCTTGCACAAAAATATCAGTGCCAGTCGTTGGCCTTGTAACAGTTTGCGACGGACAGCGCCTACGGTCGCCCTATCGGCCCATACAGGTGCACCATAGCACATAGAACCTAAATAAGTAGCTCCGTATATGATCTTTAATGTATTAAATGATAGACCCCATGTCGCAGTTGATATCCTTGTCAATGCACAGAAACTCTTTTTAGACTTTTCATTAACTATTTTAATATGTTCGATAAATGAAAAGTTTCTTTCTAAAACTAATCCTAGATAACACACTGTGGTTTTATTTTTTACAGTAACATTGTCAAATCTAATGCTCGGCGGTGATTTGAGGTTACCTTTTAAAAGTAACTGGAAGGTTTTGTTGGGTGCAAAAGTTAAGCGATTACGTTCACCCCATTGAGATATCAAGTTCAAACATCTATTGGCTAATCTCTCAAGCCCCGCCCTAGTATCAGATTCCACCAGTAATAAGCCGTCATCAGCATACGCGTTCAGAGTACATCCGGATGGTATTGGTATCGTAAGAAAATCGTCGAAGCCGATATTCCACAAGTATGGACCTAGCACCGATCCCTGAGGACATCCCATTGTAAGCGCCTTCGACACAGAATGATGACCAAGTCTTAGTTTAGTTGTACCTTGTGAAAAGTACGAAGAGATAAGGGAATAAATATTTTTAAAACACCCCCGTGATTTTAATTTCAGCAACAGCATGGGCCACCATGCGTTGTCGAAGGCGCCAGATATATCTAAGAAAATAGCCAGCACGTATTGAAATTTTGACTCTGTGACAAACTTTCTAACCGATATAACAGCGTCAGTTGTCGATTTACCCAACGTAAATCCAAATTGTCTATCATGAAATTTGACTCCACCTGGCAGAAGCCGGGGCACTACAAGACGTTCTAAAAGCTTTCCTAACGATGGTAACAATGTGATTGGTCGGTAGGATTTAGGATCATCCGGTGGCTTGTCGCCACTTTTTGGTATTATACGAATATTACCGCACCGCCATATACGAGGAAATATTCCTTCAGCAATGCAACGTTTAAAGACAGTGAAAATCGTGTCACCCGAAAGTTTACAAGCTTCTTTTATCATTTTGTTAGATATTTTATCATCACCCGAAGCCTTGTTTAGCGGCAAGGATCTAATGATACCGAGAAATTCGTCTGAAGATGGTAAATCAGACATTGGAGACAGTGGTGGTTCGATGGCCCACTGCCTGATCTGTCGGTGATGATCAGTGTCGTTTTCCGGTCGATCGTCAGGTACGAGTGAGTCTAAAAGATATTCTGCTGTTTGTTCTACTCCTGTGGTATATCTGTTATTAATTTTGATGTTCTGTATGTATGCGTGGTCGATTGATCTATTTGCCTTAAATTCGTGATACAAAGGTGACCACGGGCCCTCTCTATCGAGTTTATTAACAAGTTTCTGAATTAAGTTTCCCTTGGATTTTTCCACAGCAGCTCTGTAGTGGGACCTGGCAACTCTAAGAGCAATGAGAGCAATGTTGTACAAATCTCCTGTTACGTTATGTTTTTTAATAGTGTTTAATTTTCTACGAGCTTTCCGGTAGCTTCTACGTAGTTCGGCTAATCTATCATTCCACCAATCACATCTACGAGTGTTAGTGATAGATCCGCGACCAATAGTTACATCAGCGCAGTATGTGAAAGTTTCTGATAGTATTTCTGCGCTTTCCTCAGCTGATAAACTACTGCGACTGAAGTCTTTGATATGAGTTGCAAAGAGTAACTCAGAAAAACATATGTGAATACATACCCGATTGCCAGACATATCCTCTTCTGGTGAGCTACTCCGCCACCGCAGGTGCGGGAACAGGGTGAGGTGTTCCCCCATTCTCCCCACCCCTCGCCTTCTCCTCCGGGGATTACGTAAGACGCAGATAAGTATAGTCCTGCGCCTTGTCGCCTGTGCCTGCTTCGGTGACCATGTACCTGTTCAAAGAATACGGACATGTAATAAATAGGTTTAGCATAACAAAATAAGAATAAATTGATATCAAAAAGGTATGTGACACAATAAGTTTTATCTGTTTTTAGCTATACAAGCTTCAAGCTTAGTGCTACGGTCGCTGAGGCTAAAATAATATATTCTACAGCCTTACACTTCTCTTTCTTCCCATCAGTTACAATAGAGAATATTTTATTATAATATGTAGAATACAGTAACTTATTTATTCTAAGACAAGATCAAAAATCTCAAAGCCAGCTAATGCTAGCATTTTTCAGCAAGGGATACAAATACATATTTAGGTGATGTGTGTTTGTGAGTGTGTGCTATGTGAATAATTTAATCAGTAAGTAAACTATCTCGTTGGTCTCTGAATTCCGATAGTTTTACATACAAACATACATACTTAAACGCCTACATTGTGCCCACTATAATTTTAGCCCCATTTAAGTAACACCGGGCCAGAATATTGGCGTAAAACGGGCACATATATTTCAAAATATTCTTAATAGTAATTTATCTATATATAATAGATAAATTACTCCCAGGCACAGAACAAATGATCGTGCTCATCTCATAATATTTGTCCTGGGTGGGAATAGAATCCACGTCATCTGGCTTATAGCAATCAGGATTGCGATTTAGAAGTATGTTTATAGGCAGTCTGGTTACCATAGTACATGATTTGCCTAGTTTGAGATATGTCAGGTGAGCTTAGTTTTATTTTTATATATGTTAGATTTATATCTATAAATTTATTTGTTTATATTGTATTTTTTATTTTATTAATTAGCGCTTATATTTGCGCATGTTTCTTGCCTGGGTACTTCTGTTCTTGGGTTTTAGAATAAAAAGTTTACCCGTTCTAAAGATATCCAGTTGAAAGGCAATTAAACCTTAATGTAAAAAAAAGAAACAGTAATATAATAAGGTATAACACCATCCGTTTAATTTTTTACCAAAAACTTTTTGATTTAAAAATTGTATAAGGGAGATAAATCAAAATATACAGTTATAGAGTATAGTAGTGGAGTATTGTACATTCCGTAAGTACATATAATGTGAAGAAGGAAATGCCAGCTTCAAAGCCCAAAGGATTACACATCGACATACTCAAAGTACGTGACACTAGCCGTGGAGTGCGTGTGACAATAGACGTACTAGTATATTTGTGTTTTCGATTACATATGAAGGTTTAAGAAAGGGATATGTTCATGCCGTATTTTCGGATATTAACTTGTCTGGTGTCTATAAACAATAAACACATATGAAGGGTGTTTGGGAAAAGTTTCCGAAAAGGAAGACAGACAATATTACTAAATGATGGGTCAGAAAAAGACTTCATTCTAGATTTTTATCATTCTGATGAAAAAAATAATAGAACAGAATAATTTTAATAAAAAATAATAACTTTGTTTAACCTTTTATTAGCATTATACATACTCCATCATATAAAAAAAGCTGATGAATAGCTCGCGGTGGTTTTTTTTTCCACCAATCGACGACCGGATGGCGTGGTGGTTTGTGTAACGGACTGCTATTCCAAAGGTCGCGGGTTCGATTCCCGCTCAAGTCAAACGTTTGTGTACATGAACATTTAATGTTTGATTTGGTCTGGGTGTTTCTATGTATAATATGTATGTATTAACAAAAAAGAAAGTATATATGTATTTATATCAGTTGTCTAGTACCCATAGCACAAGCTCTGCTTAGTTTGGGACTAGATGGCGTTGTGTGAATGTGGTAGATTATTATTATTATTATTAATCATCTATTACTAGTACTATCTTCTGCCTTCGTTTTTGAGAGCGTTTCCGTATCACCTGTATAGTGTACACAATATGTGTACTTAAGTATACTCGAGGCAGGGATGCCATTGGTTCCAAAGTTAAAATCTAAAAATACACTACGTATGTTTTGATGTTCTTAATACAAGTATTTAGCTTAGTTGGAGTGTTTAATACATGTTATACTTTTTACGTACTTTAATCTCTTTAAAAAATAAAGTATGAAATTCCTAATTTTAAAGTTTCTGGTCAGAAGTAGAGAACAGGTCCCCGACCTCGACTTTTCATAACCACTAAGTAGAACTACAGAAACATAAATATCATCTTTGGTCTAAGCAATTACAAATGTGTAACATCGATAAAAATGCAGTTTTTCAGTATTAATTATTATCTTCTAAAAACTTAAAACGTTATAAAAATTCTCACGGAGAGGATTTGTAAACATTTCGACCGCCTGTAGCGCTAATAACGAACGCGCATTGTGGACCCGCTCCTAGATAAAATACACGGGTCCCCATTTTGGAAAGCGTTCATATAAAATGTTATGACGATAAACAACTTGTTGAACATTACTGATGCGCTGGCGGTGTTGCAACGAGAGTGCAGTGCGGCTGGCACTGGAAGTAACGAGGGCCGGAATTGGTTTTGGAGATGTCGTAAATAAAACATTTTATCGATGATATGATTAAGTACTTAGTATTTTTTATTTAAAGATGCTTTTAAATAAATAGAGGATAAGGAGTCCATAAGCGCAGGCCTAGGGGTGGTAGGTAAGGCCATCTGTAAGCCTAGCAGAAGCAGACCGGGGTGGTGGCGAGACGCACCACGTAGCGCGCTTTCCTTCACAGGAGGGGGTCATTTACATGCCGTAGATGGCCGGAGGTACGTCGGGGTATTAGGGATTTCCTTCCTAGGGTACACCTGGTTCCCCGGCAACTGGTACCCGAGACGACCTGCGGTTTTTGGTCAGTTCGAGTCCGAAATAACCACCGGTGGGTGGTATCCGAGAGAATTACTGCACAGTAATAAAAAATATAAGGCCATTATATCATGTACCATTTAATAACCTAGACCACCTAAGACTTTTTCAAACTCAATTAAAACAAAGTATGTGAGATATAACCAATTTTCTAGGAGAAATTAATTTATATCTTTGAATGTATTGATGTAATCTTTGTAAATGTCAGCGGGTACATACAAAATGTTGACGAAGCGAATTAATTATGCACCACCTATTTTTTTAAAGTACGGCCCAGACTGATGCAGCTAAGTCGTGGTACTTATTGATTAAGTATAGGTGAGGTTGTGGTTGACAGTTTATTTTCATTTCCTCCTATCAATGTGCCACCTGTTGGGTGCAGTTGAAAATATCGTGTGCAACCCGTCTAAGATCAATAAATGAGTTCACGGAACTATTTAGTGGACCATAGTCATTGTTACTGATAGCGTAAATTCTAATACCTAAGAAGATACTGATTGAATGATTCAGTATCCACTTTCATTAATGAAAGTTGTGACAGACAAATGTATAAATAATAAATAAATAACTACAGAAGTCGCAATAGTCCCTCTCTGTATACTACCACCGTGAATCCCCCTTTAAAACAACATTTACCCATATTGACCCATCTTTCTAGAAGATAAAAAAATAATCCCGAACCTGGAAGTGCAGTTTTATAGGTACATATTTACATCATTTGCTAAGTGAGTATAGTAATAATGAGGGAATTAACATGTACAAAAAAGATCGACTCTCGTAAGTCAAAAAGTTTTATACCTTTGTTCTTTTACCTTTCTTCGCTTTCCTTCTTCTTACCTTAATCCCTTTATCTACTAAATTCATAGTAGAGAACAACTCTGCGGAAGTCAGTCAAAAGTTTGAAGCATCGACTTTGAAAGTTCTATGTTTCTGGAGTCTGAGGTGTCCTCTGTTTTCTCTGAGATTAGTGTTTTTGAACGTAGAAATTATTCACTTAGGTTTAGTTTAAATTTATAAAAGTAGAAGTATATTTCCACAAAACGGCATGAGAAAAGACCACATAGAAAACTGAGGCCGGTGACTCATCTTAAAGCTCTTTAAGCTTGGCTTGACGGAGACGTCGAGAGGGATTAATATCGATTAGAAAAACAATTTAATTGTGCTGGTAATGACTGCACGCAATAGAAGCCGAGATACAACTGAAAGTAAACTAACACACATATTTAATAGGTCAGGTTATTTTAACGTAAGGATTTCTTTACTTATTCACAAAGGAGTTTTATGTGTATGTAGCTGTGAACCGGCCCTATTCCCTAGTGAGTCCTATTCCCAATTATAATTTGGTATGACTGTTTTATGAGGGTTGTCTGAGTCGCTGTGGCGCTTACGCATTCATCAATAGGCGTCATCCATGATTAGATTTATGACTTATCTTGGTTTACTTTTAGTTTAAATTAGGGTTGCCAACATGCATTAATTTTATTCTTTATTTTAAATTTTTATTTGCGTTTGCTTATTTGGTGTGTGAACAACAGGCCCCCTTGAATGAATGTTATTTACTTAACTGTTTATTTCATTATACATGTATTACAAAATCACCTAAACTGGTAAAAAAGCATAAAATACTTCGAACTACTACTTTTGTCCTTGAGTTTGTTTCGACGTTTCTGCCCAAAGTTAGTAAAAGAAAATGGCGCTAAAATATTACATCATCACATCTTTGATGTATATTTAGCAAAAAAGTTGAACATACCTAGTAAAATTAGATTCAGGTCAGTTTAAATTTATAATAATTTATAAAACTAAATAAGACCGCAACCCTATCTACTAATACAGAAAATAATGAAACAAGTCTGCTCACACGATCTCACGCTGTTCACTCATCGTTTTCACTTAATATAACACACATATACGAGCGCTAATCTATTAAAACAATTTCATTTCTTCTTACTATTTTGAAATATCTTTGTAACTATAACAAGCTCTTTATACATTACTGAAGAAACGAGTTTATAAACACGCAATGAAACAAACAATTTTTGACTTGTTTTAAAAAAAAACACACAATGACAAAATAGTCAATCAGAAATGCGATGTTCTTTTGTTCTGTGGGCGCGAAATAAAAAAAAACTTCGAAAAAAAAGAACGTTGAATTTGAATTCCGATGATTAAAACGTAGTTGTGCAAAGAGATCTTATTCATTTTTTAACTACACCTCATTTAGGTTAATTTCAAAGGGATATCTCGTTTAGTATTTTTTATTACTCTATATTCGTACTTTTCCTGTAATAATACGGACAAACTTATTTGTATGTATGGATATATTTGCATTGAATGGAAATTGATAGCCAAATCCTCGAGAAAGGCATTACTTTTATTTTTTAAGAGGCAACCGAGTACACGGCTTACCTGATGGTAAGTGAACATCGCCGCCAATGGACACATGCTAGTCAAGAGAAATAGGGGCGTTGCTTGCGGCCCCTTAAGTAAGTTTTGGAGGGGGAGGTTTGAACCTTCGGTAACCTCAACCTTTTCTGTGTGGTGGTGTCACTCCGGTCGAGCCGGCGCATTTGTGCAGATGCATGGCTCTCCCATGGTTATGTTATTTCAAATCGTGCTAGCGGCCCTTTAAGAGCGATGGAGTAACTATAGGAGCTGATAAAACTGTAAGGACTTGGAGGTACTTATGTAGGAGCATTTGATGTTGCACCATATGTTTTTAAATGCGAATTCAGTTTTAATATTGAAAGTAAACAGCCGGTACGTTAATTAAATTACGTCATAATGTTTAAGAGGACATTGGCCTTAACATTGGTTGGCAAGCGCGACCGTGAAGCGAGCGATCAACTTTTATTGCTGTGCTATGAATGAAGATACGTGACTGTATCCTTAATATTATCTCTCAACATTCTTTTTAGCATCTGATTTAAGAGGCTGGGAATAGGGGCTAGAGGAGAATAGAGAGAGAATTCACAAAAACAGTGGCACTCCGGAAGTGCCGACAGAAGTGAAAACTTAAAAATTAAAAAAAAATTGATTATAACATAAAAAAATTTTGATTTTTTTTATTCGAAAAGTTCCGACATGAATATATATCCATGTTATACGTATATACAAAATATATGTTTATATTATATATAGTTATATTATCAATGTATTTCAACCTAAACTCAACTCTCGTGTAAACGGGGCCAATTATATGTAGATATACAGATAAGAGTGTTGCGAGTTCAATGGTATTTTCCCTTTAACTACATTTGATTTTCGACTTTCAATTGTTTTTTTTATGCTGGGTTAGCCAGGCTGAGTCGTGTCCAGCTTTAAAGTCTAGGACCAAGGTAACAAATTCACCGATTGTAACAAACATGACAATGACAAGTACAGTTTTCTTTCGGACTCGAGCACATAAAAACAAGTAGCCCTGGGAGAGTCATTCCGCACGTATGGATGGCCTGGCGTGATACCATTGCCTCACAGAAAACGGATGATAAGCACTTCCATCGTTGCTTTTCGCCAAGTGAATGAAGTTACCGAATGCCTAATACCCTAATTAGCCTCTAACTTCATTCAAAGGGTTTTTTAAGTATTCAACGTTGACTGTAATGCTAAATCGGTATTCTGCTAGTCTTAGTAATACTTTACTACGAGAATACTTTTTATGAACTTTGTGGGATCGAAAGTAGATTCGGCACTGGATTTTGAACGAATTTTCGCTAAGATTGCTGATAAACGTACCTACTATATGTTTCTATAAATTTTCTTAGAAATATATTTCTTGTATGTTTCTAAATACACATAGTATAAAATGTTAAGAATTATATTATTACTACGTCGTATAAATGTACATCACGCAGTTTAATAATAGTAATATACTTACATTATGCGTAAAGTGATGCCTCGATGCCGTCCATGTTATACAATTACTTAAAGCGATTGCTGCGATCAGCAGCGATCTGTAACAATAACAAAAAAAAACAATTAGTATCATTTTTAAGGGCCTAAAATGGTCTTAAACTTGGAATCTCAAACGGTATCTGCGTATTATCTTGTCGAAAAATATAGAAATATCATTAAGTTTTATCTAGAACTCCAACTTGGCAGTAGTGTGCGTGCAGAAGTAGCTTACAAATGCCAAATGTCAAATGTATAATATAAAAATAGCTAACTATTACGTGGCCCATGTTCTTGTTCCATATTTAAAATAAAAAAAATATATAATTCTATTTTTAAAATAAGAATATTACTGTAACTTAATACTTAAAAAAAGCTCACTAAAAGAAATTACGTTATGGTTACAAAAGACTAATACAAATTAAAACGAAATGAACTAATTTATCACGCTCTCACATCTAAGGATATTCAAAAAGTCCAATTAATATCTATAATAGTATGTAAATAAAAGTATTAACAACGGTGTTGTTAGAACGCCGAAACGTAGATAATACTTGTCGATAAAGGACACAGGTGAGATGGGACCGCGGCGCTGTACAGTCTGAGATAACATCTCTCTTATGTAAGCGATGGAGTAAAAAGAGGTGGCCGATAAGCACACAATTAGTATACCTACTCACAGTTTGGTAAGTATAGTTAAGAAAGTTAGTTATAGATATCCCAAATAATATTAATAGGTAGATCTTAAAAGAAGGTTCTCTTTTTTTATGTTAAAAGGGGCGAACAAGCAGACGGGTCACCTGATGGTAAGCAATTACCGTTGCCCATGCCAAGCAAAACCTCATCAGTTTACTTTTTTCCACTTTACCTCTATTCCGTCTGCAAAACGATAGCATACCCAAAGAGGCTTGGCATCAGCCGTTAGCTGTCCAAAAGAAAACCCAAACCTAAATAAAATTACGGAAAAGGCGGATGATGATATTTTTGATACTAATCGATGTATGCTGTTTTTACTTAATCATTACATATGTAGCGCATATGTTAATGTTATCTCAAACAATTTCTCTTCGACTGCACGTATGGTATAGTGGCTTTAGCGGTCACTTCGCCGCTCCCAATTGCTCTGAGAATTATGGATTCTATCCCCAGATGGGACAACACTTTGTGCTATCCACAAATTGTTGTTCTGAGTCTGGGTCTTCTTTGTGTAAGTTTCATGAATGTTTCTAAGTCTCCCGCGACTCGGGATATGTTCCTAGTGCGACAATTGTCTTAAAAATAACAGGACTAAAGCAGCAAACATGCATTAAGAACGATAATCATAACCCACGAATGGAGTAGTAAAACGTTATCATTTCACTCAAGGCAGATCACTTTAAACATCCCTCCTAAAATTGAAAGGATCCACCACTTGAGACTTTAGAAACGTCAACCGTCTTTTGTCAGCAATCCATAAAGTATATTAATGATACTGGTAGTGTCTATAAACCATGTTTTATACCATTGACGTCTCAATCAGTCCCTTGATCGCTCTGCTAGTCCGAATCGTAACATGTTAAAGAATCCTTGAGAGTCCCACGGGACGTCCCCATGCGATGAAAGCTAACAGTTAATTACATTTCGTGACCGAACAAAGCGTACTCCTTAATTCCAATGTCATTGCTTTTTTATTACCCGATGCGATGACGGGACGACAACGATACAAAATGATTAAAGTATTTAAATTTTTAATAGTTGTATATCCATTCGTAAGAATTTTGACTTTAACTTAAGATTAATGCAACTAAATTGGCAATTTTTTGTTTTATAAAAAAAACAACTCCCGCATTAGGAATATATCCTGTGTGCGATTTGCATGCCGGCTCTGAGCGGTTAACGCCATATTAATGAGATGTTTGCAAATATTATTCGTCGTCGTCGGTTTTAGTGCTATTTTAATGTGGTAAGTGTTATTTAGTATAAAGCTTATTTTAGTATAAAGTTTTTGTTAAGTAGATGATGTATATGATAATATTATATCTATATCTAGCTATTGTCCACGACTTTGCTCGTGTGTTATTTTCCGTGTTTCTAACTTTGAAAATGACAAACTTCTATTCAATTAATCACCAATTATTTTAGCCCCTTAGGCGTGAAATTTCAGATGCCGAAATTTCAAGTTTGTAGCCCCAGCGGTTTAGGGAAACACTACTACCAATAATAACGAAGTTTCATATAAATTGCCAAACTCCATTTTGCACCCTTAGTGGTGGAGTTTTAAAAAATCCTTTCTTAGTGCACAAATACGACAGCTAAGGAACATTGGTGCTAATTGGTGCGATGAGTCAGTGAATCAGTCTGTCGGTTTCTTCTTTTATAGATATAGATTACTTATATGATATGTATGTATATGATGATGCCACTGTCGTTAAGTTGCGTGCAAACTAAGCAAAGCCCGTACTATTGTAAACATACATATATCTTCACAACAAAGTTGCATATGACCGATTGTTATGGGACATTTTGATGGAGGCCTATGTCCAGCAGTGGACGTCTTTCAACTTAGATGATGATGACGATATTTTCATAAATTTTAAGAAAGCACAGAACAATGATGGAGTACACATTTACCTATTTTTCATAGGTTCAATCTCAATACCAACAAAATTCAATACCAACGAACAGAATACTATCGCTTATGGTTCAATATAGTTACGGCTAACACGACCATTAGAGATTATAAAACCAAGGTTGTTCATAAAGAGTCAAACTTCCTTTGCTCATAGTCCAGCTAAAGTTAGGACACCTAAATTGCTCCACCAAGGTTACTTTATTACAATCGTTGAATACCAACTATTGAATATGACACGAATGCACAATTGCATATCAGCAATGAATCATAATTATTTTTAGATAGACGCTAATACATATTTGATAGTGTTTAATACAGCAGAGTTTCCGGTACTAAGCAATGTTTTTGATTGAGGCTAAGTTGTGATAATCGTATGGATGCTGTGTATTATGAATAACAATGATTGCACACATACATACTCACGCCTATTTACCCGAAGGGTTAGGCAAAAGTGTATTAAACGTTCATATATTTTGGAAACTAGTCTCTTAATCCCATTTGCGTTTTAGTGGGTTAAACTGTCAACCAAGAACTTTAGAAATTAAATGGGAAAAACTGGAATTATATTGAATTAAAAAAGGGTAAACTAAAGCATAAATGCTGGATGACCTGGGTGACTCTGTACATCAGGAATGAATTGATCTGGCAGAAAAACAAGGTCATCGCCATAGCCACCGGATCAGCAAGCTGAAGTGGCAGTGAGCTGGCCATATTAGTCGCAGAATCGATAACCCCTGGGGGTAATCCAGTTCTTGAGTGGAGACCGCGTCTCGGCAAACGTAGTGTAGGAGGCCCACAGGCAAGGTGGAGTGACGATTTGCGCAAGATGGCTGGCAGGAGCTGAATGCGAGAAGCCGAAAATCGATCGAAGAGGAGAAGCCTATGTCTAGTAGTGGACTGCGATATGCTGATAATAATGATGATGAAAGCATAGATTAATTAATACTATTTATATTATAAATGTAAAATGAGTTTGTTTGTTTGTTAAGCTTTCACACTTAAACCACTGAACCGATTTCAAAAATTCTTTCACCAGTGGACAGTTAGATTTGCAGTGAGTAACATGGGCTACTTTTTAACTTGATAACCGACATACACTACACAGAATTAATTCTCAGATTTTCTGTTTCTCTTTTCTTTGGGACATTACAAAACTATTTTATAGTAAGAGCTTCTACGAGGTTTTGATAGTTGATCTACAAAAATAATTGAAACCTGTTAAAATAGCAATCTTGTGGCGCCCAATAATACAAACAATGTGTTCAACTTCAATCGCTATATGTTATTAGAAGGCCTTTAAAATGTCGACAACACAATCCTACACACTCTTCCCTGTAAATTATTACCCACAAGACTAGTCATAGGTAACTAAAAAACAAAAATAGAAATGAATAAAAGTTATACACAGACACATAGAGGGCGCCTCTTACAAAGTCGAAACTTGATTACTGAGGACTTACTAACTTTACTGTCTCATTGCATAATTAGAGAATGAAATAGGAGATAGAAAGAGAAAGTTTTATGATAAATGAATGAGATATATGTAGGTAAAACAGTTTCGTATCTTAGAAGTACTAAAGAAAATAAAACTTAATTCCTATCTTTACTTAGACTATAAAACCCTGCAAACCTCTGCGAGTTGTAGGTAGGTTTCAAGCCTCCGCATTAGTCAATTATCTACAACCATTTCTGTATATTTACAAATAGGAATTAACTGCTTCTTATCCTGTTACCAAATTAATTTCCCAGGTCTGTGCAATGAGTTTTCTTCTTCCATTCTCCTCTATTACTCAACAGATTACTGTTTACTCACTTTCTAGTCATATGCCTTTCACGCAGTACTTCATTTCCACTAGGCATATAAGGGACACACTAAAAATAGATGAAAACAATCTTTGGAACGAGTTATATATCGTGTCAAAATTAGAGTTACAGTGGTGCAGACCTGTGTAGAACTTTTTGAGTTTTTAAGCGTACACAAGTAAGTTAACATTTATATATATATATATATATATATATATATATATATATATATATATATATATATATATATATATATATTTCAATGTTTTCATTTCACTGGTGAACTAGCATTAACCATTGCAATAATTTATAAAAATCAAATTAGAAAAGGCACACAGGCTTTAGATACTTTGTGTAGTGGTTATTCAACGAAAAACACGTTACAGAAATCATGGTATTAAGAAAGACATTATGCATATATAAATTCAAATATTGTGTTGTTAAATAAACAGCTTTGAAATCACACAGTGGTTGTGGGGCAATAGTGCAGAGAGGTTGAGTAAGAGTTTGCGGTTTGTGGATATTGCATGAGGTACTTGAGAGTTTTGTTGATTAGTTTGTAGTTAGGTAGCTACACAGTCTGAGAGCTTTGTGGCGCTTCCTCGTGTGATGTAACAAGATGAGATTCGAATGAAAGGTAATAAATAT